CAGCAGCCTGTAGACGGGTAGAAACATCATCATACACGACTAAAAGAGGGGCATCGACTGCAAGGGCTGCCCTCAGTGCCGAACCCCTTGACCCCCACTAAGCCCTGCGCCGCTTCTGCACCAACCCTCTGCGAACGCCTGTGGCTTTGGCCCTGTGGTCCCAACGTCACCCCTTTCGCCTGACAATGACTCTCTACCCTTATAACATTACCATTGTGCCGTATACCGCATCGCCTATTATATGTTGTACTTACGGAAGAGACCAAGTGAAGCATTTACGGCCGTTGTATGGTCCATTTCCGCTATCCGACCCCCGCCGGTGCACTGTGACGCATCCTTCTAGATAGACGCAGATACACTATGACCTCTATAGGCAGTCGCCTCTTACCGCCGCCACTCGTCATCCGCTTCTCTACCACAACCTCTCACCGCGTCACGCGTATGCAGGAACCATGCGAAAAACACTGGTAGCGAATCCTACTCGAGGCTATTTGGGCGTGGCCACGTGTAGTCTGCCCCAAGTTTGACGTCTAGACTGCATGCACCCACTGCGTATTGGTTGTACCTTCCCATCTCACATTACCCAACGTCGTCGCAACTTCCCTGTCGGCCGACAGACCAAACACGCAGTACCGAACCTCTTCCACTATAGCTGAGTTTTTGTTCACGTTTTGTATCCCTTGAACCCAGCGCCGCCTGCTTCCCCGTCTGGGCATTTTCGATATCAATACACTAGTCTACAGTAGTCCGTATGACATGCAGACACAGATAAGTAAAACAAATACGCCGCCTTGTTATAACGGCACATGCCAGAGTATGCGACCCTCTCGGGTTCGGATTTTAGGACTTCAGGATTCCACAATCTCAAAACTGCCTCGCCTTAGGCTTAGTCCCTCATTGGTGAAGGACCACTATAGTAGTTCGTGATTGTGGGTCGGTTCGCATAAGTGCCAACGGCTACCCTCAGTGTAATAACAGTCGGCATTATAGGCCTTGACTTCCGCGCCTGCGGGCCGAAATGCACCGATGCACGACATTTCCTGTTTCTTCCCTCATTGCAAAGTTTCCAAGCCCGCATCGTCGATGCAATATCTCGGAGTATTGAAAGCGACATGTATTTTTCAGCACACGCCTTGCGGTATATACCTTAGTGAGCAGAATGTCCTCGCAAACTCGGCAAGACACAGCATCACGTGTCTATGAATCTTCGTCATCTTCGCCCTAGTCCCGACAAGGCAAGCGGGGTTCCACTCTGGCCGCAAAGTCCACCAATACAGTACACTGAGCATGAGATTTGGCTACATATCAGACCTGGCCCACAATCGTCTCAGAATCGGCAAAGCTAAAGGCTGGAGCATCTCAATTTACCCTTGTGAGCAACGCACGACATGTGCGATCCAGACCAGCAAGCAATCTACGTTCTGCTCGCCCTGCGGATGCCACTGTTACAATGCGGGGTAATGCCGTCGGGCTAGTTGTGCATCGTGTCTCTCACCACCACAATGAAGCAACCGCTTTTTCACATCGAGTTCGTGGATACATCCGCTGCCCAAGTAGCCCCACGTCAAACCTTATTTCGACATGCATCGGCTGTCCGAGTCAAGGTGGCTTCCTTTCTTCCAAGGCTGGCTACCTATGATATGCGATAACCACCAGGTTCTGACAAGCTTCGCAACTGCCGCGTAGTGTACCGTCAACCTCGGAGTTACTTCAATATCATGACAACATGATTGAGATGGAATACTGGGTGGGCCGTCGTCCGACTGCGCTAGCTGTCGATGTGGTTGGTGAAGTTAACACCTAGTCCGACTCAAGTCCAGTACCAGTAGACCACCGGCTCACGCCTTCCGTATCACGACTACGTGCGACATGCACCATACACTACACATCTAAGTGTCAGATTCCCAAAACTTGGACACTCTTGAGGGAACTGTTGAATTGTACGCGTCTTCTTGTCATGCGGGGCCCGGCTTGACCTGCCCCAGATAACGATAACGCGGGTCTGTTTCCCGACGCTATCCCAAACGTTAACGGTGATACCGTTGGACTCTCAACATTCAACCTCCTATGCAGCTAATCAAACCTCTAACAGTAGTCTCATCGAATGTACCAGCGAAGCTCCTCACCAAAATATTACACGTATGCCTTTGCCAAATAGCCCACGGTGATTTCCGCTTGTGCGTCACTTTACTCGTGGACAAAACATGACCCGCACGGTAAGCTTTGTCCGATCGATACGAGTTATCCATGTATTGTGCTGCTTACGATATTGGATCATCACGAGTACGAGACTTACATGGCGATCCAATGGATAGATTGGTCAGCTACGCTATGCGGCTTATTTCGGTCTACCCACGAGACGAAACTTTAATTTTGATACAAAGTGTCACGTACACTTTAACTCAGGTCAACTACTTACTCATTTACACGCCAATACAAGTCTACCAAACTTCTCACACCACGTATGCACTATTCGCAAGTTTAATGCACGACCACCACAACACCCGTCGTTCAACCTTCCCTCTCCATCTCACAAGAACGTAAGAAATCCTGTTTACCAAAATTATCCTGAGCGATCTACGTGCCACATGTCTACTTTCCCCACCAGCAATCTTCATGTGCACCTTGCAGCCAAACACCCTCTTATGACCACCACATCTCTTCCCCACAAAATCCTTGCAAATCCCTCCCTTGCTCAAAACGGGTGTAGTTTGCAGATACGTTCTGCAAAAAAAGATTCGAGTCATGCAGTTGCATACTCCACGACGTATGTACTTGCATACCTTAGCTTCCCTTTGGCTGCACCTGCAATCACACACCAACAAAACGTTCCTGGACAAGGCACAGTAGTTCGCGGCTGGGCAACGGGTTTTTTCGTCTTTAGTAAAAGATTGTCGGTGGGCTGCAGAATGGGAAAAAGGGTTGGCTTCGTTGGGCGGGATTGCGTCAAGTGGAGGTTAGGCGCGCTGCTGCTGCCGCGGCTGGATGCGCGAAGGAATCGCTTTGCGGAGCCACGTGGGAAGATTGTATCCGTGATGTGTAGATTAGAGGGAGAAGGGAGAAGGAGATGCGAGGGTGGCGTTGGATGTTGTGGTGGCGTGTTTGGGTGGATAGCGGTGTTGGTGGGGAGGATGTGCAGATACGATTGCAATGTTAGTGTCGAATCGTGAGTATCGGTAGAGACGTCGGCTGCTTGACACTTCGGCCCGACTTCGGCCCACCTTGCGCAGAGCTTAGGTGTACCTTCGTAGCAGCTATGTTCGTAGAAGATCAATACCAATACCAGTCACCAGAAGAACCTCGTTGTTGTTATTCACCCGTACGATCGTACAAGGCCTACCAACAGTTAGGCAATTTTCAAATATTAATAAAAAGGACGCCTGTGGAGTTTTGATCTTATCGCGTACTAGTGCTTTTTCTCGAACTGCAGATGTGAATGCTATATATCTGCATCTTTTCCTATACTTTGCTGATTTGAACATGGGTCCGATTGGCAATAATTATCTTATTTCCGTGCGATATTCAATACACCGCTTGCTTGCTTTCGGGGCATATGAATGAGAATAGAAGACGTGGTAGTCATTCCTTCTTTTGCGAAAGTCAAATTATATGCAGGCCTTCATCACTACAACTCTCGCTTTCGCTTTCGCTCTAGTACTTCCACATGACCATATCCTATGACGCGCACCGCCACTTCGTCCACTGATATAGTAGACGAGACGTGTAATACACAAGCCACAAGAACAAATCGCAAGGAGCAAAAAAAAAAAACGAAAGACAGTGGGACATGGCCTCTCTTGCCGACACCGCTTCTTTTCTCTATTTGCTGTCCTCTTTTCCTCTGTTGTCTAGCTATTGGAGCTAACAAGATCATAACCACAGGTTGAACCAGAACGGAGAAAGAAACGTGAATCGAGCCATCGCTCATGGTTCTCGTCCGTTTCAGCCACTGCTACCAAGCACAGCAAACAGTCAAGGTCTAACGTCCCACTCAAAGACACATTGCACCCAGATAAGACAAATAGGGAATGAGCATCTCTGCACATGACGAAAGTGTCGTACTCCAGACACACATGGACAATCATGACATACATTCACACAAGTGAAAGGGGAAAGCGTGTAGAGAAAAAAAAAGTGGTATATTATCCTAACAAGTATAACAAGATTACACACCAGCCCACTAACAGCGAAGAAGTGTCTGATGTGATTGAAGCTAGAACAACTCATCTTCTCCCTCCCTATATCCAGACCAGCACACCATCTATCGTTGTTCCTTTCTTCGGCAAACACGACCAAGGCTGGGCAGGGCGGGAGAAGAGGCTGTTCAAAGAGAAACAAAGAAATCTTTTCCTGTCCCGATTTCCACCACCTAGATATCATCCCCAGTCCTTCCCTTCCCTCCTTTCTTGCATCTTTCCTCCCTCTACTCCAAAACTTTGCTTCTTCCACCAGCAACGATAAACATCAGGATCGAGGGGGTATGGGCAAGTACTAACCGAACACTGAACAATTCATCGAACATAAGGAAAATGGACCCAGAAACCTTGGTTTGTGGTCGTCAAACAAAAAAAGCTGGCTAGCTACATTTCTCCCGCTCTTTCTCTCTTTCTCCAATGTAGATTGCAAAATACGGGAGAGTAATTCTTCTTCTCTCTCAAGGATAGTCACGAAGACAAAAAGAAAAGGGGAGACGAGAACCAGAGAAAGCCTTACTTTAAAAGGGAAAAAGATTGGTCTAAACGCCGAGTTTGGTTCAAGAGACAAGGAAAAGGGCATCAATGCTAATCTCGTCTCGATCGCTAATGATAAACAAGAGGGGACAGGGCGATTGCCAGGCTGGCTTAGCGCAGGTTGTGGCGCACAGCAGTGTTGGGTCGCTGGAGTGGCTGGGCGTACTTGGATACGGGGACCATGTCAGCGTGGAGGTCGTTGTTACCAGCCTCGACATCATCATCGTCTTCGAGAATGCGTGTGGGTACGACGGGGATGTCGTGCGATCGGTGCTGGAGACTCGACCGGTCTGGTGTTGTACTGGCGCTGGCCATGGACATGGAAGTGCTGGACCGGTGGCTTAGGTCGGGAGTAGGAGGGATGCTAGACCCACGCCCGGGGCGAAGCATGTTCTCCTCATCGCCGTACTCGCTGCCGATGGTTGATTGCGCACGACCACCGACCGATGACATTTGACCGACGCTGCTGCGACGGTCACTGTGGTTGTCTTCTTCAATGTCGGCACGCTGGGCGAGCTGAAGCCCTTCGACGGCTGCTGCGCATTGCTCCGAGATGTTGCGGATGATGTACGCAATCGCATCGGTCTTGTCGCGGAGGACACGGTCGGCTACGTCAACCATGGACTGATTTGAGAAGCGCTTCGAGCTGCGTGCGGGGTTGCTGAACAGGCGCTGCTCCATGTCTGCGGTGACGTCCTCGCCTTCGAGGTGCTTGCCTTGTGCAGTGCTTGCCCTGGACGACTGGCGGCTCTCAATGCCTGCTACGCCGCGGATGGTGCCAACCTCGGACTTATCCTTGATTGAGGCACGGTTAGGTGTGTGAGGTTGGTTTTGGGTCTCAGCATCTTCAAACTGATCCTCATCCTCCTCTGGCACGTCCTCGAAGCCAGCATCCATGTAGTTAGACATGTCATCGTGGTTGAGCGACTTGACAATGTGCTCCATGTGGTGTGTTTGGCCCTCGATGAGAGCACGGAGGTGAAGCACAACTCGTTGCGCCTCGTCTCGCTGGCGGAGAATGGCACCGTTGGTGTGCTGAAGGGCGCTGAGCTCCTTCTTGTTCTTCTTCCTCTCGCGCTCGAGCTCCTCAGCAATCTCCTGCTGGAGGACAAGGGCCTCGAGAGCGTCGTCACGCTGCTTTTCAGTACCAGATAGACGGACAGTGAGCCTTGCGGCGTCATCCTTCTGCTGGTCGATGAGGTTGCTGAGGCGACGGTTCTCACGCTTGTGATTCTCAATCTTGACCTTGAGATCTTGTGTCTCCTTGGTAAGTTGCTCAGCGAAAGCCTGGAACTTGAGGAATTGCTGCTTCCAGCTCTCGAGCTCCTCAACCAGGAAGTTGTTGCGCTTGGTGACCTTGCCAAGCTCACTGTCCAAGCGTTGCTTGAGGTTGATGAAGTCTGTCCATGCCTCCTGTGCATCGCGCGAGTACTGGTTGCGCTCGCGGACAATCTCGTTCAGGTGGCGCATGGAGACCTTGGTCATCAGTGGCTTCTTGACGGAACCGCCAAAGATAGCCTTGACTCCACTGTTTCGGCCCTAAGATAGTTTGTTAGCTTCATATTGTGACAAATTGACATGTGATAGATGACATACCAACTTCTCGCATACGTGGTCCATGACTGTCATGACCGCATCTTGAGTCCACCAGTCTGGATCCTGGATGCTCTCAACCTCACCACGCATGACAATTATTTGACCCGCAGGAATGAGTTTACCACCACCGTACGCCGATCGCAGATGCTGTGGGACACCGGTCGGTGACACTTCGCCGTTGAGCGCCTGAGTCAGACGAGTAATCATCTTTGTCCTCTGGCCTGCACTAAGGGCAGTGGGTGGGCTGGAAGTCAAAACGAAGTTCCGGTCCAAGTCAACAACAAGGGCATCTGTCGGCGCAGTGAAGAGCGACCGACATTCCGACGTTACACCTAGAATGTAGGGGCCTGGCTCCTGGACCAAGTCCTTGACGTGGCGTGCGTGGACAACGGGGACATACAGACCACTCCACTCGTAAACCCTCACACAGAAGCGTATAGTTTCAGCAGCAATAGTAAGCATGGCGGGGTAGTGGCTAGTAAAGATGATTCGTCGGGTCGGTGATACAGCGGCCTCGATGACACCCACGATGTTGGGGATAGATAGACACGTGAACAGGGGCCACATGGCGAAATTCTGGAAACCGGTTGGCGAAGAGGGAAACTGGTAGCACAGCGCGTAGTCCTTCATGTCGATTCGAACCAGGTCGTTGAGGCGTGGAGCGGGGAAGCTGAGAATGCGAGACACCTCTTCAGCGTGGAACAGGTTTGTGGCCTTGTTCCAGTGAATCCACATGCCACGCAAGTAGTCGCCGAGCAGGTTGTACAAGGGATATCGGGAGAGGAAGCTCAGGCAGTAGGGAATCCAGTAAGTCTCATCCGGGTTGTCGAAGAAGTCGGGCTCGATGCGCTTGCGCAGGTCCCGAATGGTCTCGGCCCTCTTCTCGTCAGCGCGAGACCAGACGCGCAGCGCGATACCGTAAAGAGTGTGAGAGGAATCCTGTTGCAGGACAAACGAGTGGTGTACACAGTGGGGTTGGCTCCTACCAGTGCAAATCTCGACATCGTGAGGGAAGCATGCCTGTAATGGCGGTCAGCTATGACTAAAATTCCATGGCTCTGGAGGGGAACATACTCGCATAGCGGCGTGCAGAGACCTCGCAATCTCGTTGTCTTGCTCCAGTCTAGGGCTGCTTCCCAAGATCTCTGGAAGCCAAAAGGTGCCGACGGCGCCCTTCATGTGACCGATTTTGCCCTGTGATGGTGCAGGCGCCTTGACCCATTGCGAGGGCTCCCGACCAACACCGCATACCATGTAGGCATGAGTAAGAGTCTTGGGGCTTCTTGCGCCCTGCTTGACGTTCAACGTCGACGGGAGAGGCTGAGTAATCCTCGAATGGAGAGACGAGGTCCGGCTGGGGATGATGAGACTGTGATCGGCGTTGTCGCGCGTGGGAGGTCGCTCGCTGGCGCCAGTGCGAGGTCGCAGACTCAGTGAAGGTGCCATGGTGGCTGGTTTGATGCCGGTCCTGTCGAGCGGGGTGCGGGCTTGTTGTTGGTAGTGTTATTGTAGAGAGCGGTCGAATTGCAATGAATCCAGTAAGTAATTAGGACAGTTATAACTGTGAAAACATGAGGCTGGGCGTGAGATGGGATCCAGAAGGCAACCCGGGAAAGCAAGACAAGATACAGAGCAGGCCGTGAGGACAATTGCGCACTCCGTCAGTTGGAGGCTCCAAAGTCACCTTGCTGCGGGCAGTGAGGAAGAGGCAGCAAGGGGGAAGTATGGCTTTTGGGGAGCTCTGGCGCCGCGCGCGGACTGGATACTAGAACGACCCGATGCCTAGCATGGGTGGCTTTCACAAGTTTCGGTTCGAGGAAATGAGAAGCTTATCCCTGCAATGCAACAGGGTCCGTCGCTGCGCACGGTTCAACCAGCTGTCAGGGGCGCAACATTTCGAATAACGGCTGGCTCCTCCCCTCGAGATACGGCGGCAGCAAGGGCCGCAATCAAAACCAGACGCCCAAAAGTGCTCAGGGCGCGGGTACATACAAAGTCCTTGTATACTATCTGCACAGCTTCTGCTCACCGTCGTGCTTGTTGCAACCATGGCCGGCCGGCCTGGTCGAGTCGGGCCATGACAGCGTGCAGCGGCCACAGTGAAAACATCCCCGCTGGTGGCAATAGCGCCGTGTTAATGCTGGGTGCCGTATTGGGTCGGCTTCGATTCATTCGACTCAGTCGCAAGCCATGCATTGTGCACGATGAGCAAGCATGCAGCGTGCAGGTGCATGGCAGACGCAGACGCGTGCATGAGCAAAGATCCCGCACTTGCAGCCTCCATGGGCCGTGAATGGCAATGCTTAGGGAATTTAGGGACTGGCGAGCCAAACCCCTGGCGGCTGTTCTATCGGCTGGTGCCCATCACAACACGGCGTACGAGTGAGCGCCATGTGTGCAGGAGAATTACCTCCCGTCGTCCAACAGACGCCGTCGACGTGGTGGTGGAATCGCTGACCATGGCTCCATCGGCTCCACCGTCCGGTAAAAGTGGCTACCTAGACTTACCTAGACGCAGTAGCTTCGTGTAGTCGCTGTAGAGGCTCACTCATGCCGGCCAAACTTTGCCATCGGCCAAGACTTGCGGAGAGGAGCTGCTGATGGAAGAAGCTGAAACGCCGGCCCAAGTCGTCGTATCCACGTCGCTGCCAGCATCATCATCATCGTCATCGTAATCATCGCCTAGGCCCGGCCTCTTGTCACGGCGCTGCAGCTGCCTCTCAAGCAACGACGAGATTTGCATTGCAGTCGCCTCCGCCTCCGTCCACAAGACCTACTCATTTCCCTCTCTCTCTCAAAACTCCCAACACAGGGCAAGCGCATAGTCGGCCTTCTGGTGTCCGCATATGATCGGCGCCTGGGTGGACCTGGGAAGATTTCTACGTGGAGAAAGCTCCGATGCGCTTAAGAAGGGCATTCCCAGTCTATTATCTTATCGACAGGCAAGTCGGACGCCCCTACCATCGTTCGTCGTATTCGTCAGACGCACATTTCCATCTACATACACTCGAGAATCTGCATGCCCGATAACGAGGCCGGGTGTGTCAAACCTTGGAAGAAGGTTGTGACCGATCTGCGGTTAGATAGAACGAGGGTCGCGGCCACCGCCCGTTCCCTGACCCGAACATGTTGAATTTCGGCGCTAGCCTGACAATTCCAAACTTTCACCACCGGTACCAGTCTAGATAGTAGTCTTGCGTGCAGCTCCGATCTATCAGAACTCGGCAAATTGCGCACTGCGTAGATCTGTGGGACTACGTCCAGATCTGCTGCATCTCCTGGAGCTTGTAACCCACTCTAGTGAAGCGGGAGGCCTCATCCAGTACTGGCGCCTCGCACATCAGCCACATCGTGAGCTACGCACGCTCCGAAAACTCCCCATCCAAACCACCATCTTCCACAAACTCCTTTTAGCGGCGCGTTCCGCTACACCTGCCACGCCTCTCCTGCACCTATCCGTTCCAAGTGGTCGTCCCGTCACGCCAGGAACACGTGGTGATATTCCCATTATTCAATATCACGTTATACGTTACGTGCCGACTGTCTGGTCGACATGTCATCCAACGCAACCTTATTGAATGAGCTTTGCAGCATCTGGTACGTCTGACTAAGTCACCCCGGCAGCCGGCATCACTCCAACTGCAGCGATCGACATAATTCCGCACAGTACAATATGACTACAGAGAAGGCTGACGCCCACCCAGCAACACCAACAATTTCAAGTACCGATGTCCCGGCTGTTCCGCACGTACATGCTCGTTGCCATGCTACAAACGTCACCAGTCATGGGCACAATGCTCTGGCAAGCGAGATCCGACCAAGTTCGTCAAGAAGTCTGAGCTCGTGACATCCGCTGGTATTGATCACGACTTCAACTTCCTATCCGGTATAGAACGGAACCTTGAGAAGGCTGAGAGGGTCGCTAGCGCCACCACCTCTAGCCATGTCACAGAGGCCAAGTTGAGTCGCCAGCGGGCAGGTGTTCCTTACCCCAAGCTCGAGGCTGCTGCTAGCGTAAAGATTATACGAGCGCCACAAGGCATGAGCAGACAAAAAGAGAACAAGTCACACATGTCTGCCACCAAGTAGGCCCCCCACCTTCAGCCCATGTTGACCCCGCTGATCAGTGTCTAGAAAGGCTTCACGGAATATAGTTTGGACTGTCGAGTGGTTCGACGAGACCAAGAAACGTGTGCTTACTGAGACGTCTTCTACATATCCACTACGGGATGTGCAACCTTTCAAGCAACATAGTACAGGAGCCAAAAGCAAGAAGAGGAAGCTAAACGCCGAAGACGCTGCAACCACAGAGAGACAGCGCGATGCGACGCACCCTTCAGAGGATCAAGACCAACAACATCAACCGAAATCTGGCGTTGAACACCAGATCGACGATGCAAGGCCAGGGCCACAATCCCCGGAACAACCAGCCAAGGTGACGGATACGCATCCTGCCAAAGTCAGTAGCCACGGGCCAAGCATCCAGACCCCAGAACATATGCTTTTTCTCCTAAAGCCACGCACAAGCACAAACCGGCACGTCGTCATTCCCCTCGACCCCTCCCGCACCCTGGCTGAAAACCTGCACGGCCACACCATTCTCGAGTTCCCTACCATCTACGTGTTTCCCCCGGCAACGGAGAAACTACCCGAAGACTTTATGCTGGAGGAAGAGTACGCCAAGCTGGAAGGGGAACAGCAGAAAGAGTTTGATGAGCTGATGAACGAGCTTGATCCTGACATCTTGAAGCGGTTAAAGGAAGGAGAGGACGCGCAGAGGTACGCGGGTGCGGACGAAGAAGTGGATAGCAAAAAGATACTTGATGTGCTGAAGCAAGACATTGGCGGGCTTTGAACACGTAATAGTGCATCACGTGAGCGAGGTACATCCTGCAGCTGGCAAGCTTGCTTTTGATGACGGGCCTGGACAGTAGGGTAGAAAGGATGAAGAGGGGTAGAGCCAGACGATGACGAAATAGAGTTCAAATCGCACAGGCATGTTGTATAAGAGAAGAAAAGAAATTGACGTCTGATTTGTCGCACAAGGTTGCCTCCCAGCTAATCGCAGTATGTAGGACGTATCTCAACCCATCGGAGGCTACTCCACCGTCGCAACTCCGTTGTAACCCCATCGCATCCTTGGAATAATAAGATCTTTAGGTGTCTCTTGATCATCGTTGTCGTTGTCTTAGTCGTCTTCCACCCTACCCTTTCCCTTGCCACCGTGAGCCCCAAACACAAGGTACCCCCGTCAATATTTCTTCTTCCACAGTCCGTCTCCAGTACCTTCGTCGCGCCACCCGCCAGCAGCAAGTGACAGCCACACCCTCGCGCCCAGCCATGTCACCCCCAACGGCCCCAACGTTTCACCCACCCAAATCAAACACATTTATTTTTTCTCTCCCAATCACTGGCCCGCGTATTTCCGGACCTTCATGCGCATGACGAGTAAGGTAACAAACATGACAAGGCACCATCGTCCGTTGTCTGTCGCTCGCTGTCATCGTCCTGTCCGGTGTCTCGCATTTGCCGAGCACACCGTTAAAACGAGTTGAAACTGCTTGCCCCCCACTTACTCGCAGGCTGGACATGGAGCGCCCCTCCAACGGTCATGTCCGTACGGCTCAGCTCGGCCCAGCTCAGCCTTCCCACGACAGGATGCGGCGAGACGGTGACATGGCAAGAGTAGACGGGGCTTCAGCAAGGGTTAACCCCGTTTGGTAGACACGGCTACGACAACATGGACTTCCTTTTCTCTCTTGTTTTTCATCAATCTTATCGGACTGGGTATTGCTCTAAGCCTACCTCGCGAGCTACTTGCTTTTCGCTCCGGTCACCTGGGTTAGCCGTTGCGGTGCGGGTGCGCGTTTTCTTTTGTTTTTCCCACTGTGTAGCCCGCAGTCCAGATCCAGTTTTGATGGTCTTTCTTTTTTGCATGTTTTGCTTTTGGACGGCATAAGCAGCGGTTGCCGCTTTGCAATCGAGACGGATACACTACCGCTAATATACGTCATAGGAAGGAAGGGTACGAAAGGGTCCAAGGGTAGTGGAGACTAGAATCCGTCTTACATGAGAGCTAGGACGAGGATACGGAGATTCGAGATGCTAGTGTGCAGTCGTCGCGGAGAAGGCAGGTAGCCGGATGTGGACGGCAGATTGACGGTTCATCACTCGGGTATGCGATCCGGTGCCAATTGGAGAGAAGTAGAAAGAACAGGCATGTATACTTGCCGCGACCTGCGAGGAAGAGGAAGAGGTAATGAAGGGCTTCGTTCCGGTCGGCCAGCTGCAATGCAGACAGATGCAGCATGTCGCCAGAAAAAAAAATAGGCTGCTGTGTAGTCGTTGGCGCACGAGTTGGTTAGACAGCGGGGGGGGGGGTCCGAGAAGGGTACAACTCCCTCATCCCCCGATGTTAGTACATTGCGCAATTGTTTCGGTATGCAGGCATGTGGGGCTATCTCTGGCAAGCGCCTGTCCCGCCTGCATGATCTACTCCAATACTGCCATACTGCCAATCTGCAAAGTTTAATCATCCTCCGCAGTGTTTCGTTAGGCGCTGTTTCGAGTATACTGATCCTGATTCACAATACTTGTCTTTGCGTTCAGGAATAACTACGCGAGCTATCATGACTCGCATCCCATGACTCCTGGCTGGCAATGGGTGCAGAGACACACCCGCCCAGTCGGTCGCCAAGTATTGTCAATACGCTGCTGTTGCTGTTTGGGATGTCGGAGCAAGAGCTTGTGGCTTATTACTTGCGACATATAGATGACCGGCAGTACTTCGTTCGCGGTCGTACTGCTCCCTTTGGTTGTCAGCGTGTTTGGTATAGAAGCAGATTTTATAGTTGTTGCTCAAACTTGGACGGCTATCCGTGTTAGGGAAGAGATGTGCTTTCAAACTGCATCTTTCTTCTCGTATTCAACTGGAGGCAAATTCCCGTAGCATCGCTTCACTACTGAAAGCACGGTGAGATGTTATGCCTCATTTTTTCAGTCAAACTCCCATGACGTTTTCGCAATCTACTTCTGCAGTTCCAGCAATCCCTTGCTCTGCAGATACTCTACAATCTCCTTTACACTATCCTCCACACTCTTCTGATCACTTCTGATGTGAATCTCAGCATTCTCGGGCGCCTCGTATGGCGCACTGATGCCGGTGAATTCCGGAATTTTGCCCTCTCTTGCCTTCTTGTACAAGCCTTTGGGGTCACGCGCTTCGGCAACCTCGAGAGGCAAGTCTACGAAAACTTCAACGAAGGCCAAAGGAGAGTCGGTGCCGGTGGTAACGGCATGCAGGTCGCGGGCTTGTGCGCGGTCTGCCTTGTAGGGGGAGATAAAGGATGTGATGGCGATGGTCGAGGAGTCAGCAAAGAGCTTTGCGACCTGGAGGCGACTTGTTAGCATTGCGATCCTACGACTCAAGAGCGATGTGCATATGACGGGGCCGCGTATACGCAGTCGGCAGATGATGGGATAACATACTTCAGCTATCCGCCTGATGTTCTCATTGCGGTCCTTTTCTGTGAAGCCGAGATCTTTGTTGAGCCCGAAACGAACGTTGTCGCCATCAAGACGGTAGGCGGCGAAGCCCAGGTGAAGCAGGTGCTGCTCAAGCGCTGTTGCGATGGTAGATTTACCCGACGCAGACAGACCGGTAAACCAGATGGTAAAGCCCTTTTGCTTGCGGAACTTGTTGCGCTCATCGCGCGAGAGAGACGGATGCCATGTGATGTTGCTGTAAGACGCCGTGTTAGCGATGTTTGCGCAATCATGGCGGGGTATGGTGGGGCTCACGTTGCCATTGTGGAAGTTGCGACTGAGGCTTGTATTGAGGAACTTGGGGTGTATGAAGCTGGAAACTGTGTTTGCGGAAGATATCCAAGTTATACGAGTGCAAACTTGTGCTCAGGATGCCAATAGACAGGCGAAAGGGCTGCTTTAGTGTCCCAAGGGCGAGTTGGGCCCTGGAGCAAACATCGATTTCTTTTAGCGTGAATGACGTGCTGTTGGGTCCGCTGCAGGGCGGGTAAGGCTGAGAGCGGAAGAGATGCGCGAACGGTTGGTTGTGTTTTCTCTTGGCCATGCACAAGAGCGCAAATTCTGAAGCATGCCGTCTCAGCTATGGAAACACAAAGGCAATAGTCTACAGAGGCACTCCACTTCCTCCAAGACTTGCAGCTCTGGTTGGCCGGGTCCTTGCCTCAGCGTTCCTACCATCGCGCTCATGCCCCTGCGTAGGTAGTACCTCTCCTCTGCTACCACTCTTTCTCAACCCAGTACCATGGATTGGGGTGAGATCAAGGGGTTTTCTGCGTCTGACAAGCTGATATCCCCTATCGAGCTCTACTTCGATGGCACACCTAATCTTTAGTGCTGTGACAGCAGGCCAAACACTCCTCTCGCCCTTTAGTATCCAATAGTCAATCGCCTCTTTCGTCGGGTTGTCGAGTAGCCTCAAGAAGTCACCTGCTGTAAGTTCAGGTACAAGCGTCAGACTAGGACCCGGTATGTTTTCGTCCAAGAGGAACCTGCGGATCGACGGAGGCAGTGCACCTAGTTCGTCGAGTTGTTGCAACCGGTGCTGAACCTCTAATACTACAAGGCGGATGAGTGGCATGTAAAGTCGCCAACCAGCGTTGTGTTTGGGATTGGGGTGGTGAAGATCGGAGCGGAGGAACGGTGCGAGGTAAGGTCTGGCTTGTGAAACAATGAAGTGGTTTACGTTGAAAAGTTCGCCTATGCGGTGTAGGGGTGATTCGCGGTCGCGGTATGATGCGTGTGTGTAAGAACGGAATTCTGTTTTTGAGGCGGGGGACCACGGCACGATGTTGCCTTCTTCGTCTTTACACAGCAATGTGACCTGGTGGTAGAGGGTCGAAGAAGACGTGGCGTTTGAGGCGAGGGCGGCGGACCAGATGAGCTGCATCATCACTCAGCATGTGGTCAATGCAGAGGTCATGAGATACTTACCACATTAGGAGCCGTAAGGTAATTTAGCAGGTTCGGCACACCGCCACTGCCACTGGTAGTGACTGTGATGTTAAGAACCCTCTTCGTCCTGGTATATGCCTCTTCAAAGGTCAAATCCCCGATGTTGGCCCTGAGAACTTGCTCCAACACATCCACGTCCAGAAAATGGCCTTCCTTCCACCATCTGTTGACACGTCGGTTGAGAGTTTCAACCCATGCAGTGAACCCGGCATCTTTCCTGTACGGGCGGTTGGTAAAAGCCGTCAGGTCGATGTTCGTTCCTGTCAAGAACTCCAGTAACTCGTCTTCGGTATGTACGCCTACGAGCGCAGCAATAATTGCACCAGTAGCGGTCCCAGCAATTATACGAGGGAGCAGACCGCGTAAATGAAGCGCTTTCACTACGCCCAGATGGCAAAGTCCAAAAACTTGTCCACCTTGTAGAACCAGTACCGATCTCCCAAACGCTTGTCTCGTGTCGTGAAGAATATCCAGCTTTGCCTGGTTCGTCAGGCCAGTATCCGAGTTCCTTGATGTAGGGTATTGTGTGAGGTTCTCAATCGCATAGGCCACCTGTGTGACATAGTCTTCGATCAAGAGCTTTGTCCCTGCGTATGCGCGGTTGTACAGCTTGGGTGCTGTTATGTTTCCAAGATTGCGGACAAGTCCGCTCCGGAGAATATTTATCAGGCCGAGAATATCGTTGTCCTCTTGGGCTTCGTAGATGGCGGAGAGACGCTGGTGGATGAGACGGTGGTCGTAGTCTTTGCTTATGGCTGTCTGCCGCCTGTTGTCCCCTAGTAAGCCGATGTACGCAGAGCGGAAGCCCCCCCCTCCCCCCCCCCGAGATAATTGCTTACCACATGTCGTAGTCGAGGACCTCATCGAGTTTGTACGCAGCAGCCTCCCATTCCTCGAACAGGCGTGCATCGCCGATAGCTTCCAGCAGGAGATACCTCTGGCTCTTCTGCGTCCACCACGCGTAGAGTTTCTTGAACATGTCAGCATTCCATTCGAACGCATTCCGGTCGAGTCACGAAGAGATTCCGCTTGTTAGGGAAATAGAAACGCACCCGTTGCCAAAAGAATGCCACGTCAAAGAAGCACAGGAGAAAGCTCCATAGCGCCCTCGACACTACACCGAGCGTTCCGTTCATGGCCTAGAAGATCTCCAGATGATCATCTGCTGACAGGGCCGCAATGTCAGAGGTCGCATGTTCATTCGTCGCGTCTTCGGAGACGCGATGCTATCGAGCAGGTGCTTGTCGGGCTTAAGCCGGCTGTCACATGCAAGCCGAAGCTCAAACGTCACTGCGGCTGATTTGCACCAGCCACGTGGCGTTGGAAACCAACCACGCCTGGGCAGGTGGGGCTACCCATGAGGGGATGAAGCTTGACTTTACTCCATGTCTCCAACACCTTTCAGGGTACTTTGAGGATATTCGAACATGCCGGGGTCGTCACTTTGGCTGTTGCCGCCAGCGGATCATCCTCTGAGCGATGTCATCCCTAGCGTCATCGACAAAACATCCCAGCAGTTCAACTCCCCGCACCGCTTCCTTCCACACGTCACTCTGACAAGTGAAATTTCCCCGTCGAAATACGCTTCCAATCCCCAGGCATGGCTCGACTCGCTCGATCTTCCTGCTGGCCAAGATGTCAAAGTTACATTTGAACGTCTTGGCAGTGAAGATGTTTTCTTTCGCAAATTGTACATCAAGTGTGAGAAGTCCGAGGGAGTCAAGAAGTTGGCAATACCATGTCGGCAGCAAGCAAATGGCTTCGAGGAAGAGGCAAAGGCTTTGAGCTGGGCTGAAGGACAATATATGCCCCATTTGAGTTTAATGTAGTAAGTTGAGACGGGGCTATACGTGTATATACGCTAAACAAACGTAGTCATGACTGTCCACAAGTCGATACGAACATGCTAGCAACGGTGGAACTGCTTGGGATCAACTTTACAGGCAGTGGAGGCATGGGGGGCTGGATCGGCGGAAGGGTAGTACTTGTACCAACTGACAATGCAGTTGATGAATGGCTGCCAATAGCTGAAAGAGCATTATGATGTTCGAAAAACAGGATTACCATAGTATGCAGCATACCATAAGCGCTGTATCACAACAAGGAGGGGGTGTATTTTGATCAACCCATGCAGTGCAAGCACAAAAGCAAATCACATGTAAATGACACGGGAAAATATCGAAAGGAACAATGACCAAAAAATGACATAGAAGTAGAGAGTGTGGGTACAGTTGTACCATGTTGCAAGTGTTGAAGACTGACGGTGGACAAAGGGTACTGTTGTATCAAGATGCAAGACATGGAGGTAGTAAACATTTTTCATTGAAGATGCATCATTACTAGGCTATTATTACAAAGTCATAGGAGACGTGTCCTTGGTATCTCGCATGTACTCATGGCGATCGTGTCATAGGAGTATGCATTTATTTCATGAATCCAGCCTTGCCATCACCGTCGGCGTCGACCTCTGGAGAAAAAGTTAGTCAAGTTACCGCGATACTGGTTTGAGGGTATGACTTACTGGGGTTGAGCTTGTCCATGAGGCTTGGCTTGTGTTGACCTGTTTGATGTTGGCCTTGATGTCCTTGAATTTCATTGAGTTGGGCTTCTTCGGCCTGTGTGTGGGGAACGGCCCTAGAGCGATCTTCTGTGAGAGCCTTGGGCAAACTACCATCCTCATTGGGACGGTGGGCCAAGTCTCCAGTTCCGCTGCCACCAATCACTTCACCATGGGAGTTCTTCGTACCTGTAGCGCCCTCAGTGCGGTTGCGAGCAGAGTCCTTCAAGTCACGGCTGTCGATCTTGCCGTCGTGGTTGCGGTCAACGCCAGCGGTACCAGCGCCAACGCCAGCGGTGGAGCGGTTACCGGTCAAGTCGTGGGCATCCATCTTGCCATCGTTGTTGCGGTCAAGAGGATTCTTGGTTCCGGTAGTGTGGGAGTGGTTGCCAGTGACATCATGCATGTTCATCTTGCCGTCGTTGTTGCGGTCAAGGGGGTTGTGGGTGCCGGCACCGTGGTGGTTGGGAGTGGACTCGAAGTCGCCGTGACGGGCATGCTCAATGCCGTGGGTGTGGTGGGTAGACTTGTGAGTGAGACCCTCAGCAACGCCCATGCCAGAGGCACCGCCGATGTTCTTGGGGACACCCTCGAACTCATCGTAGCGCTCCTCGCGGCCAGTAAGAGCTCCGCCCTTGGCCTTGAACTGATCCATAGTCATGGCAGGCAGAGCGGTAGTCTCGTGGTGGGTAGCCTTGTTATGGTGAACCTCATGGATAGGGACGGTGGTGTGCACTACGCTGGGCTGGATGGTCTCCTTCTGGACAACGGGCTGAATGGTCTCGTGGATGTGCTAAATGGTGTTAATTGTGCCTGAAGCTCAGTGGCATTGTGGTGTGACTTACGTGGTGAATGTGCTCTCCGCCAATAGTGGGGGCAACACTCCGGCTATGAGTGGTCTCGTCAATACGCCTCTCGTCAGCAAAGCGGGCCTGTTCATCAACAAGTGCCCTCTTAGTAGCATCGGTATCGCGGTGGTCGAACTCGCGGTGCTGGACGGCACCAAGCTTAGCAGTGTGCTCCTCAGGGAGGACCTCACGATCCAACACGGGCTGGACGGTGCGGTGGTAGTGATCCTGGTGGACCTCCTTGTCGATGGCTGTGTTGACCTCCTCATGTACGTGAGGCTTGATGACTTCGTGCTGAACAGCGGGGGCTACAGCCTCGTGAACAGTAGTGTCATGGTGACCAGAGCGGCCCATGAAATCGGTGATAGCTGCCTTGGCCTTGTCCATTTTGAATGTTATAGTTGTTTTTGATTGAGGTAGTAGGGTTTGGATGGGTGTGTGAATTGATTATTGGTGAGGTGATGTTGTTGTTGTTGTTGTGATGGTGTGATGATACTGCAAGACGATGATGTGGTGCCTCTTTATACAGCAACAGCAGTAGCGGGCACAGATGCACGACGACGTAATGGACATATCAGGTGCAGGTGGAGCCCTGGGTTCTCCGGCAGTCGCTGCCTGCCTTGTTTGTTTTTGCGGTAGGAAGCCGCCATGATAGTGCCAAAAGAGCAGTTTGAGGCTGGTCAGACCTCGATCGATGCTCGCACTCGCACTCATTGGCTAACGGCGGTAGGCGCTACCAAGAGCAAATGTACGTCAGACGTGGGCTAGCCCACGACTAGAGAGAGGCCGGGAGGGAGCGGCCTGGGTCGAATTGACGCGAAGATGCCGCTATGATACGCTTGGAGTGTCGTTGCACGCCTGCCGCCGCTCTCGGCGGTACTATGTAGTCATACTGTGCATCAAACAGGAATCCTACCTCATGGTGAATACAAGGCGTCGCAACACCGAGGTTTGGTCCTGGAAAGCGCAAGCAACTGGGCTGGGATACGCTGGGGGCGGTGTTCATGCAGTTGACCCGATCCACATCGAGTTGATCTGACCGATCGGCACTAGGGTCGTGTTCCTGCCATTCCAGCACACCGGGTCTGTGCTCCATGATACACGCTGTGCTTGGCCATCATCATAACCTCAGATTCACATCACCATCACTGCTACGCCGGTATTTCCATCACAGCCGACATGCAGCTTGCAACATGCATTTGCTCGTGCTTCGGACGTCCCGACCGTGTGGCGCCCTCTAGGTGCATTGCATGCTACGGCCCAAGACGATGCACGCTAGACAGATCGGTACGCTACGTATTGGTGATCAGTGGAGCCGCCCGCGACCAGAACCTCCAGGGCTCCCTCTTTGTCGTCATGCCGCCTTGATCTCCGCTAGCTATAGACTTATCGGGCAAGAGGCGACCATTTGCTTTTATCCCATGGGCCAGCAGTACACACAATATTGAACCACGTACTCATACTGCAAAACCACACGTACGTCATTCCCACTCGCCACGCATCCCTGTGCCGTGCCAGCAGCGGCAACCAGCAGCTCAAACAATGCACAGCTCAGGGAAGGCGTAAGCCTAGATTACTCCCGACAAGTGCTGCTGAAGCAAGTCTCGCCTCCCCCTTTGATAATCAAGTCTTCCCTCCAGCTGCCTGTCGAAACCGATGAAGGTTTGAGCTTTGGGCAAGTGCTCCCAGTGCGTCATCCAGCCTAATCGGCCGCACGGTGCTTCGTGGAATTAGATAGACTGCCCGTCTCTTGCCTGCGCGGGCGCGCTTCATGTACATCTCACCTAGATCTCACCCCCACAATTTCCTTTTTCTACTCAAACATCCGTCAACATGAGGGAAAAGCTGAAGGCTGTTCTCCATAGGAGGAAGAAGTCAACGCCAACCCATTCCCCTCGAACATCATACGAGAAATCCGAAGGAAGCAGTCCGCGTGCTGAGCGCCACCATGCCTCATTACCTCAACACCATCCAAGTTCTGAAGCTCACAACCGCGTCTTACCAACTCACTCTGCCTATGATGGTGAACGGTCCAGTCATTCGCCAGCCTCGCAGTTTACGTCCTCTCAGGATGACCAGTCTAGAAACACTGACCTCACTGGCTCTATTGCAGACGACTACAGATCTTACCTCCCGGCGATAGCTCCAATTGACAATTCGCCAAGTCAGCAACAGACTTCAATGGCTGGTGACAGGCATGCCCTCAATGGCGCAGGCGATGGAAGATACGCAGAAGAAATAGCAGACAAGAACGTACATCAACGGAAATCATCTCTCCAAGCTCATCATTCGAAGCCCCTCCCAGTGATTCCAAGTACGTCCTGCTGCGAATGCACCAATGCGAATCAGAAAGCTGATTTGAGAACAGACTCTTCCAACGTTGAACACGACCATTCTCACAAGCAACCGATTGCTACTGGGCCTATCAGTAGCACAATACACCCAATACCTTCAAGGACAACAGCAGGAAAACACGCGATAGTTGGGGATAGAATAGCGGAAAATGGTCAGCTAAAGAGTCTAGATGGCAAGGAAACACGCACAGCGTCATCAGGAAAGATTACCCATCACCAAGACATGTTTGTCAAGCCTCGCCACGATCACGAGACTGCCAAAGACTATGACAGTATCCATCGTGGCCAAGACTGGAAAGCGAAGCAGCAATCGATGCTTGAGGGCGTTGTAGATCTGAATAATACCGTGGATACAGATAGGGATACTACATGGGCCCCTGGTAAGCAACTGCCCTTTTGGCTCTTCAAATAAAGTCTTGGCATAGCTTGTATAACTAACGGAATGGCAGCTGTCACACATGAAGTTATCAAGCCCCACGAACACGAGGTCATTCAGCATCGGCTCTATCGAGAGATCCACAACTATACCTACTACCACCGACTACAACCAGTCCTACATACCGAAGTTCTCCCACCGCGTCACTTCATTCCCAACCCTGACGGCGAGGGCTTGATCGAGATCTCTGCCGACGAACTGCCGGCTCGTACGGGCAAGAACAGATGGTGGGATATTGTCCAAAAAGAGCCAGTGCTCCCACAGGGTGCGTTTGAGTGGCGTACAGAGCCGGAAATCATCGAAAGCCAAGGCCGTACATGACTGCCCGAGGGCTTCGAGCGCAGAGAGACAACAATCATATACCCGCCCACGTCTAGAAGACATGTCAAATTACCGTGGAATGGTGCAGCCAGTACATTTCGACCATAAGACTGGGAAACGTTGGCTGGGAGAGTTAACGACTGTAGAGAAGCTGAAGCAAGAGTCGGAGCGCACAGAGAGCAAGGACTCCATGGACATGACAGAGGTCACCGCAGGCTTACCTGAAATATTGCCAAGCCCTACGATCAAGCGGAAACCTGTTGGTCTAGGCTCTATGTAGCGAGCACGTGACCAGTATTAGTCGGTGGCAGACTGAGCGCTGGCGAATCGACTGGAGCAATTCCTACTTTAGCATGTAGTTTAACAGGGTCCGATGACCAAATTATGATTCTCAAAACACAACATCTTCAGGAAAAGACATTCCAAACTGCCTTGCTGTCCTACGATGAATATGTATTTCATACCTATACTCTTGTCTTCTATGGTTTTGCCGTGGTGCGATTGTATCTACGCTTACTGGGTACACACCTATTGACTTGCACAACACGATACGCGGTTCGCCGTTATACGCCCAGTAGCATGAAGAGTGCATTGGTAGTAGCTTGGTACAGAGACGTAGGCAATACTAACACGCAGCGACACCATCGGCCTGCGGAAAGCAATAAAGTGAGTGCGCCACGAGATTACTCACTCACGACATGTCCTTCCGAGCCTCACTCCAAGCCCTTCCGCCCTTGATCTCACAACAGTCAACTAGAGACGCATATATAATTTCAACAGTCACGCCACACTTCACCTGATTGCCAACACCTATGTCCATATTATATCGCATCATCACCACATGGCCCTTGCTCTCTTTATTCCCAAGCTTTGCGGATTGCTCGGGTGGGACATCTGAAGACTAGCGAAGCATGGGCTTGGCCTTTTGGCCAACAGTTGGCAAAGGCTCGATCGGGGTTATCTATACTCGCAGCAGTAAGCTGGAGCGTATCTGGCCAAGCATTCCTTCTGACGAAAGCAGCTGACACTAGCACGCCATTTCGTAGCGTTGCAACGGCAAGCCGTGTGGCAGCGGCACACTTTGGCGGCATTGTATGAGCCCCACGGGGTCCGAGTGCGACACACGAGCCCACGTAACTACCGAGGACGGTGACCTCGATTCACGTAAAACAGCTTCTATTACAGTTCTGTGCAGCGAACAACCGTGTAAAATCGGAGAGAGATTCCGCTGTGAGCTAGCACCTGTATCCGAAGTGTAGACAAGCCTCAGCCGGACAGCGGAGACGAAGCAAGCCTGGAGCGGCGACCAGCCAGCCCAGAGATGCCAAGTCAGTTCCAACCATTAGGAGAAAGTCGCGGTCAACATCATTGGAGAAGCTTCGCAAGCCAAGATACATGCAGACTGAGGGCTTTTCATCCATCGAAATGGGAGTGCGATAGCATTCGGAGAGGCCGATTGGGAGGGCAGCCTTGCGTGGTAGCGATCTCCTGGTGAACTGTGTGTGTGTGTGTGTGTGTGTGTGTGTGTGTGTGGAAACGAGGGTTGTGAGATAGAGTAAAAAAAGAGTAGGCGTGCGTAAAGACGCAAAGTTTCGCCCCGGTGTTACTTAGGACCCCGCCTACAACTCCTCTCTGCCTATCGGTATGTGGCTAGCGACATGAGCGCTGCTGCTACCCGAACCCCTGCACCCCAAACGACGTTATCGGGGTTTACCCAACGCACACAAGATATAGATACGCGACGCATCATCGTCTCAATTGATAGGCAGTCATACGGCCTGAGAAGGAGGGTGAGAAGGAACGTCTCCCTGCAGCCCCGCTGCGGCAAACATGAGATAGCCCTTCGGTCATTCGCCATCGACTAAGCCCAACTCCAACTGAGCGGGATATCTGCAAGAAGCCCAGGACAACCTAGCTGAACTAGTGCGATCCACAGCGTTCACCACGACGAGCTCATACAGGGTTCATTTTCACTCGGTCACACTAGGGCCGTTGAGAGGTTAATTAGGACGGCACACGCACTTTTCCACCTTCCCGTCTGTTATCTGACTTTGATCAGCCTTGCTTTCATCTGCACATCTTCTCCAGCCTGAGCTTTGTTACATGGCTTTCGTAGTACAATATTTTGCGCTGCTCCTTAAAACCATACTCTGAAGTCCGGCCTATAGGCTTTTCGACTTTGGGACAAAATGACTTCCACCAGCAAAACATTTGAAGCTGGCGGTCCCTTTGAGGTGGAGAACCAGGGCTATGTCGTCGATCAAGAGAAGCATGTTTACAACGATGGCCCTCGTCGCGCCAGCATGGTCGGATCTGTAAATGCAGTCAGCGACCAGACGCAACGCAAGCTCAAGAGCAGACACATTCAGCTCATTGGTATTGGTGGGACGATTGGAACGGCGTTGTACGTTCAAATCGGTAGAGGCCTGATAAATGGGGGGCCTGCATCCCTTTTTCTCGCCTTCTCACTATGGTAAGTTTGCAGTCGTCAATCCGTTACAGCACGGCATATACTCGGAATTCAGAATACCAGACCCGGGCTGACATATCTTAAGGTGTACTGTAATTCTGGCTATTACGCTCAGTGAGACTCTCTCTCTCTCCCTCTCTCTCCATAATCCAAAGCGACACATTCTCCCCATTGCAACAATGCCCATGCGCTTCTCGAACCTCCCAAAGCAACTCATTCTGCCACACGCGCTATGATCCCAGGCCAGCTAATGCATAAAATCAGGTATCGCCGAAATGGTTACTTTTCTCCCCATATCCTCGCCATTCATCCGATTCGCAGGGCGCTTTGTAGATGATGCTTTCGGCTTTGCCGCTGGCTGGAACTTCTTCGTCTTTGAAGCTGCTCTCGTTCCTTTCGAGATTGTGGCTTGTAACCTCATCATCGGATTTTGGAGCGATGCCGTGCCTCCTGGTGGTATCATTGCCATTGTGCTTTTTCTTTATGCGTACGTCCATCCCTTTGCTTCCCCGTTACTTGATTCACTGCACGAATACGCCATTTTTCTGTACCTGCTACGCGTGAATTACCTGTAAAACTTCATGTCACGTCTCCAAAATATGCCTTAAAGCCCAATACGCCCCAAGCAAGGCGGTCTATATTGAGCCCAAATCTTCTTCCAGAGATACTGAGCTAACAGTATTCTAGTCTCATCAACATGATGGCTGTCAAATGTTAGTATCCGCAATATTTGACACACATCTGGATTTCTAACTGACCTTGTTTTACGTTTAGGGTATGGAGAGACCGAGTTCTGGGCTGCTATCGGCAAAGTCCTACTCATCATCGGCCTGCTCATCTTCACCTTCATTTCCATGTTGGGCGGTAACCCAGAGAAAGATCGGTACGGATTCCGGTATTGGAAAAATCCCGGCTCGTTCGCGGAACTCTACTACAAGGAAGAACTCGGTCGCTTTCTCGGCTTCCTCCAGTGCTTGATTCAAGCCTCCTTTACGATTGCTGGACCGGACTATGTCTCCATGGCTGCCGGAGAGACGGAGAACCCACGCAAAGTAATGCCGCGTGCTTACAACGCTGTGTTCTACCGTCTCACCACATTCTTCGTACTTGGTTCGCTAGCCGTAGGTATCAACGTACCATACAACGACCCAGTATTGATTGGTGCTTTGCGAGATGGAAAACCAGGAGCGGCAGCTTCACCCTATGTCGTCGCCATGAACAGGCTCCGCATCGAAGGCCTTCCCCATGTTGTCAATGCCGGAGTCCTAGCCTCTGCCTTCTCCGCTGGAAACTCGTACGTCTACTGTGCATCGCGCTCGCTCTTCGGTCTAGCCCTAGAGGGCAAAGCGCCCAAGTTTTTAACAAAGTGCACAAAGCAAGGTGTACCGTTTTACTGCGTCCTCTTTGTCCTTCTAATCGCCCTGCTATCGTTTCTACAGCTTAGTGCAAACTCTGCTGTAGTCTTGAATTGGTTCGTTTCTCTAGTTACGGCATCCCAGCTTATCAACTTCAGTGTCATGTGCTTTACCTTTTTGCGCTTTTACAAGGCGTGTCAGGTGCAGGGGTTGGATCGCAATACTCTGCCGTATAGAGGCATATGCCAGCCGTACGCTGCATACTATGGCCTTGTGTGCACATTCGTGATGGCTTTTGTTGGCGGCTACACTGTATTCTTGAAGGGCCAGTGGGATGTGCCCTCCTTCTTGTTTTCTTACCTCATGTAAGTCTACCCCTTTGCGTTTTTGTGAACCCCACTATCTGAGGCACAATGAATCGAACACAGCTAACAGCTTGTTCTAGGATCTTCATATTCCCCACGCTCTTTGTTGGATGGAAGATCCTCAAGAAGACAAAGTGGGTTCCGTCGCATGAGGCGGACCTGGTGTCTGATTTGGCCGAGATTGAGGAATATCACCATAACTACGTGGAGAAGCCAGAGACGAACCCGTTCAACCGCTTGCTTGATAAGATGTTTGGGTAAGGAAGCTGGGACTTTTAGTAGATGGGACCTGATGAAGAGGAGGAAGTGCAGTCAATCCTTACATTTCTCTATTGTTTCGCTGCAAGGGAATAGAGGTATAATTTGATGAACTGAAGTGCGGATAAAAGTAATCGATAAGTATAAAGTCTACCTATTCAATACAAAGCTGTCGATGAGCGTTTATCTGATACAATGTATGCGCCGAGCACGGCTCATAGCAATCACTACTCCTCTCACGCGGGTATAGTATGCTTCAAACGCCTTTGAATGCAGCATCAATCCTTCAACAAATGCACCAGCTTCCCGACTTCACTCTTGACCTGGTCACAGCTCAGACGCTTCTGCTCATCTGCCTGCACCATATCACCGATCAACTGCTGCACCTCTGTGCCCATGTACCCGAGACTCTCCGCAAGGCCATCCGGAAAGATACCCCGTCGAAGTTCGTTCAATGCTGCTATGCGCTCCATGCGCGTGCCGAATTTCTGCAGCATCTCGAATGCAACAACACCTAAAGCAAATACATCTAGCTTCTCATTGATACCACTGCTTGTCTGCGGTCGATAAAACTCTGTCCCAACTGGTTTGGCAAAGGCGTCGGGTACTGTACAGTTATCGCTGAGTGCGGCTACAAGCCCAAAGTCGCCGATGCGTGGTGTCATATGTAGGCAGTCGCGCTTTGGACAAGGTTTACACCCCGACACATCCACTGAGCCATATGGCGGATAGCGAGCTGTTGACAGTGATAAAAACACGTTGGCTGGTTTTAGATCTCGATGCACAACGCCTTGAGCATGTAAATACTGGACCCCTGAGACGATACTGTTCAGTAACTCCAGTGATACGCACGGATGGAAGCAATGCTGGGCGGTTGGTGATGTGACAGATGCAGCTCGGTCGGATGAGATATATGCGGCAAGGTTCGTCTCGCAGAGGCTCATGGCTACGTTGAGCGTTAGTACCGGTCCAAGGCCCCGATTTTGGACCGAATGGCGAGGTGCGTCACTGTTGGACATCATGCTGTCAGATATCTCAGTCGTATGTTCTTGAGAGTACAGCATGTGTGATCTAGGTATGTTCTCAATATCTTCGTCTTCATCTTCTTCCACGTCCTCCACAGCACTCATTCGGGATTTCGTCGAAGAGATCGTCGCGATCGTTGTTTGACTAGCTTGACTGTCCCGCCGTTTGGTGCTTTTGGTCAATTTCAGCGTACCTTTGGTCGATGAATGCACGCTCTCCCTATGAGTTTCGTTCTCTTCCACTCCATGCTCGCTGAACTCAAAAACGATTCCAGCGTCGCTACTGTGATCGTTCCTCGCAAATGGATCATCAAGGGTCAGGCTATCTAGCTCAGAGTGTATTACGTTGTCGAAATTTGCCGAAGAGGACGGAAATGCAGCCCGGTCTTCCAACAAACGATCTTCTCGCAACAGTGGTACTTCTGGTTCAGCTACCGCGTCTGTAGGCATCGTGGTAAACTCCAGCCAGGCGTTGTGATATCGAACGATGTTGTTATGATCAAACCTAGCGAGCGAACGAACCTCTTCGAGCATGCTTTCCAGCTCTTCGGGCCCATGCTCTTGTATCCTTGCGATCTTGGTAGGGCTTACCATGATCCTTTTTACGGCGTAGAATGAGCCGTCAAGTTTGTGTTTAGCTTTGAAGACTTTCCCATAGCCACCCTTTCCTACCACCTCTAGCTCTGTATACTCCCGGATATATCGATCTGTTTGTAGATGAGGATAGCCCCGCAGCTGTATTCCGATAGGAGCTGGTATTCCAGACAAGGTGTCAAATGTCAAAGCCGGCTGTCGGGGCAGGAGCGGTGGTACGCCGTTTCCTGGTCGTGCGACAAGAGCCTGTGATTCAGGAATTATCTCGAGTTTGCTGAGGTTGCTCCGCGTGAGCTTGTTGATTCCTTCATTCGCTCTCAATCGGTGGCCTTGCATATCGTCGCTTGCATAAGCATCGTCAACATTATTGGAGATCTGACGCGCCAGCTCCTTATAAGATGCTCTGCCCAAGCGCTGAGCGTCTGGATCGGATGGGTCTTTCCCGAGCTGCTCCGCAACTTCCCGAATGGTCCGTTCCTCTAACAATGAATGCAATAGCAGGTCTCGAACATTCTGCGCAGAATTCTGTCGCAGCTCTAGAGGAGGTCTTTGAAGAGGTTGCCCCGCCGCAGCAGAATCCAGGGTGTTGATCCTTGACAGGACGCTGTCCTGATGCAAATCGCTTGGGTCGTCATAATCGGTATCTTCATCGGAAGTTTCTGAACTCGATGAATCGCCAGGCTTGCGAAACATGGACATTGTGAGCGAAAGAAGCGGTTGAGTCAATGCAAAGATAGTACAGCCCAGCTGGTATATAACGAGGACTTAAAAGCCAATTGATCGTTGCGATATCATTCAGCGGCTTTCTGAAGATAAATGCGAATGCGGTTGTGTTGGAGTTCCACTTGTGGTTGTGTGTTGTGTCGTGGAGCTGCAGCGTCGAGTGAAGACCCACCAGCTGTCCACAACAAGGCTCCCATGAATACGCGATGTCTAGGCAAACTTCGCTGGTCGTAGAATCCGATAGAAAGCGAAACGTGTCCCTTCCCCTCAAGGGCGGAGAGCACAGTGAAAGTCATTACAAGTTGGTTGAAAGGGCGCACAAGCCAGAGTGGGTCCTGTAGCGCGTCATCGCACGTGCTCTCGAGCGATTCACCTTCGCGCCTACGCACTTGGCCCGTTTGGACACCGCGCAACATCATACTAGGATGCGTCTACAGAGACAAGGCTCACTATGGCGCGCCAATTGCTGACTCTATTTCTGCACATGTACGGCTGAGTCTTACCATCTACAAATATTATGCCGCGTCAACTGCCCTGGACAGTCAAAGGTGCAGGGAGAATACAAGCCAACTTAGCACCAGCCCGACAAGCTGCAAAGCCGCGTGTCTCTTCCGCTATAGAAGGTGACTTCTTTGATGACACAGTACTAGCGAGCGGCAAAGGCGAAGGGAGGGCTATCGAGTCTGACGATGACTTGCCCAAGTTACCGGCAGAGCCGTCTACACCTCTAACCAGGACTGGGACAAAGGATGCACCCCGAAAGAGGCGTGAAGAGTCATCATCTCCACCTCCTGTTGATAAATTCGAGCAGCCATGTATCGAAAGCATGCACAAAGGCGTCTCCAGATTCGATCTACGTGACGATGAATGGATGATGGTAGAGGACGAGTTCCTCGAAACGGCAAAGCTCTTCACAAGACACTTGCATATGGCAGAATACGAGAAGCTCAAGAAAACCATTGAGGAGAAGAAGAAGCAAGCTGAGATTGCGAGGCCAGTAGTAGCTAACGCCAAGTTGTCTACGACTGCTCTTATGAAAGAGAAAGCCAAGGTCCAAGAGCAGAAGCAGAAGCGGGCAATCCGGGATGTGTTTGCGTCCCAGAACAACGATGATGATGAGGGAGAAGCGAAGGTGCGAGACACGGCCCCCATGCGTACGAACGCCAGCAGAACCACTTCCTCTTTTCTGACCTTACGGAATCCTCCGACATCTAGCCCCAAGCAACCTCTAAAATCATACGAAGCACAAGAAAGCGATAGTGAAGATTTGGATGCATCACGCCCTTTGAAAAAACCGGCATCTAAGGCCATAACTACACCAAGAACAACCCAAGCCCATATCAGCAGTACGTCTGCCGAGCAAACCCCAGCATTACCCACTTCAACTAAGACAAAAGCCTCTATTGTCAAGCCTGCACCTCCATCGATAGTAAAACAACCTCGTTTGAGGCTAAGTGGGGCAACGCCATTTGACATGCTTGACGAATACATACCAAAGAAATCGCCGCAGTCATCACCACAAATCTCAGCGGAGGGGCCTACAAAGCCACCAGTTGCGCGTCATACATCCACTAGCAGCACCAAGTCATCATCAGTTGGATGGTCAGCCAGTGCCTCGGTTGATACTAGAGCATCTGAGATTGCATCAGATATTAATGTGAGCAAAGAGACTTCGAATCGGATTGCGAAGCGAAAAGCCGAGCGCGAGAAGCAGGAGAAGGAGAAGGCGCGGAAAGAAGCAGACTTAGATGATATTCCAACCTTTTTATTTTGAAATCATTTCTGGGCATGGCAATTTTGCTCTCTTGTCATCACCTGATACCCTGGTATACAAAAGCTACTGCAAGCGCCAGGTGGGACTATTAGAAATGAAATTTTCGGGTTTACCTACACTGTCGCTGTCAAATAGAGTCTTGAGGGTATACAGCATACTTTAGTTGGCATGTTATTGAGCGAAAACTTAGTGTATGTCTTTGGAGTAGGTTTTGGTGTTTGGTCCACCTTAGTACCTGGAGTCAGGGCCCGCCCCGACCAGTCAGGTAAATGTACCCCGCAAATGTACCTCGCCTACCGCAGTTTGCGCACGCACGTTCGCACCTGAACAGAGCAACAGTATCACAAGTCCAAGCTATCCAACAAACTTTTAGTAATCGTAGTCCCACATTATATACCATCTAATTTGAAATCTCTGTTACCTGTAACGGGTCTCCACCGGAAAGTGTACCGCATCCCCACCTAGCTTCCTGTCTGTGCTTCAGCAGGAGCCCAGTTCGAGTCTCGTGGTGTCCTTTAATCCACTCACTTGGGTAACCAGTGATGCTGGAGGGACCTAAGCAATGAATGCAATTTGACGAGGGAAGAAATTCTGCAATCTGGCATTCACCATGGGACGGCGGCGCTGGAATACTCTTATTGGGGTTGGAAGTTGAGTGGCGGGCTGGTATATTAACCGGTATTTTTGTCGTTTTTTTTTTTGCAAACCTAGTAAGTAGTAGTAAGTATGTGTGTGATGATAGATGATTGGTAGTTTAGTCGCCTACCACCACCTTTTATTTTACATTTCTTACAACACTTAATGGTTACAAAGAAAAAAAGATATGTAATTATGCTAGGCAGTTCAGGGCAATAATACAGGTAAATGCAACAATGACCAACTCCATTCGCCATGCGGTTGTAAACAATAGGTTCAAAAGAAAGACTTTCATCATACAGCGATGCCTCTTCTCTTCCAGCCACCGGGGCCTCTCCAAGCCCACATAAATAGGCCCATGGCGACCCAAACGCTGATTGTCATGGCCCAGAAGGTTGATGCGTAGCACTCCTTGCCATGACACAGTACATCTTCTGGGTCTTTCTCGATACCTGCTTCAGCACTATTCGCGGCTTTCTGATACACGGTGGCATAAACAGCGCCCCAAAGTGTGGCACCTGCCGCAGGTGTCATGGCGAGAATACCCCAGTTCGTACCAAAATTCTCGACACCCCATACGACTGAGACGACAATAGGTGTAAGGGAAAAGACGGCCCCGTAGCCAGCTCCGATGAGGGCGGAGACGGCAGCGAAGCGGGATGCATGGTTTTGTACCCAGCCACTGGCGAGTAACAGCTGACCAAGGGAGAGGATGAAGGAAAATGTCAAAAGGAAAGTTATGCGGGATACGCTGAACTTGCGTGGAGGTTCTACTATGTCTAGGAGAGATGAATGTGAGTTGGCGAGAGAATCTGGCCCACGGCGGTGCTGGTGTACCGGGGCAACAGGGGCGAGGACATCCGAGAGGGTGCCGGTGATCAAACGAGCGAGTGTGGAGGTGATGGCGACAATAGAAACGTGCGTCGCAGGGGAGGTGTTTGTGGAAACGTTTGCAGGGGTGAGAGTGTCGATAATGGTTCCTAGGTTGTTGATGAAGGCTTCGCCAGGCCCAGTGACGAGGAAGAAGCCTCCTGCCAGCCACCACATGGTCGGGTCCATGATGTATCGCCGCGTCTCCTCGTTCAGCAACCATGTCTTCTTCCTTGCCTCCTCTTCGGCTTTGGCTTTCAGACGCTCAGCCTCGGACTGAAGGAAGTCGAAGGTGGATTCAGAGAGGTCCTGCGTCTCCATGGTACCGTAGCCGTGGTGGTGGGCGGCTTGGGTAAAGAACTCGTCTCGTTGGAGGAGGCCGGATCTCTCGAGCTCATCGACTGCTTGATCGATCATCTCCTCTTCATCCACGATACGCAGCGCAAAGAATCCGACGGCACCAACGCCGAGCAGGAGTATGCCCAGGAACAAGAAGAAGCGGAACACGTCCACGTCGCCCCTGCTCCCATCTGGATTTATGACGTATAGCAGCCGGCTTCCAACCTGACTTTGCCACATGCCGCTCAGCCCAAAGGCAGCGATGGGTATAGCCAAAGCAACGCCCTTTGCGTTGCCGCGTCCAAAGTTCTTCGCGCACGTCGTCACTGCAGACAGGTACATGCAGCTGGTGCCCATGCCGACAAAGGCAAAGGCCAGCACCATGATGCCAAACGGCCAGCCATGACCGCCAGCAGACGGGGGAGGCCCGCTCCTGTATGCAAAGGCGGCAAGCAGATAGCCAGACCCGAAGAGCAGACCAGCAATACCGGCAGGTACGCCGGGACCCAAGCGATCGCAAAGGTATCCGAATATCGGCACGAGGAGATATAGGCCGAGCTCAGCGCCGATGGAGACGAGGTTGACCTGGACCTGGGTGTAGTGCAGCTTGGACTGGAACAAGTGTCCGTAGAGGGAGAAGGCGGTGATGCTACCAGCGCAGAGACAGATGACGATGGCCCATACGAAGCTCAGCCATCGGAGCACGACGCGCTGCATCATGACGCGATCTCGTTCGTAGATGCCTTCAGCCACCTGTTCGAAGAAGCTGCCGGCGTAGCTGGTGCCCTGGCTGCGTCGTTGAGACTCGGTGTCGATGTCCGGTGACAGGAGGGGGCGACGCGGCGAGTTTGGCGGGTAGTCGAGCTTGTCGATGGTGGTGATGGCATTGCCGCTGTTCCGCTTAGAGGACTTTGGTGACATTGGCGGCGGTATCGGTTCCGGTACGTGTGACAAGCAGACTTTGTGGCGCCAACATCACGGAGCCATTGCTGCAGGCCTAAGGATATATACTAATGCTAGGTGCTAGATTCGCTGCCAACTCTTGACAGCTCTGGGGTATTGGGGATTTCGTTAGACCAGCGGTCAGCACCCGGCACTTGGACTGCAGGTTGGTGTTGTCGCGCGAAGTAGCTTGACGCCATGCGCGCAGGGGAGTGACGCTGCCGCTAAGTTAATTCTGGGTCGAAACAAATGACAGAGGGAGAGAAATCATCGGCTCGCAGCAAACACCTCGTCGCCCACCCGTTAGCCGCACCACGACGCAATCAAACATGGCGCCCCAGCAGGCCCTCGTCAATCTCTCGCCCGCTGAGCTGTCCTTTTTGCGCTCCACGCTTTCACAGACGCCGCCCATCCGCCTCGATGTTACCAAAGGACCCCGCGACTTTCGCTCCATGCGCGCCGAGTATGACGTACTGCCCACGGCAAACGGGAGTGCGCGCATTGCTCTGGAAGACGGCACCGAGGCCCTGGTAGGCGTCAAGGCCGAGGTGGAGCGGTCACGCCAGCGCCCGACGCTGGGCGAGCATGGCGTCGACGTGGACATGGAAGACGGCGACGGCGACGGCGACGGGAGTGAAGATGCCGACGACAGCAAGGGCAAGGGCCAGAATGCGTGGGTAGAGATGAGCGTCGAGGTGCCAGGCTTCCGCGAGGACGATGCGCTGCCAGTCTTCCTCTCCTCCATGCTCACAGAGAGTTTGCTTGCCAGTGGGGAGCTAAAAGACCGGTTGTACATCAACACGCGCTTTCACTGGAAACTATACGTCGATGTACGTCTTATACCCTCCAATGCGCATTGCTAGCTAACACTGCCAGATTCTGCTGCTTTCCCCACCACTCTCCTACCCGCTCGCACTACTCTCTATGACCGCCCACCTCGCCCTCCTCACCACACATGTCCCCGCGCTGAAGTCTGAAAAGGACGAAGACCCGCTCTTCGACGACGACTGGGACGCCGCCGTGCCTCTATACCCCAAGCAGGCCGGCACCACGAAGACGGCTCCACAGCTAGGGAAGCCACCCGTTATTATCTTAGCCATGGCAGTGGGCGACAACATCATCTTCGATCCCGCCAAGGAGGAGCTTGCAGTAGCAGATGCCGTTCTTGCCGTCGCATGCACAAACTCAACGACCTCATCCACGGGCGCGCGCATAGTCTCAATACGCACCATTGACCCTCCCTCGCATCTCACTCCGCCAGGCGTACCCAACTCGATGAACTCTGCAACTGGCGGCACTGCTCCCACCTCCAGCGCCGATGCGCTTACACAGCGAGAACTGCTCGCGACTTCGGGCGTCTGGACACCGCCCCGGGGCGGCATGAAGAGAGGCCTCATCTCACACGTAACCAAGATGGTCGTGGAGAGTGGTGGAGTCGCCGAGGAGGTTATTGGTGCCTTGGCGGCGATTGAGGTCGGTTGAAGGAAAGGGGTTTGCATACGCAACATGCAATAACTCGCACCATGGACTGAGGTTGGAAACGTCCCTGAGACTGGATTCCTCACAAGGGCTCAGCAGTTGGCGTGGCGGCCAAGGAAGAACCTAGAGGCACGGCGTAAAAGGTCCGGGACGACCATTGTCTCAAAGCTGAACGGGCCTGGGCGCCCGATGTGTGGTTGACTACTCTAGCCTCGCGCCGGCAGACCAAAGCCAAAAAGCAATACAGTCGAGATTTATAGTTAGGCATACGTAAATCATTTCAAACATATCAAATTGCCCCATCTCCCTTGCGAGAACATGGAACGATGGTGAGCGTTTGTTACGTCGACAGCACCGGCCGAACGGCGGACCATCAACCTGGCGCCGTAACAGGAGGACAGATCGTCAACTTCACTTTGCGTGTCGTGCATTGCGAGCAATCAAGCAAACATGCCGGTCCTCCCATGCGTCTTGCTTTTGCCGGCATCCCCATGCCCCCGTGAAAGGTCGGCTACTCTGGGCTAGTGCATATGACATGTCACCTGCATCCTTCCACGTTCATTCCAGCACTCACTTTCAATACGCACATATTCACCGCCTCATACCACAAGACAAAACAGCTACCTATACCAACAAACACTCTGTGAAGACATCCCAAAGCCTACTTTTTTCGTGCAACCCGCTACGTCACACGAGTGGCCCCGCACCGGAGTTGCAGGGCTGAAGTCTGACGGAGTATTGTGCTAGGCTTTAGAACAACACTAGAAGAACTTACTCCAGACATCTCAAAAGTTGAACAATCCATTGAACCATTCACCCATCCGGAACCATGATGGACCTTCACCACCAATCGCACTTTTCCTCCTTTAGCCGCTTCTCCGACATGCTCAAGGACACGACAGGCCGACGCAGTAAGAGCGTGTCCCAACAACCCACACGCAACTCGTCGAGCAGCAACCTCGCCCAGGAAGCAGAAGCCTACGCTTTGCGATTAAGAGAGGCAGAAATGGGCAAAGACGGGCACAAGGACAGCCGGCGGAGCAGTATAGGCAATTATGCGGACCGAGTACGGCAAATGTTCACACCCTCGCACTCAACCTCGCCGCAGAAAAAGGGCGTCAACGACCTCCCGACCGAAGTGCTTCAACACGTCTTCAACCACCTCGAGTTTTGGGAGCTAGTCCGGTGCCAACGCGTGTGCAAGACCTGGCACGACCTCGTGCCCGGCGACTCACCGCTCCTTTCAGAAACACTCTACCTAAAGCCGTCGCGCAGCCTGCAAATCTACAACCTCGTCCCCACGACATTTGACTTTGAATTCGATATTTCGCCGCAAAGCATTGAGTCTGGGCCACAGCCCTCGGGCACCCGCTTCTCCTCGGGTGTGCGCAATGAAATCTCAATGATGAGACGCTGTCTCGGCCTCATACGGACGAGTCAGGAGATTGTGTTTCATCCCGTGATTATGGATTTCAATACTTGGATCGCGGATGGCGCATTGGCTGGGAAGAGGCATGGCTCGTGGGAGACGTATGCTGGTTTCTATGCCGCCGTTGAGAGAGCTGACGCTGAGGCATGGCAAGAATAGGAGTGTGGTCAAGGTATTGAAAGCGGCTGAGCACGATGAGGGGGTTAGGTTGGGAGACTTGTTTGATTGCATGGATGATTGGATGAAGAGATTGATATAAGCGGGTATATGTTCAATATAGTTGAAGTTTGGGATCTTGGTTCACTGTTTGTCTTGCTTAGGGTGGGGGTCTTCGTTTCATAGGGTTTGGCGCGCTCGGAACGGTATTTTTTACGGTCAAACACGTACTTTAGCGAAAAGGTGGGGTTGGAGTTTAGATATCGGATTTCTAATGTATATCACGATTTACCTTGTTGTTCCTGGTTCTCCATTGAGTTTGGGAATGCTTCATCGTTATCGTCTGATGTTACCTCGCAACGAAAAGCGTAAGCTGAAACGACGCAGTACAACTCTTCAGCACCACACGACAACGCTCTGTGTTTACGAACCTATTCGATCCCTCTGAACCAGACGAGCTACACTCAATGCTTCCAATGCCTCCAAACAATCCACACCCGTTCCTCGCAAACACGCACAAACCACAGACACGGGCTGAGCCAACAACTATGACATCATAGCCGTGTCCCGCTCCCCGCCCCCTTCCAAGCTTCTAAAAACAACAATATCAGCTCCACCCTTGCGTTTGCAGAACGCCCCGGCCCCACAAAATGTATACAACACCAAATTAGTCCTTTCCCCCGTCTAGATAATCGGTGAGAACACCAAATTTCCGACGTCGGCATACTGTCTCATCTAGCATCCGCAAGGAGCCGGTGTAATGATTTTGCAATTACATTACACTACGGAAAGGCTCCACATGCACGCATACACGTACACGGGTCAACTCCATTAAAAAAGAAGTTATTGGAGCAAAGACATGGACGGAGAAAAAGATGCGTAAAGTTTCCCTGCCCTTGGCGTATCTGAGCTCAAACTTTCCTTAGCTTTGCTTGCTTCTTCGTTCTTTCGCTTCAACAGGCTGGGCAAACTAGACAAGCTAGAAAGACAGGTTGCGAACGGACTTTGCTTCTTTCGTCTTGTTCTTTCCTCAGTTGCTTATGGACGCGTGTGTGAAAACGAGTCCGTGTTTGCTGGCCTGGGTAGTTTGGTTAAATTTGATTGGGGACGGTGATTCGCTCCGCAAAGAGAAGGGGAAGGGGGGAACCTTTGAAGGGTTTGGAACATGGGACTGAGTGTCAGGACTAGTGGATGATTACGCAATTGTTTTGCGAGAGGTATGAACATCGCTGCTGCTGTATGCTTACTCGCTCTCTCTACTCTCTACGAGGGAAAAGGTATAAACAGAGCCCTCCGTACCCACCGACATCACTTTCACTAACCAGAAGACACGAGTTTGGAAGTATTAAATGTTTATATTTCTTCGTCGTCAGCCATATGCGTCAGTAAGGCAGACGAGGTAACAGGCTCGCTCCAACCTTCAGTTCATCAAAAGCTCTACAAGTCGAACTCTTTGTCTAGCCCTGAGCCATAATCACTTCCAATCTACACCCGCGACTAATATACAAAGACCTGCGCTTAACCAGAGAACTCCTTGATGTCTGTGGTCTTGCCAGGGACAAGGGCCAAGGGCACGATACCTGAGACGTGCATCTCGGGGCCGTAGACGTGCATGTTGAGGCCAAGCTCCTGACCAACATTCTTGATGTTCTTGAGACCCTCCTGGTAGTTGGGGCCAGCACGACGGATCCAGATCTGCACCTTGTGTTCGATAAGAAGAGGAGCGACTTCTCTCAGAGCGCGAATGACACCCTTGAAGGTTGAGGCGACATTGGTGAAGTTGGCAATACCACCACCGATGAAGAGAACCTTGCCCTCCTCATGTTGAGGTGCCCTGAGCATGAGGTCGAGGACAGTGCGGGCGTAGTGGAAGGTCTGAGTCTCGGTGGGAGCACCAGAGTACTCACCGTAGTTGGCGAGTTCGCTCGCGAAACCAGCAGAGGCAATGGCATCGGCATAGACGACTGAAGCACCACCACCGGCAACGAGGGTCCAGACGCGGCCAACAGAGTTGAGGATGGTCAGCTTGAGAGAAGCACCAGTCTTAGCATCCATCTCGGCGATGTAAGCCTCCTCCTTGCTCATCTCACGGCCGAAAGGCGCAGGGAACTCCATTGGTGGGCCGACATCGATGGTCTGCTTGGCCTCCTTTTGGGGAGCAGCTGGTATGCCGAGAGCAGTCGCGCTGCGAGCAATAGCCCACTTGGCACCGCACTCGAACTCAGCAGTTTGATCAAGCTTGGCAGCGAGATCGAGGAAGTGAACCTCAGCAGAGGTCTTGTCCTCGTTGGGGATGACAACAAGAGGGTTGATCTCAAGATAGCTATGGCACGAGGTCAGCAATGATCAGCTTCGTATGTGCTCGGACGGCTTACGTGAACTGGCAGTCAACGTAGACGGCGTATAACCTCGAGATGAAGTCGACGAGAACATTGTGGACACCCTCGGGAACCTTCTTCAAGAGGGTAGCGGCGATTTCCTCGTTTGAGGGGTACTCCTTGAGGTCAACAGGGATGAGGAGCTTCTCAGCCTTCTCGTCGACATCGCCAACGTCGACACCACCCTCGTGGGTGAAGAGGATCCAGTCACCCTAAAGCGGAAAGGTTAGTAGTGGATGGGGAAAGGATTGGCACAAAGGTTGCAGTAGCGGCAAGGGTAGCTAAGAAGAGTCGCAACACCAGGGAGCGGAGATTCAAAGACGCAGGTACGACGGCACGATGCAGTAGCACACAGCCAGGCTGGCATGTGAAAGTGGACGTGCGTATCGCACGGGAGTAGGTGCTTTGCAGAAGTGGGTCTGTCATCGTTCCCTTCGCCCGACCGGTTTTGAGACAAAACCAGGGAGTGCGCCCGCTGCCCGCGTGTTTGAACCAACGTCCCGCGCCGCCCGCTCGCTCATTGTGCAGCCCAACACTAATGCACCTGCACATGACCTTGGACATGGTTGCGCCTGTCGCAGGCCATGCGACGACGCCAAACAAGGTGAAGACGGGAAAGGTAAAAGAGAAGGAAGTGGAAGTGGACATACCTCTCGTACTGAGTTGATGTTGATGTAGTACTCGGTGTCTTGGGGATGGGGCACAAAGGGCTCGACCAAGAACTGCCTCAGGACACCATCGACAGTCTCGACACGCTGCTCCTTTCCTGCCCTCGCCTCAATCCACTCCCGCGCCTCGGCCCATGTCTTGTTCAGCGCAAGGAGGCCGCTCTTGCCTCGCCTCTTGATGAGCTGATCTGGCTTTGCAACGAACTTGGAGCCAGGCGTCAGCAGCCACGGGTATGTGGCCTCTGCCTGGTCGAGCACGCCCTTGATGTCCTCATCGGCGGCAAAGTGCAGCGATGCGAGCTTCGAGGGTGGGTTGTGTGTGGCGGAGGGAGGAAGCGGGGTGGGCTTGATGACGGGGGCGCGGGTGAGGTGGTAGTTGAGGATGGCCTTGCCGTCTGCCTCGAGGATGGACTTGGCTGACATTGTGGAAGGTGGTCAAACTGCAGGTGGTGTGAGTGCTCCAATGTCAAGATGAAGTGGGAGAAGGCGCGGGGAAACAACGGGCTCAAAGAGATATGGAAGAACAGAAATTGTGGCAGAAAGAGCAGTTAGGCTCGGAGGACGACTTCGGAGTTGTTACGGGACGTTATGCGGTGTCCGGACACGCATATGTTCCGGAGAAGGTGATGAGGGGGCCGGCACAAGAAGATGCAAAAACACAGCCGGAGGTGGTGCAACGTACCTGGGATTGCTAGGGGGGTGACAATGGGAGTGGGAAAAAGAGGAGGAAGGATCGCTGGCAAGACTTGAGCTGGCAGACGGCTTGGGAGGTTACTCGAGAAGCGGTCTGCTGTTTTTTCTTGCGTGTTGAGCTTGGGATCGCGGGCGCAGATGCAGGGCTAAGGCAGTGGTCCCGCTGTCGGCCTATCACGGCGCGCATCACGGGCCAGGGGCAGAGGCACAACGAATGCTCCTCAGGCCCCGCAGCAAGATATCAACAGGGCGAAAACAGACGTTCCGACGGGCATTGGGACAAATCAGCATCATCACGGCCCAGTCAAGCGGGCATTGAGACGCGCTCTGCATTATTACGACTGCTCCGACTCCGAGGCGCGGCACAAGAGCGAGAGGGCGGTACAAGACATTCGGGTCCCCGTTCACCGCTCGGGATATTGGGTTAGCGCCACCTGCATTTAGTCGGTGCAGGGGAATCTCCAGCTCAACGCCGCCAAAACCAAGGGCCCAAACGTCGGAAAGAATCGCATTCCCCTCTTTCGCTGCTCGCAACCTTCTCCCGTATCATCCAAGTCTCCTGCTCTGCCCTCAGCCCTCAGCCCGGCATTGCATCCATAAGGTAAGTCTGCCCTCTCCCCGCGTCCTGGCCAAGTCCATCCCACCTGCTGCTCGCGCGTGCCTGTTCTAGCCAACTGCAGCAGTATTTTCACAACGTACGAGCACTCACGTCAGCCCGCCAGCTGTGCTCAATTGATTGCCCGGCAGCTCCGCCACCTTCCTGCTCAAGTCCCCCAACTGACCTGCCTTCCCAAACACAGGAATTTCAAGCCTCGAATCCACGCCTGACGCACACACGGCCACTACCATGTCCTCCACCGCGCCAGCAAAGGGGAGCGAAGGCCTCTCGGCCAACGACAACATTCGCCGTTTTGCTGCCCCCAGCCGGCCTTTGTCCCCTACAGCCGCTCACACACTCTTCCATCCCAAGACACGATGCTTCGTCTAGTAAGAGGGTTCCCACCGCTACAAGCACAACATGCACACATACGGGCAACGCTCTAACAAGATGCGAATAGTGGACTGCAGCCCCGTGCTGTCCAGGGCATGCTCGACTTCGACTTCATCTGCAAGCGAAAGACGCCCTCGGTCGCCGGTATCATCTACACATTCGGCGGTCAGTTCGTGAGCAAAATGTGCGTGCCAAGAAGCCTCCAAACCATTGTCGGGTATGTTTCTGACAAGACGCAGGTACTGGGGAACTAGCGAGACCCTGCTTCCCGTCTACCAAACTGTAGAGAAGGCCGTGGGCAAGCACAACGATGTTGACACTGTCGTCAACTTCGCCTCGTCGCGCTCCGTCTACCAATCCACCATGGAATTGATGGAGTTCCCTCAGATCAAGTGCATTGCCATTATTGCTGAGGGTGTACCCGAGCGAGTGAGTCCCAACGGTAGTCCAAGACTGTCTAACCGCCATTCTGACTTGTGCTAGCGTGCTCGTGAGATCCTCCACGTTGCCCAGAAGAAGGGCATCACCATCATCGGTCCCGCTACCGTCGGTGGCATCAAGCCCGGCGCGTTCAAGATCGGCAACACCGGTGGTATGATGGACAACATTGTCGCCTCCAAACTCTACCGCCCCGGTTCCATCTCCTACGTCTCAAAGTCCGGTGGTATGTCCAACGAACTGAATAACATCATCGCAAACACTACCGATGGCGTGCTCGAGGGTGTTGCCATTGGTGGTGACAGGTATCCCGGTACCACTTTCATCGACCACGTTCTCCGCTATCAATCCGATCCCGACTGCAAGATCATTGTACTGCTCGGTGAGGTTGGTGGTGTTGAGGAGTACCGTGTCATCGAGGCTGTAAAATCTGGCCAGGTCACCAAGCCCATTGTTGCCTGGGCTATTGGTACCGTTGCTGGTATGTTGAAAACCGAAGTGCAATTTGGGCACGCAGGTTCCTTCGCCAACTCTCAGCTCGAGACTGCGGCAACCAAGAACAAGACCATGAGGGAAGCTGGCATTTACGTTCCAGAGACCTTCGAGGAGATGCCTGAGACTCTTGCTCAGGTCTACCAGAAGCTGGTCAAGGATGGCACCATCAAGCCCAAGCCCGAGCCTGTTGTTCCCAAGATTCCTATTGACTACTCATGGGCACAAGAGCTTGGTCTCATCCGAAAGCCTGCTGCTTTCATCTCCACTATTTCCGACGACCGTGGACAGGAGCTTCTCTACGCTGGTATGCCCATCTCCGATGTCTTCAGAGAGGAGATCGGAATCGGTGGTGTCATGTCATTGCTCTGGTTCCGTCGCCGTCTGCCCAACTATGCTAGCCGCTTCCTTGAGATGGTTCTCATGTTGACTGCCGATCACGGTCCAGCTGTGTCTGGTGCTATGAACACCATCATCACCACCCGTGCCGGCAAGGATCTTATCAGTGCTTTGGTCTCTGGTCTTTTGACCATTGGTTCGCGCTTCGGCGGTGCGCTCGACGGTGCCGCTGAAGAGTTCAGCAAGGCGTTCGACAAGGGTCTTAGCCCTCGTGACTTTGTTGACACCATGAGGAAGGAGAACAAGCTGAGTAAGTGGCCTTGAAAATACTGAAAACTACAATCACTGACGTAATCCAGTCCCTGGCATTGGCCACAGGATCAAGTCCCGCAACAACCCCGATCTCCGTGTTGAGCTTGTCAAGGAATACGTCAAGAAGAACTTCCCCAGCACCAAGCTCCTCGACTATGCGCTCGCTGTCGAGTCTGTGACCACATCCAAGAAGGACAACCTGATTCTTAACGTTGACGGTTGCATTGCCGTCTGCTTCGTTGATCTCGTTCGCAACGGTGGTGCCTTTTCCAACGAGGAGGCTGAAGACTACCTCAAGATGGGTGTCCTCAACGGTCTCTTCGTTCTCGGCCGAAGTATCGGTTTGATTGCCCATTTCCTCGACCAGAAGAGGCTGCGAACTGGTCTTTACAGGCATCCTTGGGATGACATCACCTACCTCCTGCCCTCGCTGGCTGGTGGTGCGCCTGGCTCCGAGGGCCGTGTTGAGGTCAGTTTGTAGAGCTATAGTTGGAGGAATGGCAAGGGTATATATCCTGTCCTAGTCGCTTGACGGTGGACATAAACAGGCGTTTTGTGCGTGGTAGACAAAGGTCTTCCACTGCCGCTTAGGGCCATTGTAGTAACACCCGCCCGCCGTTAGCGGAGATAGATTATTTAATGTCAAACGAACAAACAGCACGATTCCCATATACATAGTGGCTTGGTTGACATCTGGATAGACGGCAACAATGTTTCTTCATGGGAGGCTTGATTGTAGTGTCGTGCTGCATGCCGAGGTAGTTAACTAACCATACATACGTAGCTTTTGTGCCAACAACGAAACAAGCCTTCAGCGGACTATTTCTGACCTCCAGCCCCACTTGTAAAGCCATAGTTCTTTGGCATGCTGAATCGCATGTACAACGTCATGCACGGGTGTAGATCAGGAGATTGAACGCAGGTACATCTGGGTACCGGCTGACCTGCAACACTTGAACAAGCCATTGCATCATGTCAATTGTACTTTTAGAAGATGCCATCTCTCGTGTTCTATTGACCGGTATATCGGTGACTACCTTGAAGAGCCTTAGGGTGCTATCTGCTAACTACATACAGTATCGCGGCCAGCACATGTACGAGTGATTTCTTGAAGGATCAATCACCATTGCAGATTGCGGCCTGGTGTCCGTTTACATCCCCACTATACAGTGCTCCCAGCCGCCTTGATTATAGAAATCGTTCGGGGCGCAAAATTCTCATCATTGTGGTATCCACCATGGCGCCTTGCATCCCCACGGTGTGCGGTTACAGCGAGATGGAAGGTCACAACCGTGAAATCGGCGCGGCACCATACGCCAACACTTCGTCAGCGCTTGTTCGATTGCGACGTCGCCGAAAGGAATGCGATAGCTGCAAGCGACCTGCATTTCACCCCGCTCAACGATGCGGCGCGTAAGTTGGCGTAAGGCCATCCCGCGCAGCCTATACGTTGGGCCGCCTGCCGCTCTCGCTTTGGCGGTCACGGACCTGGGCCCATTGTAAGGCGTTCAAACCCATTAGCTACCGTACGCTTCTGCCTTGGAGAGTCATGGGTGACTAGCTGCATGCAAGCTTTCATCTGGAACAAATAGATACGTCGTTCCGTCCTGCCGGTTGAATTCAGCCTTGTTGTTGGTGTTCCTGTCACCAGCAACCAGCAAGCAGCATCCTCCCTCGTCCTGGTGTTGAGGTATTACGCCCATAACATTGTCAACTATGTTTACTCACATGTCGATTGCAGCCGTGGCTTCGGCCTGGCTTGTTGGTGCTCAAAGTTCGGTGGATAATGATTCGTATCATCCCCATGCAGCGTTTGCCTTTGTACGGACTGGAGAGCGAACACCCATCCTTCGCAACAATACTCAGAGACTCACTGCATTGGGTGCCAATCAAATGTACACACTGGGACAAAACTTCAGAACAAGATACGTTGCTGGCGATAAACCCAGTGCGTTTGGTGTACAACACATCACGGGACTGTCGACCGATATTCTCAATAACGATCAAATCTGGGTTCAGACGCGGGACGTCCCCTACCTCGTATCTTCCGCCCAGGCATTCATGCAAGGATTGTATCCTCCTCATGGCATCGCCAATGGCACAGGAGATGTGACCGGCATTCTCGCGGATGGTACATCAGTTGACTACCCTCTGAACGGCTATCAGTATGCCACTATTCGAGCTGCTAGCCCAGAAGACCCAAATTCCATATACATCAGCGGGGATCAAAATTGCCCAATGGCGCAGCAAGCCGCCTTGACGTATTTCACCACCGACGAGTTTGAGCAGACAAGAATAGCAAACAAGGAATTGTACAAGAGCTTGAAGCTGGACTGGTTTGAGGGTAACATGAAACCATTTAACCTGTACGTAATATCTCGAGATGAAGTGAGTACATGCTGACAGTTCTAATAGAGAATACATCAACGCCCTTGAGATAGCCGATTACATATCCTACCAATATACACACAACTCTAGTATCCACGACATATTCACAAACGACACCGACTACACGGGCGCCTACGACAAACTTCGCTACCTAGCCGATGAAGAGGCATGGCACCTCTACGGCAACACATCTGCTTATCCCACAGACGCCGGCAACCAAGCCATCGGCGGTAAAACGCTCGCAGCCTCAATCCTAGATACCTTTTCACTACGTATCGCCAATCCCGACAACGTCCTCGACAGCGCGCCACCATCATACCCGCTTACCTTTTACTTTGGCGAGCAAGACGCTATGATGAGCCTAACGACTCTTATGAGTCTCGACTCCAAAACCCCCTACTTCAAATCCATACCGCCTTACGCCTCAGCTATGGTCTTTGAGCTCTTCAGCAGAGGTAGCAGCGCCGTGTTTCCCAGCGACACCTCTGACCTCTGGGTGCGGTTCTCGTTCCACAACGGTACGGATGATGATACCCAGCAGTTGATCCAATACCCCATGTTCAACGACGGGCCGTCGACGGCAGACATGCCATGGTCCGAGTTTGAGAATATGATGGGTGTTGTTGCGATGAAGAGTATTGCAGATTGGTGCACTTCATGTAGTAGTCCTAGTATCTTCTGCAGTGGTGTACAGGGAACCGATATTACTGTCATAGTCCCGTCAGCACAAAAGAAGGGGGGAAAGGACAGTGTTTCGCCTGTTGTGGGGGGCGTCATTGGCGCTATCGTCGCACTCGTCGTTGCGGGCTTGCTTTTCGCTCTCGCTATGCTACTTGGTGGTATCCGTTTCCACCGCGTCCATCGCCCTGATCATACGAACAAGAAGGCATCTCTCGGTGGCTTCAAGGGCTCGACAAAATTGGCGTCGGATCCGGATCTCCGTCTTGCTGGGAATGGGGCGCCACCGGCTAAAGGTATAGTGGGGGCGAAGAAGGGACATGAGCGTGTGGGGAGTTGGGAGTTGGCACAGAAGGAGTTTGGCAAGGATGTGGGTGATGCTAGTCCAAGGAGTAGCTTTGATGGTATTGATGCTGTTGCCGCTGGTAGGCTTGTTTAGGCGCATGAGCGCGTTTGATGCGAGGATGAAGTCACGCTGGTGTTTGTGAGATGTAATGACCATGACGATGGAGGAAGTGCAAGGATTTTAAAGTCATTCGATACCCGGCTCTTTGGGCCATTGTTTTGGACACGGCATACGGCTGGGACATGAACCTATATAGTTTAACACTGAAATGAAGAATACATGAGTTCATTGTAAAGTTATAAGAGAGGGCACTTGGCCACTGCTGAGCATTCATCGCTTTCGTTCGTTCGCATGTCATGCCTCCCGACTAACTACTTAGCTGCCGCAAAACGCCAGATAAATGCAGATAATAAAAGCAAGACCAAGTGCCGAAGCAACAAGGTCGACATTTTCCACTTCCTCGTGATCTTAATAATTCGCCCATATTATCCACAATGAAGGAGAAAAGGGAAAGCACTATACATGATATCTTTGCTCATCGCAGGAGTTGTCCTGCTATTCCCACAGCCACTCCCGCCGTCATCCAGTAGCCTGCACACTGTGCTCTCGCTGCGGCATTTCCTCCACCTGCCCCGTCGAATCGTGCACACGCCTCAACGGTCAGCTGGGAGCAGCCCAGACTGCTCAGACTCGAGCAGATGCTCTGTGCCGACTGAATTCCCACGCTCGGAATAGCCGTAATCGTCGCCCCGCCGTTCGGCGCCGATATCGTTACGCCAGCCGCGCCATTTGCTAGAGCAGCCGTACACTTTGCAGCATCATTTTGACAGCTTGTATAAGCGGACGAGCAGGCAGCTGCATTGGTGTAAGTCGTCGGTATGTAGGGAAAAGGGTAGAATTGGTTTTGTACCGTGCTGCCGTGGTTTGCGCCGTTGGTCTGTTGCACGAACGGGCCATTGGTTGTGGTAGATGCGATGACGAAGGGAACTGTCGACGTGGCCGTGGGGTTGGCCGTAGGGACGGCAATGGCTCCTGTACAAGCAGCGCCCTGGGGACAGCAGGCTACCTGACCCCTTTGGTCGGCTGAGCAGACGGCTGTCCGTGGGCAGCAGACGCCTGGTGCGCCCAGATTGGCGCAGGCAAAGTACGAGTTTGCGCAGTTATTGCCCTGCCTCTTGAAGAGTTCGAGACGACCATCTGCGGGCGATCTTTTGTCCATTGCTTCGTATGCGTTGGGCTGAACTTGTGCCGCAGCGGCAGGCTCGAAATCCGCGAGGACATCCGGTGCTGCGAGCGCGGCGAGCGGCGCAAGCAGTAAGGCGGAGACAAAAGTGCGCATTTTCGAGATATGAACGTCTGAGTTGGTTTCGGTGTGGTCTGCACAAGGTATGCGGCTTGCGCCGGGAATGTCTTGATGTCGTACGGGGCCGATCTGTTGGGATGGCGGTGGATGAAGTCAGATGGCGGTGGAACTGAGAAAGCGTGTTGTTATGGGTCCAGTATACGTCAATTAGTCGCATACAGATAATGGACACCGCAAGTCGTTTGCTCCTAAATTCTATGTTCTTGTCAGTGTCGAGATGTAAAGTGGTGTGGATGCCAGTGCGGCTGTGCTGTGTTGCGTGGGCAACCGCACGGACATGGGTGACGTTCTCGAGGCCAAGCCGCGACACCTGCGCGCACTTGCATGTCCAAGGCCCAATCTATTCCTGTTTTCGCCTTCTACAGTGTCGCTCTCCTATCCAGAAGACGTGCCTAGGGATATTTCACCAAACTCCTGGTCATGACGCGCACGTCCTGTGGCTCGGTACGGCCCTAGTCTGTGACACCAATCCCCCGTTGAGCTGACCGGGAGCTGTTAGACGAACATATGTCTCTACCAGTATTCATCGTTGACATGCAAAACGATCAACTAATTTATGGGCATGAGGGCCGATGGAGCATAACCTCAACAATGAAGCATGAGTCGAAATGAGCCATGCGCTAGCTAAATCGCTACTTCACAAACAAATAGTCATCATAAATCATCACAACGATTCCCAAACACCTAAATATCCCACACTTTCTTTTTTTCTATTACTACCCACTTTGAACTGCCCTCTGGCCTAATTCGCAAACTCAACTAATATCGTATACTCGTCACATTTGCCCATCCCAACAGTTGCAGTCTCTTCTAGATTTAACTATGCCTGTTATACGTCTGACTGTCGCTTCGAACACGAAGCAGTCGGACAAAGCTCCAATCGTTATTCCGGCTTCTGCGTCGTCTGACCCTGCAGCTTCGTCATCTATTCGGACGCTAGTACTCAAGACCGCGCAATCAAAGCTGCGCCTGAAGAAGCCGACCCGTGTCTTCGTTGGCCGTACAGGTCAAGAACTTCTAACCGAGAAAGACTGGAAGACCTGCATGGGAAATGACGTTGTTCTGCTTGTATCCTCGGGCGAGGAATATGTGGGTGTTAAGAGGGAATCAAACGTGCACGGTGAGTAGTGCCGTAGTTTGAGCAAGTTTGCGCTCAATACTCTTACCCCCTTTAATGCTAAAAATGATTACTCACACCATATAACAGGAGAGGCGAATCCCGACTGTCCAGTCGAAATCCTAGCATCTAAAGCGCCTGTAGAGTCGCTTTCGGTCACACAACTTACTACCACCGCCCATACTCTTCCAGGTATCGTACATGCCGTCGGCCAACCTGACCTTCACCCAGGTACCAAGTTCCCCATTGGTGCCGTCTTTGCATCGAGAAAATGGATTCATCCTCCTTTGATTGGAAGCGATATCGGCTGTGGCATGGCCTGGTACAAGACTACACTCTCTAGAAAGCAACTTGATGGCGACAAGGGAAAGAAGGTTTCTGAGAAGCTTCGTGGACTTGAGGGAGTGTGGCGAACCCAAGCGTACCGACAACTTTGGCTTCTAGACGAACAACTGCGTGACTGCTCCGCAGGTGAACAGTGGGATGTCGCGCTAGGCACCATTGGTGCAGGCAACCATTTCGCCGAGCTTCAGGTCGTCGAAGCTTCATCACTCAATGATCTAGGATACGGACTACACAACGACGATGTCGTTCTTCTCGTCCACTCAGGATCGCGAGGATACGGGGGTAGTGTTCTCAAAAAGTACACAACAGAAACACGCACCAGTTTTGAGGATGACAGCATCGACGCGATCGAGTACCTGAAAGAGCACGACAAAGCTTGCCAGTGGGCAAAGGCGAATCGAGACCTAATCGCTCTTCGATTTCTCTCCTGTCTTGAACCAGGCAACGAGTGCTGGGGCCTGGGTAGCGCCAACGCTGCAGACTTTGGCGAAGAAGGTAGCAAGATGATTGGACTAGTGAAGATGGCATTGCAACAGCGCAAAGTCGTTGATATCTGGCACAACAATATTGAGCGTGTGCCCTGGCCTCCGACTCCACCTTCTCCGACCGAGCTGGATGCTACATCTCGTCTCTCCGAAGCGACGGACAAATTGAAACTCCACGACGGAGTGTCTACACAGGAATATGTGTATATCCACCGAAAAGGCGCAGCACCGACTTATAGTCCGGCGACTCAACTACCTCTCAACATCCTCCCACTTCCTGGATCACGAGGCACACCGACGCTTATCCTTCAGCCCACGTTTTCGGCTTCTACGTCGTGGGGTCTGAAAAATGGATTGTCTATTGCGCATGGCGCAGGCCGAGTCATGTCTCGCACCAAGGCTCTGTCAACTTTGGGTCAGAAGTACAGGGACCAAAACATTCTTGAGCCACGATGGTCGGACCCGGAAGGAACTTGGGTGATCTGCGATGAGAAAGATGTCGTGTTTGAGGAGGCTCCGGACGCGTACAAGGACGTAGAGGCAGTCGGCCAAGATCTAGCAGACGCCGGTGCAGCGAATATTGTTGGCTGGTGTCGGGCTAGAATCAGCTACAAAGTTAGGAATGAGACGCGTTGAGACTTTCGGCCAAGGTGGAATATGCCGGTACCGGTGTAGGGGAGATTCTGGCAGATGGAACGGCATCACGATCAACTACTTGTTCTGGACGAGAGACGCCAAGGATGCGGGAGATAGCGATGACGCCCAATCAGAAATTGGCCGGCATAAATCGCCTTGCTCCGGAGAAAGCCCATCCTGTCAGTACGGTCAGGATATCTGGAAACAAAAGCAGAGGTCTGAAATGCCAATGCGGCGTGTTGAAGACATGACGCAGTATGGCCGATACGCGATATTACTCTGCGTCATGTAAGTGCGCCACACCGTCCTTTGTAAAATCGGCATCATTTCCAATTCATATCCTGTCACCCTTCATATTTCGCTTCATTTACAACCGTCTGTGCCGTGCCGTGTAACCTTCTTAGTTCGGATAGGTCAAACCCGTGCCTCAGCGGGAAAAACTCTCGTGGGTATGTGCAACACACGCCACAGCTTGTCACTCTGTAGACCCACAATTGTCCTTTGGCTCTTTTTCACGCGCCTCAGGAACTCATATCCGCACCTTGCGTCGGCTAGTCGAAACAGCAAGAGCCTTGCACGAGATATTTGTGATTTAGAGCTCGGTTAGCGGGTAAGGTGCAACGTGCAAGCGCCATGCCACTGTATGGGGTAAATTTGGACATGTACCAGAACTAGGGCCGCAGTAGACGAAGCTTGGTATGTATCCTGGCGCGGGATGACGCCCTAGGCATGCTCGAAACCGCGACAACCAAAGTATTGGCACAAAGCAAGTGAGTTTGCGACAAAAAATATGTACAACAGCTGCATGCATTGCTCGGGTCGGAAGCTGACGGCCACCAACCTCGTCATTTTATCCAAACTTTGGAGTCTTACTATCAGCTACGTACGACGACCGGCCTCTCTCCCCTCTCCAGTCAGCCCTAGTCCCAGGAACCAGGCCCGTCCCCGCAATGATTGGCCGCCAAAGCGCCTATCGTTTGCATGTTTCGAAACGGTGAGGGGGACGTGCGTCTGCTAGTGCACCTACCACGGATGAACCAAGCCAGTTTCAAGGTAATGTGCTGTCTTTTGTACCTCCCCGTCCAATGGCAGGGCGCAAGGATCAAAGACAAGAGCGCGCTTCGCAGCGCATATGCCATACATTGTTAACTCCCTAGTGATGGGCGCTGCATATGCCTCTTCTGTTGACCATGGTGGGGAACGGCTGTCTGTCATAGCCTCTAATTGTGTGCCACCCCAACCACCGTGCCTGCTGCGCCTCTACCCAGCAGGTGACTATATAGTGTTTGCTGCTGCCCATCTTTGAAGAAGCATCCCTTCACTGTTCCCCTCGTTGATCGGTCTCTCGTGCAGCCTATTGCAGCCCGTCGTTTGCTTACCACCGTCTGCTTACCACCGTCCTCCGTATTGTGATTTATCGGAAATTCGTAACAACACTCGGTAAGTCAGCTGTCGCTGTTTGCGCCTCCTTTCTTCTTTCCATTCTCTCCTGCTAGTGTGACGTTGATAAGCGGGGGCCTTCCGTTTGCATGACCGTCACGACGAAAGTGCGACCGCCCAGTTTCTTCAACACGCGCACTTGAATTGCCGCATCTCGTATAAACACCTCAGGCACCTCGCACTCCTTTACTTCTAATCCCCCAATCTGCTCTCCACACTCACCTCTTGTCTACTCTGCTAAGCGATTCCCTCAGTCGATTTGCGGAACACCTTTCTTTGCAAGAAGCCAAACACCATAGTCAAGATGCACTTCTCAGCCATCACTCTGCTCGCTGCGGTTGCAGCCGTCAGCGCCCAGTCTTCTTCTGCCCCCGTCGTCGCCAACAACCCCTACGACGCCAGGTACCGCGCCGAGATCACGCCAAAGGCCGGCAAGGATCTATCTGTTGCCATCGAGGGCACCTCAATGCCTGACGGTCACGGTGTCAAGTTCGCCGTTGCCTTCAACGGATTGGTCGAAGCCGAGGGTCCCTTCACGTACCACATCCATGCCAAGCCCGTTCCCACTGACGGCAACTGCACGGGCACTGGCGCTCACTTGGACCCTTACAACCGCGGCGACACACCTCCGTGCGATGCCTCCAAGCCTGAGACATGCGAGCCTGGTGATCTAGCGGGAAAGCATGGCAAGGTCACTAAGGCGCAGTACTCGACCGAATACGTTGATATGTACTTGGCTACCAACCCCGCAGACCGGTCTTTTGTAAGATGCATTCTTCGCATTGCAACGTAATAAATCGTCTAACATGGCACAGTTCGGAAACCTGTCTATTGTTGTCCACCTTCCCAACAAGACGCGCATTGGCTGCGCCAACTTCACCATGGTCAACGCTGGTGTTGCTCTTCCCTCTCCCTCTGCTGGTTACGGCATGCCTCAGTCCAACTCTACTAGCATGGTTCCCTCGGGCACGACTGGTCTTCCCATGTCTCCTACTGCAACCACCACAAAGCCTGCTGAGTTCAGCGGCACTGCCACCAAGGTCGCTGGCGGTGCAGGTGCCCTGCTCGTCGCTGCCTTCGCCCTTGTCTTGTAGACGAGTAACTTGGCTTGCCAAACAGTGATTCCACGGACCACGGTTCCACAGGACTTTTCTTCTTTTTTTTCTTGATACCAGATAGGCACCAAGTGCTTGATCGCTTTTTCTTCATTACCACGGATTTTAATGACGGGGGACTATTTTGACCTGTATATATGGGTATGATCACTTTATGGCTCTGATACGGAGGGTAAAAGGACGAGAACGAGAACGAGAACGGATTATGTATCAGAATGCCAATCTACATGCACAACTTTCTTAACCCGTAATGGCTAATGTGGTGGTGGCTTCGACAGACTGTCTATACACGTTGATCTTGTTGATGTAGAGGGGTTGTAGTGTGACTGTCATCATCCATCTTTGACACTGATGTGTTTCATCATTTGTTAACCTTTTGCCGGCAGCCCAACCCTGGCCCTTGTGTGTTTTGGATTTCTCCATAGTCTGCTGCCTCCAACACGTCATTGACAAATACATCAATCAGCTACAAGGAATCGATACATGACTCTACTCATATCTGACGGTGATAGACTTTAGCCATATCAACCCTATGCATCACTCAAGTCACTCCAACTAGTGCACTACAAGGTGGGTAGACTGCTCAGATACTGTGTACGAGCCAATCATACTCTTTCATATCATATATACTACACGAGGGTATCATTTCGATCTCAAGCCATCATCATGCTTGCCAATCATCTCTCTTCTCATATCCATTCCTGATCGGCATTCCCCCCAAACACAGAAAGCCGATCATACAGGCTCACTCAGACCAACGACCCCCACAGACAAAGGGAGCTGACCCTGTGTGGCCGAAGTCTTGCCAATAGTCTACTCCTCTTCGCTGTCAGGCTCTTCGACCTTGGAAGACTTTTTGAACTTGGGCTTGTCTTCAGCGAGTGAGATTTGCAGCCTACGCCGAGCGTACGACTTGCCCTGGTAGTCTTTCATGAAGTTCTCGGCTGATTCGAACTCGCGGAAGCGGACGGTGATGATGCCCTCGGGCTCCTTGTCGTACAGTGTACAGTTTGTAACCTCGCCGTACTTCTCGCCTGCCTCACGGAAATCTTCCTTGATATCAAGAATGGCTTCGTCGTCTTCTTCAAGTTCTTTCAACGTGAAGACATGCTTGACAATGGCAACCTTGGCCCACTTGTTCTTCTTCGGAGCAAAGGCCGCGGCGACTTCTTCTTCGTTGTCGGACCACTCATTGAGTTTACTGTACGATGATTAGTAATGGTACAGAGCGTTGAACAGGACATGCACTCACCGGTTCAGTTCCTGCCGATTACGTTCTGAAGCCTTCCTATCTTTACGAGTTAGCTTTGACGCGATCTTATCTCCGTCTTTCTCTTTCTTGTGGTCAATATTGGCGGGTTCGACTCGGATGTTGCCGTTGCTATAGTCTCCAGGGCGAAGAACGTAATCGTCCATCATCTTGATAGCGTTGACAATGGCCTCCTTCTTGAAGTATACAATCATTGCGTTGCCGGTGAATTTTCCAGTCTCCTCGTCATTGTACATCTTGATACGTGACTGGCCGTCGGCACCCTTGTCGATGATACCGAACCTGGAAAACTCGTCCTCAAGCTCCTTGAAGGTAGTGTCGGGAGGTAGATTGGTGATCCAGATAGCTTTGTTCTCCATAACTTTTGCCTTCTTTTTTGTCTGTGTCTTGTTAGCTAGTGGCTCGCGTGGGAAGTGAGAGGTGCTTCTCACCTCTGGCTCCATGGTAGCCTTGCGTTTCTTGCTGTTGACTGCTGACTGATTGTCGGGCACATCCGAGGTAGGCGAGCCCGAGCGACGGCCTTGGCCCATCTCTTCCATGAAATCCTCGAGGTCACTCATTCTGGCTGATGATGACACCGGAGTCGACAGTATGTAAGTAGAGCGGGGATGCGGCTGGGCGCAGGCGGAACACAGTCTTTTTCTGACTGAGCAGGCGGTACGGGTGCCTACTGAGAGGACCCTATGCCGAAAAGTCTCGGGCAGCGTTCTGTGATCCTGGTGCACGCTAGAGGTCCACTGTGACGCTGTCTTGGAATACAGCGAGCTTGGTGTTGCCGGCAGAAAAGTTAGGCGGTGTAGTGGAGGATCAACGCGCTGTTGACACGCTACGGTGCAACAATGTTCCGGTGCCGATGCTGGTGCCGGTAACTACCGTGGTTTTGCCGAGGCTGAACGCCTGTCACGCCTTTGGGAGTGGTGAGAACAACTTGCGTAGTAGCTGTTGGATCGCCATGTTTTGTTAGTCTCTCTGAAGGGCAAGCCTCCTACTGCCGCCATGCTCGTTTAGAGGGCGCGGATGGACCTACACAGCGCTGGGCGAAATGTATAGGACGCAAGGGTCGATGGGGTGACAGTTTGGACCGTTGCCGTTTCGTGAGGTTTGGTGCGGAGAATGAAGGAGGATCGATAGAGGCAGGGAGTGGTCATGCACAACGCTGAACGCTTCGGGCTTTAGTTAGTGCGGAGCTCAGCTTTCCTTCCTAACTGTCCGATCGCCAGCTCCGCATGTGCAGTCTCAGGGATCAGGCACTACCTCCCGATTAGGCGCTATGTGCGCTAAACCCGACATCCGAAGCATTCAGTGTAGGACACACGAGACCTCCTACGCATCGAGAAACTTTCTTGTTTACTGCGCCCCACACCAATAATATATATAAGCAGAACATGTAGCCATCGGAGCTCGGTAATAGTCGCTTCTTGTTCGCATACGCACACCAAACTGATACTATGTCTTTAGTCAATATCCTCCTCAGACCCAACATGCGGGACCCTCTCCCGGCCCCATCACAGCTCGTACAGGCCAGTAAACCTTTCGCCGACAAGCTAAGCTTGAGCACACTCCCCTACCACGTCCATGAGGTTCTCCTCGGCTTCTTGGGATACCATTTCATCCTCTACGTACTTTCGCCAACCGTTTCACGCCTCGTCATCCCGAAGATCTATGCCGGCTTCAACAGGCGCACACAACTGAATTGGGATATCCACTGGGTTTCTTTGATTCAGTCGGTCTTCATATGCGCCGCCGCATTATGGGTCATTTTTAAGGATGAGCAAAGGCACGAGATGGACTGGAGGGGTAGGCTGTGGGGTTACACCCCAGCGAGTGGCATGGTACAAGGCTTTGCGGCTGGTTACTTCCTGTGGGATCTGCAAATCTCAACCCAGTACATCAGCATCGCTGGAGTTAGCTCGCTGATCCATGCCATCGGTGCTCTGGCCGTGACCTGTATCGGCTTTGTATGTTTCGAGCACTCCTTACGATCGAATATGCTGACTTTCCGCTAGAAACCATTTGGAAACTACTACGGCCTCTCCTTTGTCCTCTACGAACTGTCCACGCCCTTCCTCAACATCCACTGGTTCTGCGACAAGCTTGGAATGACTGGCTCAAAGCTACAACTCTACAACGGCATCGCCCTCCTAGTGACTTTCTTTGGCTGCCGCATCGTATGGGGAACATACCAGTCGATTATGATCTACTCGGACATATACAAGGCGTTGACCATCCCGCAAGCCCAACTCATGAGCTCCATGTTCGACACCGAGAAATGCGGCGGGAACACGAACAGCAGTATGGGACTTGACGAATCTGGAAGCTGCGCAATGGGTGACTTGCCCATGTGGTTGGTCTGCGTATACTTGATTGGGAACACAGCACTGAGTATGCTGAACTTTTTCTGGTTCACGCAGATGATCAAGGCCGTGAGGAAGAGATTCATACCAGCGGAAGAGACCCCAGCAAAGAAGAATCAGTGAGCTCTGCGTCAAGACATGGGGCATGAAATCAAGATGGGGGCATAATAATGGACCTGGTGTTTAGGAATGGCGTTTTCTCCGGCTGTCTGATGGGATATAATGGAACGGCGGCCAGAGAGTGATACCCACCATCATTTTGTTTTCTTTACGCATACGTATGTTCACAATGAATTCAACTTGTTCCCTTCGAGAATCATGCTAGCAAATTCAACATGGCTATGATTAAAATGATGCATTTACAATGTTATGTCCAGAATAGGGTAAAACCCGCGGCCCCACACACTTGACACCTCCCGACTTGATTAATCATAACTTGGAGCCATCTCCAACACTCATCTTGCCCACCTCTTCCCTAAGAACCTTTCTCATTTCCCCGGCCATCTTTGAGCCATCTTCATCATCCAGATCATCGCGCTGACCACGACCAAACATTGTCCAGCTCTTGTTCTTGATTTCTGGCATCGTCTCTGGGCGCGGTATAATGTGAAAGTGTACATGTGGTACTACCTGGGCGGCTCTTGCTCCTACAGGACGTTAGCAGAGTGAAAATTTATGGATTGGTTGGATAGGAAGACAATTGAAAATCAATAACAACAATGTTGTAATGCTATTGAAACAGCCTATGAAGTAAGTGGAAAATGTGTAACACATTTTGACATAAAAGCGAAACAGCAGGCTCCATATGTAAAAATGGAGTCGACACGGTAAGGAGATAAGCTTACCGTTATTTTGTACAATGTTGTAATCTGTCACACCCGTCACTTTGGCCACTGTCCTGGCAAGTAATGGTAACCAGAAGCCTTGATTCTGTTAGCCATGTATTTCTCGATGACAGATAAACCATGTTTTCATAATACATGGGAAAACTTGCCAATCTCTCTACTCTCCACAGCACCCATGTCAGCAACCTTGACTTTGTGTTGGCGCGTAGTGACGAGCAAATGTCCTGTATTCCCCACAGTTAGTCAGCATCTGTATCTCAACCACATACGAATGTAATCATCGTCTTCAACTAGAAGGTATAGTGAGTGTGAAAGACTACAAACTCACCGCCCGTCATGGGAAGAATATCCAAAAAAGCAACAACATCCCGACTCCTGAGTACCACAAAACTGCTCGGACTAGTCTTATCAGGCGCACTCTCTTCGTCATCTGGTATGCATGAAGCCAACTCGGCATTCCTTGTGATGCTGCTACCCGCCCATAGGTGTGGCGTTGAGCGTTGGGTTGGACTTGGAAAAGGAAACGCAGCAGCGATATTGCAAAAAGGACATGTTTCCGGCGGGTAGTGAAGATCTGTTTCCTGCATGATGCTTGATTGCGCTCGAGTAATGTATAGGTATTAGTATGATATGACCAGGGCACGTTATAGCAGCAACAACCGTGTCTAATCCCCCGACGTAATGTTTGATGCGCAGAGTATAAGCGGAGACAATTGGGAACAAGGAATATAGGAGCTGCGAAAAGATGGGGTACCCGCAATAACGTGGACTGTTCGGCAGCTGTAAGTGAACGGCGCGCGATGTGCACTTCCCATGATTGTTTGTCTACACCAATAAGGCTAGTGTCGATTTCGACGACGTGCAAGAGCCGAGGTAGATCGCAGGAGCTTGGACGGCTGGGAAGGCGCGGCTGATCGTGATGCCGTGAGGCGGACGTGGCAGGTAGGCGCCCTTTGCTTTGTTTTACCCGTACCAAGGAACACGGCGCTTGAAACTGCGGGCGTGACGTACCGTGTACATTTCGAGTTTTGAGCGCGCACGCGTTCGTGCTTGGCCTGTACGTGTCGTGGTGGGTCTGTGGCTTGCGAAGACGTGACATGGCTGGGGGCTGCATCGCAGTGTCGCGCACATACATGTACATGACGCTGCACTCAGTCAAGTTTGGAAACGGTTGCAATACACCATTGAACATTTTGCTCCATTTTACGCGAAACAGTGCGTAAATACAATACTCATACACACTGGGAGCTACTTCACATTCGTTGTCCCAAGGACGATATTCCCACTCCACACCACTTCCAGATCCACCAAGGAATAGCCTCTCCCATATCACACCATTCATGGTATATCGACCGCTAATGTTATGAGCGAGTATCCAGAGCCGCTATCAGAGAAATGAAGTTAAAGTGATGTGGAAAGGCAAGCACCTTTATTGCGCCTCCGTGGATGGCTCATAAACGCCGGGACTCCGTTCCAAAGTACGACAGAAACCCAAACAGGAAACGAACAACCAGCTTATGTCCCTTGTATTAAACGCCGACCGGAACATGGTAATAGCCAAGATGCAAACATGAATGGCTGGCTGGATGCAATCGTAAATTTTTGCTCCCGGTCGATACCCACACCTTATCAGCCTCTATTCGTTGCACGTTGCCGAAAAGAAATAGCTTTGCGACTCCTGAGCCAGAGACCGGGAGTGCCTAAGAAGAATAGACAAGAGTCTTAGCGCTGACTCTTGGTCTTGGAAGGTACAACAGGTTCTTCTTCAAGGGCGTTACCATAAGCGGAAACGTAGTCCTTAGCCCACTTGCGCAATACGATAGATGCTATTTCATGTTAGCGAAGCTATGGGAAGACGGATGTAGAGGATGGCTTACCCTTCAGGAACTTCTTGCTGGCATACTTCTTGAAGAAGGCTTCGTGAACAACAGGACCAGAAAGGTAGTCAATCATCAGCTGCAGAACAGGCTGGATCTCCTCCTCGGTGTAACCAGCATAGTGTGTAAGGGTGGCATCCTAGAGAAGTTAGTTAATTGCGAGCTATGTAAATGACATGGAGAACTTACCCAAGGGCCACGCTCGAGGACAAGACGAGAAAGGTACATAGCAGCAGCAGCAACCTGGCTCGGGGGGTGGGCGAGGAAACGGTGGTCTAGGCAGCCGATCTCTAGAAGATACTTGCCCAATGTGCGGGTCTGGATGTCGTAGTTGTCTGCTTTTGATATCCGTCGGAGGAAGTTCATGGGGTTAGGGTAGCTTAGGTCGTAGTTCAGGGCAGCAAGCACGAAGCGCTCCGCACTGAGAATTTCCTCCTCTGTGAAGCCATCGTCTGCAACGTGTCGGAAGTTCTGTACATGGGGCGATAGAACTTCTTCGTACTTGGAGGCGATGAACATAGCGGTGACACCAACCAACTGGAGACGGTCGAGTTGAACGATCTTAGCAGAGAGGAAACGGTCGATGATGTTGACAGCGAGAAACAGTGTCTCAGGGAGAAGACGGAAGCGAGTATGGACTTCAAGTAGCCAGTCGACGAGAATACCACGCATCTTCCACTCCAGCTCAGTTTGGCTGTCCATGTAGTCGGGGTTGGCCATGGTTGCAATCTCCAACTCCTTCAAGTACTCGAAAATTTCGACAACGTACTCGGAGACCATCAATGGGTCATCAACATCCTCCTTGTCTAGATCAGGGCCATCATAGAAAACTTCGGTGACTGGTGCCTCGACCTCCTTCTTGGTACCATTGACCTGCTTGGCTTCTTTGACCTCCTTGACCTCCTTGACATCCGGTTCAGGAACGTTCTCCTTTGGCTCGACATTCTCTTCCTCGTCGTCATCTTCCTCCTCGACCTTCTCTTCCTTGGGCTCCTCTTTAGGCTCTTCCTTGAGCGGCTTCGCGGCCTGTGTCACGCGCTTCTTGGCTGGCGCACCGGAGATACCGTTGCCGCTAGCTTGGCGCTTCTTCAGCTCCGATGTGTTCTTGTCCTTGGGCTCAAGGATAGAACGCGTTGTGTTCGCTCGTGATTGCTTCTGGACCTTTGTGGGTTGTGCAGCTTTTGAGAGTTGGCCCTTGGTCGCCAACGTCTTCTTTCCGTCCTTTGCGCCAGCACCTAGGGCGTCCGTCTTTGTGACGTTGCTGACATCACCAAGTGCGGCACGCTTGCGCGTCGCAGCACCGGCGAGCGTGGCGGTTGACTTTTTCGTTTGTAGAGCCTTCTTGGGGACGTCGGCGGCAGACTCAGTCGCGCCCAAGTTGGCGGCCTTTGCACGCGTCAAGCGTGTCGTAGTGGCATTCTCATCATTTTCATTCGTCACGGCACGTTGCCTGAGGGCTCTAGCCTGTGGAGACGTGTTAGTAAGCGGGTTTGGAGATGAACTAGTCTCGTGTCTCGATGGGGTAAGACGGGACGAGAAGACGGAAAGGGCGACAACGTACTGCTGGAGGCATTGCAAGCAATATTATGTATGCTATTGAAAGCTAGAGAGGTATTGAAGTCGTCGAGTATATCTGTAGTGGGTAATGGCGGATGTAGGACTTGTTTTGATACACTATTTGATGAGTTAGCAAAGGGCCGATGGAGCGTGTAATAGCGCGTGCGAGCGGAGAAGGGCTTAACAACACAAGCGCATCAACGGCCGTGGCATGCAGGCAGGCGGCTGCGAGAGGGAACCACGGTCGATGGTCGCGAATGCTGGCTGGCGACCCTGACACGCTCGATGGGGAGTGACAGCGAAGGTGACGTGACAGGTGAGGTAGAAAACGAACCCTTGGAGCGCGAGTGGAGTGAGGATTGCGCGGACGGAGTAAAGGACCGGCTACAATAAGTACAGGAAAGGTGGAGTCGGGGCGAGGGGAGTGGTGCACCAAGGTGTGTTGTGGGAAGCAGAGGGTATGTTGTGTGTTTTGAGCGAGGGCAGGCTAGCTTGGCCTTCCACGTCCCACGCGCCAAAATCGCACTTCAAGGCTGGCAGAGCGCAACAGTGCACGCCCCACAGGCGCGTATGCAAACTTACCTAAGAGAACCCCGAGCCCCAACGCGTAAATGTGACGGTGATACACGGTGAGTGGCGGGCAGAAATCAGATGTGCGTAAATCAGAGTGTGGAAAGTGCAGCGCAGTGAAGGAACGTAGAAGGAGTCGTGATGGGGGGGAAAGAGGGCAGACACACGTTGTTGCTGGGACATCGCGCCTGCTGCACCTAGCAAGGAAGGCGCAACCTTGGTCCCGCTAGTCCGCTTCCGGCCAATATGACAAGGGCTAGCCACTTGCGGCATCACTGTCTGAGAATTATTCGTGACATGTCCGGCACCGGCAGCTGCACGCCAACCCGCCGAAGCTCATTGCCCGCCATTGAAGCATCCAAGGCCCTTGGGCTCATCACGACACCATGTTGCAGCCACGGATATGTCGATTCCAGCCCTCGCGCCTGGGTAGGGCCCTTCTGAGTGCCCGCACCTACGCCCAAGCCATCGATATCCAACCTCCGCCATCGATTCAGCCTACGGTTGCTGCGGACACGGGCGTGCTGAAACAAGAGGGATCGCGAAAAGAAAAGTTTATCCCATTGCGGACGTACAAGCCTAGGACTCCCGGTCTGCGTCATCTCAAGCGGCCCGTAAACGACCACCTGTGGAAAGGACGACCGTATCTCAGTCTCACGATTGCACGCAAAGGTCAGCACCTCGGAGGCAGGAACAACACAGGGAGAGTCACGGTGAGGCATAGAGGTGGCGGACACAAGCGGAGAATACGCATTGTCGACTACAAGCGGTACCTGCCTGGCAAGCATGTTGTGGACAGGATCGAATATGATCCCAACCGGAGCGCTCATCTAGCTCTCGTCACCCGTGTGGCTACTGGCGAAAAGTCGTACATTGTTGCTGCAGATGGAATGCGGGCAGGCGATGTGGTAGAGAGCTACAGGACCGGTATTCCCAAGGAGTTGATTGCCAGCATGGGCGGTGGTATCGATCCAGGTATGCTGGCCGCAAAAACTGCAGCCCGTGGCAACTGTCTCCCCATTCACATGGTGCCGCTTGGTTCGCAAGTCTTCAATGTTGGTTCCAAGAACCAGGGTGGGGGTGTCTTTTGCCGAAGCGCGGGCACGTATGCCATCATTGTGAACAAGGAGGAGGTTGAAAAGGGCAACAACACAGCCATCAGGCATGTTATCATTCGGCTGCAGAGTGGTGAGATTCGCAAGGTCAGCGCAGATGCATGCTGTACCATTGGTGTAGCCAGCAATCCTCAAGCACACTTTACATCTCTCGGAAAGGCTGGACGTTCACGGTGGCTGGGAAGGCGACCCGAAGTTCGTGGTCTCGCCATGAACGCAGGTCAGTACTCAGGTCAGCCTCGTCATGATTCGCAGTGTGCTAACACTTCGCAGCCGACCATCCTCACGGTGGTGGTCGTGGTAAATCAAAGGGTAATGTCCACCCCGTCAGCCCATGGGGAACTCCAGCAAAGGGAGGCTACAAGACGAGGCACAAGAGGAACAAACATACCTTCCTCGTTCAAGATCGGCCGCGTAACCAAGGAAAGCGCAGGTCCAAGTAGATTCACATTGGATGTATTATATCATGCTGTATCATATTTCAGTTACATGACACCTGCCTATGAATATGCATGAGTAGGCTAGCTAGAAGTCTTCAATCGCTCGACAAGGTCAAACACTGAGGCAGAGTATTCAGGGTCCGCGAGACGCCAACGAGCGTGAATAGTGGTTCGGCCAAATTCTCGGCTGTACTTACTTGACCCTGGGCATGTTCGGCTACGCTCGATCCATGACGCCATGTATCTTCCCGCACTCCCTACGACGGCCAGAACAGTCGTCTGCCTTGCGTAATCATGATCATGTTACTGCGGTCATGCATTGCAAGTTGTTAGGGCTGACGAGGCCAGCTCTCGTTGGTCCGTTTGTTTCGGAAACACTTGAGGCAATGTTGAGGGATGTTACCTTCAGCTGAATTGCGACTACTAACGCCTAATTGAGACAAGATATTGCGCGTAGATCGGTCGCATCTTCATCTGTCTAGGGCTAGAACAAAGTCCCGCATGCAGTTGGTGAATGCGCAGCTGCACAACAGACTCTACTTACAGGCACATGTTGACATGTTGAGAACAGAACACCGCCATGTGCCAGAGACCAGCGCATAGGAAATGCCGGGCTGGGCAAGGAATCCGACAAGTCCGATGGAGACGAACGGAGGTTTCTCTACGGCGATCCCGATCTTCGCGAGATGCGCAGTCATTGGGCCCCGAGGCTTCGTGTTGCAGCCATGCATCACGACGCTCAAGCCTCATGGCACCACGCATGGTGAATGGCCGGCCCTGCAGATAGAGGCCACTCAGCTCGGCACAGCCCAGCTACGTTCTCATTCCATTCTCTTCTGTTAACCATGCAGTGTTAAGGTCCGGTGGTGACCAGTATCGTTCTGCGCCAATTTTACGTGCGTACTGAACAAGGCCTGTTCACATGCGTTCAACATCTCTCTATCTTGCAACGATACCCCAGGCATAAGCCACCGTGATACTGCCGACGTGAGTCTGACTTGGTGCTCCACAATCGTATCATAAGTAGTGTCTGTCTTAAGCCTCCCCACTCCGTTCACCTGTGCTTACGCGGGGGATTCTGTAATCCACGGCGCATTCCCCATACCTCTCGGACAAGCTCGTCGTATAACCCGCAGCTATGCCTTCCCCCGACAGTGAGTCTCCAGACGAGACTTTCTTCAACGACCTATCTCAACAGCCACCGGAATCCAACACCACAAACGCCCAAGAGATACAGCAGGATAGCGCAAGCAGGGCAAAGAGGATTGCTTGTGTGTTGTGTAGAAAGAGAAAACTGCGATGCGACGGCGCCCGACCAACATGTTCGACGTGTAAACGGCTGTCCCACGATTGTGCCTATGACGAAGTCAGGAAGAGAAGTGGTCCTAAGCGTGGCTACGTCAAATTACTCGAACAACGGCTAGGTAGGTTGTCGCATTCGAGTTTTGGCGCGACTTTACTGATGTCTGATCTGTAGAACAAGTTGAGACGCTGCTCAAAAGCCAGGATGCCGCCGATTCCACCAAAGACACAACGCGCGCGAACGCTGCCTCCGCATACGTCGCGAGTACCCTCAACAATGCCACACCAAGTCCTGGAGAAATTCCCATCCCGACCGGAAATTCCCAGACAGGAGCCCGTAGGCCAAGTGGCCTTGGTGCGGACCCGTTCCGTAATGCTGGAGCGAACGGAAGCAACGCAAAGCCAGAAAACTCATGGGAGATGATTGGGCTCGGTTTGGAGGAGCCTCTGCCGCCTCAAGAAGTCATGGATGATTTGTATGGAACATCTGACCTGCGCCGGCAATTTTACTAACACATGGCAGATATCACATTTACTTCACCAAAATCCACCTCACCATGCCCATCATACATAGACCACGTTTCCTCGCCGCTTTAAATCTGGCCCCTCATATGCGACCGCCAGTGTGCTTACGATACATCATGTGGACACTCGCCGCTTCCGTCACGGACAAGTATGACGAGTTACAGGAGCATTTCTACCAGCGCTCGAGGAAGTACGCACAAATGGACGAGATGCGAGGTCATGGAGAAACCACCATGAACCTTGCCCATTGCCAAACATGGATCTTGACAGGCACGTACGAGTTCAAGCAAATGTACTTTCCAAGGGCATGGCTATCTGTTGGTAGGGCTGTACGATTCGCTCAGATGTTCCAGCTTCATCGCCTGGACGGGTTCAGTCTAGATGTGAAGCAATGTCTACCTCCACCGAAAGACTGGACAGAGCGGGAAGAGCGTCGGAGAACATTCTGGATGGCTTTTTGCATAGACCGATATGCTAGTATCGGCACAGGCTGGCCGATGACTATTGATGAACGAGACGTAAGTCACTCTGCGCGCCTTACTGGACATGTCTTAATTGACTTTGACACAGATTAAGACGAATTTACCAGCAAGTGAGGAAGCATTTGAGAAGAGCAAAGAGATGTCAACAGGATCACTGGACCAGGTTTTGGACCACAATGGCGAGGCAGACCTTCAATCCTTGGGCGGTACCGTCTTCACAGCGGCCATGTTTGGTCGCAATCTACTTCATTTACATCGACCCGCGCCTGATGATAACGATGGTGACATCAACGGTGGATACTGGAATCGACATCGCCATATTGAGCAGATACTTCTCCAAACATCACTAGGTCTACCTGATCACCTACGGCTGCCCTACGGCCTCACAGATCCCAACGTTGTCTTCGCAAACATGTGCATTCATACTTCGGCAATATGTCTTCATCAAGCAGCCATCTTCAAGGCCGACAAGCATCATTTACCAGCCAGCGTTGGCAACGAAAGCAAGATCCGGTGTCTGACCGCAGCGGCCGAGATAGCATCGATAATGCGAATGATTAGTCACATGGATCTGGGCGCAGTAAGCAAGCTCGGAGAAGGATGACATGTCAATTCACACTAACGAAACCAGATGAATCCTTTCATTTCCTTCTGCGTGTACGTGGCAGCGCGAGTATTCGCCCAATATCTCAAGACACGACCCAACGATCAACAAATCAAATCTTCGTTACGGTTTCTCTTACAAGCTATGCAGGCCCTTCGCCGAAAGAATCCACTTACCGAGTCGTTCCTAGCGCAGTTGGACGTCGACCTAGAGACAGCCGGCATCCAGGGCCTGCAGCAGAAGCAGTACCTGTCGCCCAAGGACCAACTGAGCCAAGTTCCGGCATCAATTCAAGATATGACTGAGAGTATTGGGTGTCATTTCCAAGGGCCGGGTCAAATGCTCGCCAGGTAAGTGCATCCGGACTGTCTCTCTAGTGTGACCACGTCAGTACTGACCCCCTTAGCTATGAAGCATCCACGGACCAACAGGAAAAACCCAATGCGACGGCTTGCACTAACACGTTTGGAAATAGCAATCCAAGAACACAACCACCGTTGACCAGTACGCAGTATGCGAGTACCGCTCCAGGCCCACCATATCATGTTCACAATATCAACAGCATCAACATGAGTGTGCAGAACACGGCTTACCTGTCTGCTCAGGTTCCCCCGAACACAGTATTCGGCCGTACAGAGTCTCAGGACTTCATGTCTCCACAAGTAGCATTTCGCGACAGGAGTGATATTGATTTTTCTGGAGGCACCGATCACACCAGCTCTGCAACACTAAGCTCAAAGTCGAGAGGCAGTTCGACATCACAATCTCCATATTCACCCGGTCAACCATACGAACACAATGTTCCATACCGAGCGTCACCAAAGCTGGCATACTCTGTTTCAGCGTCTGGTGCCGCTACAGGATTTGCAGGTTTCGCGTCTACCAACGAGGCCTTGATTGTGAATAATTCGAATCCTTTGGGCAACATGGATAACAATGCCTATGATGACAGCTTCATGATGGGCAACGAATGGGACTACACGGGTCTGAACGTTGGAACAGGTCTCACGCCAATGGTGGATACGTCGTGGGATGCGGCGCTGGAGAGTGTAACAATGGGATGGGAATCGGTTGGGCCTTCGCAGGACGAACAGGCGCAGGCATCTGTTGTACGGTGATATGTGTAGAGTTGGTGCGGACAAATGACGACAAGTGTGTGATTGGTGTAGAGCAGGATACCCACTTTCGCTTTGGCTTGGTTGTAATAGGACTGGCGTGTTGGGACGGACATGTATCGGCTTTGTGAGTACCATGGTATGGCGTTTTGGTTGCATGACGGCGTGCTGTTGAAGCATGTCATTACTGCGGGGAGCCCTTGTTGCATATTACCTAGATGGGTCCGGATCGGAAGTGAGTGTTTGATTGCTTTTTTCTATGCGCTGTAGACAAGCAGGGAGAGGCCTTTCGGTAGCATTGATGGACGAGAATAAGGTTGGAAATGTATATGTGGCTCAATATTCACCATGGCGACCTAGGCTTTTTGGTGATCAACACGCTGACGATCCGGGGATAATGCGGCTGATGCAGGGATGCGTCCATGGGAGCGGTCAGGACGTCACACCTCAGTTCCCACAGCAACGAGCCAATAGAAACAGACTACGCGCAGGACCCCCAACCACATCAAGACGGCTTCTTCAAAGCTCAGTGGTACACTTATTCTTCAATTCTCCCAGCATCATTTTCTATCCCTGTTTCCCTAATTACCTCGAATCAAGACGACCCCACTTTCCTTCGTAGTCTGCAAGCCTCGGTGCAAACAGAGCAGTAAACACCGATACCGGCGCGCATTTCATATGTTCACCTCAAAGGAAAGGGAAGGCGCTTCGTCGCCTGGGCCTGGAGCCTACTATTCCCCCTCCCAGATGAGTAAGTAGCACGTGTTTACATCCCAGCGCGCCCTACATGTATGTACTAACCACGGACATGTAGAGAGCTACCTGCAAGACCTCCGCACCAACCGCCCCGCTCGACCTACCGGAGCCCGCCCTGCACCCGCGCATTTCAACACATGGTCAAACAGGGCGAGTAATCGCATGTCGGATTCGCACACGGTAGCCTCGCTGCAGCGCACCTTTACAGACCCTGCCGCCGACGTCGACGCCCGACCAGCCTCCTCGCACGAACCCAAGCGACATAGCCGGACGCCGTCCAAGCTGAGCATAGACGAAGTGGTAAAGGGCCCTGGAAGGCCCGTTGTACAACCTCCGCGCGGGCGCAACACATCGTCGAGGTCCTCGTCACCATCACGCATATCAAGCGTGCAATACCGCGAACGCGAACAGCGCCAGGTGGAGCAGGACGAAGCCCGGGCCATTCGCGTCGCAATGGAGGATTTGGAACTTGCCCAGGAGGAGAAGCTGTTCGAGGCGGCACGGGACGAGGCGGCCGAATTGGTGTGGAAGCATTGCAATCCACATGCTGCCGAAAATAACCCAAATGCACCGTATTCCTATCCGGGTCTGGCAAAAAAGGGCAGCGCGCCCAGAAGTCGGAGCGTCGAACCGAAGGACCAGGATCTTCAGCGAGCCAATTCAAAATTGCGCAAGCGACATTCCATGAGCAGTGCCGCTTCAGGGAGCAGGAGTAGCAGCCTACAGAGCAACGGACAAGGAGGCAGTACAGATACGTCAGCCTCCAACACATCGTCTACCAAGGGCAAAAAGGACGAGTCGCCAGCACTCGCCAAAGCCATCTCCGATCTTCCTGACTTCAAGCAACGACGAAGAAGCAGCGGAGCGCGCCGTACGACGAGCGGAAGCCTTTTCCAGAACCCGAACGATCAGATATACGAAGAGCCCGAGGAGGAAGCACCGCCTGCACCTATACCTAGACCTGCTGCCACCGCCGAACCTCCAAAGTCGGAAAAGCTACCACTGGGCATAAGACGCAATCCTTTTATGCGCTTCCAGTCAATCAAGGGCAATCCCATGATGCGATCCAACACCGACCCCACCATGGCCTCCAAACGACTGGACCGCTATGAGATACAGAAGAATCCTCCCACACAATCACGGAACGCAGCCTACACCCTGAACTCTGGTGAAGCAAAGCCTGCCGAGCCTGCGAAAGCAGATGTTGAGAATGTTCCCGAGGTGAAGATGAAGGACGGCAAAGAGATTAGAAGTGACGAGCTCCGTGCTGCCACTGGGTTCCGTCTCAAGGACCGCAGTCCGAAGCTGCCCACTCCCACTGCAGTCTCCGATGCTCCAGGACGGCCTATTGTCTCTTTTAAGAAGGATTGGAATATCATCGAACTGAAGGAAGAGATATCTGCTGTACCTGACCTAACACCGCGGCCTCTGAATCCTAACAAGTCCGGGCCACCGCCGCTCGAGCACGCTGCCACGGCCCCTGTTGTCCCTATCATCAGTCTAGCCCCGGATATGCCAACACGATCCACAACTCCGAGGCCACCAGCAACCGCAGAGGCCAAGCGGTCTTCTGTTTTAGCACCAGAGGTGCCCAATCGAAGCACCACTCCAAGGCCGACTACACCATCTTCTCGCAATGCTGCTCCAACTTCGTGGATAGGTAGACAAGCAAAACCTGCCATCAACATCTACGAAGATCCTCCAACTCCAGCACCGACGAGACCACTACCACTCGTCAGTTCCCTCAGAAAAGCCAATATACCAACTCGTCCTTCTGCATCGCCAGTACCTACGATCAACGTCTCCGAATCCCCTTCAGCGCGATCTCGAACCACACAGGCGCCACCCATCCCCTCTATCTCAGTCGCCGAGACACCTTCGATCTCAGTCAATGGACCAACTAGCCGAAGATCCAATACTCTTTCAACGGTTGCCACACCACCCATTCCAAGCATATCGGTAAGTGAGTCGTCAGTGAGCCGAGGGACAAGAGGTACTGCTCCCGGCATTCCAAGCATCTCTGTAAACGAAACACCCGCGCCGAGAAGAGGCGCGGCTACGCCGTCCATCAACGTGACGCCTGATGTCCCAACCATATCTGTCAATCAATCACCAGCACCAACGCGCGGGCGGCACAGCAATACCCCTTCGGTATCAGTTACACCAGCGATTAGCGTAAAAGCACCTAGTGGCTTTGGACCAGCCGCATCTACGCGGCCATTGCCAATCCCAAATGCTCACAACAAGTCCCACAGCTTCAACGGCACACCTACCAGTCGCGGTGGCCACTGGACACCAACCACGGTCCGTACAGGTGCTCTATGTACCCAATGTGCTCTGCCTATTGCTGGTCGTATCGTGTCTGCAGGAGGATCACGCTTCCATCCCGAGTGCTTCGCTTGTTATCAATGTGGCGAGCACCTCGAATGCGTAGCCTTCTACCCCGAACCCTCCAACAAGCATGCCGAGCGCGTTCACCGGATACGCGCCCGTCTCTCCGGCCAAGACATACCCTATCTCCCCTCGCATGCTACAGCCGAGGACATGGCGCGTCTCGAGCACGATGACGGCACCGACGAATCCCCACGCTTCTACTGCCATCTCGACTTCCACGAGCTCTTCTCCCCCCGATGCAAGAGCTGCAAGACACCCATCGAAGGCGAGGTCATCGTGGCATGTGGTGCGGAATGGCATGCGGGCCACTTCTTCTGCGCCCAGTGTGGTGACCCATTTGATAGCACGACGCCCTTTGTGGAGAAGGATGGCTATGCCTGGTGTGTGAACTGCCACACCCATCGGTACAGTACCAAATGCAAGGGATGCAGGAAACCAGTAACCGACACTGTTGTCAAAGCACTCGGGGCCGAGTGGCATGTTGGGTGCTTTGTCTGTGTGGTAAGTTCTCCCTCGTCCTCCTTTTTGCATCTTCAAGATAAACTAACGAGACTCTAGGTGTGCTCTGGTCCCTTTCAAGATGGCCGCTACTTTTTGCGAGGAGAGAGTGAGGATCCGGTTTGTGTGCGGTGTGAGGAGAGGAGGTTAAAGGCTTGATGTGTTGTCAGCCGGAAGGTTAACAACAGAATTTTGATATACTACTATATCGCGTCGTTCGCTTGATTGACAAACCTGTTATTGATGACGTTTTGTTGTTGCATCTTTTTTTTTCGGTCCGCATAGTTGAGCAAGCAAATCAGCAAGCATAATCCTTTCAAAGCGATTTGGTGTATTTAGGTTAAAACATGAGCGAGCAAGCAAGGCGCTGGACAGGCGTTATCGGGAGAAACATAAACAAACAAACACATAACTAAACAAACCTAAATTAATCAAGCATTATTGCATCGTGGAGATTGAGAAGAATAGAACAACGTCTTTGGAGTAATACAAGTATTTGGTATTTGTCTGTACTGTCCAGTCCAGCCTGCGTCTTCCTCTCTGTCATCTTCTTCATCTCTTTACCTAACCTCACCCAAGCCAAGCCAAGCTAATCAACAGCCATTAACGTGCTCGAACCAGCCAGCAAGTTTGTTTCCCTCGGAGCTATACACACCTTGATTCCCGCCCATCTCGTCATCTTTTACACAAACGTTGGTCCATCTCCTCTCCCACTCTTTGTCCCTCTCTGTCATGACCAACCATCTCACGCTTCGTATTAGAACCCCAGAAACAAACCTAAACGACCAAAAAAATGAAACCAAAGGTATCATAAGCAAAACCGGCCATCCCATCGTCATCCGTGCTTCCCTACACCCAATTTGCAAATTGGGTGAAAGGGAAAGAAAGAACGCCCAACTGAAAACCAGGGATGAGACCAAAAAAAAATGAGCAAATGCACAAGTGTACTAATACTGGTACTGTGGGTATTATGACCTTGCGCCGTATGTGTGCGTGTGTGTGAAAAAAAAAGCTGATTTAAGATAGGCGTTATATCGCTTCCAAGTGTTTTACTGCGCTTAGGTGGTGCTCACGAGACCGATGAGCTTTTTTTGTGCCGTATGCGCTCTCTTGGTGTATGAGGTGAGTGATGTACGAAGAGTCCAGGGACGTAGCTTGCTCCAAGTCTGTCAGATAGCCCTTGATGCGGGTACTCAACGTGAGTCACACACATGCTGATGCAACACTGTCCTGTGCCTGGACCAGAAATCTCGTGGGTAGCTTGGCAACGTTCCTGATTAACATGCCACTGTGGTCGTGAATGTGTCTGGGCTCGAGCTCTTCCGATTGATACTATCGTCGTGGGTGCAGCGCACTTCACTCGATTAGCGGTTTGCGTTTGCCTTGCACAATCGACATGCCCAGTGCGCGCAGGCCTTCCGGGTCAGTAGATCGAACAATAGTGCTAGCGGGTAGCATGGGGTTGTCTGGTGTTACGTGTGCGGCATCCTTGGCGGCCTGTTCGATAGCCTCCATTTCCTCTTTGCAGCCAGCGTGATCAAACGGACATACAACGATGGGCTGACGGAGCAGAATATCTCTCGCTGATGACATTTGCGCCTGCTTACTGTCAGCACAAGTCCTGAAAGGTCACATGCAGGCTCAGCTTACCTTGACGGTGAGATAATACTCAATCTTGTACAGAGTGCCGGTTGTGGTGAAGCCATTGACAGCGTACATGGGAAACTCTTTCTGCCCTCGCGGTATGATACCTGCATTGTCTCGTAGATCTTTTGCGGGAAAGACCAGGCCAAGGTTTGTGAAGTAGCCGGCTTCGGGCATCTTGACGCCCACGGCCTGCGTCGTCTTGGCTAATGTTTTGACCTTGCGTGTTGGCTCATCTCCCTCGTGGTTGAAGATGATCTCCTCGTCTATGCCCACGGTGATCTTTTGAATGGTGACCTTTCTCGCCTTGTTCAGCCAGTCTGGGTTTGGGCTCAGCTTGATGTAGACGGAAACTGGGTCGAGTGGGCCGTAGCTCCATCGCGGAAGGCTTATGCCAAGGGTAACAAGATGGTCGGTCACACGCTCAGCGCTCTCAGGCCGGTTGTACATGCCAAAGGTGGAGAGGGTGTCGTATCGTTGTATGGGTACGGCGAAGGGGTGCTTCTTCTGCTCCTGCGGGCCCTGCTGCACTGTCACGACGAGCTCGTAGAAAGTTTCGGCTGTTCGACTCGGTAGCTGTAAGCTGGCAGGCGGCACCCTCCTTGCTACTTCCTCACCGCCGCGGCCATAGGGTATGAAGATGACAAAGGGCAGGTCCATGCATAGTATGCTCTCGAATTCCCGCCCAGGCGAACATCGGTACAAGAGCATCTCCTTGCCGACAATGTCGGTGATTTCCTTGCGCGGGGCAGCCAGGTGCTTCTTGGTGACGGAGTCGGCCGAGGGATGGATCGTCTCGCGGCGGTGCAATGCGATGGTGACGAGCGAGACATTGACGGGGGCGGAGATGCCAGCTTTGGGACGGATCTCGACCTTGCCCTCTATTCGAGGCTGTAACATGTCAGCATGGGTAGCAGGTGAAGAGTGAATTGCAAGGCACGTACGAGGGTGGCTGAAATGCCCGGGTAGCCAACTAGGAAGTTGCTATTCGGCGGTCCTGAGACGCGAACGAAGGCAGACATGTTCGTCTCTCACAGCGCAGGCCTGTGATGGCAGCCGGCGCTGCATGGGCGTGGAATGGGGGGTTTCCGTCGGCGGTCGTCTGGGTCCGATGGCGGATTCGAGGGTGCGGCGTGGTGCGCCGGGCAACGATGGGGTGCGGTGCGTCGAGCGTCAAGCTAGGTAGCCGTGGGGTTGGACTTGCGATGGTGTCGCCTACAAAACGCTTGAACCGGCGGGGCTCTGGGCGGCAGTGAAGCCGGTAGCTGCGCGGCGGGCCGTGCTGCGAGGTCGCGGTATATACGAGTGGCTAGGTTAGGTGTAGCAGTGGATGCAGCGCGGGAATGCCGTCTGCAGTAGTGGATTGCCTTCCGAGAGTCGTAGGGCTGGACCTCGACCGGCCGCTACAGTGGAATCCCGGCGCGCAGACGAGTGACGATAGTGATAAGAATGGCGTCGAGGACAGCGAGTGCGCGGTGCGCGGCGATTGCGGACGTGTAGACTAGACGTCGAGACTGGAGCACAAGCTTCGTTTGCTGGGCGCCGCGAGCGCGAGCGCGACCGTAACTTACTTAGCTTGATCTGAGCTCCAGCTCTTCCCAAGCTGCAAGTAAAGTGTGTGGGGTCCGATTCGTGCCTCCTACTCGCGCCATCGTCCTTCCAATCGACTCCTACCACGCTGATCTGCAGCCGCCCGTCATGTCCGTCACAGTACGTCGTCGCCATTCCAGTCAAATTGCCCCTGTTTGCCTGTCTGACTGACGCTCCAAAGCTACACACTACCAAGGGCGATATCAAACTCGAGATCTTCTGCGAACCCGTCCCCAAGACGGCCGAGAACTTCCTCGCCCTCTGCGCCTCTGGCTTTTACAATGCCTCGCGCTTCCACCGCCTGATTCCTTCCTTCATGGTCCAGACTGGCGCCCCCGCTTCGGACCCAAAGTCCAAGACGTCCACATCCATCTACGACACCCCTAACCAGCTGTTTGACGACGAGATCAGGCCTGCGCTAAGACACAATGCGCGCGGAATTGTGAGCATGGCGAACAAGGGGGCAAACTCCAACGGCTCCCAGTTCTTCATCACCTTTGCCCCTGCCCCGCATCTGGATGGGAAAAACACCGTCTTTGGCAAGGTACTGGAGGGATGGGAGGTGCTGGACGACATTGAGCACGTCCCCGTGGACAAGAAGTCGCGTCCCCAAGAGCGCATTGAGATCAAGAACGTGACCATTCATGCAAACCCTCTGGCTGGCTGAAAGAGCCTGTCTTCATGCCAAAAGTCTCTACATTGAGTTGGTATTAGCCCGACAGCTTACGTGCTACACAAGAGAAGAAACCACATTCTAGAACACCTCAGGCCCCCAGGCCTACTGCAAGCTACCCGTATCGCACATCTCCGCAAGGTTACAAGCTTTCAAGACACCAGTGCAGGCAACGACATCTGGATATGGCATCATCTATATGCTCATTTGGCTGGCGAAGCCCTGGTATCTTCGAAACGCCGACTCGAATACAGGAAGAGTCAAGAAAATCTACATGTTCAACCTGCCCAGAACCTACGCAACATTGGTAGTCGTACCGTTTGTCGCCGCATGCTCCTCCTCGTAACCCTCCGTCTTCATATCCTTCAACCCCAGTTCCTCCTCCTCGGCCTCGGTCCGCTCGTAGTCCTCAACCTTGATCTTCGGATCCGGCTCTGGTGCCGTGAAACTCTGAACGTAGCTGCTGGCAAGGGGATCTTCCAGGACAATGGTGAACTTGTCCTCGCCATTAATAGCCGCCGTGAGGTTCTGGAAGAAGGTCTTCCACTTCTGCTTTGACTCCGAATCCATGGAGTCACCACCATCGCCAGTATCAAAGATGGATGACTTTAGGTCATCGCGTACTTGTGTAAGAAGACCTTCGATGGTTGTGAAACGACCACCCAGTGTACCGGGCTCGACGCTCAGGTTTAGCTCAAGACAAGACATGGAGCATGACTCAGCCTTGAGAATATCTCGCGAAAGATCCTCCTTGGTATCCACGGTAACAGTGATCCGTCGACCTTTCTCGGGGACTTCACCTCCCGTCTTGACTTCATTGCTCCGATCTGCAGCAAGTTAGCTCTAGGAAAAGCAACATTCTCCCACATAAACTTACATCCGCAGTGATCGCACACCGTGCTCATCAACACTACTTGCTTGAAGTGAGGGATGTTGACCATCTTCATGTTTGTCGTGCACGACTTGGCACATCCTGGGCAGCTGGCAGGGAACGAGTAAACTTGGTTCTCCACAATATCATCCTCGTCTACATTGTTGACCATGGGAGCGGTGGCCGAAGGCATCTCAGGATACATCTGTGAAGCATGGTACTCTGGACGAATCTCTGTAGCTGGCGCCTCGCCACTGGTATCACCTAGACCAAGCGCTTCGTTCTGCGCCGCAGTTCGTGGGTACTCCTGTCGCGAGTATTTGCCCGCACCTAGTACGCTCGGAGGCTCGATTGAAGAGTTACCCGCAGGGTCATCAATTGTAACCTTGAACGGCAACTTCTGGCCGCTTGCCATCTGCTTGATCGTGTTGATGACTCCCTGTAGTTGCTCGTAGACTTCTGGTACAACCTCCTTCCTCTCATCCTGCTTTTGCTCGAGATCTTGCGCAACCATTGCGAGAATACCTTCCACATTGGTCAACTGCCCCCGTCCTTGTGGTATTTCCAGATCAATGTCCTCGACTCGAAAGACTGCAGTATCACTCTTGATTATCTGCCGACTCAGGTCGTCCGCTGTTTCGACCTTGAGCGAAAACTTGATGCCTCGTTGCTGTATCTCGCCTGCGGGTTGAACTTCCGAGTTCTTGAAGTGGCAATGTGGGCATGAAAAGGACATTAGCACAATTTCGCGGAAAAATGGTATTCTGGTGAGGAGGAGCCGGGTTGTGCCCTTTGAAAGGTTTAGCTGAGTACTTTACTACTTGTGAATGTACATACGTCTTCGTGACAGTTCATGCACATGCTCTCAATCTCGTCCACAACTTTGGTGTCATCGTCGTCATTCTGGGCGCTCGCCTCCGCGACCTTGCGACCCATATCCTCAAAGAGGTCTTTCGCCAGACTTTGTTGCTGTGCCATTTTGGAAACTGAATAGCGGAATCGTAGTAAAAGGACAAAGTGACAAAACGCTCTTGTCGATGTTTTGGACTTTGCAAGTTCCGATGACGAAAGTCGAATTTTTTGAGCCGCCCCGCGCCTTCATAGCGGGGTTTCGCGAACGCGCTAGACTTCTGCGGACCCTGCGCCTTTCAACTCTCAGCCCTATGGAGCTTACATAGCAAAGTCCATGAAATCCAGTCCACTCATGCTAGAGGCTTCCGTCTTTTTCTTCTCAAGCATTGCCTGTAGGCCCCCTCTGCGTGCCTTCTGTCTCTGCTTGCTGGTTGCGTTCAATGTCTTTGGAGCTGGATCGCTGACGTTGTTTGTCGACTTTCTTGTCCTTGTAACCAGTTCCGTATCCAATGAAGTCGCCGACTTCCTGTTCTGACGGCGTGGTCTCTGCTGTATATCTTGGTGCGTCTCTCGATGGCACCGTAAGCATGTGTAGCGGATACTTTTGTTTGGCTTTAGTAGTTGGTTGGTCTTGGCTTTGTCTTTCTTCTCCTGGTATTTGGTGTGAGGGTCTTTCGAGACCTGACATGACCACCCGGGGATCATGATGTTTCCGCATGCGCCACAAACTCCTCGACGGAAGGCGTCTGATTCCTTACTTGCAATTTGGAGTTCAGCATCTTCAACAAGCCTATTACGTGCCTGACCCAGAGAAGCTGCAGTCGTGGGCGAAGAGACAGCAAGGAGATGGGCCGATTCTTGGAGGAATTTGGCTTTCAGTTGGATTGAATCTGCTGCAGCCATGGTTGAAGGACCTGTATGGCCTCGGTGCAGATCTTGGAGAGCTTCCTGCATGTTCACTATCTACACGTGCTCGCTTGCTTATCATAACACCGATATCCGACGCTAGAGCTGCAGGTCCCTCGGTGGAGCTCGGTCGTACTTTCCTTTACAACATTGTCAATTGGCGTGTTTTACTCTAGTCTGCCAGTGACTTGCCCATTGCGCGTATGATTAACGTAGGAATTACTCTCAATTTTTTGGTCGCTAATTAACTTTACTAATCGCCAGGCTTGCAGTCATTCCAAAGTATGGCAGCACCGCAGTTGGTCGAGCAATTAGGCCTGCGCATAGCAGTAGAAGGTTGCGGTCATGGAGTTTTACATGCCATCTATGCTTCGGTCGCGGAAGCTTGCAAGCTGAAGGGATGGCCTGACGTGGATCTTTTGATTATTGGTGGTGATTTCCAGGTATGTATACCTACCGCAACTCTTGCGTATGATCCTAACTTTCACAGGCTGTTCGAAACGCGTCCGACCTCAAGGCAGTATCAATGCCTTCCAAATACTACGCCATGCACGACTTCCACGAGTACTATTCAGGCGCGCGTCTGGCCCCGTATCTTACCTTGTTCATCGGCGGTAATCACGAAGCGAGTAACTACATGTGGGAGCTCTATTACGGTGGATGGGCTGCACCAAAGATATACTATATGGGTGCTGCAAATGTGGTACGGCTAGGTCCTCTTCGAATTGCCGGTCTGTCTGGTATATGGAAAGGCTACAACTACAAGAAGCCGCATTACGAGCGCCTGCCTTACAACAGCGACGATGTGCGAAGTATATACCATGTTCGAGAGCTGGATGTACGCAAGTTGCTCCAAATACGGACACAGGTTGACATTGGGCTGAGCCATGATTGGCCACGCGGTATGGAATGGAAGGGTAATTACCGACAGCTTTTTAGTTGGAAACCAGACTTCGAACAAGAAGCCAAAGATGGTACCTTGGGGAGTGTTGCTGCAAAGGCAGTACTAGAGCGCTTACGACCACCGTATTGGTTCAGTGCCCACATGCATGCCAAATTTCCGGCTGTATGGGAACATGCGGAAATTCAGAACGACACACCATCGAAGACTGATGCTGGAGACGTTGCGCCAACGGTCATCAATGAAGGCGAGATCGATCTAGATGTATCTGATGGTGAGCCTCCAGTGGCGCCTAAAAATGATGCCGAGATCGATCTTGACATGGACGAAGTTGAGGTTCCACCTGTAACTGCTGAGAACAAGGGACCTACCAAGTCTACAACAGTCGATACGCCCTCTGAAGTTCCTCAGGACATTCGAAAGCTCTTACCAGAATCATTTTCTCGCCCGATATTGGAACCGATACCGACTCTACCCTTCCCTAAAGAAATCACGAACAAGACAACCAAGTTCCTTGCACTTGACAAGTGTTTGCCCAAACGAAGCTTCCTGCAGCTGTTGGAGATTGAGTCATATGCACCAGCGGAATTACAACGACCTTTGCAATTGCATTACGATAAAGAATGGCTGGCTATCACACGTGTCTTTGCCGATCATCTACAAGTTGGCGACCCGCATGCGCAAGTACCCACTGACAAGGGCGATGCTTTCTACCAGCCCCTTGTGGAGAAAGAGATGGATTGGGTTGAACAGAACATTGTCCAAACAAACAACATGGCCATACCGGAGAATTTTGCACAGACGGCGCCGGTATACGATCCTGCATTAGGCATCCATGTCCGTGACCCCCCGCAGGAATATAGTAACCCACACACTCAAACTTTCTGCGATTTGCTGCAGATCCCAAACGTATTTGACGCTTCAGACGAAGAGCGGTCACGCATGGCGCAGAATGGCCCGAGGCCGGAACAAGAACGATCGAATCGAGGCGGGGGTAGGGGCGGAGGTGGATCCAGAGGGGGTGGACGTGGTCACGGTCACGGTCACGGTCATGGTCAGAGAGGTCGTGGGCGGGGTGGGAGGGGCGGGCGTAGTCGAGGGCGCTGGTGACCGACTTCATAGCAACTCCCCATCTGCATGGCAGTGGAAACAATGTTGATGCAGAAGATACCAAGTAGGAAACAATGATATTCAGTGTCGCTTGGCATAACAAAGCTTTTTCATCCTCCGCAGGTCCATGGCCGTGCAACATAGCATCCGATGCGAGAGCCAGCATCCACCTCCACGGTCATCACGACAGGCATACATGACGATGGCTATTGGTGCCCAAAGCTAATACGAAGCACACGCGGCTAGCGTAAGTTGTATCCGCTTCGTACGGGTTAATGAACGTAAAACTCGGCGTCGCGCACATATTAGCATGTCGCATAGCGCAGAATGTTGGAGTCTGCCGTTGTCAAAGCCCCACAAAGGTCCGGGCACCGAACGTTTTATAGAGGGAGTCCCTGCGCGATGATGTAGACTAGTTGCCGAATCTGAGTACACCGCACGTCTAACTCACGCAAGACCCTGGGATATATCCGTGTTGTCAAGCGTAGCCGGATTCCCGTACATCGAAGCCATTGCTAAGGAAAGAATAGCCAAAGCAGTGGCTGCGGTATTGGGATACCCTTGTCATACGTCATGCGCAATCTGGACCTGCCCCCTCGTGCCCTTCCACGACAGACGTTGCGGAGCCGAGATGCGAATTGCCGTGTTGACACGGTTTTCAATATTGTCATGTCCCCTTTGGATGCAGTGCTAAGTCACGGTCTTGCCGTTGCCTAGTGATGGCGCGAATTCTACGCATATCACTTTGGAACCTGTTGCCTTGGTCGCCAAATGTTTGTTAGGTCGTGGCAAAAGGATTGCGCGTGCTGTTTAAAATAACCAAGGTTTGCCGCTGTTCGTTGCGAATGACTGGGTGGCAGTATCGGGGCGAATGCGCAACCCCCCCTCCAACAGAGAAGCGAAAGCGAGGAAAGGAGTGTGGTAGACGCTGGCAAGCCTTCAATTTGTGACAGCTCTGCACGGAAAGCTATTTCTGGGCCGTTGGACCACACTTCTGCGTGACACACACGTTTTGTTGCACGCGGTTGCGCCCGCCATGGCCGCACGAAAAGCAGATGGCTGTCAGCGGAACACCGTCCAGAACCTGTCCGCACGTCATTCCCCGTCCTTAGCGCCACCGTTGTATGCATCGAGACCTCTCGATCGACGGGGGCAGACCCTGGTTCACTAGTCCCTTGCCGTGACACACAGACATCGTCCACATGCTCGTCCCACACACGCCCTGGAGAAGTTTAAAATGCATCGGCTGCCCTTGAGTTCCCATGGCTCCTGTCTCGTATTGTGTCCGCTATAGCTTCCTTCTTCCACCCTTCCACGCCTTGGCAACGATCCCCGGTGCTTACTTGTCGATTATATCCGGTCATCGCCGATGAGATCTAGACCATCATAAGGGGACCGTTCGCAGTATTGCCTGAGGAGACTTTTGCCCAACAGAAGATCATATAGGAGATCCAAGGTTATATAACGCCCCTCAAGTTATATACATCTACAACCCTCCCTCTTCTAGTCATACCCTCCGGCCCCACACATACACAACATACCCAACATACACAACAAGCCAAACTTCAGCCTCATAACCAACACGATGGCCTCCCGCTTTGTCGAAAACTTGGAAGAGGTTTCCATCAGTCATCCTCACCTCAACGTCTCATTAGACGACATCCTCGCGGAAGAAGGGCGCAAGAGATCGTCTTCTCAATCTTCCGATAGCTTCGAGACCCGTCGGTCTGCAAGCAGCTCAACTACCCCGGCATCACCCACATCGCCGACAACTGAAAGCAAGATCAAAAGAGCCTTCACTATCGGGAGCAAGAAGGGTCGTCGAACGTCATAGGTGGACCAGGAGTGAGGCGTCCAGTTCACATATGCCTTCATTCCCACTCCCCATTACAAACACTGTTCACGACCCTCACGACAACACATGACAGTCTCGACCAAGAGTTGGAAGAGACTAGTCGTATCATACCCTGAGGGCCCATGAACCATCACTTCGCCCATGCCTGGCCTACAATCCAGGCAGCTTCCGGACGTCATCATTACGGCATACCAAAGCACTGTGACGAGCTCCCCAGTCTACTAGCACGCCATCTCCACCATCAAAGGTTACGAGTAGTACTGGTTGGCGGGAATTAATGAGTGGGTGAACATTTGGATAGTTCGAGGAGGGAACCTTTGGAGAGAAAACCAGGTTTCATACACTCCCGCTAGAAGAACGAACTTCCATTTCTGTTGAATGCATCAGAGTCAACATGTATTACTTGTTAGATGCTTATATCGTTCAAGATTATCTAATTTTATTTTCTACGTTCAACCTTATCGGCATGGGATCTGTGCAGCATTGCGGCGCTAGATGTATGAATTTGAGTGTCATGTGATTAACATAGTTGCTTCCATATGTACATACATGTAGTGTCGTCCATGCACATCAAAGACACGCATGCAGTATAAGAAGAATACCAAATCCTTGAGACCGTTTTCTCGTTCATGATGGTACCTGTCGTGGCAAGCCAGACCGCAGTTGCCCCTTACCGACGGGGCACCTGCCTCACTGCGCAACTCATCCAGTCCAGACTTTACCTCATCCACCAACTCACACTCGAAAATTATTTCCCTAGCACTACCAAACCTCTGGATAACCAAGAAAATGGCCACCACAACCCCCGCCACCCTCATCGCAACCCTCGAATCACATCTCACACCCACCCTGGCATTTACATCTCCCACAACTTCACCAACCCAGCCAGTCCTCCACCTAATTCCACCCTCCACCCTCACCAAACTGCGCAATTTAGGCTCCGGTCGCGTAAAAGACATGCACATGCTCGGCCACTCTCGACAAATCATCAGCCATATTCCTGTCGCTGCTCCGCCACAAATATGTAGCAAGTTCAACGACGCCATACATGCGGCGACCATGACAAATACGGCTAAATTCTCTGTGCTGGCAGTATTGCCTGTGGATGGGCTGGAGGCGGCCAAGGAGCTGGCGAGGTGCGTGAGCAAATATCGGTTTGTGGGAGGTGTGATTGGGTTGAGTAGGGGACTAAGGATCGATGGGGAGGGCTGGGAGGAACTTTGGGGACTAGCCGAGAGGCTCCGCGTTCCAATCATGTTCAGAGAGATGTGGCCGTTGGCGTTTGAGGTACGCCAGGATATCCGCATTTCTTCGGATATGCGGAATGGGAAAGAGAAGACCCAGGCTAACGATAGAGTCGCAGATTGTGGACTACCAACATCACCTCCCTTACAGCGCCCTTGGGCCTATCTTGACGCAACTTCATACGCCCCATACTTCATCACCACTTCCGCTCGTGCGACTCTATCTCAGCTCCATCTTTGATCACTATCCGAACCTCCGGCTCGTCCTGGCACACCCCGGTTCGCTACCTTCGCTCGTTCCACGTATCGAAGGCCTGATTGACTCTATACCCGCCGCAGACAAACCGAAACGCAGTTTTCTGGACGTCTGGCAGCACAACATCTACCTCACAACCGCCGATGCACAAGACATGTCCAGTCTGAGAGCACTGTTGGAGCAGATCCCAGTAGACAGAGTGCTGTATGCGAGCAACTATCCTTTTGAAGAAAGGGGAAACGAGTTGATAATGGAACTAAAGGAGAGTGAGTTTTTGACAAATATCGAGTGGGAGAGGGTTGCTTGGGTAAATGCGGAGACACTGTTCAATTTGAAAGGGGCCGGTACGAAGGAAGGAAGACAGCTGATAACCGCCCTGAGTAGTCGTTCCTAACACTGTTCAAGGGTCCTTAGTACATATGGGCAGGAGGCCGATGCAGGCGGAAGAAGAAGCTCCTAGAAGACAGTCACCTAGCACTTGAGTCATTCATAGATTATTTCTTTGCATTCATCGTTGTGTGTAAATGAACGCCCCTCCCAGATCACGACTCCTGGTTTGTGGTATCTCTCATATCATATCATCCTGCCGCATGGCCGCGGCTCGTCGCTCTCTTGCTCTTCGTGATTTCGGGGGTTGGGCGCTTATTTCTTGCCAGACTTCTTGATGCCCTGAGAGCCGGTGTTGAGCGGTCCCTTGCCCTTGCCGACGGTCTTGGCTAGTTCATCGCGTGCCTTCTTCTCTGTATGTTGTTAGCATACCTCATCTGAACATGTTCATACTGTCGCATCGAAGCCTTGACGTGTATATTGTCTAGCGCGCGGAGTATGGGGCGTTATGTACCGGCGGCGAGCTTGTTCTTGTAAGCGATGTCATCCTCGTCGAGGTCGTTGGCCTTCTTCTTGGGCTTCTTGTTGTGAATGGGGTTGGTACCAGCTGCGGTATTTTATCAGCCTTCTGTTCTTTCAACACCTCTATGAACCCCGCATCGGGTTGCGCAAAGGCTACGGCTCTTACCTCCTTGTCCTGAAGGCATCTTGAAAATATCGACTGTCTTGTCCGAAACGGTTTCTGATTTCGGTTGAAGAGATACTTTTTGCTTGGGGGGCGTAGAAAACGTTCGGTGGTTGCGGGCGGTGAGAGGGTCTCGGGTCTCGACGCCTAGGAAAAGTGGGATATGCACCGCCACATCGGCATGGTGGGCTGATGCAATCACGTGTCAGCCTTCATCCACCTGCATGCGGGTAGTCGCTCAGCTCTACACGAAATACAAAACATCGATACTACGCGTGTATTTCCAGAAAAAAATGTCCAGTATTCACTACACGGGCTGCTAGCCTTAGCACATGCAGCATGGTCGGCCACAGTCATCGACACCGCAAAGGATGCGATATCAAGTCACCGCCCATCTCCCGATATACGACCCACTCAAACTCCACAGCTTGCTATCTAATTAAAACAATGTTCTTTGCATGATTCGTAATTTTCGTACTCGTATACCTCGGTTCGTTCTCATAGTACGAGTTTATAACTGCTTGAAGCAGTCTTCCAATGGCGCCACGCTTGCAGCTCCGTTTCTACAGGCGCGACGAGTCTGGGCAAAGGTAGAAACAAGAAACCGCCAGACGGCAGTCAGAAGCTTCCCTCTGCCACGTCTCTCTTGTTTCCTACTTGGCTCGCCTGCAGCGGTAATCAAGTACCTAGGTACCTCCTTTTCCTGACAAGTCCGGCAAAGCCTAGCCGTTGGCAGATTAGACATCGCACTAACCGCTATATCGGCAGCAACCCGAGTCGCCTCACCCCAGAAACGGCGGCGCGCCTCAACACTCGGTTCGCATATCTCATTCGTGGAAAATCATCACGACGCATTTTCATGCCACATGTGGAGAGAATCTCTCTGTCAACCATGTACATTTCGCACTATTTCCCCAGATTCAAAAAAAGTATGGAGACTGGAGTGCTGAGCTGGGACTCTTCATGGCACTAGGGCAAGCTTTTGAGGTGCTTCAAGCAAGTTGATTCGTGGTGATAAGTCTCGCCGATGGCGCCGCAGCTACACGGTTCCAATTCGGGAACTAGAGCCTTGTATGTGACCCGAGCCCATGGGGTTGATGGACCGGCATAGTCCCTGACTGATAGCTCTCCCCGGTCGCGTCGCGCATATGGCATCTATATATGTCCATCGTAGCATCTGTACTCTGCCCTCGCATTCCAGAGCTCTGCGAACCTCTCGCTGTTTCCGTTGCAGAGTTCGAGCTCGAATCTTTTGTCAAGCACCAGGAAGTGGATTGCTATTGTTACTATTGTGCCCAGGAAAGTCCTAGGGAACGCCGTCAAGATGGTCTCCAAGACGAGAGCATACAACTGGTACATCTCACTCGTTGCAGCATCATGTATGGTGCTATACGGTTACGATGCTTCTGTTTTCAACGCCCTCCAAAACTCAAAGCATTGGGTCGCCTACTACAACCACCCTGGACCCAACATCATCGGAGCTATCAACACATCGTACACAGTCGGGGCTGTTGTAGCCGGTTTCTTCATGGTATGTAACCCCATGTTCTACAGCTCACTGGGAACGTATGCTAACTTTCTGCTGTAGGGCGGTCCGCTCGCTGATTTCGCTGGTCGACGTGTCGGTATGGCCGCTGGATCTATTTGTGTCATCATCGCGACTCTGATGCAGACATTCGCTCCCCGTGGACAAATCGCAATTTTCATTGCTGGTCGCGTCCTGATTGGTATCGGTCAAGGGCTTGCGTTAACAGCAGGCTCCATCTACATAGGAGAGCTGTCTCCTCCCGAGATTCGCGGAAAGATCATGTCCTTCTGGCAAATGTTCTATTCGGTCGGCTCTTTCATCGCCTACTGGATCAGCTTCGGAACGTCCAAGCATCCCCAGAAACTTGGTGAATGGGACTGGAAGATGGTCGTCGTTTTCCAGATGATGGTGCCTATCATCATTCTGTCTCAGGTCTTCTTTATCCCGGAATCTCCCCGTTGGTACGTGCAGAAGAACCGTAACTACGACAAGGCTCGTCAATCGCTCCGCCGTGTCCGTGACACCGAACAAGATGTCGAAGATGAGATCACAACGATCCGCGAGGCCATTGAGTTTGAAGCAGAGGCGATTTCATCTGGGTACTCTGCTCTGTGGAAGGACAAGTCTGTCCGGAAGCGCATGTACATTGCGATGATTGTCAATGGTGGCCAGCAGATCACCGGGCAAGGAACACTCAACTCCTACAGCTCCATCATATACAAAAAAGTTTTTACCAGCGCTGATACAATCTCTCTGATCAACGCTCTCAACGCTACCTTCAGTATTCTCTTCACACTCAACGCTACATGGACTGTTGATAGGTTTGGACGCAAGTTTCTATTCATCGTTGGTGGAATCGGTATGGGCATTTGCATGCTCATCGCAGCCACTGTGGAGACGCAGACGCTATCGCTACCAAACGGTGCCAAGACGCAACCTGTCGGCATTGCAATCGTTTTCATCATGTTCCTATTTGCCCTTTTCTGTAAGTTGACCCTAGTTTGCGCCCATACCACAAACTCTGGTACTAACCTCCCAATCATAGACAAACCCTCTTGGGGCGCCACGGTATGGATTTTTACCGCTGAGATCTTCTCTATGAACATCCGCGCTCAAGCCGTCGGCATGTGCTCGCAAACTCAAAACGTCGTCAACTCCATCGTCCAGCAATTCTTCCCTCTTTTCCTCAAGAACGAGGGTTTCTATGCCTTCTACATGTTCGCGGCTATCAATGTGCTGCTGGCGGCTTTTGTCTGGTTCTTCGTCCCTGAGACAAAGAAGGTTAGCCTTGAAGAGATGGATGCCGTTTTTGGTGGTGCGAACCACGTTGTTGAGGGTGCGGCTATTGACCACAAGGACTCATTGAGGCATACGAGTATCTCGGTCGATCCTGAGAACAAGGGAATTGAGAAGGCTTAGTTCATGTTTTCATAGTGTAATGTGTGATGAATTAATGGTGTATATGTAATGGTTTTGCGATTACCCTTATTATGCACACGTGAAGTGCTAATTTGCCTCAAAAAAGGGTCACGAACAGTGGTGGTACCGCAACCTGTATGGTTGAACACGATGCTACGAAAGTAGTGTACCAAGATCATCCTTGTGATTCTATCATCTGGCTTTCTGTTACCAAAGTTCGAATTCGCTACCATTGTTCGCGATACTCACCTTCACCTTATCTGCACTTTCACTCTCCGCGTCTCCCATGCTCCGATAGCCCGACCCCAGTGCACTTGGACGTCCGACATATAAAGGACGTAAAAAAACACTAAACATGTTGCCGCCGACGAACGCTACAGATGTGGAAGCAGACAGTGCGGTCACTTTCTCTCCTCCGCCAAACCGCACCCACCTCCTCTCACAAGGCCTCGCGCAAGACCGCGACTCACCGCAACGACGACGCCGCCACCATACCATCACAACACCATACACAAGATCCACAACATCAGCAGGTCCTCTCTCACGACGCCCAGCATCGCAAGTCGCAGCGCCAGTAACCACATCACAGCAAATAGCGGTTACACCCACCAACTCTTCGGCAGCGCCCTCAAGCTTACCAATCTTCGTACCGGGGGCACCAGAGCCGATACAACAAAGGAGGTCGTCTCGTAACGGTAAGCATTGGGATTTGCTTCCAGCGAGGGCACATCACAAGGACGATGATGTGACGCACTATAGTGCGCTGGGTTCGAGGTCTACGTGGGAAGATGCACATGCGAAGAGATTGTTGGCTGCGGAAATGGAAGTAGGGAGGATCGATACAAAATGGAATGGGGGTGCTATTATTGATTACTCGGCGAAAGATAGGGAGAGGGAGGAGCGGGCGAGGAGAGTCGAGTAGGGAAAGAGTGAGGCGTTACAAGAGACTGGAGGGGGTGCGGATAGAGGGTTATTGAGGGAGAGAATGGGGAAGAAGAAGGTGAAAGTGAACAATTGCGGTGTAATCTATGGAGAATCAAGCAAATTGCTGCTGAGTTGGGCGATCTGCTTCAATTACTAGCTTCAGCCAAGCCTCGAATGCAAGTACCGATACAAATACTTGAACAAATACCCATGATACCAAAATCATCCAATAGGTGAATTCATACCACCTTCTTGCCTATCTACGTAGGCCCATCTGCATATCCAGACTTTTACTCGGGGTTGGTATCGACCTGGATAGGTTAGTGCATTTCAGACCGACCAATAACAGAGTTTGTATATACAAAGTGTCGTTCTCCGTCTTGTCCCACTATCAGTTTACCCTCAAATCTTCTGTCCGTCCTGTTTGCAGACGTACTATCACTGTACGTCGAGAAACCCTCGTTGACTTTGTGTAAAGTGAAGGTGCTGATCGATGATGCGTTTGAGACGACTTCGTTCACGATATCTTGCCAGCTACCAGTGCAAAGGATGCAGTCGCTCAGATGTAATGCTCGGAGTGTACTATTGTGTCGAGTGACGCTCTTTTTAATGTCTTCCATATTGGCTGATATGCCTTCTAAGCTCAACGAGCGAAGTCTCGGCCATATTGCTCCAAGACCAATATAGTCGAAAAGGACTTGTCTCACCGCAAATACGCTGTAATGCATGTCAAGAACTCCGAGAGAAAGATGTCGTAGCTCTTTGGCCGTTTCGAGAAGTTTGGCAAAGTTTTCGAGCTGCTGTTGTCGAGCAGCAGGCACGTTGTCTGTTACAACGGTCATACCGATATATAGACTGATGTCTACTCTGGTCAGATGTAGAAAGAGGTGCTGTCCAGCGCACAGGTCGTTGGGATCCGGGAACGTGAACATGGCCAGAGAGAACACGTTTGGGTAGAAATGGACATCCTCTTCGTCCTGTTTCGGTGCTTGAACCGTGAGTTGTTGAATTCCAGTATATCCCGTTAAGAAGATGGCACCGATAAGTTGGCGGAACGGGTGATCTGGAGAAGTGAAGCGACTAACAGCATCGGTCATTTTCCGAACTTCACCTCTCGGGAGTAGGTCGGACAAGGCTTTGCGCTCAACTGGAATAGGATGTTGACGCGGAGAATATACAATGGAAGAGATGTTTTGCATGTTTTCCAGACCCCGTGCAAGTGACTGGAGAAGGACACCATCGTCTTTCATCGTCTGTTGTTCCTTGTACAATTCTGCGAAACGCTTCCATCTGTAACACAGTTAGACTTGTTGGCCACTGCCGTGCCCCTAGTTATTTATTGTGCAGAACTCATATATAGGAGAGAAGTATGCATACCTGGTTCGGCGAGCCCAATGCGATCCAACTTCTGTCTGCAACCCGGTATATTTGCTTGCGAGATAGTAGTATTGTTGATCGTGTTTAGCTATACGGTCACTGTAAAGAGTACCATCGAAGACGATCTCTTTTGGGTAACCTGAATATATCGAGTGCAGTGAGATATTTTGGAAAGCACCAAGCGCCAGATACCTTGGACATGCGACGATACTGCGGAATAGGGCCGGCGTAGCATTATCTCGAAGCTTTCTGCTAACAGCTCTTGCAGCCTTGATATCGACGGGTTGGAGATGATCGAAGATCTCGATCTGCAGCTCGGCAGGTAACACAGTGAAATGACCCATGTTGTTCGCACGAAAGCGATGTTGATGTACTGGAGGGGATGGTGAGGGAGAAAGGTCAGGTCAGTTCATGGCTACACATGGGAGGTGTGCATGAGGGGAAGTGGAGCTAGGCTGCAGGGCAAGAGGCATAGAAGGTTCACCAATAAGGAAAGAGCCAATGAGCATGGGTCAGGGCTCTTTCCTGGCGCAAACGGTAATAGGACTGTGCGCAGTCGGACATTCGAGACCTGCGGTCAATATGACATTCACAGAATAGACGTAGATGATGGTAGTCGGCGGCAACGTGGCTACCTCGGTCAACTAGAGCTTCTTTGTGCCAGAAATACTTGACAGCGACAGTGTGGGTAAACCCATCTATTCTATTTCTAATAGATATGTCTGGCGCCTACAATGATTGTCGTGTGGTAGGGTGTCAAACATTCTATGTCACCCACCGTGGGAGTATGCCGATGCATCAAAATAGGCCATCTCGTTTGTGAATGGCGTGTGTGTGCTAAAGACGAGGGTTTCATGATTGGGTGATCGTCACATGTCAGGATGCAGTACTATAATCAACTTGAATGGTTTACTGCTTCCTCAGCTTGTTGAGCGCTGCCATGACGCCCTCGCTCATGTCTTCCTCTGCCTGCTTCCTCTTTGGCGGTTTGGAAGCAGCTGACTGCGCCTGGTTAGTGTCAGTTGCGCGATGCATTTCTGCTTCGCGCATTGCCTCTTCCTCGTCTTCGAAATCTTCAGCCGGACCATGGTCGGGTCGCTTGTCCGCATCTGATTCGGAAGTTGCAAAAGGAGCAGATCTCTCCAGTTCCCTTGCAAGAGGACCAGCATCGTCGACTCTTTGTTGTGCTGTTTCATCAGCAACTGTCGCGGTGATGGCTGGATTGCTATCTTGACCGACACGCCTGGCTGCCTTTTGGACCCTAAACGGCTCTCTGACTGCGTTGCACCATCGCTGAACCTTCTTGTCGCCCCACCCTGCAATCAGGCCAATCTCTTCGGGCCCGGCGTTGATGGCAGTGCGGATGCTGCCAAAGTTGGAGACCAAGCCAACGGCATCCGTCTTGTTGATGCTGCGGGGCACGGTGATGAAATCGACCATCTTTTCTGGGTACGTGCCAGCCTGTTGAGCGCGGATGCTGGTTGGCGCCGCATTCTCAAACGTCTTGAACAGCTCGAGGTAGCGGCCAGCCTCCTGAGCGCTCCAGCACAGCATGACAGTAACGTTGTTGACCAGTGACATCTTGGACAGCTCGCGCAGGGGGTCTTCATGGTTTTCGATGTCGACCATGGTCAGCAGGATGCGCAGATTGTACTGGCCCTTGAGGTCTCGAATGCGGTTGTAGATGTACTCTGGATGCAGACGGTGGTACTTGAGCGACAGGAAGAGGGCACATGTCGTGGCACCGACTACGTAGTCGGCGGGGATGTCTGAGTACTCCCACGCGACGGAGCGTACATTGTTCAGAATGGGATTTCCCTTTTGTCGTGGTGAGACTAGGATGGAGCTGGGACCGGATCGCGAAGGCAAGGCTTGGGGTTTCGGCTGCTGGACCTTGGGTGGTGGTGCAGGTGCACCAACAGCTGCATTTGTAGCAGCAGGCGCAGTCACAGCATCAGCAGCAGCAGCACGAGAGCGGCCGGCACCAGGCCGAATTTCATCCATTCTGGCCAGGGTCGGGCGGTGCGAGCATTTAATTGCAGGCGGCGCTTTGGTGTCTTGTCGTGTTTCGTATCCGTCGATGGACTGTTGACACACCCTAACAATAAAGGCGGTTTTAGCAGGGGTGGGCTCCAGGGCTACAGGCCAGGTCACGTGCGCGATCGAGACAGCGCTGAGCCCAAACCGCCGGTCAACCCCATCATCTCCTTCGCATCTTCACAACCTCACCCGCCCACGGCCCGCTCGCGCCCTCAACCACGACGACAACCCGCACATCGCCCCACACGTCACCCGCACCCGACGCCCGCGACTAATACAACCTCCGCCCTCGAATGCGCACTGTCGAGTAGAGCGCCCACCCTTTCTGCCGCGGTCGACCCGCGCGGACGACGCCAAGCGCTCCATTGCGAGCCCTTCCTGTCACCCCCAGGCTGCACGCCCACAGCCCGCCTACGAGCTCCGCCCTCGCTCGACACCCCCGCATACGGCCTCTATGTCGGATCACAGCGCAAAACGCCAACGCCTGGACTCGATCGGAAGATTCTCACCCGCAAGCCCGCCCTTTGACGTCGCTGCCAAGGCGAGCAGCCAGACGACAAAGACTCTTGTCCAGCCCCGGACACCCACCTCGCCACCCTACTCCTCGATGAATCCCATGACCAATGGAGGATTCGCCACGACTACTAACACCACGGTGTCGTCGGACAGGTCCCCCCAATCCTCGCTGCCCATGTCCTACTCGCACTCGCACTCGGCGACGTCGGCATCCAACCAGCATCCCTTTCCAACCCCCGCCAGCACCGCAGGCTTCATGTCCAGCGCCACTGTCGACAGCGACGGTGATGCGACGATGGAGGAAAGCGCCGACGATGACTCTGCCTCCCTAGCCCATCACAGACTCTCCAACCACAACCGGCGAGACGCTTCCGCCTACACAAAGGACGGTCGATTACGAGCTGCCCAGGGCATCAGCGGCTCCCAATTGTTCAAGATGGACAAGGAAAAGATTGAGACGTCACGGCCGCATCCGACGCAAAATTTCATCAGACTTTACCGGCTCGAACCGCTCGCTAGCTCTGTAGCACGCAATGACCCGGTAACAGGCGAGAAGATTAACAAGCTTCGCAAGTCCTACGAGGGCCATATAAAGCAGATGCAGATTGCCGGCAAGCCAAAGGCAACCAAGATGGACGGCGTCTTCCGCAACTTATTGGCCATACCGGACGAAATCTGGCAACCCAACCACGTGCAGAACAGGGAGCCGGCCAAGACTGCTCTGACGCCGGACGGCACCGCATTGCTTCCGGATTTCAGCGCCCTTGTCGATAGCGCCTTCGCCGGCATGGGTGCTGGCTCTTTACCCAACCACGATGCCGCCAAATACAAGGCATACCTAGGCACTGATGACGCTATCAAACCGAAAACCCAGGATGCGCCACTGCAACGGACGACACCATACACCTCGTCAGCACCCACACCAACAAACCACGTTAATAGGGGAGGTGTGAGACCAGAACGATCAGGGTCAAAACGCGCCTACACAGACGCTGCGTTCCAAGGCTACGGCGAAGGCTTCAACGACGACTACGCAGACTCGACAGGTGGAGAAGACACGCCAGGCAGTATGGCGAACAAGAGGCGGAAGCTCCAATTTGAACGAACATCGCACTCTGTGGAAGTAGGCGGTGCACGACGATAGCGACGTCGATTATTTCTTTGACAGCATTTTGTTTCCGGGTCTTTCCAACACGGGCGTTTAACAGGAAAATTTCCGGTCACGAAAGCAACGGCGGCGGCCTCGGGGCCTGCTCGGGATGCGAAAACCTGACCTTTACCAACACCACCACCACAAATCACCATCAGCACATCATTTATTATTGGCATAATGCGTAGCGGGAACGAGCGGGCGGTATGACGACCATGATATTCCTACCTATTATATACATGGGGAAACAGATTGGGGCGCCAGGGGACTTTGTTTTCTGATTTGCGCGAGATGGAGGGAGTCTTTTGAACAGCAACTATTTCGAAATGTGCATATTTGGGCGGCAGAACCCTCATGATACCCTTAGGATACCACATAGCATACGTGGGCCTACATAAAATGAAATCGAATCGTAAACTCTAAACACGCCGTCTTTTGTGCATGATGCCTCGAGATGAGTAGAACTTGGACACATGTATGCAATTGGAAAGACGGGCTTCTGAGCCAAGCTTCTCTGGGAACATGCCTTGTTCATTTTACATGCCATGTACAATATCTTATACATTTCATCTCCATCAAAGCTGATGATGATCTTGATACATCCCAAGGCCGATCTATTCCGTCTTCTCCTCAGGACCCTTTTCCTTGTCCTCCATATCCATCCTCCGTGCTTCAACAGTAAAGTACAAGCTCTTACTCGCGCCCTCCAAGGCACTGGTAAGACTGCCTCCAACACCCTGCAGCATGTGTACAAGCTGAGCACGGAGACCGTCGATACCGCCATCGATGCCACCAACCCATTTAGTACCATCGACATCAAACACCTTGCCCTCTACCCTCGCACCCAGAAGCATCAACTTCTGCAGACCAACCTGTACAGAAGGCTCGTAGTAATCTGGATTCGCCTTTCGGCTCGGCGCGGGGAAATTGGGCTTCAAAGGCGCGAGGATAGACAGCACAGTCTTGAGATACTGCGGTGCTACATCGGGAAACGCAACAACGGCCAGCGGCCCCGATAACAGCGGCTCCAATTCCAATTTCAGTTTCCTGTTATTCGCAATCTCGTATGCACGTCTTGACAATCCGTGACTGAAGCGCTCGTCGTCTGCCTCGTTGCTCGTCTGCGCTATCTGCGCGCTGGTAGGTGTCCGGGGATCGGTAGGGTGTTGTGCGTGATCCAGCATCGAAGCCTTGGGGTTGAAGAACTCTACAACTCGTAGGGCGCTGGCGAAGATGTTGGTTTGTATGACTTGCATTTTAATTTCTTCGCCCAGCGTCTCCTGTCCGTTCTTCAGGCGCTGCTCATCCAGCTTCCGCAGGGCAATGGCCAGCTCCCTTCGTATACTCATCCATTCTACCGCTTTGACGTTGTTGTGCTGGAATATGAGTATCAAGGGCGAGGAGCGCAGTAGCGACTGGTATTGGCGATGTAGTTGTGTTTTGCGGACCTCTGGCGGCTTGTGAGACGGTGGTTGGGTGGGCGGATATCGTAAGACGGGAGGTGCGGATTTGTATGTTTGTTGGAGAGGTGGTGCAGGCGTGGTTGCTACAGTCGCGTAGGTTGCAACTGCAGGTAGAGAAGTGGCATGCCTTGGGCGTGGGGTGCAGGCGCGGAGGGCCCGTGGTCGTATGTGTATTCGTGGCGGCATCCTGCAATCTTATTACTACTCTGAAACAGCGATTCCTCTTGAAGGCGCAACAGGGACACTTACGTGAGGTGTGGTTGCGTCGCAATTGCGGGATGGGTTCGCATATCCAAATATTTCCATGCGTTTGAGATTCAATCCTGGTCTGTGCTCAGAGTCTACAGACAGCACATCTTCCCGTGTCGCAAACCACTAAAGACGTGCAATACTGATTGCGTCTCTTCGGCCTCTGATTACTTGGTTTAGATTCGTATTTTGACCATCTTTGCCGGGTTCAATCGACTACGGTCGTGGTAGTGCACGAATGGCGGCTCATATATGGCAAGCTGCACGGCAACTGCAAATACGGAGGACATCATCTCGCTACTTCCAGATCGCTAGATACATATCCGTAAGGCGATTTTTTTGGATGGTTCCTTAGTAAACACCCCTCTGACTTTCGATCAAGACAGACCCGAGAAATCGACTTTCCAAGTTTTGGGCACCAACGGGAGGTATATCACCACACGATGGTGACCAAGGCAAGTACATTCCACGTCAGATACAATCGGCCTGTTAACAGTCATCAAGACGAATCCCACTCTCTTCTCGTGAGAGGTGGCTTTTTACGTCAGGTACTTGCCGATAACCCTTTCGCTTTGGGACTACTTGGCTCATCACGTGTAGGCACACTCGGGAGTGTTCCACCTTTTACCACTAGGTCTACGCGTACAAAACAAGCTCGAAGGACTCATAGATAAGCACATGAATTCTATCGGGGCTTCAAAAGTCTCACTCTCCTCCATCACTACGGAAGCATTATGGCGGCAGTCAGGTCGCTACTCTGCCAATTCAGAACTTCTGCGTATCAAAGACAGAAGAGAGACTGGCTTCCTGTTATCACCGACTCATGAAGAGGAAATTACAGCTCTTGTGGCCAGCATGGTACATTCGTACAAGGACCTGCCGTTACGATTGTATCAGATAGGGCGCAAGTACCGCGACGAACGACGGCCAAGAGGTGGACTACTACGGGCGAAGGAGTTTATGATGAAAGATCTCTACACATTCGACTCCTCGCCAAAAGCTGCACTCGAGACGTACGAATCGGTACGAGATGCATACAACAATCTCTTCAATGAGCTCAAACTACCTTATCTTGTGGCAGACGCCGACTCCGGCAACATGGGAGGGAAGTTGAGCCATGAATACCACTTTGCGTCACCCAAGGGTGAAGACTACATCTTCTCTTGTCAATCATGCGAGTATGTTGTGAATGAGGAGCTCGTCGAGAAAAACACCGGCCCTGCAGCACCGAAAACCAGCGACTCGCTCATTTTCACCGGCATAAGCGTTGACAAGAAGACAGCAATCAACATTCACATTCCAAAACCATATGGACTAGGGGTGGACAAGGTATCATGGGACGGTGTCTCTGCCTTTGTCAACTTGCACGCCGTCAAAAAAGCATTGCCCAAAGATATTGAAATTGACACGGGCATTGAAACCTTAACCTTGAGGTCCCTCCTCTCGACAACTACCGAAACTATAGATGTGTACGACCCCGCCATTGCCAACGCCCCATCTACCTGTAGTATAGATATCACGCTCACCAAGCCCGGCGATCCTTGCCCTCGCTGCGCCACCGGCAAACTGAACATCCAAAAAGCCATCGAGGTGGGCCACACTTTCCATCTTGGTACCCGATACAGTGTACCCTTAAACGCAGTCATAGCACTACGGGATCAGAACCTCTCTTCCCCAGTACACATGGGATGTCATGGAATCGGCGTCTCGCGCATCATCGGTGCAGTAGCGTCCCTACTCTCAGATGCTAGAGGCCTTAATTGGCCAAGAGTCATCGCCCCCTATGAAGCCATTGTTCTCAGTGATCCGAAAACAGAAGAAGAAGATACTACAGAGGTGTACGATGCGCTTCGTGGAGAGGAGAGGAATCCTGATATCGACCTAGTGCTTGATGACCGAGCAGGAAAAAGTCTAGGTTGGAAGCTGAAAGATGCTGACTTAATTGGATATCCGGTTGTCGTTGTGCTGGGTAGGAGTTGGAAGGACAAGAAAGTAGAGATTCAATGTCGAAGATTGGGGGTCAAGAAGGATGTCGATTTGAAGGAATTGAGGACCGAGGCTCTAGCATTGTTGGAGCAGTTGTAGGATCCTGTGGAGAGTGCTAGATATGAAAGGTTATAGAATATGTACCACTATCAATGCGGCCAATGCGCCGAATGTAGATAATACTACTTCGACTGAGTGCAACGCAGATTGATTGCAGTTGAAAAGGCAGATAAAACTCCCATCACAAGCAATTGACATCTTGAGTACGTCTTCTACATACTGCAAGATCAACAAGGTCTAAGGTATGCCTTTTTCCTGTTGAAATCTCAGTTGTTCGAGATGAAATATTCCACAAACGCCTCAGCGCTAAGCAGCTGCGATGACGTCTCGAGCTGCACCAACATCAATTGCATGTATCAACAATACACAAATATCAGAACTCACAGCCTTTCCAAACTTACCGCTTCTGCAACCACTCTTCCTCTACGTTTTTGTTTCACTGCCAGCAATTCGCATAAACATAGACACACAATGAGCGACACCACCATCTCCATTCTCCGCGCAATCGCAACAATCGCACCAGCTATATACACCGGTACCACATACCCACCTCCTCCCACACCAACTCAACCAAGAGCCCCAAGCTAACAACGAACACAAACCCTTAGGTTTCACATTCGCCTACACCCACGTCGCCATGCCCCCCTTGACAACGCACGCCCCACCCAAACTCCTCGCGAAACAATGGTTTCAAGCCTACGAATTTGCGCCCGCCTACGTAGGCCCAATGATCCTCCTCGGTGCCTCTAGCAACGCCCTGCTCGCCTGTTTCACGTCTTCGTCTTCGTCGATAATAGCAAAGGGACTATACATTGTTGCAGCGGGTGCAATGGCTAGTGTTGTACCGTATACGATGCTGTATATGGAGTCTGGGGTCAACGGCGCGGGCAAGTGCAAGGTACAGGAACTATTGCGTGAGGAGGGGTTTCTACTAAAGGCAAAAGGTAAAGGTAAAGTGACGGATTGGGATAGTGCGAGTGAGAGGGCAAGGAGGTGGGCAGAGACTGTGGATATGAAGGTTATTGTGCAGACGTGGGCGAGGACGAATGCGTGGAGGTACATTATTAGTGGGGTTGCTACAGTACTTAGTGCGGCTGCTACCGTGTTTGTATGAGTGTTGTTGTAGTCGTTATCAAGTTGAGTCAGTATCATTGATTAAAGATACTTTCATCTTACAATGACGTTCAGATACATGACAAAATATGCTTTTACCGCAATCGAATAAATATAATACAGTTGAGTGAGATATTGTTTAACTTACCTGCCATGTAGACTTCTGCATGGATCGCCCACTCGCACAATGAGGCCATTCAAACACTCTTGTATATGAGCCAAGTCAGTGCTTCCAACTGGCTCCTCAATGGGTCGACAACTATCATACAGATTATACCATATTCATACATCGTCCCAATGTCCTCATAGCACAAGCAAAAGAATAAATGACGCGAGTACTCATGACCTGTCATTTGCTCTTCTCTCATGCGCCACATGCGCCCTCATGGCGGACCCTACGACATCTGTGGTCGGCAATACTTGCACTTCAGCCTGGTGGGAGTTGCCTTCTTCGCTTGACATTGAGCTTCGTTTATCATTCAACTGTTCGATACTCGCAGCGAGCGAACGTCGTTGTCTCAGTGTCATTTTTAGTGGACGTCGGAGGGGAGCGTCATCGCCCTCTCGTGGCTCAGGTTTTGATATATCAGTTCCAGCCTTTTGCCATGCGCGCTGGTGCTCTTGGATAAGCTCGGTTTCCATCTGCCTGATGCTCCTTTCGACATTTGGTTTGCCTTTTTTCTGGACCGGCGAGACGCTCTTTGCAGGCTTCTGTATTTCCAAAGGCTTCACCTGTTCTTGTTTCGATACCGGGGCTGACACTGGTTCCTCTTCATGAGATGTGACAGGAGCTGCCATTGTCTCTTCCTGGGTGGATTCTGGAGTGTCCTCGTGCCACTTTATTCTGCGTTGCTCCCGCAATTTTGCCCGTCGTTCAAGTCTCTTGCTGCCTTGTCTCTGTCTAAGAATTATTTCTGCTAACTGTTCTTGAAAGAGGGCATAAACATGGCACGGCTTTCCCCGCCTTTTCAGTGTTCCTGCTTTTGTGTTCGCAATATTCCATGCGTGTTGTCGGAGACCAGCAGGGAGGGGTGCCTCATCTTCCTGCATCCCTGCCTTTAATTCCTCCTTCCGCCACTTTATTTCCTTCTTTTCTCTTTCACTCAATCCATCTGGCTCTCTGTGGTCTTCTTCCTCTTTCTGAATTTGCTGCTCTCCGTCATTCTGTTTCCGGGCTTCTAGCTCTGTATATTTCTGCTCTTCCGACTCCTTTTCTTCGTGAGCTTCTGGCACATTTTGATCCTGAGTTTCCAGCACCTTCTCTTCTTGAACGTCGGAGTTATTTTGTGCCTGATTTTTTAGCTCATTTTCTTCGTGAACTTCTGGCACCTTTTGTGCCTGAGCTTCTAGCTCGTTCTTTTCTTGACCGTCAGAGTCCCTTTGTGCCTGAGCTTCTAGCTCTTTCTCTTCTTGGACAGCAGAGCCCTTTTGTGCCTGAGCTTCCACCTCCTTCTCTTCTTGGACATTGGATTCCTTCTGTGTCTGGACCACTAGCTCCTTTTCTCCTTGAGTGTCGGGTTCATGCTGTGTCTGGGCCTCTAGCTTCTGCTGTTTCTGAAGTTCTACCTCCTGTTGTTTCTGAGTCCCTAGCTTCTGTTGTTTCTGGGCCTCTATTTCCTGCTGTCTCTGAGCCTCGAGTTCTTTTTTCCTCTGAGCTTCTAGTTTCTGTTGTTTCTGAGCCTCTAGTTCCTTTTTCTTCTGAGCTTCTAGTTTCTGTTGTTTCTGAGCCTCTAGTTCCTTTTTCTTCTGAGCTTCTAGTTTCTGTTGTTTCTGAGCTTCTAGTTCCTGGTTTTTCTGAGCTTCTAGTTCCCTTTTCTTCTGAGCCTTTAGCTCCTTGTTTCTTTGGTCTTCTAGTCTCTTCTTCTCCTGAGCCTCTAACTCCTTTTTCTTGGCCTCTTGCTCCTTTTGCTTCTGTTTCTCTTTCTGTATTTCCTGCTTCTTCATACTCTGCAAGGCTATCTCCTTCTCCCTTACCTTCTGTCGTTCTTTCTTCTCTTGCTCCTGTAATAGCTTCATCTTCTCTCTCTCTTTTCGTGCCTCTTTTCGTCTCTGCTTCATTGAAAAGGGTTCTTGTCCCAGCAGCTTCTGCGTATATTGTCTCAAGTAGTCCCCGATAGTGGTCGACTCCACTTCTGTAGTAGCTCTGTCCGCGAAATCTGCCGAGTTCGATTTCTCAGTTTCTGGAGACGTATTTAGGGCCTTCTGCTTGGTCATATTGACCATGTCCTTGTCTAGCTGTGCTTGTGGTTGCACACCATAGAGAAATTGGGAGAAAAGACTGGTCCACGTTGTTTTTGACTGGTCGATCGCATTCTCTTTCATAGCCTCCGCCTGAGAAGCCTTCTCTTTTCTTCGTAACTCTGCCTTTTTGCGAGACGCGGCCATACTTTTCTGGTCTTGTTCTCGCTCTATGCTTTCGACCAACCGCTGTGCTGCGTTTTCTTTTCGCTCTCTCTCAGCTATGCTATCGTCGTCCCTCCTCAGATACCTGTTCTGGTCCAGTTTAAGCGTATTGATAACACGTTTGACTGCTTCAACGTCATGTCCTGAATCTATGTAAACAGCACCAAGAAGAGCTTCAAACGTCTCTGCTACCTGGTTGGGTGTGGCGCTAGTAGCTCCCGTTGCGAGTATAAGATTTTTGTGAAGGTTGATTTGCAGACCCTGGGTATTGAGGGCAGCTCTGGTCACGGTTTTCAGACTCATAGCTGTATAGTTCGCTGGTATGATGTCAGTTGGAACTTTGAACCTCCGTGAAGGACAAACCTAATGTGTTTCCCGTATAGAACCAAATTTCACTCAAAGCTAAGTCGAGTGCCCGATCGCCCAACAAAGCCAAACGTCTGTTGCAATCGGTATTGATGACAACGCCTTGGAAGTAGAGTGGCGTGGTGCTATTTGTTTGCTTGAGTGCCTCTATGCAGTACAACTTGTATTTGAAGGTGTACCCGATACTTTCTTCTACGCGTCCCACTCTTGCCGCTGCATCCAACAGTTCATGATGAGGGAATGGTGCAGGTGCATACCATTTCAACTTCTGATTCTCGAGCGTAAAGTAGACTCGGTCTCTTCTTTCAAATAATTCAGGTATACGTGCTTTTGGGCCGAAATGCTGGCGCAACGCGCCACGAGTGCCCCAGAAGTAGTCGTTCACGCGGTGTTGATACGGGATAGTCTTGCGTAAGTTCTCCTTGAACAGCCGTGAAATGCGGCCATGGCCAAGCTTGTCAAACATGGCGCTTATTGCACGATAACGACGTCACCTCTACCAAGCCTTCTTAGGATGATGTTTCTTGTATCTCTGATGTGAATTACGCTGTTGGACTTGACGAAAAACTGAGAAAAGTGAGTGAGGCTCTAGCTGCGAGTCCTGATTGGGCGACGAACTCCGGTCGCAGGCCACATACCAACGCACCACCAAAAGCCGTACTGACTGGCTTACAGGCCAATTTTCCTGATTCAGAGTGCCTTGAGACATATCTCACTCACGATATGTGAGCTTGGTGGCTGTGATTGATGAAACCGATAACGGATTTCGTGGTCGAAAGTGCGAAAAAGCTTCGGACGATGAAATCTCTAGCGTGTTCGGCCGCACAGACGGCTGCAGGGCGGTTGCCACCGCATTAGGCACTGCATTCCTCGTCACCTCTCAATTGATATTCTTGAGATTATATAGAGCGGCTGCGACTCATCTGTTATCCTTAGTAATAGTGCCTACGATCAGGTTTCGATGTGCATAACGGCTGGGAGAACAAATCTTCCAATGCCGTAGGCCTCCATCGGCATATTTACAGGATCCTTGAAACACCATACATGTACCTCATCAAATTCTATAGTTGAGCTCTTCAGTAAGTAAAGAATGGCGAAAGATATTATATCTAGAGTCTCATCGGCCTAATATATGGCTTTACTAGGTAAACACCAATCTAGCTAGGATCATATAATACGACGAGGGTGTGCATTATCTTGATATTATAGGTCTAGTAAGGGCAAACTCTGTTTGTTCGGCTTTCTCAGAGAGCAATGTGACGATATAGCTACCAAATCTGAATTGTGCTCTTGCTAGCACATCTTCGGTATAAGTAGCACCTGGCCTTTATGATGCGCGACTCTTCGTTCATACTGTATAATGTCCTACGTGTTGTTGGCTGATTGACTGACCTATGATCTCGTGAGAAAAGACGATTAGGTTCCTAGTATAGACAAAAGGGCTGGGTGTTGGTGTTGGGCATATTCGTGTAAACAGGTGAGCTAATTGGTAATTCTGTATATCGACGTGTCCGCTACTTGCGCACTTGTACAAGCTGATGATAACTCGACTTCACATATTTATCTCCAGTACCGAATGAGTTCTGACGAGTGTTGTATTGCATATCTACGGAGAACACATGCCAGGATAACAACTACTATGTCAATCATAGCCTTAGACGGGCATATCTTCATGGCCATACAGGCCACATCTTGACATGCAAACCAAACCTTATCAGGTCTACTATCTTTAGGCAGCACGGCCATCCTCGATACTGCCTTATTTCGGCCGCACACTCTGTGGGTTGTGGAACACATCTCCCGCGTCGACCCAGCTCTTGATAGTTTGCAGTCTTTCCGAATTTATTCCCCAATAAGCCTTTGCGCTGCTGTTACCCAGTGCAGTATCTACGTAGCCTGGATACGCACCCCAATATCCACCTGGATTTGATTCCATGATAACGCTGTTTACGCGATTGAGGAACTCGTGAGTATCGTCCTTGACCTAAGAAAAGGTTAGTATGCGTCAGGCGGTTCGTGTCAAAGATTGGGTTTTACTGACCCTGCCCAGTAGGTTTATAGCATATGACTGTTGAAAGAAAATCGCGTCACGGTGGCCGTAAGATGTTTCAGTCGTAGGCACATCACTGATGGCACCGCCCTCGAGATCCCAGATGACGAACCACACCGCACCACCTTTATCCGCCTTGTCGATGTAATTGAAGAGTTTGTCGACCGTCGCATCGTCCATTATCTCGTCTTTTTTAAAGCCCAGAGATTTAGAGTAGAAATGAGCCGGGATGCCTCCACCAGCTCGCAAAGCCAAGCTTTCGCCCCAATGACCTACAACCCCGAGCCAATTCTTCACTTCGGTATTGTTGGATATCATATCAGCTGGGAGACGAGAGGTAATGTCTAGGCTGTCGAACTCTGCCTGGGTGCCGAAGAATGTACCGGTGACGACTGTAATAGCTTCGCTCAATACGAACGTGCTCGCAAACTTCCTGGAAACACTGGGATCAGTTGTAAGTTTCTGCCACTGCTTAAACGCATTGGCCCGAGACGCAACAGAGCCGCCCTGTAAGGTGTACGAGTACAACACTGAGCTGCTGGGTTCAGGATAGGTGCGTACTTTGAACTCGGTGACGACTGCGACGCTGGCTGCAGCTCCCCGTATGGCAAAGAAGAGGTCTTCATTTTGTGTCTTTGAAGCTCGTACGATTTGACCATTGGCTAGGACTGCTTCCACTTCTTCAATACTATCCAGGGTCAAGCCATACATGCGCGAAAGAGGTCCTAGGCCACCTATCGTCCCGTGGCCACCGAACCCGATTTGAGGGGATGTGCCATGGGGGATGACACGGTTGCCATTTTCATGTAGACGCTTGGAGACATCGCCAAGCAGGGTTCCAGGACCGATGGTAGCTTGCCAAGTAGAAGTATCCATGGAGAACTGCTTGAACTTCTGCATATCGATAACAATGGCACCGTCCCCATCTCCAAGGGCAAAATTGGCATACGAGTGCCCGCCGGAGCGCGCCTGGACTTTCTTATCGTATGTCGTAGCGCATTTGATGATCTGAGCGACTTCCTTTGTGCTTCCTGGGTATGTGACTGCAATCGGGTTGACTGGATAGTCAAGGTTGTATGGCTTGACATCCGTCAACTGGAAAAGCAGTTTGTCATGGAAAGCATAGCTTCCAAGGGGGCTTGTGGCGACTTTGAGACAATCCTCAAGAGGATTTGACTGAACACCACTTGATCCTTGGCCCATAGCGTAGGTGTATAGGTGGAAGTATCCTTGACACGTAGTTAGCTACTGGCTTCCAAGATCCCGTTATTTTTGAAATCTCACACTGAATAGGAAGATCTACTTGCGAGCGTGAGCAGTTCTAGGTACGAAGGCACTTATTATACAACGTCGCTGATTAGGAATGATCCACCTGGGTACCGAAATGACACCGCCAACATGGATATGCTTACGCTTGGCAATAGTCAAGTTCGCGAGAACACGGGTAAGAAAACGCGTGGCCAATGTCTGAGTGTCATTTTAATGAATACCTGCATAGTCGATGTGCTTTTATTGCGAGTATCCGGCTTCCGAAGTGCGGAGCGGCAGCAGGATGCAATCCACGCCCGAGAAACTGGCATGCAATGATCAACTTGCAGTAAACTCTTGTGTCGGGACCATCTATGATCCGCGTTTAGTACGAGCTTTGGGCCCATGCCGAGTTATGCCGTTGCCTCATGACTTGTGATAGGATCGCCACTTATCCGCGTGCATGTACGCCTTCTTCCCCAATGGTTCAGCCCGCAATTATCCACAATGCAATTCCATCATCATCTGAGACCGCATCCATGGTAGAGTATTAGATTAGACTGAAGAGACCCTTGAATACCTCTCGTTTTAAGCTCTGGTACACTGAAGCGGCCCGCATCTAGCACGAAGCTTACATGCAAGGCGAATCCCTCCGGTATACCACAGATATTGGTCAGACGTCATCAACCATCGAGCTGTATCTGGGAAAGGGGCACTGAGAAGTGTTCATGGCCATGACTAGCGCAGGTAAATAACAGCAAATGGAATGGCGTGAGGCGTTGCACGTAAGATATTTCCGACGTCCCCCCGTTCCTCCGATATCACGCCTTCAGAAGCAAATTGCATACTGTGCCCTCTTTCTGTTCTCAAGTGAATGCTCTCGCAGCAAACTCAAGTAAAACCAGGTACTGTATTGCGGCACTTGAGAAGGACATGTGATTCGAACGTGACTAATAGTACGTGTTGAGTGTCGAAGGTTAGATGTGGCGTGTGCAGCGATCGTGATGCAGGGATCAGTGAGGGTCATACCCTGAATACCAAACGTTGCCGATACTGATGCCATTGCATACACAATTGCATGTATCGAAATTGAGCAGAGTTCCATGGAAACATTGCAAACCGCAGCTCATACCATGCCGATCAGTACCATATGCTTCGTGTCCGATGATGTGGTATCGCTTCTGCCCCCTCTTTTTCCTTCTCTTTGGCTAGGTCATACAGGAAGAAGTCAATGAGGATCGCATTGACTTTTGCGTCCGGCTTCAGCTTGAGTATTTCTCGGCGAAGGAGCTCTACGGCCCAGATACTACATCCGCGTATTTGCATCTCCCAGGAGTGACCAGATTCTATAGTTTCAAGACGGCGAAGTTTGTTTTCGAGGGGAGGGCAGTACCATATCATGCCCAGTGAGTGCAGCATCTGTGGGATACGGTAATCTAGAGGGAGGTCAGTCTCGATTAGACTAGGTCAGATTAGGTCATCAAGCTTCCGCGTACCTGCAAACATGGTGATCTTGTCGATATCGTTGAATTTGCCGTAGCTTTCGCCGTCGAAGGCAGCCCATAGATCTGCAACGAATATTTGAGCTCGTTTCAAGAAGCGAACCTTTTTGTTCTCGAACTTGCCCTCGTCTCTGAAGCAATTAAACTTTTCGGCGAGAAGGTTGACGAGAGCGGCTGCAGAGTTGTTCGCATCTTCTATCAAAGTGACAATGCTGTTGTCGAATTCCTACAAGGCCAGTTATAAGTTAAATTGATCTACTAGACTCGCATGCGTGGAAGACACACCTCCTCTAGGATCTGGCCAGCTTCCCTCAAACACCGCACTCGTTGCTCGAACATTGGAATTTCCTCGTCGGTACCAGAGCTGAAAACTGTCCGCAGCACTTCCTCGGAGCACTGCTCTTCATCAACCCAAAACTCTGGGCTGGTGATGGGTATCTCCTGGTCCAAAGCTCTTTGTAAAATAGCGACTAAACTCCAGTATCCGGTCCACCTTTTCCCCTTGTACACTACAGCAAAGCGCTCGTCGTCACTCTTCTCGCTCCAGAAGCTAAAGTTCAGGAGGTCCATAGTGAAGATGAAGTTGAGTGTGCTCTCATCTTTTGCTTTTGGATGCAGCTCATGCTCAGACCATGTCTTTGTTGAATACTCTCGCTGCTCCATCTCGGCGAGTACGAGTTGAGCAGCGACCTTGGTAGAGCGCATATCCAAGGCGACGTCCATGCTGTTGTCGTAGATGAATTGTGCATTTTCGAGGACCTTTGTCTCTGGCGGACCATTGTCTTTGGCGCCCCCACCCCAGTGCTTCCGCATGAGGTCTAGCAGCTCCAAATCAACCTCATCGTCCGACATGATGAGGGGACCGAGAGGCACGCTATGTCCAGGCTCGGTAGTCGCAGTGAATATAAGTTGCAGGGTAGCGGCGAGGTATTGGTGTTAGCTAGTTAGCTACAACTGAATGGCTGCCACGCCGCCAAAGCAAGTGTGCAGATGCAATGAGTGAATATTCCGTGTCTGCGTCTTCGATTTGTATAATGCACTCATATGTACAGTAGGGCGCTCGTTTAGTCGCCAAGGTTCCGAGGCTGAAGGAAGCGGACGTGGGCGGCGCTAACTTGACTACCCAGCAGCACTGACGTCTCGTCTCGTCTCTCACTTGCTAGTTGCTACCTACCTATCTCACCTTGAACCGGGCATCGGCACCGGCACCGTGCCTATCGTCGCATGTCGTAGGCTCGCGCAAAACAAACCTCGCCCTACAATAGTATTGTACCGCTCGCTTCTCGCAACCACAGATTCGCAATGGCACGCGACAAGTTTGCTCGACAGAGCCTCAGCGGCACCCTTCACCAGCGCATCAAGGAGGTTAGCTGCTCGGCACGCGCAAACAGGTTTCGTGCACATGGCTGACCATGTACATACAGGCACGCGTCCTGATGGTAGGCGCTGGTGGCATCGGCTGCGAATTACTCAAAAACTTAGTCCTCACCAGTTTTGGCGAAGTTCACGTCGTAGACCTGGACACCATCGACCTCAGCAACCTCAATCGCCAGTTTCTGTTTCGCAATGAGCACATCAAGAAGTCAAAGGCATTGGTATGGCCAAACCCCGGCTCGGGGCGATTGCGCTCACAATCCCACAGGTTGCGAAAGAGTCGGCTGGCAGATTCAACCCCAATGTCCGCATCATAGCCTATCACGACAACATCAAGGATACTCAATTCAATGTCGCGTGGTTCCAGAGCTTCAGCATCGTCTTCAATGCGCTGGACAATCTAGATGCGCGGCGGCACGTCAACAAAATGTGCCTGGCAGCCAATGTCCCGCTGATTGAGAGCGGCACAACTGGGTTCAATGGACAGGTCCAGGTCATCAAGAGAGTGCGCAACACTAACTCGAAGTGCTCGTGAGATTGGTATGCTAACTAGTGGTAATTGCAATCAGGGCGAAACCGAATGCTACGACTGCACCCCGAAAGATGCGCCCAAGACCTTCCCCGTCTGCACGATTCGAAGCACACCGTCACAACCCATCCACTGTATAGTATGGGGAAAGTCTTATCTGTTTGCCGAAATATTTGGCACATCAGAAGACGAAGCGCCAGAACTAGACCACAGCGAAACCGCCGACAACGCAACCGAGGTCGCAAACTTGCGCAAGGAAGCACAGGCGCTGAAGCGCATACGCGACTCTATGGGTTCCAAGGATTTCCCGCGCTTGGTCTTCGACAAAGTCTTCAAGGAAGACATCGAGCGGTTGCGGAGCATGGAGGACATGTGGAAGACGAAGCGAGCACCCGAAGCACTAGACTACGATACGCTCATGCAAGAGTCATTAGGCGTGGGTCCTATTATCGCACAGCAAGACCAAGTCGTATGGAACGTGGCAGAAAACTTTGCCGTTTTTGTCGACAGCATAAAGCGCCTCAGTACTCGGCTGGAAGAGACGCGCGCAAATGCAGACGTTGGAAATTCGGTGCCTATTCTTAGCTTCGACAAGGACGATGTGGACACACTGGACTTTGTTGTCGCAAGCGCAAACCTACGCTCACATATTTTCGGTATCGAATTGCGGTCCAAGTTCGACATCAAGCGTATGCATTCTGAGCAAACCCAATTAACAACAGTGCTAACCAACTGCAGAAATGGCCGGCAACATCATCCCAGCTATCGCAACTACCAACGCCATGACGGCCGGTCTCTGCGTTCTCCAAGCATTCAAGGTTATGCGTGAACAGCTTGATAGGGCGAAAATGGTCTTCCTCACCCGAGGCACTGAGCGCGTCATCTCAAGCGAGTCCCTCCGTCCGCCAAATCCTCACTGTACAACATGCGGCGTATGCTACGCAGAACTCCACGTGGACACGAAACGCGCGAAGCTGAGCGATCTTATGGATACCATCCTCAAGGGGCAGCTCGGATATGGAGAGGACTTTAGCATCAAGCGTGAGGCCGATATTCTCTACGATGTCGACGAAGACGTTCACCTTGACAAGACATTCGAGGAGCTAGGGCTCAAGGGTGACACTTTTCTCACAATCTCCGACGAGGCTGATGAGAATGCAAAAGTCGACGTTGTGTTTTCTGTTATCCAGCAAGTGTTCACTGAGAATGCCAATCCTCTCAGACTACCAGGCGAGGTGAAGATCGCGACGAAGCCTAACACGCCAAGCCCAGAGACTAATGGCCATGCGACCATAAACGGCACTCTTCCCCATGGGCGTTCCAAGGCCACTACAAATGGGACAGCAAACGGTCCTATAAAGCGCACAGCCAGCGAAGCAGGTCTCGAGGATGACCTTGTGCGCAAAAAGGGCAAGGTCATCGAAGAGGCACAGAAAAAAGGCGACGACCACATTGTCATTCAAGATGACAAAGACGACGGAGCGATTGTCATTGACGATGATTGAGAAAAGCGCCTTCTTGGAAGCCCAGCATCGAACGCGATCTGGTATATTGTCATTCCTCGTTGACGGGAGAGCTTGGTATTCTATTGGCACCAACCCAATACAGTATACAGCGCCTCTTCCGTTTCGTCCTTGGACCGTGGGCGTTGAAGCATGTTCACCGCCTTGGTCACCGACCCAGAACTTACTTCTCCGTCGTGGACTTCTTATTGAACTACGCGCATCCACAAATCTCCTCCTCTGTACAACAGCAATCTGGGATCTAATCAGTCGGGCGTTCTGGGAGAGCTGGAAAGAAACGGTATATACCTCAGGGATCATCTGAAAGCTTGGGGGGACTTAGGGCCGTATTGCAAGGCCGAAATGGCAAGAAACGGGAACACAAATGATTGATCATCAGAGTCTTTTTTGTGTCGATTTAGACGGCAGATAAGCCACCATCCAAATTCACCACGCAATTATGTGCATACTTGTTTTGTGCGAGGAAAAGTGCTGCATGTGCGATTTCTTCCGGTGATCCAAAGCGGCCTAGTGGGATGCGTTTCTCAAGGTTGGCTTTGTCTAGGTCTAGGAATGGAAAGGTTGTTCTTGTTAGCTTTCTAGTTTCTCCTTGTACGACATATACGCACCTTTTGTCATATTCGTCTCAACATAGCCAGGTACAATCGCGTTAACGCGCACCTTGTGACTGGCATATTCGGTCGCCAGCGCGCGGGTGAACCCCAAAACACCTGCTTTCGCCGCTGCATACGCAACAGCGCCGTATCCTCCGTGGAGACCTAGCAGTGAGCTTACATTGATGACGACGGGGTCGTGGGCTTTCTCCGCATCAGCAGAGCGTTTGAGGTATCCGTGTCTAAAGAGTTGCTCATAGCGTTAGTACACCGATCGTAATCTCATTTCTTGCATTCCGGACAAGGGTGAATAAATAAATATAGCACGTACCGTAAAAGGAACCTTGTGCCATGCATCATTGCATTGAGATTGGCTTTGATTATTTCATCGATTTCTTCCTCGCTCTGCGCCGAGAAGAGCTTCGCTTGAGTTCGACCGGCGCAATTGACTACTACGTCTATACGTGAGCTCACTGGTGGAGTTTTGGTAGAGGCTGGCCTGGGTAGGCGGGCTGCGAAGGGTCCAGAGGGCGCGGTTGTCCAGAACAATGTGGCGTGGGTTATGTCTCCTGCCATGTATCCGTGCTGCAGGCTTGCAGATAGATCCGGTGTAATTGGCTTGAGTAATTCATCGCCTGCTACTACTGAATGTTGGACTGTGTCGGGTAACGTGCGTGGTTGCTCATTGGATGTTGACGATGGTGTGCTTGATGGTATAGGTTTTAGAGTTGCTACCGCGGCTTTAAGATCCTCTTCTGAGCGGGATATCAAAGTGCAACGGTATGCGTTCTTTGCAAACAACTGTGCGATAGCTAGGCCTATACCTCGGCTTCCGCCTGTTATAAGGACGTGAGGTGGTCTCGCCATGGTCGTTAGGTAAGAGCGATCTCAAAGTCTACCAGCTGGCCGCCAACCAGATTCTGATTATTCTCCCAAAGCGGTCGCACTTTGTTGAAGGTAATTGAACTGGTTGAGTTTTCCTAAGGTGATCTCGACAAGACGTGGGACAGATGTAATAGAAGTGATCAGAGCTAACGTTACCGGTACTTACGCGAGAAAACGTGACAGCGCGACGGCGGAGCCATTCCCCGCGATCTTTATCCCTGTGCGCCTCAACGCCCCACGACCCTGCCCATCGGCAAACGTCTTTCTTCCGGAACACTACATGCACATATCGCGGCTATGGCAGACAACAAGACCACCGAGTACGTCACTCTCGTGTCCAACGACGGCTACGAATTCAAGCTCCTCCGCTCCGCAGCCTGCATAGCGGGCACCATCAAGAAGGCGCTGGACCCCATGTGTACTGCCCACACCACCTTTTCTCAACTCCAAGCCTTTACTAACAGACCTGAATAGCCGGCTTCCGAGAGAACACACAGAATCGCATTGATCTGCCCACCATCAAGTACGTCGAATCCTACGGTTATTTCCCACATTGGGTATGACGAACATGCTGACTTAATGGAAACGTAGTGGCGTTGTGCTAGAAAAAGTCTGCGAATACCTTTATTATAACCAGAAGCACGCCGAAAGCAAGGACGTTTCTGATATGGACATACCGCCAGAGCTGTGTTTGGAGCTGTTGATTGCTGCGGATTATCTTGACGGTATGTGATAGCGTACAAGGAAGATGGCCATGTACTGACAAGTCTAGTATGAGCGTATCTTGGGAACTACTGAGCTACTACAGCCAGGCTCAAGGTTGCCTTTGGGAGGGCAACCAGCCGACTGAGACTCGTGGGGCGGAGTATACAAGAGACGCCTACAGGGTCCATCCGGTGGTGATGTGTCTAGTAATAATTATTCTAGGATGTCGACAACGCTGAAGTAATACTACTAAGCCATCACTCTGAACAAGCGGGGAGGGATCTCGTAGGCCCTCAGGGCGCGAGGAGGGGCGCAAGGTTTGGAGAGTTTGTTCATTACATGTACATATATACTCTCAATTACTACCTTGGAAAGAAAGCGCCTTTCTGTACGCAGCCCACAAGTGCATCAAGATCGCCCAGGAACCTCGTACCACTCCCTTCAACCACTCTTTCGCATCCTCCAGTCCCAGTCCACTCCTCTTCAACCGCCACATCCCTCCAATAGCAAGTACAAGCGCAAGACCCCTGACCGCCCGCCTCATTCTCGTTTTCGCAATACCTCTACTCGTAAACTCAATGTTCCAGTCGTCCCACTTGGGGAATGTACAACGGCGCCAGAAATCGACTTGTGTATATGGGTAGACAGTCGAGTTCCAACCGTCTGCAGTGTAGTACCAGCTCGAACACCCACTCTGCCAAACGGTGTTCTTGAGAGCGCGTTGCATTTCAGCTGTGTAGGCTACCTCGGCAGAGTGCTTGACATCAACTGTGCGAGCCTCGTCGTTGAGGATAAGTCGGATAAAGTTGAGCGAGTAGTTCACCATGTCTAGGCTGAGAGTTAGCAATGTAGTCAACAAGTGTCCATGAAACTTACTCTCGCTGGCCATGACGACAGATGAGTGTCCAGTCGCAGTATTTGGCCCGAATATCATCATGAAGTTTGGGAAACCGTCGACGGCAGTACCTTGGTACGCCTGGGCGCCTCCTCGTTCTTCCATGACTTGTACTAGGTCCTTGCCTCCTTTGCCAATGACCTTGAGCGGGTGTAGCCAACGCGTAGTGTCGAAGCCGTTTGCCAAGACGATGATATCAGCTGGAATCTCCCTCTCGGGATGCTCATCCTCTTTCACGCTACGCGGGTACGTTACACCAGGTCCAATGACAACACCGTCTTCAGTGATCCGATTCAGCGGTTGGGTGGTCAACTCTATCTTTGGGTTGTTCAGACTCTGTAGCCATCTCTTGTCGTAGATGCGTCGTTTACATCCTACACCGTAATCTGGCGTCATCATCTCCCAGTACTTTTCCGGCACATTTTTTCGCATGTGCTCAAGCGTCTTCTCTTCGTATTCTTTCCTTCCCTCCTCAGCATACGGTGTGTTGGGAAAGAGCTTGAGAAATCCGGCTTCTGCACCAGCAAAAATAGTGAATCGAAGGAGCTCTTTTAACCCGGGTATGTATTTCATGAGTCTTGGCCCGTTCTTCTCCCACCACTCATCGCCACCGGGGGCTGGGAAGGCAGGTACAACCCATGGGGGTGATCTCATCAACTGAGTGACAGATTTGGCATTGTAAGGGGCATTGGGAAGGCGTGGGACGAGCTGCGCGGAACTGCATCCTGTCCCTACCACCACCACATTCTTGTCCGTAAATTCGATCATATCATCCCACCGAGCCGAGTGAAACATTTTGCCCTTGAAGTTCTCGATGCCTTTGATCTCGTCCGGCCAGCCTTTGGGCTCGACCAGGCCGCCTACACAGCTGAGCACAACTTTTGCTTTTACAACTTCCGTCTCGGAGTATACCGCGTATTCGCCCCTTTCTTGTGCAATCTTGATACGCTCCTTGGAGGAGAGGTCGCCCATGCCGGCGATCAAACGGCGGAGTGTAACTTCCCATAGTTGCTCATCTTCGAGCCATTTGCAGCATTCAATGTCGGTATTGAGCTCGATCTTGTCGGTAATCTTGTATTTGTCGCAGACTTGGTGATAGTAGCGTACGATTTCTTTGCCGGGTGGGTGAAACGAGGTCCAGTTGGGGTTTTGCGCGAAGGAGAAAGAGTAGAATACTGCAGGTACATCACTATGTACGTAGAATTTAGCTTTGATTTCTGGAAATAGATAGCTTGTGATAGAAATGGGTCACATTGTTTGAAAATATGGATGCTTGGAGTTTTGTTCGGTATAGGGGATTCTGAGGCCATACCACGCAACACCTGGGTATCTATTGATCCACCAAGTTCCTCCGATTCCAGCTTGACGGTCGAATATACGAAACTGGTCAAAGCCCAGCTGCTGTTTCAGCTGACATGCCATGGCAATCCCAGATGCTCCAGCCCCAACAATGATGACGGGGTAGTACGTGTATGCATCTTTCTCATAGCCGTTGACTCTTCGTATCGTTTCTTTAATCATGTTGGCGTCTCCAATACAAAAAAGAGCGGTGTAGATGAATATTCACGTCAAATAACTAGTGTGTTGGCAAATACAGGAGGAAATGTGCGCAATGAATTTGCTTGTAGCTGAACTTTAGCACGGCTGAACCAACCCCGGGCTTGGTCGCGTGTAACGTGGGGCGGTACAGCGCAACCGATGGCAAGTGGCGACCTGGAAATGTGCCTCGGTACAGATGTCGACTTGTTAGGGACATGGCAACAACGGTCAGGTGTCTGTCGTGAACAAGATTGGTGGCTGCACAACCTGGTTTGCTAGATTAAGTTACCGTCACCTGGGCGAAGGCTCCCGTGCCGTTCTTGCCCGGGGCTCCATCTGCTGGGAAAGTATATGAGTAGTACATCCACGGGTAAGCCATCACAGTGGTAATGAATACGTGTGTTCCCAAGTAAATTGTGGGGGAAGTTTGAAGTTTGGAGATGAGATGTTAGATGTATTTGGCCGACTTGATGTAATTGCGCCGTAAGGCCGAGACGTACATACATAGAATCACGGCTACCCAGCTAACATTACGCCCCGTTCGTAGATATGATAGTTGCTAGAACTAGCGCAATCTTTTCCATCGCTGTGAAGATGACGGTAGCTTGCACTACTTGTTGGAGCGGCCCGTTGTGTAGTAGTAGTAGTAGTAGTAGTAGTAGTAGTAGTAGTAGTAGTAGTAGTAGTAGTAGTAGTAGTAGTAGTAGTAGTAGTAGGACGCAGTGCTCTCACGTGGGCACGCGGAGGGCACGGACCCGACCGCTATTCGTTCGCGAAGCTTGACCTCATCGACGCAAGATTGAACAGAGCCTCAATGATTTCCTCGGTACCAACGATCCACCCCAGGGCTCTGTAGAAAAACTGTGCCGCTCTTTGACCATCATGTTCTTCTCGCGAAGAATTTAAACATCTGCATTGTCCCCCAGCAAGGACGTAATTCGACACCATGAACACTATCGATGGTTCCGACCGTCACGTCAATACAGAAGAGGGTATCTTCTCACAAAGTCCCAGCTAGGATGATTGCGACTAAAACTTCATAGTTCCCCCGCCGTCTTTACTAGCCATCGTCCTCGATACCAATCCACATGCGTGGGCGCATCTTTCATCGACTCTCTCACTCTCGGCCGCCCTTGCGAATATCCTCGTCTTCATCAACGCACACCTGGCTTCGGGCAACGCAAATGAAGTCGCCGTCATAGCCTCGCACTCACACAAGACTGCCTTCCTCTATCCAACACCCTCGAGCCCGCAGCCTCAATCGCGACATGGCACCAATGGAGCTACGAACGACAAGGTACACGACATGGCAGAGAGTGCAAACAAATACCGTCCATTTGCTGTAGTAGAGAGCGCCATTCTGCGCAACTTTGTAAAACTGCTCAACGAGACGAAAGAGAGCCACCTGGAAGCGACACCCACGACACTTATCGGTGGCGCCCTCTCCCTAGCTCTCACCCACATCAACAAACAAACTATCCTACATGCTCCAACCGCTGCTTCTGCCGAGAGCACAGCTCTCTCCGCACTTGCCGATTCCGAAAACGCCCACGTCGATCGTGTTCCCCTCACATCTCGTATCCTTATCGTCTCCGTGTCTGGCGATCTAGCGAACCAATACATACCCGTCATGAACTCCATCTTTGCCGCACAACGGAAAAGGATACCCATAGACATTCTCAAGCTAGCAGGTGACACCGTTCTACTTCAGCAGGCGAGCGATGCGACTGGGGGCGTGTACATGAAGCCGGACCGCCCAGAGGGCCTGCTGCAGTACCTAATGATGGCATTTCTACCAGATGTAACGGCACGGACAAGTCTGGTAGTCCCGAGTGCCGGTGGTGTTGACTTTCGCGCAGCTTGTTTCTGTCACCGCAAGGTCGTTGACATTGGCTTCGTCTGCAGTGTGTGCTTAAGCAGTAAGCCAAGCCATCAACATGTCTCAAATCATTGGATGTATGCTAACTACGCCAGTCTTTTGCAACCCGGACCTATCTGATAACCTCTGCATGACCTGCGGCTCTTATCTGTCGCTACGCAGTGCCGTGACCAATCCGCCAGCGTTGATACCTAGGAAGAAAAAGAAAAAGAAGAAGACTGGAACCGACTCAGCAACCCCGGGGGGGAATACTCCTGCAGGATCTGGCACGCCTCTGCATCCCTGAATCACTCCCCGCGTATCTGAAACCGCCATCTTCAGATCGCCAGATTCACCGATGTACTTCCTTCTAGGACACGCATGCATATCTGCTAACCGTCCTCGGGCCGTGGCAAGCGAGATCCACTTGAATACATCCGCCCATAGCATGGAGAACACGGAGACTCAGATGGCAGGTTTATAGAGCCACTAACACCTCTGTACAATAGCCGCTCACCCGGATACGAAAGGCTAGTAAGAGGATCGATAGCAGCATCCGCTGTTAATAGTCTATTCGCCCAGGTCTGCAGCGCCATAGTACCCCTCCTTACATATATGCATCTCAGCAGAAATGTTTGAACACGGGGACTAAAGATCCCGAGGTCATTTCACCGAGCATGTCTCAGATGTTAATGGAACCAATGGATTCAATCTACTTAAGGGTGGTGGCTGTGGGGGAGAGCTTCAACCCAAATCACTTAGCACAGCTCATAGGGCCAGTCCGACGTGATAGGCTAGTATCCACATTCCAAGACCATCACACCATGATCATATCAGGCATTTTCCAATAATCATGCGTTCGATAATCGGTGATTCGTAACCCTAATGCGCGATTGTGTCATCCGACTGGATTCTTGTTGTGTGAGAAACCAATTGTCAAATGTTATAGATAGGCCAGAGATGGGGTCTACGATTTCAGCCAAAGGATTCAAGTATGCGACTGTGCATCAGGGATAGCGGGGCTGGGCGATGAAAAAGTAAAGTGAGATCAATGCAAGAAAGACCATTGGGGCACAATAGGCGAGCGGAGAACCAGCAGTGTAGTTTGATTGCATTCAGGCACCCTATTTCTGGCCGCTAAGGGAAACATGCAAACCTCACCAGGGAGCTGTTGAATTCCCGTTGGACCTGCGTCTTACGTCTGATATTGCCTTAGACAGCTGCGGAGGTGCCGCAGGATACGGATAGACTGGCCGGGCGAAGGCGTGGGGTTGAGCTTGAACGGCCCGCATAGTTCGCACTGCTGCAAGCGACGGGACATTTAACGGCATCCGGAGTTTCAACTAACTATGACGTGTTGCGAAGCATTTATAAGCTTGCGCAGAACTCGTGTACCAGTACGCAGCCAGACTCGGCGATACGAGTTGAGTTGAGATCTTGTACTCATCTTTACTCTTCGTGGATCTGATATGGGGCAAAGGGTTTGATCGTCACCTGTAAGCTACGACGACCTTTGCCGTATTTGTACTACGCCTAGCCTCGGTCAGGGTTGGCCTGGACATGTTTCCAAACTTCAACCACACGCGCGGCCTATCAGCCGCCTTGACGTTATCACAACCCTTGCTCCTGTTGCTCACCCATGCTCATCCAAAGCTGTGAGCCACATGCTTTCGGATTCATTTCGCTGATAGCGAATGCAGTGGTGATGGGCTGGCTTCCAACTTCCATCTGACACGACCTTCAGGGCTCCCTGGGCGTTGCCTCGTGTTGGTCCGAAGACGATACAGTAATAGGGGTCTTGTTCAGAAAAGTCGTCGAAGATGTTGAGCATGTGAAGGAACATCGCAATCCATCAGGTATGACGGCGGACCAAGAGATAATATACACTGAATACTTAAAAGCAGAGCTTGCGGCAAATCCGTCCCACGGTCATCCCACACCTGTGGTTCGACAGCCGCAGCAGGCTCGGCGCCAAAAGGCCCGCTGTCTCCGCTCCGTACAAGCGTCGTCAATACCCTGTAGTTTGGCCTTCTCCTTAGCGATCGTCTCTGGGCCTATATTGGCTGACAGGGAGGAGGGACCCATCAATCTCGTCCGCCTGGATGAGACACCCCACTGCCGTGGCGTCCGTGGCATCGGGAGGAGGCCATATTCATGCCTGTCTGGGGAATTCGTCAAAGCGCCGCCGTATACTGCAGCAGAACGGGCTGGTGAGCATATGGAGCTTTGGTAATCTTGCAACCAGGCTCATATAGCCACCACGGACCCCCCACCTCCATTGTTGAAGTTTGTACAGCTTGTGTGTACCGAGCGGACCCGATTCCCGAACGGTGTATACTTGTTACTTCGTTCCCTTGCACATCACAATCCCATCTTCGCTTCGGCAACTATTTTTTTGCGGTTTCGGCGCCATCTTTACTTGCTTTTAAAGACTTTTGGGGCTGACGCCAAGTGTGTCGACTCCCACCCCAGCCCTGAACCTGTGTGGTAGCGGTCTACTAGTCTTCACCTGCATCGACTGCACAATCTCTCCATTTCCACCTTAACAACCGTGCTGGATTCTGGAACAATATCTACATACCCCACGATTTCTCTCAACTGTACTTCGCGCTCGCCTCATCCATCGCATTCATAGGAAGCCAAATCGCCAACTTACCCAGAAGAAGACGACATCATGGATCCTGTTACATCGGGAATGGACCCCACTGTCCCTCTGGAGGCCTTTACCAATACGACATACGCTACGGGTGGTGACTCGAGGTTATACAATCTCAATGTATTCTACAACGTGAGTACTGGCCATGTGCATGAGTCGCATAAAACTTTGTGGTACGCGGGGCTAATGTCAAGGTTTCCAGCCCGGCGACATCGCTTGGATGATTACATCAACCGCTCTCGTGCTGCTCATGATCCCGGGCGTAGGGTCAGTCTCCCCAAACACGCTACAGCCCTTGTCATAGTCCTGTCATGTACACAAGTCTAATTGAACTACAGCTTCTTCTATTCGGGATTGGCACGAAGAAAGTCTGCGCTATCGCTACTATGGCTGTCCGTCATGGCGACGGCCGTCGTTTCCTTTCAATGGTTCTTCTGGGGTTACTCTCTAGCCTTTTCGCACAAGGCTGGAAAGTATATCGGCACCCTGGATAACTTCGCCTTAGTGGACGTGCTAGGCGCACCCTCGGTCGGAAGCCCGCGTATTCCTGATCTCTTGTTCTGTGTCTACCAGGGCATGTTCGCTGCTATTACGTACGTCTAGATCAGCCATTTAAGCGATGTATGTCAAAAGCTGACCGCGAATACAGCGTTGCTCTTGCCGTAGGTGCCGTTGCCGAGCGAGGACGCATGCTTCCATGCATCATCTACATGTTTGTCTGGACGACTGTCGTATACGACCCCATCGCATGCTGGACTTGGAACCCATCCGGATGGGTCTTCCAGATGGGTGGTCTCGACTTTGCTGGTGGAACTCCTGTGCATATCGCATCCGGATGTGCTGCCCTCGGCTACTCGTACATGCTGGGGAAGCGAAGCGGTCATGGTACCCAGGAGCTCAACTACCGCCCCCACAACGTTACACATATCGTTATCGGCACCGTCTTCCTCTGGGTAGGATGGTTCGGCTTCAACGCTGGCTCCGCCTTATCTGCTAACCTCCGAGCTGTCATGGCGGCTGTATGCACCAACCTTGCCGCGTGCGTTGGTGGAATTACCTGGTGCCTGGTTGACTACCGCCTGGAACGCAAGTGGTCTACTGTTGGCTTCTGCTCTGGAGTAATTGCTGGTCTTGTGACCATCACTCCGGGATCTGGGTACGTCCCCGCTTGGTCTGCTGTCGTTTTTGGTGTGTGCGGTGGTATTGCTTGCAACTACGCTACCAAACTTAAATACTTCCTCCGATGCGACGATGCGCTCGACATCTTCGCTGTTCACGGTGTTGGCGGCTTCATTGGAAACATTCTTACCGCATTCTTTGCTGCGTAAGTTACCATGCGATCACAGATGGACGTTCCTTTGCTAATCGGTTTTAGTGACTACATAGCGCATCTCGACGGCTACACGGTCATCACGGGCGGCTTCCTCAACCACCACTGGATGCAGATGGCCTACCAACTTGCCGACTCCTTTACTGGCGGCACCTACTCCTTCCTCGGAACCTGTCTCATCCTCGGTATCCTCGACTTTATCGGCAAATTTATTCCTGCCTTCAGGCTCCGCGCCAGCGAGGAGGAAGAGGCTGCTGGTATTGACGACGTTGAGATTGGCGAGTTCGCCGTAAGTTTTCCCACTCTTCCTTACTACTTGAAGTTGAACGAATACTAACACGACCCTCTCACAGTACGACTACGTCGAGCTCACGCGTGAAGTCAAGGTTCCCGACGACGACATGGACGAGGCCATGTCGCTGTCGGCACACTCACTTGAACCTCATGGTGCACGCATGGCCATGACCAGCGCCCACGAAAAAAACCAAGCCTCGATCGGCTCTGATCACCAACTTGCAGAATGGGCCCATCGCGTATAAAACGGTCATGTGCTTCTATCTCCGGCTGCGATTTCTTTTTCTTATTATTCATATATCGCTATATACCATTTTGTTTCTTTGTTGGGTGGTGGTCAGTTCAGTGTAAGAGTAGAAATCCTATATGAAAATGTGTATGTCTAGGAAGGGGGAAAGCGTCAATACGTTCGGGGACTGAGTTGTCAACGGAGATAACGACATCAACTTGTACAATAATCATTACCATTGCCACAAATAAGAATTTAGACTTCATATGATTGATCAGAGATGTAGAAGATGGTTGACACCTAGCATTCGAATTGACCAGGCCTGAACGCAAGAACAATCGTGGGATAGAAAAACCCCACGCACACTCACACACAAACATCCCCTCTAAGTTGCACATCATCTTTACAACAATACTAAATTTGAACCCAATGGAACCCAACATATCCAGCTTGCATGCTTCGTATCCTTTGAGTGTACAACGAGCAAGTTGAACAGAAAAGGAAAGAACCAACGTCTGGCCAACCCAACGCACCCCCTTCACATGAATCATCCGTTTTGGATTTCCACTCTGTTGACCTCTCTGCCCATAGAAGTGCGTAGCGGCAAGCCGCCATATGCCCATTCGGTCCGGTCATCAGCCATAGAAATCCCTGTGATGTTTTGGTACCCACAGGAAACATAACCTCGGGCGACGAGCGTGGTCTCAATTACGAATCTCTAGCCTGCAGCTGCGCCAACACCGTTTGTGTCCATCGGGCTACCTCCTGCGGCATTCGATCCGTTTGTCGGTCGTCGCCGTGTTCGGATAGCCTTTTTCCTTCGATCTACCGGCGTGCCTTTTCCGCCTTCTGCTACATCAACCATATTGAGATCGTCGTCATCTGGCCGATCTGCGTCCTCATCGTGTTCTTCCCAATACCGCCTCATTTCATCAAGCTCGGTGACATCTGTAGGCCGCATTCGTAGCCACTTCATTCGAGGGCCCGATCGTGCGCGTTCGCTGACGCGGAAACCGTAGATGCGTGGCTCGTATATGCTGCCTGTACCAAGACCAGGTGCGAGATTGTGCGGCGCGACTCCGTTGATGGACGTGACATTCGAAGGGGTGGTATTTCTCGCCTTTCCGTCGGCGCTCTGTGATTGTAGTTGCTGTAACGCATCGATGGTGTTTGATGTGTTGTTGCGCAGACCGCCGCCGATATCGAGATCGGTGAATGTCATGAAGAAGAGCGAGGGGAATGTGGTGCCAAAGAAGGCTCCATCGACGGTCTGAAAACGCGAGTTGGGCGGGGTGTAAACATCCAAGCAGGACGGGCAGAAGAGCTTGACAGTCTCGTGGCCGGGGCTATCGTTGAGGCCTACAGGAAGTACTTTGCACGAGTTGCAGTTTACGCGTGGACAGGTACCGAAATGTTGAAGCTCGTACTTCTCGGCCATCTGTTGTATACCTGGTCGTGAGGTGATGTAACGCTGATGTATGAGTCCATAGAGTAGCTCAGCAGAACTCTCTATCACACTAAGGTCAGACGCTATCCGAAGATGTCTTCGGTCGCCTGCCCTCCGGTAGCCTGGGGCCCTCTCATCGCCCAATATCTCGTCTTCCTCGTCCTCTTCTTCTTCCTCCTCTTCCTCGTCTTCGTCATCCTCGGGCTCCACGTCTAGGATCATCTCCAAGGCTTCCTTGTACATGGGCACTTGCGATTGTAGGCCCGTCAGATTGAAGTCATCCTCGATGAAGTCCTCAGAGACCTCAGCAAAGTACTCGTGGCCCAAGAGCCCGCAGAAGGACGCGATCCACGACTCAGTGACCTGCGACGAAGACGACATGCTGTCTACAGTACGTATATGTGCTTCGACCTGTCTAGATACGGCTCAGGCTGATATGCGCGGTCGCAATGCGTGGGTGGGTATCGGGAGGACGAGGGGTTGGAAAATGCGAATGTGGGGGACTGATAACGTTTGCCGTGTTGATGAGGGCAAAGGGTGAAGGGCGACGTTTCCAAGATGATCGCGGCTCGTGTAGGATAGATGTGTTGTGTGAAGCTGCACTAGCAGCTCTGTTATCGCATGTGTGTTTCCGTTGGAGTGTCCGACAGGGAAAGGCTCGGTGGCCGTAGTAGTGCGAGTGAAGCTGGTGGGGGAGGGGTCGCGCGAGCGCGAGTGCAGAGATTGATGCTAGGACCAGGGGGACAGTCTCCAGGCCCGTTCGTATTATGCTTGCTTTCAGTAGGGCTGGTCCCTGGGAAGTCGCAGGTGTATGTGTGAAGTTGTGTTTTGGCAGGTGAGGATCCAAGGTTGCCCTGGCCGGGCTTAGCGATTGAGCACGTGATTTGTCACATGTGCTTTCTTTCTTTATTGTCTCAATTGTAATGGAACACTTGCAATGCACAACAGTGGAAAACCTGATTAAATTCCTTAAACTAGATGGATCGTTTAGAATAAATCCCTTAGGATCTGAGCTAACTCATCATTCTCCTGCCTGAATCCGTTCACAAACTCTCCATTGGCATTTGACAGCTCCGACGACGATGAACCACCAAATCCGTTCAGATTGAAGATGCCCCCAGCAGCTTCAAACAGGGTGGTCAAGTCACTGGCCATTCCATTCGGCGTATCTACGCCGCCGGTATTGCGTCCGCTCGAGTACAGCGCAAGCTCATCCATTGAATGGCCAGCAAGACCTGCCATCGCAACAGCAGCAGAGGAATGTGCATCATTAGTTTCATCGTTACGGATGAAGAGACCAAGGCGTGGTCCGACCTCTTTGATCGTCTTGATGGTTTTCCACAGCCGTTTCGAGACGTACGAATTGGAAGAGAGACCACGAACTAGCTCCAAAGCCATGTAAAATTCATCGCGAGACTGTTGGCTAAACTCAGCTGGTGCGTGGGCGACAGCCAGGAAGAGAACGGCTAGTGCCGATATGAGGAAGTAGTTGAACATTGTCTGTTGACTTCTGTAGATGTCCGAAGTCTGGTTGATGTACGTCAGTATCCGGATCGTGTCTTTGGCGACCTTGACGACAACATGTGCAAATTCCATATGCTCTATGATGGTGTTTGCTGTATGTAACACTGGCCTGTATATGATTATTCGCATCTGGTTCGCCCGAAGGTATAGCACAACTTGAAGACGATGGACTAAGCGTGCTGGAGATTCGACTTGTCGCCCGCTATCAGGGTGAACGAATTTCAGAGGTTCCGGAATACTGCGATGCCAGTTGAGGACCTGGAAATCCAAGAAGGAGATGTCTTCCTTGTTGATTTTATCTTGGTGTCCGACATTACTAACGGATTTCCATACTTTCGACCCGATAACTGAATATGAAATCATGGCGTTGATGTATGCTTGCGTAGATTCTTGCATCGGTACATCCTGCTCGTGTCAGTCTCTCTAGCTTCCATCGTAGATCTGTCTTACAGGCTTTGGAAGGTTGTTGTCAATGTCCGCATCTTGCAAGGCGAAGGGCATCCCAGTGCCAAAACTCCAGCGGCGATCGAGCACGTAGATAGTCCAGAACATGCGAATTGCTGTCGCTCGCTCTTCTGGATCAGGAAAGAGAGTGGTGTAGGTATCGCGACGATGGAGACCTAGCTCCAGACAGTGTCGCGCAGCTAGCCCACTTATTCGCCAGGCCAATGCTTCGTCGTCTCTGGTGAAGTGATACATGGCCTGCACCTGTAAGTATGGTCGAAAAGCTGGGAGAAGTTGGCACTCACAGTCAGCACTAACAACGTGATGCCATGAAGGCTAACCGGCTCAGACAAAGCCCTGTCAACGACTTTATGCACGTTTGCGAACAGCTTCTCGCCCAGAGGATGCTTTCCCCCGCCCTCCAATACCAGTGTTATTGCGAGTACCAGCTTTAGTATGCTGATTTGTTCATCCATCATAGCATCCGATCCAGGAAGCGCGCCTTGCATAAGACCCGAACGAGCTGCAGCCTCTACGAATGTAAAAAGCATCTCTGTATAGCGCAGGAGTTTATCGAACTCCAGAATTGGATACATTACGCCCATTTCGTCGTGCCAAACATGGACCAATCGAAGCGCCTCGTGCTTGGAGACAGACCATATTGGGTCTTTGTCTGTGTGCATAGGACGTTTTGGTGATACAGTATTCTCTATGAGAGGAGATCCTCGTGGTGTTGCGTCATGTGTCAACATGCCTTCGTCTTCACCTTCATCACCCGCGTTTATGCCCATTGTCTTCAAGCTCGACCTAGCAACTCCAACATTGAAAGCGTTCGATGTTGGACCGTGAAAGCGTGGGTGTTTGCTGAATGATCTGGATTGCGAGCGTTCAGGTTGCGGGGGCATCATGGGCGTCTGTCGGTATTCTTGGTTGAATGGCGTACCCATGGAGCCATTGCTTTGGACTTCGACGTGGCTTCGGAGCGTGTTGAGGTTATGAAATAGGTCATCGACTTGCTGCTGCAGAGAGGTTATATGCGCTGACATCTGCTTGAATCTACACCTGCTCAGTCATGCTCGGGTCCCATCTGCGATCAGACTTTGCTCACTCATCGCTTTCTTTGAAATTGTTGCAGCAATTCGGCTGGTAGTCACACTTCAGGCTTAGGTTCCCGCAACGTTGGCATGGCGTGTTCCCATTGCACTTTATTTTACGACGCTTACATTCATTGCTGCCATCTCGTCAGCGGTCGCGCCGTGCTCATAACTGTCGCGAGACGTACCAAGCAATGGAGATGTAGCGATTTCTCTTGCTTCTCTGTTGTCCTGGAGCGCCATCGTCACTCTTCCGTTTTGCAGTATTACTGGAACCGTTCTGCGGGCTCATGTCGTCGTTCGCATTGATCGTATCTGTCGGCGATGTCGAACTCATGATTAATTCCGCGGCGCGCAACCGTTCCGCCACGAAAAGTGGGCGATGACAACGTCTGTCAGCTACTTGGAGTTGGGGTCGCGGCCAGTGCGCTTCGGCATGTCGGCAATTGCAAGGTGCGCGTGCATGTGCCCTTCATCCCAGCGTACCTAGAGCCAACAGCACGAACACGTATTAGCATCCTCACTTTGATTCGTCTCTTTTATAGAGTACCTTTTCTGATCATACAAGCCCCAGTGATATACTCCACGTAAATAAACCTCTTCCTATATAGCGCAGAGTGATTCCTAACTTTAATCATTCTCCAATCCGAACTCATCCCCAACCAAATCCGTCAGCCTCGCCAATTGCTCCAACACCTCAGCGTCGCGTCTGGCTACTCTTGTTGCTTTAACTATCAATGGGTACAGCCTGTGCAAATGTCTCCTGTGTTTTGAACGCACCCCTGGGGCATCGGGTATAGCCTGTGGCTCGCTCTCTAGCTTCTCCAGTTCGCTCAATACAAAGAGCAGCTCGCGTCTCTGTGACTCCGGTGCTGGCATACGTCCCCGCAAAGGATGGTCCGCGATGTAAGTCTTCAACGGGAGAGCACATCGAAGAATGAGGTACGGGGCTGCTGCTTGAGCCAGCTTGACGCGTTCGGCACTACTGTCTTGTACCGCAACCAGACGGAACAGCTCAGAAAGACAGGTAAAGCCCATGGATGGTCGAGACGAACACTCTAGCTCAGCAGTCTGCCCTAAGCGTATATTGTAGAGTTCATCGAGGGGAGAACTGCTAACATCAATTAGTTCCCCTGGCAGAGGACTGTGAGCCAGTGATGTCGAAAACAGATTGCGGGTGTAAGTGCGTCGGAAGATATCTGGAAGTAAACCAGAGCCGAGGGGTAGAGTGATAAGGTCACGGAGTTGCGTAAATGAATCCACGTCGAACTGCTCATCTTTTTCAAGAGAGGCCGGCACATCGCGTGGGAAGTGCGCTCGCGTCATGTACTGAGCAATCTCCACTATAGTGGCCCAGGTTTCCTTGTGCGACCTAATAAGTGGTAAAGTAGGTATCATGATAGCTATAGCGGTCCTTGTGGCTTTTTGCCATAGAGTAGGTGCTCTGCCTTCGCGTTGCCACGAGTACTTCTCCTGTATCGGCCTTGCAAGGCTCATCAATGCGAACGACATGGCATTGCTGCTGTATATATTTTCATCGTTGACATGCTTAACTGTAATCTCTTGTAGAAGCGTCATTGATGCCTTGGAGAGAGCGACGAACGTTGGACTGCGCTTATCTGGGAAGTCCTCAACCGATGTGTATGGTAGTGTTATGAATCGTCCCAACAAGCGTATCAGGTAGGGCGGTATCTCGGTATCTTGAGTTTTGACCATCGATAGGCACTCCATTACCCGACTCTGTAATGTGGTCATGCTGTCCAGATCAGAGGAGTAGGCTACTTCATCTGAGTTGACAATGCAGGCTTCAAGATTTGCGAGCATCGATGGCAAATCCTGAACAAGCGGTCGATCTGCCAGGCGGTAGATGGCTTTGAAAGCCTCTGCGTATGCAACAAATGCATCCTGATTGTCTTCTTTGTCTGTGTCTCTCCATGCATCAGGAGAGGTAAAGTAGCTTTTCCATACCATGGCAGTCTTGAGAAGCGGTTCCGTACTCCATACATGGGAACTTTCTGTATGTGAGAGGACTCCCGTTATAGTGGTAAATACGGAAGCCCCCAGGGTGTGCGAGCGGTAGACGAAGTATCGTTGAAGAAGGTCAAGGAGTTCAGACCATGCGTCTCCAAGCTGAGATACTTCAAGTTTCTCCATATACGTCGTATTGAGAACGCCTACAGTCTGAAGAACGACCTTTGTGGTTTCTCCCCAGTCCTTACGAAGACCTTTGCGTGGTGGTTGGCTCCGGATATCCCGTTGGACGTTCAAATTAGCTTCCACCATACCAAAAAGGATAGTGCGCAGGCATAGCAGCCATGCATTCGATGACAGCTGGTCAGAGCAGTTTTCGAATATCCTCTGAATCGTTTGAATCGCCGAATTCCGCACCTCAACTCGTTCATCGATTGTTATAGAAGACAGATTCAGCAAAACTTGAAGCCATAATGCCGAAGTATCCCCTTGTTGTGACTGCATTGACACGGCGATTCTGATAGCGTTCTGGTCGACAGCTTCATCGAGAACTCGCGGAAGTGACGAAAGATCAGTCCGGGATTGTATGTAGTCCGAGACATTCCAGAAGAACGTGATCGCCTGTGACATGTCAAGATATGTAACACCAGCTTGGCGGAGAACTTACAGTCAGCGACATGTTCAAATCCTCTCGTTGAGAACAGAATCTGCGCAACAATTCCAGGAGTGTCGAGAGGCAGGCATCTGGGACGGCAGTCATGAAATCCGAACAGATAAGGTTTGTTGTTGCAAAAGCGGACCGAGCCAGAGACCGTGATATGACGTCCTGTTTTGTGTTGGAGTGCTTGGTGGCTTCTGAGGGTTCGATATCGCCGGGTTTCTCCTGTACGAAGGGTAATGGAGGCGCGAATACGCTTATAAGACTCCCAATAACTGAGGTCCAACCGGCGACTAATGATTCGCCACATTGCTCAATTACACTCTTTAGAGCCTCGAGGGCTATCTGGTGGACCCTGATGTCAGTTTCACTGACAGTGTCTTCACCATGCCGATTGTTGTGATGCACATCAGCAATTTGTTTCTGCAGTGCAGCCAGTATGCGGGCCTGAATATCTTCGCGATTTTCATCGGACATGGAGATTTCTGCAATGTCCTTGACTGTCCTTGCTAGAATATCGGCTGCCAGCAGCCTTGTAGGCGTACCTTTTTGATCATCCGTGGAAAAGTGTATGACTTCTCTGACCAGAATGTCCCAACCACTTTCCGCAGGGTCGTATTGAGATAGCCTGGCTTCATTCAAGGTTGCAAGCTCTCCGATCTTGTTAAGTGCGAACGCCGAATCGCGAGCATTTGAGTCCGAGTTCGTTGAAATGCCTGAGACGCTACCAAGACGCCGCTGGTGCAATATTTGCGGACGACCGGAAGTAGTCGGCGTCCTTGATCCACTTTCTGAAGACGGTGCGCCATTTAAAAGTGAGCACAGAGCCTGTAATACCTCGCAAAAGGACTCGTTAGGGAAGTCAACGGTACTCTCAAACAGTCTACGAGCAGCGCTTTGAACAGCTGAAGTCTCTGCCTCCAACTTTTCTGCGTTGGCGTCCGCATCCATACGACTTCCAGGCGCTGATGCGCGACCACTGGCCTGGCTTGACAGCGCCATGACCAAGTCGGCAACTTGAAGCGTCTCAAAGATGATGGACCAAGCCGATTGAAGCGTTGGCCCTAGTGCGATCGCTAGATTGAGAAGAGCTCGTATACACAGCAAGTTCCGAGGGCCCAAGGCAGGCACCAACGCATCATACGAAGGGTGGCGGTTCTTTTCCGTTGACATGGAAGTCGCCTGGCTCACAAAACTGTCCACGCTCAGCATTCCTTTCGCATTCGAGAAGACACTAGTCTTTTCGCCTGCGCTGGATGCCATAGACGACACATTCGCTAGCAATAAGTTAGATGGAACTGCTGCTTTGCCCATGGTAGTGAGAAATGCATCCCGTGGTGTCGAGAGTCTAAGAAGTCCGGCAACCTGAGTAAACTTTTGGATGGCTCGAACTAACGCACGATAATAATCGGTATCGAGAGTAGCATTGAGGAATGTCGAGCAGGTTGCAAGAACTGCGGGCCAGCATTCCGTAACCAAGCTTGTTGACGTTAGCACATAGGCGTGCGCTGGATGATCAACCAGATCAAGAGGATTGACAGGTATAGACTTCTTGCGAAAAGACTGGGTTCTCGAAAGTCGACTGGTGGCCTGATCCAACGTTGCAGTAGCTGCTTCGGGTTCGTTCAAATCTTCGGTCCTTTTCCTCTGGTTGCGTTTCTCGTGATGTACTGTCAAGGGGAGCACGAATTTTGCCAGACTCTCGGAGATATTGGTGATGCATGTCAATACCAGACTATAGATATAAGTGTCGGGCAGGGCAGGAGCGTCAGTCTTGTCAAGATGTTCAATGCATGGAGTTTTCAGCGAACTCCACTGCGTACTGATCCCAAATTGACGAGCATTGTTGCCGTTGTCGCTTGCCGCACCGCCTATGACACCAGCTAGAGCTCCCGCCTCGGCAACTGCGTAATCCGACATAGCGGTTCTACCTTCTTCGAAACCAGTGGCAGCTGTTGATTGTTGGCCAAGGCCAATAATAGCAGGTTTCTCGGTTGCAAGACGAACAAAGGCTGCCAAATTATCCCCAAAGATGTTTTTCTTCTCGCTTTTTGCGTCAAAGAGGGCATAGATGGCCAAAAGAAGTCGAGAATCGGCATAGATACTGCGAAATACCTCTAGGCAAAGGGCCCGTTTCCACGCCTGTGAAGCCTCAGGATCAAGCATGTGATTTAGGAGACCAAGTGCAATCTCGCATTCCGAAGGAAGAGTATCGAGGTGGTATCGAATGATCAGATGTAGTATTCTGATGATGCGTACAGTTACGGCAAATGATAGACGATCCGACAGTGATCGGATGATCAATGGCATCAGTTGGTTACGCATGATATAGACCTGCTCGGGATGCTTTGTCATGATCTCGTTGTGGTTCGACAATATCGCTTCGATAAGTTCCAGCGTCGAAGACGGTGGCAGCGGAGAAAATCGCATATGGACCGGCTTTTCTCCTACAACGAGAGAGATGAGGTCGGTGAACATCTAGATGGTGTCAACAGAGCCGAAGTCATGTAATCAGGCCACAGACCTTGTAAGCATCATTCGCTGCTGGTCTAACGGATATTTTATCGTTGTCGCCTTTCACCTCAGTTACACTGGGAATTTCCAGTGCTTTCTCTTTACAATTCAGTTAGTCACAAGTTAGACATAGTACACCGGGTTTACAGTACCATCTTCAGATGTGACTCTATCGAAGACAACGATGACAAGCTGCTGCAATGTCGCTGCCGCCGTGTTACTGACAGCGAAGTTCTTTGCATTCTGAAGACCTGAGCATATCTGCAGAACGGCAGAAAGTGGCTCGCCGCGTATTTCGGCAGGGTAGTTTTGGAGTAGAGAGGGTAGTGCTTGCAGTATCTTCAACTGAATATCATGGTCTAGCAGTATCAGTCAAATGCACGAGGTTGCTGCAGCAGGCGGTGTCTACTTGATGTAATGGAATCATGAAATGCGTCGAGAACCTCTGACAGCCGTTCCCGGGGCAAAGCACGCGCAACACTAAGTCTCTGGAGACATGAGACGCCCGTGGATGCGAATTTGGCATTGTGAGTCCCGCAAGCAATCAAGAAAGGCGAGATGAAATGAGGGCGTCGGGAAAGATCTTGGCTATGGTCAATAGGCGCTAGACGGGCGGACAGCAGGCTCGCTCACCGGCTGAGAGTTGGGCCTCGGAGGTATTAGAGAGCGACTTCAAGTCCTTCAAGGCTATCTCTGCAGCATTCCGAAGCTCGGTGTTCTTGCGCTTTGCGTCCTGGATGAGGTTGCCTAATTCAGCCGCCAAGATTTGTGCCGTCATTATCTGGAAACAGACCGAAGCATCAGGGCGGTCTATGCAAGCAAAGGAGTGACTTTTGAATTCAGTATCTTGTTGATGTTGTTTGGTAGGCCGTGAAAGGCAACGTATAATGTCGCGTTAGCTGATCCGGGGCGGCCAAGCGATTCGCCCATGCAGGTGCAAGGTGCCACCCTGGTCGCTCCATCGCTCCTGCCTCGTCATGACGCTAGTCGACCCGACAGGGCATCTACATACAAACATCACCCACCTTGACACCCAACAGTCTTGTAATTGCGCCTGACTAGAGCTAGCCGGATACAAACTTGCACGTTCACGTCCACGTCCACGTCGACGCCCAGAGCCCCCTCCCCCACGAACCTGGTTCGCATCTACTCGCAGGAAGCACGTCTCAGCATCTGATAGCGGGGTGCATCCCACTTCCTTCCGCGCCACACATCTGTTCAGCCCTCTTACGTCCTCACTTTCACACATCCATATATCGATCATGGGTGCCAAAGTTCCGCGCAACTTCCGTCTGCTGGAGGAATTGGAGAAAGGCGAGAAGGGTCTCGGTGCCGGTATGGTAGACATGTCGCATAGCCGGGAGAGCTCGTCGCTGAGAGTAAACAGAGGCTTGTTCATATGGACTTGATAACGGAGACGACCTTTTGATGTCAGACTGGAATGGCACCATCCTCGGCCCCCCACACGTATGCAATTGTGCTTGCCTGTCCCAGATTACATGCTAACCGATGCTGCAGAGTGTTCACGAGAACCGCATCTACAGCGTTTCCATCCACTGCGGACCAGACTACCCAGACACGCCCCCCGAGATCAAGTTTACATCTAAAATCAACCTGCCCTGCGTCAACCCCCAGAACGGAAAGGTATACACTACATGCTGCAGAGACTGGGCACATTACAGCGCATACTGACGAGGCTAGGTCGACGCGTCAAAGCTGCCGTGTCTGGCACAGTGGAAGAGGGACTTTACCATGGAAACTATACTCATAGAGCTTCGAAGGTCAGTAAAGCTAGACATGTGGTGTGGTATAATGCTGACTAGTTATCAGATACATGGCCCTTCCCCAAAACAAGAAGCTGCCACAGCCGCCCGAGGGCACAACATTCTAGGCTTAGCCTGAGAACATTATCCCCGAGAAGGCCCTCTTGAGAAAGTTTTGGTTGGGCACTCTATAGCCATGACTGTACGGCAGCACACAGAAGGTATACAGTGCAAGATCCACGGTGTGATCATCGGGTGATTCTTGACTGGAGAAGGACCTGAATATCAATTCCATTTTGAAGTTTTATTTTGTACTTGCCAATTGTGATGCATACGGCCTCTATTGGGACCATGCGCGCTTAGAGTTTAGAGAGGATCCAGTATTCCAAAGTTCGACCACATGGTTTGGCACGTGACCATCAGCCATTCGAAATATCTCGCGTTCAAGTTGTAACCTGCAATCTCGGACATTCCACCACCGAGCCGTTCCATGCATGCCCCAATATCTGCCGCCTAACAAGTTGACACAGCATCGCGTAGCAGGTTAGACACGTAAAATATGATCCTTGCTCTAGTCCCTAATCTTATCCAGCAATCGCTCTTTACCGGGCCTTGCTTTCGCGATGCTCTTCCGATGCGCTTCCCAACAACGACAACCGCGTCTCGTTGCGTAACACAATTCGCAACAAGTTTCGGAGGAACAGAAAGATACAAAGCCCTTATCAGCTGGGACTAAGCTTCAAAGCTGGCTATGAAGTACGCACAAAGTGTTTGAAACTTTGAATATCCGTCTCACAAACTATAGACGCTCGACCGACTCGATGCCTCCGCTGCGGGAGATGAGACCAGCACAAAGTTGCTGGCGCAACTGATTTCCCAATTACCGCCTGCTCTAATACGTGCGCCTCCGATAAGGCCTCGTCGACAAGCGTCGTCTACACCTCCCAAAGAACGACTCGCGTGTCTTCCTCCAGAACGAGCCGTCCTGAATGTGCGCCCCTACGCGAAGACGTCTGGGCCCCGCCACGTCCCAGTACTTGCCTCGGCAAATGGTACCCCCTTCCTTCGCCTTACAAAGCCGCAGCCACCAGCCCTAAGTCGCATTCTCCGTCAACGACTACAACGAAAGACGGATTTGTTTGACGCCAAAGTTCTTCTGAACAATTGGTGGCTCCCAACGTGTCGACAGGAGGACAAGTGGGATGACTTCCTGGAAGAGCAGTTGGGAGAAGACAAGGATTCTGTCAAGTGGATTGATGCAGTTCGGCAAGCAGAACTGCAGAATCAGTGGGCGTACGAAAGGGAGTTACGGAAGGATCGGGACATGACGAAGGACATGCAAGCAATTGTAGACAAGGAGATGGAGCTGGCTTTGAAGGAGGGACAAACAATCGTTAGAGGGAGAAAGAGGAGACCTATACTAGTGATAAAGCCGAAGTCATGATGACACGGTTTACTCTGACATAGCTGGGCGGTGCCTGATGGGTATATACACTCGATTTTAGACGCAAACTTCTAGACTCGATGGATCACGATGTCGCCTCAATCTTCAATTTGCCCACATCCACTTCATCCACTTCATCGTCATCGTCATCCTCTGTCTTTCCTACCAAGCCCTGTTGCCAGAGCTCCTTTCCGGTCAACTTCTTCTCTTCCTTGACAATTCTCTTCTTCTTGTCCTCTAGTTCCTTCTCCTCCTCCTTCCGTCTCTTCTCCTCCTCCATCTCCTTCCTGAACTTTTCTCTCCACGCCAGGAATGATTCGCGTGTAACAGCTTCGCCTTGGAACTTTTTGTTCTCTTCTTCCTCAGCCTTGGCAGCGGCTATCTCGACGAGGGCTTGCTTTGCGTTTTGGCGTTCGGTAATGAGCAGTTCGGCACTATCTTTGATGACGGTTACGAGGGTGAAGACCATGGCCATGCCAAGATTTTCTTCTATCGTCTCTTTGAGAGAGTCGAGGAGCCGCTGCTTATCTTCGTGTATGTCCAGATAGGGATGTTTGGGCGCATTGGGCGGTTGCGTTACGTCGAGTCGGGGGGCTTCGTCGGGGTAGTCTGGAGGATAGGCGACATTGAGGATGATGATTGCTGGTCGTGGTCAACGTGGATATACCGCAAACAGGATGAAGTTACACACGCTGCTCATCTTCCCTCTCCTCGTCTTCATGTCGGCCATCGTCGAGCGTTATTGCGATTCGGAACTCTGTCTCGGAAACATCTGGAGAGGTCTTAGTACACGCTCGGCCATATGTCGCGTGGACTTGGACTACCTGTGATCTCGTCGGGAAAGATGGACTCAAGAACCTCGCGTTCCTCCTTCTGATCGTCGACACCCATTGCGCAATGTCCAGTGTATGAATTACTCGGGAGCCGGCGTCTGCAGTGACGCTGAGGCTGCTTTTGGCGGGGCGCGCGTTCCCCACGTTAGCTCCGTCTGCCGATGCCGCGAAATATTTTTGGCAACTTGAACTTTTCGCATGCGCTACGACACGACACAGACTTGCACCATGGCGAAAACAAAACCAGCAGATCGAAGGTCCGACAGGAGCGCGAAGAATGGGACGAAAAAAGCCAGCGCTACGAAAGAGTCGAAGAAACCAAAAGCATCACCAGAAGAACTCTTGATCCAAGCAACCGCTCTCCTCCAAACGTCGCAACCAGAGGAAGCGCTCGTCGCCGCACGGAGAGCACTGAACATCCTTCAACCCGGTACTTCGAAGCCCTCGGTGGCAGTGCTGCCCGCACTGAATCTCCTCGGCGAGATCAACGTAGAACTAGGCGATCCCGACTCAGCGCGAGAGGCCTTTCAAGCAGCAGTTGTAATCGACCCAGAAGGCACCAACGATGGCGCAGAAAAGTTTCTATGGTTGGCACAGTTAAACGAGGAGGGGGGTACTGAGAGCGTACGATGGTTTGAGAAAGGCATTGCAGTGTTGAAGAGGGAGATCAGTGAGCTGGAAGGGAAGCTGGTGAAGAAGGATGACGTCACAGAGCTATTGGAGGAGAAGAGGCAGAAGATAGCAAACTCGCTTTGTGGAATTGCTGAAGTCTACATGACGGATCTCTCGTGGGAAGAAGACGCTGAAGCGCGATGCAACGCCGCAGTCACCGAAGCACTGCTTTTTGCGCCAGAGAACCCCGAACCACTACAAACACTTGCATCAATACGGATCTCGCAACTAAAACCTGAAGAGGCCAAGTCTGCATTACTACGAAGTATGGAGCTTTGGAAAGATCTAGACCCAGATGACGCCAAGGTGCCGGATTACTCTACTCGAATCAGCCTGTCCCGCCTGTTGATGGAAGCTGAGATGGAAGACGAGGCTATTGAGGTCTTGGAGCGACTAGTGGGCGAGAACGACGGCAGTGTCGAGGCGTGGTACTTGGGTGGCTGGTGCTTGCACTTGTTGGCAGGGAAGCAAAAGACCAAAGGCGAGGAAAAGGTTGCCATGTCACTGCTGCGTGCGAGCCGAGACTGGCTGGAGAATTGCCTGAAACTATATGGCATGTTAGAGTACGAGGACGAGCGGTTGAAAGAACATGCTGATGAGCTACTGAAAGAACTTGGCGATGTTCTCGGCCCGTCAACGGGCGAGGACGAGGACGAGGACGAGTGGGACGATGCAGAAGACGACGACGGAGAAGATGACGACGAGGCCATGGAGGGCACGTGAGAGTTTGTTATGCAACGCGCACATGCAGTCTCGCGACGGACGGATCTACCATGTTGTTCTACCGGAGTTCCGAAGCACCAAGCTCTTGGTCGCCGCCCATGTGCCGGGTTTTGGGCAGCAGTGCTAAATAAGGCCCGTATTGTAATTTTCCGATGCCTGAGGCAGCATAAGCTGGGGATGCTGGGGACATTTCTGCATAGCACTAGCTTATGTCTGTCGACGACTCGGGGATTATCTCGCTCGTATTCTCAATACAGTAAGCACTTGTTGGCAAAGTAGCAGAGGGGGTGGGGTAATGGGTGTTGGGCCACGGGGGCGGTAACGTGTACCAGGTAAGCTACCTAGAAGTGAGCAGAGACTTGGTGGGACGGTGACGGTCCCTGCATATAGGATGCCGGAGCCGCACATGGTCGGTTGTCGGCTAGTACCTACGTAGGTAGGTAGAGTTGTCAGGGCGAAGACGACAGGTCCGATGGCAGGTTAGACGGAAAGCCATGAACCCCCACTTGAATGCACCTGTTTACCAAAGTCGGGCTGATTTGCAAAACACTTTCACTTTCACTTTGGCGTGGCCGAGGGTCCCAGTCAGTCGGCATGTACGACACACGGTTCCTCTTCCGTGGCTGCAACCCACATGCGGCAAGCTTGCGCCAGTCGGTTGCAGGGAAGACAGCCCATTGGTGCAAGCCGGCAGACGAGTCCAGATGTAACACCAAGATGCAGTTGATGCGACGAACTGATGCGCTGCTCTTGGCATCGAAGGTGAATATCGCCGGCGCCGTGACCGCCACGAGTAAATCAGCATGCACTTGCGATGCCGCCCATGCTGGTCCCCGCGAAGTAAGAGAGAAGCCGTGCCCACACCTACCGATTCCGATTGCCATTACCTCGACTGCCTCCGCTGTCCATCGCTCCTGCTGTCAACAGATGAACCCCGAGCCGGTGCCAACTAACACATATTCGCTTTCGCCCACGAGGGCCGCACATGTTGGACCGCCCTTGACCCTTTTGTCCAGCCCCAGTTGCAGTTGCAGCCCCGGCATGTCCGTAAATCGGGACCTATGATCTGGTACCTCCTCTATCCGCTGCGTGGGTGCGTAGCCCTTCCCCCAATTCCATGTGCGCGACGACCCGTGAGCCCTCATACTGACGGGTCACCTTCAGCACCACCGAACCACCACGTCTGGCCGCCTCGCACCCCATCCGACGAGCTTTTCAGGCCCATGGCACTGCGGCTGCGCGCCACTGGCTCCTCTCCATCGGCGTGACCATCACAATCTCCGTCCTCCTGTGCTATCAGGCCATCTTCCAGCCCGACAGTTCCGCCGCCGCCGGTCTGCGGAACCTGCCCAAGCATGTTTGGACGTCAACAACCCAAGTAGACGGGGACCGACCGGCGGATGTGGTGGTGCGACAAGTATGGGTGCATGGAGATTATATGAAGGCGATTCAGCTGCCGGTGCTGCACGAGGCCATGCACGTCCAAGAAGTGCTTGTCAATGGTGGATTTGATTCCAATCAAGGCGCCCCAGTCATCCGTCAGCATATACTTGGTCGCGATAATCAGGGATGCGTCGTGGCTGCGCCGGGCGAGAAGTGGGGTTGGCATTCCCCGTTGATGTACTGGAACTGTTCTTTGACCGCCCTGGACCAGGACCAGGACTTGCTCGGAACCATCAACGCGCACAAACAAACGCACTCTGCCCTGAACCTCACCTTGCGCCCAAGCACTGTCTTCGCCGGCAAATCCTTCTCCAACAGCAGGCTCCGTGCCGCCGATGCACTCGTCATCACCTTGTTCGACCAGACCAACTCGACTGTAGGGGACACTTGGAATTCGCGAGCACATACCCTCGCCGAGACGCTCTCATCGGGCTGGACCATTTTCCCGCCTGATGGCCATGTCACACAAAGTCGACTTTACGAGTTCCGTTTCAAGCCAATGACACTGAACGACGACTTGTTCTTAGCTGCCTCTTATCTTGTAACAGCAGTCTACGTAATATGGCGTATGATGCAGTTACGAGCCGTCAAAAGTTGGTTTGGTCTGCTGGTTACAGTAGTTGCTAAGATGACAATTTGCATAATCGCTAGTTTCACCCTCTGCACGTATCTGGGAATTGACTTGGCCCGCATACCCCGCCCATGGTTTCCAGGAGTAGTTTTTTGTTTTGGTTTGGGTAACATGTATGCACAGTCGTAGCTATACATGTCGTTTCCTACTGACCGTGTCTAGATTTCGTTTAATCAACGTCGTCCTACAAACACCTCCTGAGATGTCACCTCACCAGCGTATCGGCAATGCCCTAGGCGAGGTTGGCCATTTATCTCTTGCTATCGCTTTCCAAAATCTCGCCCTCTTATATGTTTGTTCCCGATTCGTTTCGCCCTGGGTTGCCGACTTCTGCGTTTTTGCTGCTGTCACGCTGGTTTTCGACCTCGTCTTTCATCTAACCTTCTTCGTCGCCGTTCTAAGCGTCGACGTTCAGAGGTTGGAACTCTCAGATTCCCTGGAGCGCATCGACCGGAGCCAAAGCACCCTGAAGAGCAGGGCAGAGCGCCAGTCTTGGCTGGGTGCATTAAAAGAAGGCACTATGCCGCTTAGTACGCGCTTTGCGGGCACAGCTGCTATATTTTCCATCATCCTCGCCATTAACTGGCACTTCTTCGACGGCGACGGCAAGCAACTGTCCCTGGAAACGTTCCGTGAGAGTTTAACGTCTAGAAGACGGAGACGCGCCGTTGACAGCTGGAGTCCACCGCCAATCAATCAGGCTAGGACCCCCGCTGATTGGCTTAGACTTCAAGATCATAACACTGCCCGAGAACTATTCAGCTTTATTAAGCCTGGTGCACAAACCTTTGTAGCTTGCATCTATGATCCCATCTTGGTCGTTGCCAAGGGAGCGATTGGACGCGATCGACCGCAACCAGCGTCGTCATTCATTGAGAAGCTTCGTCGCTTTGCGCAAGGTCACGCTTTCCCAGCAGCTTTGATTGTCGTTACCCTGATTGCTGGTGTAACTTTGTTGATGAACTACTTGCTCTGGACTGGACTCCCGAAGCTTTCAGAGGAGGCGGATGACGATGACGAGACAAGCTTTTCCGTCAAGACTTTACCAACACCACAGACATTGGATGTCGCCCAGTTGACTTCGTGCCCAAAAGGCCATCTTGTAAGTGTATCCTTTGACAGGAGCACTGCTATATGGCTCCATAGCCGAGGAGGTTACCTGCACACGACTTTACAGACGGCAGCGATGAAGCCCGAGCTTTGGCCAATACATGTTACCGCAATGGACAGAGGTGGGAACATTCTTGCCATATGTGCACAGGGTGGTCAGATTGGCCTGTGGGATATTCCTGCTTCGCGGTTCCTCATGTTCCCCAAGGTCGAGATCTGCAAGGCAGCGCCAGTCCTTTTCGCCTTTGTTACCCTCAGGACACGAATTGATGTCGAAAAACAATACCTCATCATAGTTAGCCCGGATGGGCAACTGACCAAGCTTGAGGCATGCACGGGCATTCACAACACCAGGCGCATTTCGGCGAGTCCCATCGTATGCACCGCCATTTATACTACCTGCAAGAGTGATAGCAGTCTTGTCTTCGTAAACAAGCTTGGCGAAGTGCATATTTTGTCACTCCAAACGGATGGTGACGAAACATCCGAAGTTGTCGCGGGTCTTGATCCTGGTCCACCACCAGGCAGCAATCCAGCGAAGATTCAGTGTATACAGGCTGTTCCAAGCCTTGGGATGATCTTCGCACTCCGTGATGAGGAGGCCGAGGTGTTTGACTTTACCAGTCGCGCGCTCGTCCATGCTTTTCAGATCGGCCACGTACAACCACACTCATTTCGAGTTCTACATTCGGTACGACGGTCATGTAAATGCGGGGCACCAGCAGTAAATTCGCTGTCAGTTGCATATACGGAGCAAGATACGAGCCACATGATCATGCAGACATTCACCCTTGATGACAGTACGTCGTCACAGATCTGCTTTGCAAAGCCACTTGATCGAAAGAAGCACGGTTGTCGTGGACTCGAACATGCAAGTGAGGCTGTACATTACGTCGAACCGGTTGGGACATGGGAATCGACAGACGCGCTGAGTGTGATCGGCATCAGGAGATGTATACAGTCGCCTACGCCCTCGACCATCGCGGGTATGGATGAAGGCCACGGCAGTGCTGACGTGGAGTTTGTTGCGTCAGCACTCAAACAGCGTGCCCTAAAACAAGGCAACTCCAAGATACGCAGACCCTTTGAGCTAGCGTTTACCAGGAGCCATCGCAGAGAGATTCCAGACGAAGACACTGATACGTGGGAGGCTTGGACGCTTTCTACCACGGGCGAGTTCCGTTCCAGGCCACTTGCCCCGGACGACATTGAAGATATAGCGGAAGGCTCGTACGAGGATGAACTGTTTGCAGCGGCTCCTGGTCCAATCACTAGGCTGGGGAAACGCAGCGTCGCTGTAGGGCTCGGTAATAGAGTCAAGATCATTACGTTGGGCAAGGAATGTTTCGATGGTTTGACCAATCTTCAGAGCGGCGCCATGGATATCGGTCTTGGACCACACAAGTGGAGAAGTCGACAGGGCGATGGTCGAAAAGTACAATAACGGGTTGGAAATTTACTGGTGCGGGGGCATTAGGAAAGGAAATGTGGATTCAAGTTCAGTCAGGTCAGGTGTTTTAGGCTATGGATATACCCAGTATGCGCGTTTGAGCGCGGCGTTTTTAGGTGAAGCTACAGCGTCAAAGATATTGTCAGCGAGAGGTGGCGACTCTTACTTTACTTCAACGTCATCAATCAGCAGTGTACACGAAACGTATGCCGACCCTCGATCAAGCAGGTGCTTTGCCGATATCCAATCACCGGTGTAACGCATGTCCACAGGTGGGATAGTGAGCCCGATCAAGCCCCGCAGTCAACGTATATGTGCATGACAGACGACAGCTTACACGTACCGAGCCGGATATCTGCCGCCTTAGCAGTTCATGGTGCTTGGTAGGGTCTCTCGTGATGTGATATGATATGCAAAGCTGTAGATGCCCAGTTAGTTGTGTCATGCCATGTGCGAGAGGCATAGATGATTTGTGTAACCCGGAAGACGTCATTTGTGGCTAGTGCCCCTTGAGCAGGGTCTGGTAGCGTGTGGCGCCGCTATGCGGGGCCCGTACTCTTGACAGGGGCAAGTTGAAAAGGGCCCACGCGACCCCCAGGGCCCAGGGAGCGGCTTAGGTAGTTAGTTGACCGCGGCTCAGTAACTCTTTTGCTCCTCGCCCTCCACACTCGACGCCTTTTTTCCCCAGGCATATATTCTTTGCTTTTGCGCCACAATTGCCGTTTGTAGAAATCTGGTAAGTCATCTATTTGCTCCTTTGCTCGCTGCCGTTTGTTTTACTATGCCCCTTTCACATGCGACAGAAGGTGCCATACTCAACGAATTGTTGCAGTCTTCAGCCTCAAGTGCAGTCAGCGCCACGCCATGTGACTAACAAGGAGCAGTCCCGATACCAATATGAGCAAGGCAAAGTCACCCTACGATTCGCTGCGGAACATACCGCTGTACTACGACCACTCCGACTCGTACAACTCGGCCCTCGACCTCATACTTGCTCTGCGGCCGGAATGGCGCGACACCAAGGACACAATTGAATTCACAAAGTTTACCGATGGCATCACAAACACGGTATGCAACACGCTCGCAGCCATGCGTTGGCGACGACTCCTTTTCCAGACGCACGGCTAAGACGAGGCATAGCTTTTGAAGGCGGTGAACAAGCTACCCGGTCTTTCCAAGACAGAGGTAGACGACGATGCGATACTACTGCGCGCATATGGCAAGGGAACCGACGTCCTCATAGACCGCGAGAGTAAGTCGGTCCAGACGGCAATTCAGAGGATACAGCCTAACATGACTTCACAGAGGAGACACGCTCACACTCGCTTCTCGCGCGCCACAACCTCGCACCCTCTCTTTACGCCCGGTTTGAAAATGGTCTCCTATACAAGTTCATTCAAGGCAGCGTGTGTACGCCCGCTGATCTACGTCGGCCAGAGGTATGGCGAGGTGTAGCTCAGAGGCTAGGGGAATGGCATGCCACATTACCTATATCGAGTATTAGCAGCACATGTCCTGCGCCCGCACAACTCAGATCACAAGACAACAAGCGTGAGTCTCTGGCTGCCATGGCTACACTCACGCCAGGCAAACCTATTCCGAATGTATGGACTACTATGCAGAAATGGATCCTTGCGTTGCCAACCAGCACCACGGCGCAGCTGGACAGGCGAGACGAGCTGATGCATGAGCTCGAGAGCTTGACTGAGCTTCTAGGTGATACACCTGGCATCGGCGGCTCTAACCCCTTTGTCTTCGCCCATTGCGACCTCCTCTCAGGCAATGTGATCATCGAGCCAGAGCCCTCGTCGGCGGCAGTCTCGCGCCGCTCAAGCGCTTCAAGCGGCTCCGACGAGCCCGAGACGGCCGCCGCATGTGTATCTTTTATCGACTACGAATATGCCACGCCTGCGCCCGCCTCATTTGACATTGCAAACCACTTTGCCGAGTGGGGCGGCTTCGAGTGCGACTACTCAGCCATGCCCACACGCACCACCCGCCGCGCTTTTCTAAGCGAGTACCTTCGCAGCTTCTGCGCACACCAGAATACGTCTTACAATGCCGCTGAACTCGAGGAGCTGTTTGACCAAGTCGACAGGTTCCGCGGTGTTCCGGGCTTTTACTGGGGCATATGGGCCTTGATTCAAGCGCAAATCTCCCTCATCGACTTTGACTATGCCAATTATGCAGAGGTTCGCCTGGGTGAGTACTTTGCGTGGAAGAAGACGCTTGGTGGTGGCCGGGAGGAGGACAATGAGCGCATAATACTACGGGAGAAGGTTTGGGCCCAGGATGAGTGATTGTGTACAACGACTTTGTTACTTCTTGTACGTGTTTTGGGAGAGTGGGCGAAGAAGCTACAAGGCTGTTAGCCAGTCAGTCAGTCAGCACATATTCAACATGGTTTCTCAAAGGGCGCTGGGGCGCTGTTTTCTTCTTACTCTTCTTCTTCATGCGCATCTTGGCTAGAGCACTTAACCTTGTTTCTATCCCCCCGGTCTTGTATCAACTTTTAATAGCTTCACACTAGAAATGTCACTAATCCAATGTGCAAATCTGGAAACTGTCGGGCAAGTTTTCGTTTGATAAGTGTTGATTTTGATAAAGTTGAACGACATGGATATCTTCATACATTAAGCAAATTACTGCTCCTAGGAAGTCTAGGGTCTGCGACCATTTTACCTTCCATGTTTCCTTCCCTTCGACCCAATTAAATAACCATGCTTTTCCCTTTGTGAGATCTTGTCCACTCATTCATATCCAAAAGTGAGAGAGTGAGAGATTCGTGAAATCATCATTGTTCCAAAAACAAAACCCCCAAACCCCAAAACTTTTAATAAAACTAAGCCTCAACCGTGAAATCATTCCCAGAATTCAACCAATCCATATCATTCATGCCATTTCCGCCAAAATTAGCCGTATAGTCAAGCGCTGCGTCGTCCATATTAAATGCCTCGCCGACGGCATCGAGGTTGAGTAACTGATCAAAGTCGTCGAATTCATTGTTGAGGGGTAAGCTCGAGAAGAGCATCTCGTCGTCCTGGTGGTGATTAATGTTTGCGTTGAACGAATTCTGCGGCAGATCCAGGGTGCTCCACTTTGTGAAGTTCATGGTCTCTTCTGTTGTGTGCGACTCTGTTGTTGAAGCTGAGGCTGTGACGTTGATGGCGGGCGACTCTTGGGAAATTGTGATGCTGGATACGTGCTCGTGGTCAGAATCGGGCGGTGTGGATGCGAGGAAGGTTTCGAGGCGGCGGGCGACTTCTTCGTCGGTGACGTTACGTTGGTTGTGCTGTTTTTCGAGGGCCGACATGTTTGTTGTACCGCTATCTGGTGGCGGAGTCAGGGTTGTAGGCCGCGTCAGGTTGGGCCGCATGTTTGTTATGCGGTTCGTTGCTGTTTGAACAAGATCCAAGCGTCTGCCGGCGTCTACCAGGTCCTCTACTGTGGTTACAGGCGCTGACTTGGCCATGGGTGAAGTATGCGCTGCTGCCACAGGAGCAACGTGGATGCCTGCTTTGCGGATGGCGGCCTCGAGGAAAGCTACCGAGTAGTCGGCAGCAGCGTACAGATCGCGCAGTTTACCCATGACAGCCATACACTGGCAAAATCCGCGTAGAGAAGTGCGACGTGTTTCCTCCTCAGGCGCCTTGATGTCAAGTAGGTGGATGATGATGGCTGGGAGGAGAACAGTGACACCTGTTGTTGGTAGGTACTGGACAAGTCCGCTTGCATCAAGACGCTGAGCGATAGATGTAATCGCTGAAGCAGCCCGACGAACATTGCGACGCGAAACATCAAGAAGTTCGGATTCGGCGCCAGCTTTGGGTGGAGTACATGCTGACGCACCTTGGGCGTTTGGTAGTACCTGGGGCCGATGTAATGCTGACAAGGTCGTAAAGAATACCATGTGTAGCAAGCATCTAGAAAGATCAATCGCTGCATGGCCACTGGGCTTGTCGGTATACTTGGCTTCTTCGGGGAGCTCCGACACCCACTTCTGGAGCTCTTCGTCGCAGGTTTTAACCTCACTTGTCGCGGGATCCAGCTTCTTCGGTAATAACATCATGGTCGTACGGTCGTTTTGTAGACCATGGTTGTTGTTTAGGACGCAATACTGCTTGGAGAGCACATGAGAAATGCACAGACATAGCCTAGCCTTCTCAATGCACATGATGGCCAGCTGTCGTTGCGCGTCCACGTCTCGGGCTATACGGCAGTCGGCCGGCAGGCACTTGATCGACTCTGGGAGGGGTGCAATCTCAAAGTCATCGAGCGTCAGCATCGGAACATCGAAGTCCTCGGTCTTTATCCTCGTTGGCCGTCGCATGCCGAGCGCGATAAGTCGGTCTCGCATGTAGGTTGACCACCATATCCGCTTCCACAGCTTAACACGCTTGGTGTCAAGATTTGTGTTGTCAGGATTGCGGTGAAGTCCAATAGTGTGTGCAACGGACGTTGCTACGCCCATCCAGTGCCATGTATCTTTTTGGTCATCGGGTGTCTCATAGTAATAGGTCAGCAGCAACAGCGCTTGGACGAGTGAAACACGGTCCGACTCGTAATCAAAATCGTAGAGAATCTGACGTCAAAATTAGCATAAGATTCACATGTTGCCGACTGTGCAGCACCACGTGAGTTTCACATGTTGGCATGTGATCGGAGTTTGGGTTCTCCGGGCCCTCGCACAGTTTTGGGACCGGATATAGTATGCCAAGACTCCCGAGGAAAGGAAGGATGACGACTTACTCTGGTCTTTTGGAAGAAGTCTTTGCGAGCGTCTTTTCGGGTAGCGTAGCCCGCACTGCGCAAATGTTCCATGCCAACGAAGGCTGATCCGGCGAACATGACAGCCTGGAACAAGATCAAGCTGACTTTACCATTGGCCCCATCTCGTTGGTCCACCATTGTCAGAAAATCGTGGAGATCAAGCAATGGCATGTATGGATGGACGAATTCCACGTATGCGCGTAGCATCTCGCTGCGGAGGCTTCCTCTTGGTACGGTCAGAGCGCCCTTCTTCTCCAAATATGAGATCTCGTCGGGCCCGATCCTAGACGGAAGAGGCTTGATGAATTTGGGAAGCTCGCCAGGGGCAGGCTTTTTCGGCAGAGAGCCGAAGAAAGGCGCTCCTCGTTCATTGCTAAAGGGCGAAAACGGTAGCGTAGGTAGGCCATTGATCTGCGATGTGATGGAGAGACGGCGGTGCGTGTCTGAAATGTTGGGAACAGAGTTGATGCGATGGCCGTGGCTTTGATCTGTAGTGCGATTAGAGGCGTGGTAAGATGTGCAATGGCTAGTTCAACGTACAGATGGAGTGCGGGACATGCTCGTCTCGTCTCGGTTCAGACTCATGTGACGCTCGCGACGAGGCTGGCTGGAGCGATTGGACACCATCTAGTGCGTCACGCGATGCGATTTTGCGGGTGGTGGTGGTGGTGGTGGAGGTTGAGCTCGCGTGTTCAGAGGCTTGATCGTCATCTTTGGACCATTTCCTGCTACAGTCAGTGATCCGTTGACCCGTTGACCCATAAGAGGGCGTGGGTGGATATGGAGTGGGCGCATGAGCAGCGATTGGCTAGAAAGCTCAATACGATTGTGACAGGCTGGACGGACCACAAGTGGCTAGTCGACAACTGCCGAGCCTCGGCCAACGCTGCATGACGACGGCATACCCAAATCGTTGATCAAACAACAGTGCGGTTGGGGGACTAACTTTTTGCGTCTGCTCTCTGACACAATGCATTCGACCTCGTCCAGTCTGCAGTTTGTACAGGGCGCGCCATGTTCGGTAACATTGCAACGAACTTTGCGAGCTCGACAACATTGGCACGCTTTCGAAGCCCTCCTTTTCACTGAACGTCCGGTTGCATGTCCGTCGAGGCCGGCCTGGGTGGCCTTTCGTTTCGGTGCTTGGAATTCATTGTGGTGGTCGGATGGGGAGGCCGAATAATCAGACATGGCTGTGAGGTCTTGTCGTCTGGGGGGTTGTTTTGTTATTTGTCTGGTTTGCAGCAAGATGCAATGCAGGTAGCGGCGAGAGTTCCTATCATACACGAGGGGTCTGGGGGCAGGCTCAGAATATAAAGCGCACCCTTGGGAAGAGTGGATTACATGGCAGGGCTAATCGTGTGCTCGGGCATGCAGAGAAACCGGGCTTCGTCTGGTGCGATTTTAACGCTCATGACGCCGCGTCGCCGCCTCAGTCCCCACTAGGGATCGTTGGTGAGTACCCCAGTCCCCCAGATGCGGGTGTTCGGCGCTATGCCTTGGCGACTAAAGACGCCGGTGTTTCTCGGATGTCATCGGGGCAAAGGCCGCTCTTGGGGACAAAAGGCGGTTGGCATTGTCAGCTGCTAGACCAAGGCTGATGCCCACGAGGACGACATCACGTAACCCAGCGCAAACTCTAGCCATGGTGCACGACAATTGCAGACGCATATCCATGGACCCATGATACTGGACGTGACGGAGACTTGAAGGGTCCGCGACACTACCCAACTCACGTAGAGTATGGTCATGGTCATGGTTGTATGTATACCGGTAGGGTGACGGAAATGAAGGTCCCAAGTGCGGCGCCATTGGTGTCGACGGGCGGACGGCCATGACCAAGCCAGACAGCTCTGGATTCCATAGCCGAAGTGCTAGCCGTCTCGGGTGCACGTGAGGGCACATAGGCGTCCAAAGCTGCTTGATGCTTGCGGCTTTTTGCCAATTCTTCGGAGGGGTCCATTCCTCCGATGCATGCCCCCGTTGCCCCCATAAAACATGCACCGCTGTTCTTAGCGGGCACCGTGCTTGCCGCCTCGCTGATGAGCTTGCTGACCGGTCCACCAAATCACCCTGAACCTGTCGCCGTACACAAGTACGTGACAACAAAGCCAGAGAGTGTTGACGGCTGCATGCAAAAGCCACTTGCCGTTGTGTGATGCCGGCCACATGCACGGGGCAGAGACGCAGACGGGCGACTGGGAGGAGAACGAGTGGAGCGGAGGCTTCAGCTACTGCTACCCAGATTTGCGGGGAACGCTTTCCCCTCTCGGTGAAGTCTCGGACGACGCCCTGTCTCTGCATGTCGACACGCATGCGCACAAACCGCCAATCTCACCCTTCTAGGATCCCATACCAAGGGTATTACTCCAGGAAGATGCACTGCCCCTGGTGCAGCTCCCGTTCAACTTTTTTCTTCTTTGCGTACCTAGCCCTTCATATCCCGCACCCGTTCCCCGCCAGTGGGGTACAGGACACGTTCCTTACTAGGACTGCCTCTACGCTCAACGGTAGCCTAAAAATGTTTCAGTCCTACAGCTTTGTCACGTTTGTCTCTTCTCACCTGCTATTTTAGCGCATATGTGCACACACACACACTGATCTGCAGGGTGAATGCCGGTGCGATCCCGCCAGATACTGTAGCTGAGCCTCAGCGTCACCTGTGAGCACCGACTGTCGCATTGTGCCAGAGACGTGCGCAATAACTATCGCTTAATCAATCGCGCCGGTGAGACGGTCTGGACAAGACGCTTCACAAACTGGCCGGGGTATGCCGGCACTTACCTAATATTCGGATCGGACATGTACGAGTACCACGGTCCCAGCTCCCATCACAAGCATACATGTAAGTTACCATCAATTTTGCCCAATTGAACAAGACTTCAGACATTGTAATTCCGACTAGAATAAAGAAACAGGCCGCAATACCTTGTGTACTACGAGACTGCATCCATTCATATTTTGCATACCCATGCTTATGTGTTGGCCTTTTCAACCCGGAATTGTTATCCGCTCATTCAGACCGGAAATGCACATCCTCAACGTAGCCAACTATGAAGCTCGATTGACTATCTGCTATCTTCTCAATACAGCTGAACTCATGACTTATGTTACGTAATGAAATGCCAAGATCAAACCATCGTCTCCAAGCGTCAACAGTACCCTTGCTACAGCTTCCATGTCCCCTTTGGCCTCTCCATAGCCTTGGTCTTGCTCTTGAAATTCTTCACCAATTGACGGACTCCAAGATCTAGCATCACGTCCTCAGAACCACCAGGTATCCGTATACCTGGAACCTCACGAGAGATCCCTGAAATACATGTTAGCCATATTCAACACTAGCCCACAAACCAATGCACTTACTCTCTATTAGCTCTCCCTGCCCACTCTTTGTGTATCCGTTACCACCAAACAGCAGCTGCGCCGTCTGTGCGCACTCGTTCAGCACAATGCCACTTTGCGCCTTCACCATGGCCGTCAGACCACCCAGCTCGATATCTGCTGTCGCCTTGGGCAGATGTACCATCTGGTATACAAATTGCTCCACCCACGCCCACTGTGACTCTAGCAGAGCACCAGCCTTGGCAAGGCGGTGGCGTACCACAGGCTGGTCGACAAGCGGTTTGCCGAAGGCTTCGCGTTTAAGCACGTATTCTACTGCCGCAGATAGGGCGACGCGGGCTTGGCGGGTTGCGCCGATAGCGATAGAAAGCCGTTCGTGGTTGAAGTTCGTCATTCTTGTGGAACTTTGTCAGCCATCAAAATCCTTGGAGACTTGCGTCACCCTTACATGTACTTCATGCCCATTCCTTCTTCCCCAACAAGGTTTTCTACTGGTACTTTGACGTCATCAAGCTCGATGAAGGTCGTGCCTGAGCTTATGTTACCGCCAACCTTAATGCGTCGCATGCTAACGCCCGGATATCCTTTCAGAGGTACGACTACCATGGACAAGCCAGTCGGTCCGGGACCGCTAGTTCTCACAGCCATAGTAGCATAGTCCGACCAGATTCCGTTCGTGATCCACTTCTTGCTGCCGTTTATGATGTAGTGCTTTCCATCAGCCGTCTTTTCAGCCGTCGTCGTAATGTTTGCAACATCCGATCCAGCTTCGGGCTCAGTAATGGCGATACAAATTCGCTTCTTGCAGGTAAGAAGTTCTGGAAGGAAGCGCTCTTGCAGTTGCTTGTTACCGTACTTGATGATTGGCGGTAAGCCGAACGAGACACCGACAGTGAGAGAACCGGGGGGCCCTGCGAGACCACTCCGTTGCATCTAACTCCTCGATAAGCTTCGCACTTTAGTGCCAGTCGGGACATGTGGACTCCATACCTCATCAGTATAGATCATCGTATGAATGTAGTCCCACTCCTCGACCTTCACCACGCCAAGGATATCGTGAATACCCAGCTTCTTCAGCCATTCCACCGGCAAAGGAGCTGGAAGTGTGGGAAGCAACATGTTCGCTTTTGCAAACGTGTCCCACACGTGCTCCGGCACCGTCTCATTTGTATCCCATTCTAATGCTTTCTCTAGTAGATGCTTCTCCACGAACTGGCGACATGCTTTCTGCCATTTCAGATGCGTCTCTTTGTAGTACGGGGATGGAAGACCGACGATGTAGGGTGGTTCGGAGAAGGGAAGGTACGCAGTGGCGGACATGGTGGCAGTTGGTCAAGTCCAGGAATCAAGAGTGGACGAGAGGCTGCTTCTTCGCCTCAACTCCATGATGCCTTTATGCTCGGTGTAGAGGTGGAGACGGGAGGATGCGCGGAGGCGCGGAAGTCGGGTGTGGGGTAGCTTCAGATCCAGGCACAAACCGAGGTTCGCCGGGCTTCACGTGATTGTTGTTTCAGCGCCCCGTAATACTTGACAGCGACAGCATCGGTAAGTCCCGTTATTCCATTCCTGATAGGCCTGTCTGGCGCCTACAATAGATTCTGTATGTTAGGGTGTCAAGTATCTCATGTCATCCAGGTACATACATTATACTGACTGCTACCCTCCCTGTCTTGGTTTGCGCACCCGCTGCTGGTCGCAATATAAATAAATTTGTTTGACACGAAGGTGTGTTCGGTGACTTTGAATTGATGTTGGCTTGTCTGTGATGTTACGGTTCAACTTCACATGCGTACCATGGTTGCTTGATGACTCTGGACGTCTTTGTTACCCTACCCATGTAACAACAGCCACTTAAAGGGCTCTTCCTAATGCGGATGAGGTAAATATGAACTGCTCGTATTGTGGCACGCCCTTCTCGGGCTTGCACAAGAACACACCCTGGCGATTGTGTTGGAGATCGACAAGGGTGTTTCCTAGACCAGCTCAACGGTGCCTGGGTTGCTCCTCATAAATTTGACACTCACGCCACTTTTGTAGTCTGCTCCCAAATTCCCTCGTAATTTCATAACTTATAACTTTCACCAAGTAACCTTCTACAGATACGCACAATATGCGTAACCTCCAAATCAAATCCAGTGTGCGAAAATACAAAGGTGACACATAGTCCTCATCCGGTGGCATTCCGGGTACTGCCGCGTCACCGCTAACGTACAAAAAGAGGACACCGATTATCTAGCATCATGGCTGCTCCAAAAGGCCACGGAATGCGGATTCCAGAGAACGCCCAAGCCAAACCTACAGGCTTCATTTTTTGAGTCTAGCACGTCGTCCAGCACGTCCACGTTGCAAGATGGCCAGCAAGCCGCCAGGTACCTCCTCGAGACATACGAATTTGAACCGATGGCCGAAATAATCTCGAAGAATGCGTCCAAAATAAAGTTTCCAGCAAGTGTGGAGGCTGTCTTTGACCGTGTCATCAGCGGTCGTAGGGAAGTCAACAAGAAACACATGGAGCTTCCGAGACAGAAGCGGAATCTGCATAAAGATAAGACGCACGAGTACTTCATATCTGTCATAGAAAGGGCTTACGAAAAGCTGAAACCTTATGTCACTGTGAAGAGCCTTCGAGGAAAGGGAAAGCCTACTGTCCCTGGAGAGCGCGGATCTGGCAACATGACCATGGAGAATAGCTTCGCCGGACTCAATGTTGAGGAAGCCTCTGAATCGGCCGAGACAGAAACAACGGAATCCAACGAAGATGCCGAGGACGACTTACCTGATATTCCACCTGTTCAGGTGGATATAGAGGAGGCAGAGATCGAGGACGAATTTCATTTCCAAATCCTGATGCTCCTCAACGAGCTACACAATATCCTGCAGATTGTGGTCAAGCTATGGGCAGCTTATAGGGATGGTAAGATTGATGTGGTCGTGCCTTCTCTCGCTACCAACATAGCGATTGACATGGCGCGACAAGCAGAAGCTGATTTCGAAGAATTGGTTATCCGTCCGAAGAAATATCCGGTCTGGACATATCCGGTCTGGACACTACCTGCTGTGGCGTACCATTGTCAATCAGCAGAGTTTGATATGAATCCACAAGAGGAGTTGGTCAAGCCTGATATGGTCCGCCATCATGGCATACTGGAGAGAAAGAGCACCGAAGGGCCAGCGGGCACAGAGGAGATCTTCTTCCATTCAGTCTTCTGTGGCATCAGATTTCATCTTCATGCTCTCATATCTGCACCTGGAGGTATACAAGAGCCGGATATCAAAAGAATCAAGGCGGTTCACCCATGGTGGCCAAAGAATATGTTCCGCACCATTGAGCTAATGCCTCAATACCAAGTTGCGCTAAGAACTTGGGAAGATCTCTCCGTTTGCAGACATGACGAGATCAGCCTGGGTGTCCAGACTATGATCAAAAAGCCTCGCGAAATTCCCCTTTGGACAACTTTTGGCATCCAGCTGTTCCTCGAGATTCAAACCACACTTGGCCCCAAACAGAGCCAGCCATTCGAAGAGATTCAGAAAGAAGTCAAGATGTGGAGAAAACGATTTGATGGCAGTAAAGGGGCAGACGGGCGGTACGTGGCTGAGAAGAAACAATGTCACGAGGTCATTGAGATGATCACCAAACATCTTCCATTAGCAGTAGAGTTCGATACGTTCAAGGCGTCCACTCTCCACGACAGTCCTGGAATCAAGAGTACCAGCGACACGACTACTGCCGGATTTTGGACCCCATTTCAACAAGAAGAATTCTACTTCTTAAAGCGTCATCCTGTGCGCTGCGGACTTATGAAGCACCACCTTTATTCTCGCATCCTCGAATTACGCTTTGAAGGATCACAGGACCAGATAAAGCAGATGACTTGGCTCGCCCATCTCTACATCGCTGGCAGGTTGATTCAGCCCGATCTACCTCGGTGGCCAGATATGGAATTTGCCATTCACAGACAGGGCGTAGCCTACCTATTCGGCGGACAAGGCCTACCCACAACCTTGACTCAGTGCAAATCAAAGCTAAAAAAGGCCAATGGATGCGTTTCCATCAACACCGCCAGAGAAACATGTCGACCAGACCGTGCCCGCCTCTTCAAGAACCCGCGTCTCTTGGGTAATGTCTTGGCTGATCAAATGGAAGAAAAAACTTCAGACAGTGTCTACCACGTCCTCCGTCGCTTTGTATGCGACTCTGCCAATCAGACAAGGCTCTACGATCAGTACAACACCTCGCCTGAGATAGCCAAGACCAGTCCACCATTCCAACTCCAGAACGAACCTCGTTTTTCTGCTCTACTACGAGACCTCGGCAACTACTGGCTCCGTGGTGACTTGATCGATCTCTACTTTGACTGGCCTCGCTTCACACGCACCTGCTGTGAAGAGCTCATCCCCGGCATACGCTATCTGTTGAGCAACAACGAGAAAAGTTGTCCCATCAACGATTTCGACGCCGACTTCTACGAGTTCGCGCTCTGGATCATCGACCAGGCCATTCAATCAGAAACTCCGGAATTCGGCACTTTGAAATCAGGCGAGTGGCTCGAAGTATCCAAAATCCAAAGCTCAAACAGGAGGAGACATCTTCGTAACGTGAACATGCTCATTGAGACGTCTGCGTATGAGGATGTGCTGATGAAGTCGGGTGAGTTCAACACCTGGCAGGGTGAGGGCGGATTGGTCAAACTTCTTGGCAAGATTGGGCCGATGAAGATGGTTTTTGACTACGATGGACAGTGGAATGCAAAGAGGCTGTATGAAAACTGGGGAGAAGAACAGAAGAGGAAGAGCAATTTTTGGAGGGCTATGAACAGGTAGTTTGTTGGTTAATTTGCTGTTGCACCTAGGTGACATCAATCCTTGACAGTATGTGTAAGCACCTAGTATTCGTGTCTAGCGCCTGCAGTGACCTTTGTAAACTAGTATAATCAGTATTTTATGTCACCTAGAGCTCATCCGCTATCGACATCCACAGTGACAACATGCAAATTAACAGTCCATATCATTACAATCGACATAACATGACCAACACATCACAATATCAACGTCATTAGATGCGACGAGGTCGTTCTTTTTCTGGTAGCTTCTGATTTTAGGGCATTATTATACATAAGACCAAGAAAACACTGGGATACCAGCGTAGCTAAAATCTTAATAAATAAATAACGAAAGGGCCGCACTACTCACTTTGGATCCTCTTGGCACACAACTGCGCGGGTGTGATAACCATCGCTCGTTTCCTTCGGGAGCGGTGAACGCGAGAAGACCTCTAATCTTCCTCAATTTCACCTTCCTCGCTCCCACTACGGAGGGCGCGGTCTTCCTCTTCCTTCTTCACAGTCGGCTCGGGAACGGGAGTTTTGGACTTTCCCTCGACGCGAGGGGAGTAGCGAGCACGCTGCAAGGTCAGTATGATACTCCGTTCAAAAGACTTGGGCCGTTATGGGATAGGAATCTTCTTCCGTACCTTGGTGTCGCGATCGCGCCTAGTAGAACTCTCATCGCTCTCCCGACGGCGGCGGGCAGACGAAGTGCGACCACCACTGTCGCCGTAGTCTAGCAGACTGACGGTTGCTTCGCGAGGATCGGCTCTACTGACGTAAGATCGCTCACGCTCCGCTTCGCGCTCACGGCGCTCGCGTCCATAGTGATCACCACCAGGACTGCGGCGAGAGCGCTCGTAGCGATCGTCATCTCGACGCTCGCGGCGGGGAATCGGAGACAAACCTGTGCCGTCACTATTTCTGTAGCGTGCCTCCCTGTCTTGCACTGCTCTGCGGCGCTCCGCGGCGTATGGGTCATGTTCAGGTGAGCGAGTACGCGTACGATGACGTCGGTGGGAGTCTGAATGACCGTTGCGATACTCACGGTCTCGGTCGCGCCTGTCCCTATCACGATCGCGATCATCGCGTCTGCTACGGTCCCGACGATCACTCTCCTTTTCCTTCATGCGGGATATAAACTTGTCGAAGGCCGACTCGCGAAGGGTATCTGACTTCAGTGCGCGGTACTCGTCTGTTTTTTCAACGCGGGGACGTACCACTTCCCAGGTGTCTGAAAGCGACACTGGTGGATCAAGATGCTTGATCACAGAGCGGAGCTTGTCTACAGCGTAGCGCTCGTTGGATTCGACGTCTCGACGTTCATCTTCCTCGCGTTTCTTCACCTTCGAGAGCACGTAGTTGTAGATGCTGTGCATGGACTGTTCGTCAATATCAGCGGTGCGAACGTCTTTTCGCATGACACTTAGGAAATCTTCCACGGGGGTAGACGTTGTAACTTCGAAGCGTTCGTGCTAGCAACACAGTTAGTCAGGGCCGGCAAATGGGTATATGAATAGACTTACCTCGAGCACGTCCAGCGCTCTTCGGCGCAGAGAACGGAACTTGCCCTCTTCTACCTCCAAAGCATCCCTGAACAGATCGAGCGGCGAGGATCCCTCTTGTCCGAGCATGGCCGTGTAGCGAGGATCATCTTGAATCACCGTATGGATGTCCTTCCACTTGGTACCAGCACGCAGTACACCGTCCTTGGTCAACTGCTCCAACAGTTCTAGGAATCCGTCGCGATTCTTGCGTTCTATGCGACGTTTGATACGTCGGTCGGCCTGAACACGATCGTTGTGTTCGCGCTGAAGATGCCTGATGTGCGTCTCGAACTGGTTCAGAACATCGATGCGAGTCAAGGTTTGGAATTTCTCGCTCTTGAACTCGTCGTTGCGCTCCAACTTTTCCTCGGCCGCCTGCCAGCGAGTAAAAGGCTCCAGATTTAGACCCTGGAGCAGACCCATTACTTGTTCGAGAGCGGATCGCCTGCTCTGTGCCTCTTCCTCTTCGTGTGCCTTCTTGCATGAAATGATGTACTCCTCAAATAGAGCCCTTCGTTCGGTGTCGTCTTTGGCAGATCGGAAGATGGTTTCTTGGTCGATGATCGGCAACGCTGTCTTCCAGCGCGTGTAGTACTTGATCTCGGGGTGCGAGCGCAACATGGCGGTAAAGTCAGAGCGCAATTTGGCCTGGCGTTCCAGCTCTTTCTGCTTCTCTTGAGCGCGTAGATCGTCACAGTACTTCCTGAAAGCCTCCTCGCGCTTCTCTGGTTCGGGGATGGCGCGCCAGTTGGGATCATGAATACCGGCGCGCACAGCTTGCTGCCAGGTCCAGTCAGGCTGTACTTTCATCTGTTTAAGCACTTTCATAAAGGCCGCCTCTGCCTCCTGCGGGCTAGAGAATTGAAGCTCAGTACCCACTGTAAAGCTGATGTTGGGTCGATCGCCACCAAAGCCAGCTTCACGATCGCGCTCACGGTCATCCCGGCGGTCGTGTCGGTCGGGGCGGTACTCGTCGCGCTCGGGGCGCCTGTTTTCGTAGGGAGTAACACTCGAAGGCGGCCCTGCTGCCCATCCAGACGGTCCTGCAGGAGGGGGTCGCGGGGGCATCTGGTTCTGCCTAGCCTGGTCGATTTTCTGTTGGACAGCCTCGGGTATAGTCCACGTCGTTTCATTTGTGCCAATGCGTGCAAAGTACCGTTTGCCATCTGCCACATGAGCTGTCCAGCCGGAGCCGGGGAGTGCGCGCTAAATTCTGTTGGTCTTTTGTTGCTAAAGAGAAAGGGGGTATTCAGATTGCTTACCTCTACGTCGTCCTTGAGCTCATCGGGCTTTTCCCACGTAGTAACTTTGGTGATGGTGTTGTAGTAGTATTCTCTACCGTCTGTATTTGTCGCAGCCGTCCATACGGGACCTGGAGGCGGTATCATTGGGAGCGGGTAACCATTCATTGTGCTGGTTGTTCAAGGTTGCGCGATGACTGCAGGTGTTGTCGCGCGAACCTTTGAATGTGAGAACGAATTCGACGCAACCGACGCTAAGCACTAGCGCCAAATCATACACTAGCTCAGGCACCGGATTCACGTGCGCTTCTCACCGTCTACGTCGACTTACCTACCTAGGGACAGTCATGACTACAGACGTTGCCGAAGCACTGCCGCGTGGAAGCTCTGAATTTGTCGAGAGCTCGGTGTTGGAAGCTGTCGTCCCTGCAAGTTCGAATGTCGACATCAAGAACGACATCAAATCTTGGGCTGGAACAACAGATGAAAGTGGCTCCATATTGCCATTGCTTTCGCAAAGAAATGTGCTTTTACTTGGTACGTCTTTAGCAAGTCCCATGAACTCGCATGTCTCTTACTCATGCGTAGGCTTCTAGATGAACTACTAGCTGTGTATATCGTGTTCCGAACGCCACTTCTCGAGGATGCCACATTGAAGTCGTATCTTGCAAGACTTGTCGTCAAAGTGGAGGCTTTTGCATTCAGCACCACCCCGATTCCCGAACAGGACCCCAAAGCTGGACCTCTGAAAGAACTTCTCTATTCTGGTACCATCAAAGATACAGATGAGCCTACAATCGTCAACCATGAAGAAGGAGATGCCGCTCATACCTATGTCATTTGGAAGGTGGATATCTTCATAGGTAAGCTATATGCACTCATTTGACGTATTTTCAGTGTCTGATTTCGAGTAGCTCGTCCTCAGGGCAGATTCCACAAACCTGCAGTATACTTTCAGCCTACAGCATCCTTCAAACCCACAGAAAGGCCCAAGCAAGAGATTATTGAAGACGAGTACCTTCCAAGCCTAGTTCCGACGCCGTTGAATCTACTTCAGGCATTTGAACATGACCCCGCCCTTGTTGGTATTCATCCACGCCTTTCAGCGATGCGGATCAGCAAGGTCACACCAAACGCTCCGATTGCGAGAGAAATGGTTCGCCCTATTCGACACGGGCAAAAGCCTCTGTATCGTGTGCTACCACCGTTGATCTGGAGAATGAGATATTCAAAAATCCAGACATCATTGAGCGACCTCTCTCTGATGGCTTCTCTGGATCTGGAAGTCGCTCAATACGCTACGTATGATGTGAGAATCAAAAGCGTTCGCTTGACTTTACATGGTGGCAAGGTCAAGGAGTTGAGCCATGACCAAGATACGATGATAAGTCACAAGCCCGGTGACCAACTGACATATCTGTATAAGATCAGCCCGGATCTTCGTCCTGACGGGACGCCTGCACTCGGGAGCAAGGGTCACTATTTGACGCTGAATGTCGAGGCCAATGTCACTATGAGCAGCAATTGCCGGCCAGACATTGCCATTGAATGGAAAACGCCTGTTGATTTTGCACACGAACAGTCATCTAGTTTGGTCAAGCCCATTCATCGACCGAGGAGTTCAACAATTCAAAGCGTGACTGCATCCAATCCAGATGCTCTTCCAGCTCCAGAGATACAAGATCAGGCTGGGCAGATCAATTCGAGCAACGACGTGGTCAGTATCACTCTCACAGTATCTGGGCCACCTAGTGTTCGGGTTGGCGAGATATTCACATGGGATGTATTCATAGTCAACCGATCCGACAAGATGCGGAGGCTGGCGATCTTGGTCGTCGTGAAAAGATCGAGAGATGTCGAGAGGCACAAATCACATCCATCAACATCGTCTGCAGGCGGTCCTCGGGTAGACAAGAAAGAGTTGCTTGCGACAGCTGTGGTTGATGAAAACGTCGTGTATGCAAAGCAGAAGAGTGCGAGAATGGAGACAGCGGATCTGATCTGCTTGACGACTGATATTCGCCTGGGGTAAGTGACGACTACCAGTACTTGACCATGTAATTTGGTGCTAACTGTATGCAGGCAGCTTTCACCTGGCTCGTGCTACACGGCTGATCTCAAGCTTCTTCCGCTTACTGCCGGTATCTTGTCTGTGGAGTCTATACGAGTCGTGGACTTGGTCAGTAATGAAGCTGTAGACATTCGTGACTTGCCCAGCATTATTGCCGTAGCACCATAAGCTGTAATACTACTTGGCTTATTGTTTTTTCTAGCAGCATGTTTGCATCAGGATGTCTGTTGGAATCTACTAGAACATGCTCGTGACATGTAAAGTATGCATGTCGCAAACAAAAATCGGACCCTGTGTAGAAGCTGCGGAGATGCCAAATGGCACGAGCCCATAAGCGCTGGCAACTAGGTTGATGTGTGAAACTCGTCATCGGGTCCGGCCTGTGAAACTCTCCGCCACTCGCACCAAGACCTACTCCGCACATCTAACCCCAGGCTGCGACTGCGACATTGTACAAACAGCACTTTTGGCGATACTAGCACACCAACCTTTTCGCTTGCCTTGACGCGCCTAATAGCCGACAGATAACAGATAGGACCACTTATAGCTGCACACGGACCTTGCGCCTACGTTTCGGCAACGTCATCGGGCCCTCCAGCAACGCTACACCCAGAGCTTTTCACAGGACCCATACCTAGCCGACATGAACAGCACCAGACACAGATTGCTTTACCAGCTGAACAGCCGCTGGATCTACGGAAAGATTGTGAGCAGCATCACCAACGGCATCCCCGTCTCCGACTAATACCCATCAGCCGCTGTTACATTCGATAGTATTCCTCTTGCAAATGGCTGCTGTGAGTTTACTCACGCGCAAGTACAACCAGTACTATGCTGCGCGACCGGTTCTGACCACGATGATAACCAACGCTGTACGTCTTTCCCTCTTTCTACTACGAAGCATACATGCGCATTTACCAGCCCGCCGTGTGTCGCGCGCGGCCTCGGCATCAAACCTCGCGATAGGCACTGCGCCTATGTTGAAATCGTTACAAACATTGCATCAAAGGCAATGCTAATGCTAGTCACAGGTGTTGGGTGGTATAGCAGACACAGTAGCCCAGACATTGACAGCTGTGCGGGAGCGCGCAGTTCGCAAGAAGGGAGGGCCAGCCAAGGATGACTTCCTGGCGATTGAGATCCATGACCTCGACAGGCGGAACCCCCTCAATGACAACGACCTCATTCCTGACTCGAAGAAACTCCCTCCACCTTTCGACTTCGAGCGCACCACGAGATTCATGTCGTACGGTTTCCTCATGTCGCCGATTCAGCACAGGTGGTTCCGCTTCCTGTCGTCGACCTTCCCAGTTACAAAGACGGCTACATGGCTGCCAGCATTGAAGCGCGTGGCTTTTGACCAATTTCTGTTTGCTCCAGCTGGTTTGGCGGCTTTTTTTACCTTCATGACAGTTGCTGAGGGAGGTGGTAAGCGTGCTGTGCAGCGCAAGTTCCAGGACGTCTATGTGCCCGCGCTCAAGGCCAATTACATGGTATGGCCGGCGGTCCAAATCATCAACTTTCGGGTCATGCCTATTCAATACCAGATCGTAAGTTTCGGAACCCTTGTTTTCTTGACGATACTAACTCTGCACCAGCCTTTTGTGTCGACCGTGGGAATTGCCTGGACGGCCTACTTGTCCTTGACAAACTCGGCCGATGAAGCCTAAGCCCCTCAATCTACGCGAACATATTCCCTTGCACAAGTGTGCTGGGCACGATAAGTTGAGTCGTGACAATATCACTTGATTCCCCCTTGAGGTTTTTGCGTGTTTGCATACTGGGTTGGGCATTTCCGTGGCGTCAGGGCAATCGGCTATAGATTCGGGGTTGTTGTGCATGTACAACATTCAATTTGGTTAAATCGAACTGGTAATTTATGTCGATATTCTTGTCTGTCTCAGCTTCTGTGATGGAGGTCTGTGCCCAATCCGGAATCCGGTGAAAGAATGCTGCCAGAGAGATACTCGCCGGGATGTTTGGTACGCTCCGTCTCCTAGCTCCCATACTCGGATACCAAAGCTCACTCTCGGCCGCGGGAATTGGGAAGACAGTGGGCTTGGCCGCGCACCTTGAGAGGCATTTAAACAGTAAAAGGATTTTACTTCTGCTAATTAGCTCTTAGTTTGCGCGGTTTTATGTGGTTCGATGGCTACGTAAGGTTTGAGTAGCTTTGCATGTAGAGGAACCTGTGGGCTGACTGCCCCGCTGCACCCCCACCAAGCCTGTCCATGACAGTCTGAAGCTCAACAACAAACACTAAACATCACCCGCGCATCTTCTTCTCGCCACAAATCCTTCGACGTAAGTTCTTGCTGTACACATATAGTTGATAAACTACTTAAGAACAGCTTCGCTGATCACAAACCGCTGCAGCATCTACCATATACCCATCATGTCTCTCTCCAACAAGCTGTCGATTGCCGACGTCGATCTCAAGGGCAAGCGCGTCCTCATCCGCGTAAGTGAAGCTCTCGGAGATAAAACTCATTTGAATTGCGCCTCTGACAGATGATGATCAGGTCGACTTCAACGTCCCTCTAGACTCGGACAAAAAAATTACCAACAACCAGCGCATCGTCGGCGCCCTCCCCACAATCAAGCACGCCATTGAGAATGGAGCCAAGGCAGTCATTCTCATGTCGCATCTTGGCCGCCCAGACGGAAAGCCCAACGCCAAATACAGTCTCAAGCCAGTTATACCTGAATTAGAGAAACTACTTGGCAAGAGCGTAACTTTCACAGATGACTGTGTGGGCAAGTCGGTCGAGGACACCGTCAATGGGGCTAGCAATGGCCAGGTTATTCTACTTGAGAATCTGCGCTTCCACGCTGAAGAGGAGGGTAGCTTCAAGGATGACGAGGGCAAGAAGCAGAAGGTAGACAAGAGCAAGGTTGAGGAGTTCAGGAAGGGCTTGACTGCCCTAGGCGACGTCTACATCAGTGAGTGGTCTTGAAGATTGATCAATAATACACGATGCTGATCAATTACAGACGACGCTTTCGGCACTGCCCACCGCGCACATAGCTCCATGGTCGGAGTCGATCTTCCACAGAAGGCCTCTGGCTTCCTCGTCAAGAAGGAGCTTGACTACTTCGCAAAGGCTCTGGAGGAGCCCAAGCGACCCTTCCTCGCCATCCTCGGCGGTGCCAAGGTCTCAGACAAGATTCAGCTGATCGACAACCTGCTAGGAAAGGTCAACAGCCTGATCATCTGCGGTGGCATGTCCTTCACCTTCAAGAAGACTCTAGAGGGCGTCAAAATTGGCGACAGCTTGTTTGATGAGGCTGGCAGCAAGACTGTTAAGGACCTTGTTGAGAAGGCCAAGAAGAACAACGTCAAGATTGTTCTGCCCGTCGACTACATCACCGCCGATAAGTTTGACAAGGATGCCAAGACCGGTTACGCTGAAGACAAGGACGGTATTCCAGATGGCTGGATGGGCCTCGACTGCGGTGAAAAGTCAATCAAGTTATACAAAGAGGCCATCGGTGAGGCACAGACTATTCTCTGGAACGGTCCCGCCGGTGTGTTCGAGTTCGACAAGTTTGCCAAGGGTACCAAGGAGATGCTTGATGCTGCTGTCGAAGCTGCGCAGAGCGGCAAGATTGTCATCATCGGTGGTGGTGACACAGCCACTGTTGCGGCCAAATATGGTGTAGAAGACAAGCTGTCTCACGTTTCTACAGGTGGTGGTGCGTCGCTTGAGTTGCTTGAAGGTAAGGATCTGCCTGGTGTGTCTGCCCTGTCAAGTAAGTAAATCACTCGCTTGGCGAAGTGAACAACTGCTCAAGATTATGGAAGGTATATCTTCGAAGTTGTGATTGTGTAGCTATAGCCCTTTCCGGTTCAATACAAAGAAACCGCATTTCCATCGTGTAGCTCAATGCATGTGATGCTTGGAGGGCATTGGTGAGGGCAACTCCTCAGTCCTGCACTACTGATCGCCTCGTACTGTTCTAGCTTTGTTGTCGTGCCGTCATCCGAAATGTAATCGCTTCTTGTTCGTGTCGACTGCTCGGGGGTATTGCTCATTTGCCTAGCTTCTTAAGCTCCTCCCTATGCATCATTAGCCCGCGCTCCCAGGAATTTTGTATCGTGTATCTCTCACCTCAGCTGTACGGCAAAGTCGTCGTTTGTGTCATCGTCATCCCAGCTCTCTTCCCACAGATGTGTGTTGCCGTTGGGGATCTGTGTCTCCTCTTCTGCCCAGTCTACGCATGCCGTTAGCTTACTATGTACGCGCTTCATATAGGAGTGGCTTACCCTCTATAGGAAAGTCTTCGAATTCGTCGTCTTCCTCTAGCTGTGCGGTGGGCTTCTTCTCAGGCGCTAGTGGTTGCTCGCCGTTCTTGGAGTCGTTGGCCACGGCTTTCTTCATCTCGTTGCTTCCTTGCGCTGATCCGGACATTGTGGCAGTTTAGGAGATGCAGTTGACGTGGGGAGTATGTTTGGTGGCTATATGGATGGCTGAGTCGTGTTGTGCTTTCAGGTGCTTCGTGATGCGGCTCTACTGGCGGAGGAGGCGGCGATTGTCCGCAAAGCTTAGCGCGACATCACGTGGCGCCCATGGAAACCAGTTCGCGGGGTATCGACTTCGACGCGTGCAGCTTGGCTCCGGGAAAGTTCCATCTCGTATAAAATCGGTTGTTTCACCATCATCCGTCAGATCCTTGAGCCCCCAATTCACAGCACCTATGGGGATTGGAGGATGGACTACGGGAAGCGGGAATGACCATGACGTATTTCGTTTAGCTCCGAGCTGCCGGACGAAGCTGTAGGTGCGTTGTCTGCACGGCTTAGTAGGTTGCTAGACGCTTGCTGAGCGCTTTAGCCAAGGAGTTAACTTTGTCCGTGTTGCCTGAATGCATTATATCGTTCCTTCCGAGTCCCCCAGTCTTTCTTTTCTACCTTCTTTTGCTGAAACCTGCTCCGTCCTCGGCCTCTATACAACATGTTCAAAGTCGGCGGTTGGCTCAAGGGCCATACGCCCGGACATGCAAAGAGCCTAGACTCTTTGAGTGAACTTGCACAGAGTGCGTCTTTCAACGTTGGCAGCTTGGAGCAATCACTGACATAGTGTAGTACAGGATGCCATGAGTGGTACGAACTCTCGGTAACCGCCTTGAATGGCGTCTGGGATAGGACTAACGACACGCGAGCACAGCCGTCACCTATATCATGGCCGACGATATCGAGAGCGCGGAAGAACATCTCAACAAAGGTAGTTCGCCTTTTCATCAGGTGAGTGCCCGCCTTCCAGCCTGCGGGCAAATGATACTCTATTCTAGACTTATATGGCATAGCTGGGGGCCGGAGTCTGTGTCTTCATGAGGGCGACATTAGGATTTGAACCGGAAATTGTGCGCGAAGGTCGGTCCACCTACCCATTGTGCTATCATATATGTTGACTGATGAGAACTGTAGCCGCCAACGCCTTGTCCGTGGCCGAGAATTCCGCGTATGAATACCAAAGAAGGGCCGGGAAAGATTCGAGCGCCTATCAATCAGCCATATACCCTCCAGGTACCGAATACGCCGTATGCCAGGCAGAGGCACAGCTGATGAGTGCTGTTGTCGGTGTACTCAACGAGAGTTTGACGGAAGCGATCAAAAGCTTCTACAAGCTGAGGAAGGCATACATTGCACTGGAAAGTGTGATGGAGAACGAGAAGAAGTTTGTGAACAAGAAGAGCACAAGCAGCGTCAACTCTCTACGATCTCGCCCTGCTACTTCTAAAAGCACATCAGCGGCTGCTTCGGCTGCTAATCCCAACCAGGCGACTCCACTAACTGAACCACATGTCAACAAGGCTATTTCAGAGCCAAAGAAAGCCGAGGACAATGATGACGACGACATCGACTTTGTAGATGCCGCAGAAGACCGTCCTGGAGATCAGACACCACTAGAGTACATGGGTCATTTCAATTTCGCTACTGAAAAAGAGACTTCTGTTGGTACAAACAACGCACAAAAGCAAACCCCGGCCGACTCCATACCAAACGCCATCGAATACTTCGAACGGCTCACTTTGAACGACGAAGGCACGCCAGGGGCCGATATTGCGAACTTCAGTGATAAACCTGTAGACATATTCATTCTTTCCGGATCCAACTTTTGCTTTGGCATGTTACTGCTCATTCTCTCTTTCATACCACCATCTTTTGCTTCTTTACTGAAGATAGTCGGCTTCACTGGCGATAGAGAAAGAGGTATGAGAATGCTGTGGCAAGCTACAAAGTTCCACAACATTCACGGCGCCATGGCCGGTGTTGTGCTGATGGGCTATCTGAACGGATTCACGAATTTCTGTGATATAATACCTTCCAAAGGCCAAGGTGCATATCCCAAGGAACGGTGCATAGCTTTGCTCCGTTATATGCGCGAAAGATACCCAAAGAGCCATCTTTGGCTGCTTGAAGAGGCGCGAATGCTCGCCTCGGAAAAAAAGCTAGAGAAGGCGGTTGAGTTCATCGCCGAGGCGGGCGAATCAAAACTCAAACAACTCGAAGCCCTATCCTGGTTCGAACGCAGTCTCAACAACATGTACATGCATGAGTACGAAGCGTCCGCCTTGGCATTTGCAAAGTGCGCCACTCTCAACAACTGGAGTCATGGGTTGTACTACCACATTATTGCCGCCTCGTATGTGGAACTATATAGGCGGAACAAGACAACAAATCCGGTGGAAGCGAAGAAGTATGGCGCAAAGGCAGAGGAGTACATGAAGATGGTTATCCCAAACACTGGCAAGAAGAAGTTCATGGCACGTCAGCTACCATTTGACGTCTTCGTTGTCCGCAAGATCCAGAAATGGGAAGCGAGAGCAAAAGCATGGGATTGCGATCTTGTGGACGCGGTTGGAGTGTCTCCGCTCGAAGAAATGATCTATTTCTGGAACGGGTACAAGCGGATGCGAGACGACCACCTCCAGGTCTCTCTGGCTAATCTGGCATGGAGTGAATCAGCTGCCAATCCACACTGGGAGAAAGAAGGTCCGGATGAGAAGTCTATTCTCAATGTACTTCGTGCGGCTACCTTGAGGAACATGGATCAGACAGCCAAGGCTAAAGCCATCCTAGAACAGGAAGTTCTGCCCGTTGACCGTGCACTTCTAACCGGCAATTTCAAAGACAACTGGAGTGCGCCTTGTGCGCGGTATGAGATGGCTGCTAATGTTTGGCGCGAGGCCGATGTGGATGGCCATCCTGAAGATCATCCTGAACTGCTGGTTCAATGCAAGAACTGGCTTGAGGAGGTCACCAAATGGGGTGGATTCGATTTGGATGCTAGGTATGTGTACACGGCTTGTTTCTGTACTTGTGCATGCTAACAACAGCATAGAATTGGCATGAAGATTACGACAGGAAAAGAGACGCTGCGGAAGTTGGGCGTACAGTGCTGAGCGGTCTTGCGGTGGTGGTTAAAGCAACCATTTGAAGTACAAAGATGCGACAAAGACATACGAGCAATATGAGATGAAAACTGCAACAGTGTATGCCCAGATGCAACCATGCACGCCTAACCGGCCTGTGATTAATTTGGCCGTGGCCAATAGCCCCAGCCCTTTTGCCCCTCCACGGTTGCGTTCCAAGGTACGTGCATGTAGTGACTGTATTGGGCAAATTCACAGAAATGTATCGATCATAGTCGGCGAGTTCGGCGGCTTTTTGGACCCTGAGATTTGACCATGGCCCGTTGAATCTTGAGTTTGAGTGAAAGTGTGCGTGTGTTCCAAGAGTTCAGTTCGGGTGGGGTGGTGGAAAGGTGTTGTGCCAACATGGCAATTCGTAGCATATTTGCAAACACCTAACCTAGAGTCGCGAACAACTACTACAACCAAAAGCCAAACATTCACAACATGTGCAACTTTCCCCACGATCAAAATCCGCCACTCTACCCACATTTTCGCCTCCCTTATTACCCCAACAGGAAATTTCGATGCCCAACAGCCAAAATCCATGGATTCCGGTCGCTCTTTTTCGGGCAAATCACTGTTTCAACGGAGCCATTATGACTTCAACGGCCTCGGTGATAATCGGACTTTGTCGGGGGGTACGGCACAGATGATGGGCCGATGCTACCTGCGTCGCCACAAGCGACTAATCTCGGACATAACCCACAAGCTGTGAATCGTAATGATTACTTAATCGGTGTCCTTATTTCCCTTTTCCGATGTGACCAGCCAACCACGGCATACCAAAGCAGAAACAGCAGGCTTGGCAGCCGGTCCTTGTTTTTTTTATCTCGGCGAGAAAAATGGCCCCCGACTACGGGCTCATTCTGTGTGTTTCGCCACCACCTTACCACCCAACTGGAGAGACCGACCGAACCGACCGATGTGCTGCCCCGGCCGCGATGCCGCACTTCCCATCCCATCCCACCACCCCCACCCCCCGGCACAAGGATTTTTTTGTGGGAATGGACAAGGACATGTCCGCTACGTAATCCAGGTCTGTGGGATTCAAAGATACCGAGAAGGGAAACAGAGGGCAAAAAGTGTTGATTCTAGTCGGTCAAATACGCTGTTATTCTCGGCGGTGCTCGGTGGGTGGTGTGGGCATTGGGTGGCGATGGAGAAGAGGGGGGTTGGTGGTGGTGGTCAGGAAGCCGGATGTATGTATCCTGGGCTTGCTGGTAGGTTTGTGGTATAAGGTTTGATGGGCGTGCTGAGCGTTGAGTGATCATGTGGGTTGGTTTTTGGTGTTGAAGTTCTTGGAGATGAGGGAGTATAGTAGGTAAGTAGATGTGGATTATGCGGGTTTGACTTGATGTTTCTTTGGTCTTTGGTATACACATCATGTTGGCTTCGTCACCACTACACCATAACTACGCAACACACACGTTCGCCTCTGAATCTTCCAGGCACACTGCCTGGATTAGGTAAATGTGTTGAAAAAACATTGATTGTAGATCGGAGAATAAGTCGCAATTGTGGTCTTTTCAATGAGACACAGTGTCTGAGTTCTGCGACGAGCGAGGTCTCGAAGGTAAACATTACAACCAACTTTTTTGACAAGTTTGGACGGGGTACGAAACAAAACGTCACAAAAGGAAAACAAATCTGGGATAGAAACGGGTGGGACGTTTACGGGTTATTCTACTTTTCTGTATCATGAAATGTTGGTTCAGAGGGACATGATGAAGCTGATGATGACCTAAGTCGAACAACTAAGTACCTTGTTCACCCACTGCATCGTCACCCTACCTTAATGTGTCACCAATCACGGGATTTCGGTGATGCCTCAAGTCCCTGTAAGCTTGAATAGGAAAGTTGATGGATTAGGTGTCGATTACGGCCAAGACTGCGGCCCGTGACGGCGCCAATGGCACTGAGCGGAAAGGTCCGCATCTACGTTTCTTTTGGTACCGAAGCACGAGTGGAGTGTCTACCGTGGTCTTGTAAGGTGCAAAATTCCAGAGAACATGACGTATTAGGCCACGCTCGAATGCTTTGACGGGGCACTTTTTGCGTATGCGAGCTCAGTTCGCTGAGATAAGCTAAAGGGCGCTCGCTCGTATTTGGTCAGATTCATTATTTGCTGGCCTCATCCTCAATCAACCCTTCTCCTAACACTTCTTCCACCATCGTCAACACTGATGCCCGTGACGACATCTTGTACCAGCTCCCTCAGCTGCTGCTGTACCTCCTCCGAGTCATAGTCCTCTCGTGCAGCTAGCTCCTCAATGCGCCGCCGTATCTCTGGGTCTGGCGTCCCAGCAGCATCCTCTTCCATGGTGCCTACGTTGACCTTGACACCCTCAGGCAGTGGTGGCGGCGGATGTACGCCCTCAGTCTCTATTATACCCGCAGCGACTGGCTCTGTACCGGTGCGTAGGCATCTCAAGTACTGGTATACTTCATGCGCCTCACCCTCTTCTTCGCCAATCTTCTCCTCTGCTGTCTGGCCCTCTTGATTTCGTATACTCGTGTCTGCGCTCAACTCTTGGACAAGACATTTTGCTACTTCAACTTTTTCCGCTGCGAAGAGGGGAGTTTCACCGTCCTCGTCGAGCATGTTTACGTCGGCATTGTATTTTTGGACCAGTTCGCGCAGCACGGCGAGTTGATTATACGAAGCGGCGGCGTGGACTAGTGAGTAGCCGTGCGTGTCGCGGGCTGAGGCGAGGTGCGGGTGCTGCGACAGCGAGGTGAGGATGGACTGCGGGCGCGTATCGATGAGGTTGAGGAGCAGATCAATGGTTGGAGCCGGAAGCGCCATGGTGGATTTCCTAGTATCCGGCAGCCTCGATAGGCAGAGAGCAAGGCAGCGTGTGGTTACGCGGGCTTATTCGGACTTTTGTTGTGCTGCGCATCCGTAGTACACGCAAGTCGTTCGTTTTCGCAAGTCGGGCCAAATGCGAAGAAGAAAATGACGTGTGCGCATTTCGGGAGGCGGCGGACACTATTTGCCATGGCGTATGCCGGCCGATGGCGTACGGCGCCCATCCCATCACCCATCGCCCATTCATCATCCAGGCCCAGGCTTGGACTGCCGCTGGGCCCCCTCCCCTGCCCCGAACCCGCATCAATCACTCTCATATTCGTCTTCGTCCGTCTTCGTCTTGGTCGTCACCCATCTAAGCCTTTCCGTCCTATACCGCCACTTGTTCCAGCCTCTTGTAGGCCATGATGACTGCTGTTTGCAGCCATGTGTTGGCCTGTTGGCCTCGTAAAACGCCCCAGGTCCAAGCCGGCGCTTTGCCAACCTCTGAGCGCCAGCTGAGACGATGCGCGCCTTTAGAAGCAATGCCCAGCTTTCCTTCACAGCCTCAAACTTAACATAGGGTCTTGGCCTTGTCGCCTGCCCCCTTGTCGCCTGCTGTTGTCCTGCCTTCCGCTTGTCTCATACTTGACCTGGCTCTTTCCCACAGACTCTAGCTCTGCCTTAATTTACCGTTGTACACCTGCGCCTGCACCGCACATCTTTGTCATACCCAGACACAACAACCGCTTTGACTTCACCCCACAATTCGCCGGCTTTCGCGCTACGCCCAGTCATTCTTAGCTGCCTCCTATGCGCTGGTCTCATCAAAGTGCTTTGGCCTGATAGACGCTATAATTTCGTCTTGAATACTTCCTCCCTTTCTACACTCACTGCACACCCTTTCTCGCAAACATGAGGACTATCAAGGGAGTAGGCGTGCCGTCAATGCGCCTGGTTCTATCCTACATTTTCGACTGGATCGTCATCATTGGAATCGCTGCCATCGCTGCGGGTTGGGAGTTTGTTGAACCCTTCCGACGACCCTTTTCCCCCGTCGACCTCAGCATATCATACCCATACCAGAAGAGCGAGATGATTCCAACATGGCTCCTCGTTGTGTGCTCGCTCATTGCACCTGCCGCGATTATCATGATTGTGTGCCTAGTCTTTGTTCCTGGACCCACGGCCTCGCGTGGAACCCCCAAGTCGCTCATCTGGAGGAGGAAATTGTGGGAGTGGCATACTGGCTGGATGGGACTTGCCCTCTCGCTGGCTACTGCCTTTATGATCACACAGGGCATGAAGAACTTGTTCGGAAAACCGCGACCTGACCTCTTGTCGAGATGCAAGCCAAACCTCGACCTCATCCAAGACTATGCCGTCAATCGTATTGGACAAGTCTTTGACCCTTCGTGGGTGCTTGTTACCTCTGGTATCTGCACTCAAACCGACAATGCCCTCCTAAAAGATGGTTTCAAGTCCTTTCCCAGCGGTCATTCCAGCTGTAAGCTTTCTTCGTAACTTCCCTCTCCAACACTACTAACAATACACAGTCTCATGGGCAGGTCTACTTTACCTCACCCTGTTCCTCGCCTCAAAGTTCTCAGTCACAGTCCCGCATCTTTCACCCCGCCCGTACTCGACGAACCCAGCCCACACTTCGGCTATCTCGCCATCCAACCTTAAGAAGCAATCTGTCCTCCCCCTCCACAAACAGGAGTCCGTCCTCTCAGCCAACACCGACGAAAGCGTAGTACCCATCCGCTACCAAAACGCCGCACCGCCCGTCTACACTCTAGTCTTTGTTCTAGTCCCAGTATGCGCCGCCATCTACATTACCAGCACGCGTTTCACAGACTTTCGACACTTTGGCTTCGATATGTTGTTCGGCACGCTAATCGGCATTACTTGTGCGTGGTTCTCGTTCCGATGGTACCATCTACCCATCACACGGGGCGCAGGTTGGGCCTGGGGTCCGAGAAGTTACGACAGGGCGTGGGGGATCGGCGTTGGCCGAGGCTCGTATGTCGGCACCGAGGGATGGAGTAAGACGGGTGTCAGTGAGACGGCGCCGAGGAGAGGAGACGCTCAGGCGAACGGACACAGCGTGGACGATAGCGAGTTGGGCGTCCTGAATAGGAACGGGGCGCCACATGCAGGAACTGCATAAATCTCGTACAAGAGACGTGTTTAGTTTCAAACGTTCTTTTCTGTTTCTACTGTTATATAATTTATAGATGGTGTCTGAAGGGCTGGGTATACCAAAGGGAGTATGGGCTGCGCTTTGAGACTTGCAAACATGGAAACAACTAAAACAATGTCCTTAATGTAAAATGAAATGATCCTTATCAATAAGCCATGTTCTTCTGCAATAATAGTACGGTGCAAACCCCCATGCGCAAGCAAACTAAGACGAACGCAGGACATGCTAAACTTGGACGGCTGGGTGATTAGATCTGGAAATTTTTCCTTTACAAACATACCAATCATGTACCTACTAGCGTAACAGATAAAAGGAAGTCGCTTGGGCTGTTGTCGCTCTGGGCTATTATGTCATGTCAAATCAAGTGTACTTTTGATGCTGCTATGGACTCCTCTTCACAGCCGGCAGTTGAATACCCTGCCCCAACAAACCTGCTCGCCGCTGCCGTGTTGAACAGAATTGCTGCTCTTCCTCTCTATATGCTGCCCTCCGGCCTGCATCTTCACTCAACATCACGCCCGGTCGCGCTGACCAATGTATATCGGGGCTCTTTATAAGCCCTTCTTCTCCTTGGCCCGCTCCTCTTCGCGCTTCTGGTAGATCATAGACGTAAAAGGGTCCTCCCACTTGCACGCAATCGAGTAGGCTACTGCGACCAATCCCGTCAATAGGATACCAGCCGGTTTTCCGAACCAGATAGCTGTGGCCAAAAAGGACATGGTAGAGCCGTGGTACATGGGCGAACTGGACACGTTGAAGGGGAACGTAGTTACGGGCTCGTCCATGAGGATGCCAAAGTAATCGCCGAGGTAGGTTCCCGTAACACCGAGTGCCCACATGGATGTGAGGACGAGGGTGTTTCCCATGAGAAACAGCGGGATCGCAGAGTACTTTATGGCGGGTGAGAGGAGGGTCGGGTGTGTGGGTTGTTCAGCGAGAGCCTCATTGTAACTGTGTTTGTCAATGAGTTGAGTTTCGAGAAGAAGAAGGTAAGGTAAGGTTTGGGTACATTGGAGTACGTACAGGTAATCTCTAAAGATACCCAGAGAGAAGATAGTTACGGCGAGTGCGTAGCATCCGAGTCGCGCGTTACCACCGAAAAGTTTCGTGATGACTTTGTTGTGGTACTCTGAAGTTTGTTAGACCTGTATCCCCTCCTTCGTAGCTAGCCGCGGTAGCTTCCTGCAACTGTCGTGAAATTGACAACGAACGTACCTGACTGCGCAGCGATGCTGGAACCAATATTAGCAATATGAATCAACAATTGGGTGTTATTACTCACTTCCAGAACGTAGGGTTGAACACAATGCTGGCCGCCGATACTGTGGCCTCGTCAGTTGTCGCATCCGCTAGCTGCGGGGCGCTTGGGGGAAGCTCGAAGTTTGTACTTACCCCATAGACTGGGCTTGCTGAAGTCGATGTATGAAGCCATGATTTCAGAAGTTAGCAAAGGATTCGCGTGCGATCAATGTTGGAAGAGTGCAGAATGCGCAATGCAAAGGCGTGGAGGATGTTGGCAACTTGTTAGCAGGTGTTCGTCGGCAGTTGTGCCGTTAGCGAGGACGTCATAACTCCATACAAGCACAAGCAACGACCGACGACAAGTTTGAACTTCCGTCTTCCCGAGGTCTGAAGGGCCAGTCACGTGTTAGTGGTGGATACATCCTAAGATAGCTGTTTTTGATCATGTCATCGGGGATGACAATCTTCTGTGTGTTTTACCACTTTAAAGTTTTCAATTGTATGGAGGTTCTACTGCGGGGTATACTGTATTCCCAAATCATAAAATCCTACTCAGAACATCCTATCGAAGACAGGTTACGAGTAACTTTTTTTAACAAACTCCATCTCTCACCAGGAACACATATACGTGTCCACTCACAATCCGTTGTCGACGCATGTGAATGGTCCGCCAAACCCATCAGCTTTGTAACCATCAATAATGGATTGTACAGTCGCGTACGTTCCTGCAGACAGAAATAACAGGCCGATGAGGCAGAGCAGGATGTTCAAGAAGAACCCAGCGTACCCCCTGAGTCCACGTGTTCTCCAGTAGTTCGGTCCATGCTTTTCTGAGCGAAGTTGGAAGTATGCCGCGCCCCAGAAAATAAACCCGAAGAACGAATCGAACAGCGAACTCATGAGCGAGAGTAAGTCGGAAAAGAATGGAATAACCTCGGCGATGATGAAGGCGAAGACCCAGAGCACAGCGAGGATCGCGGTCCATGTCGCCCATCCGACAACGGTGTGACCAGTCCTGTGTCGGGAGGATGGGCCGTAAATCCGGAACAACACGAAGCGTGCGGTGACCGAGGCGTACAAGACACCGAGGAAAATAATGGTAGGTACCATAAAGGTGAAAGCCACCTTCTTGTAGACCTGGTTGGCGATGGAACCGAAAGCCGGGCTCGTCATATAGTTGCTGCCCGTGTACCCGTACACTACACCTCCGACAAGACTGAAGATGATGACTTCACAGATTGTAACAGCCCATAGCGCTTTTGGGAAGTCTCTCGGGTTCTTCATCTCAGCAATGAAGCTGGGTAGGGTGATCTGGCCAATAAAAGTGTAGCTGATGTTCATGAATGCACTCATGCCTAGTACAAAGGTAGTACTAGACGGAGTAACGGCGTAAACCTCGAGTGGGCCTTTGTCCGGGTAGCCGGCAGGTTTACCATCAACACCAGAAAAGGCAGCTGCAAGGATGACAGAAACAAAAGTAAATCCAGCAGAGGCACTGGCTAGCGTAGCCAGGGTATTAAATGTTCGCGGTAGAGAGGCTGCAAACGAAATTATGGCAGTAACAGCGGCGAAGATGATAGTGCATGCGCCATGACCAGTGATTGTGTTCCACCACTTGGCTCCTACGAGACAGTGCAGGCCCATGATGAAGACGTCTGGAGGTGAAGTCAGTATCAACATGATGCGTCAAGGGCACGTAGTGCGACGAATGGGTGAAAACTTACTGTTCAGGACAAACATGACAGCTGTGACATAGAAGGCCCACTTCTTGTTCCAAAACAACATCTGGCCAATGTCGCAGACGTCACGAATCTGGGGGTGGCGCATGCAGAACTCCCTGGAAAAAATGTAAGTGGGAATTTTCTAGGAAATTTGGAGGTCAGGCTCACCATGTTGTCAAGGACGTGTAGAGGACCAGACCGGCGATGACGAATGTCAAGATTAAACCCGGAACCAGACCAAGGACGGAGTATGACCACGGAAAAGACATGATGGCCAAACATATGTACTCGGAGAAGAGCAGGGCCGCAGTCTTCTGCCAGGAGCAAGTGCGGTACTTGATGGCATTATTGGCCTCGAGCTCAATCTGTCTGCCGATGGTGATGCTAGCATCTGAATCGGTGTCGTTGATAGGCGCCGTGATACCTCCGGCCGCCTCGGCATCATAAGCCTCGCCCTTCTTTTCATCGAATGCAGCCTTTTCGTTGCTGCTTTGACTGTTTGTTTCGGCCGGTGAGGCCTTGCCGCCAAAGATGCCCTTCAACGCCATTTCAGGCAACGGATACACCTCTTGTAAGGAGTGTAGTAAAAAGCACAACTATATGCTGCTTCTGTGGGCATTAATTGCGGCAGATGAGATATGGGAGAGCGGATGTTGAAGTGAACCAAGTGAATGCTAGACGGCTCCGGCACGAAGGTGGTTAAATATGTTGCGGGGGCGAGGTGATTGCGGGTGCAGGATGTGGCTGAAGGACACAGGCTAGGGTTGATGTACTGGGATGGCTAGTCTAAGACTTGTGGGGGGAAGAGTTCGGTGAAGGTGTACAGGGAAGGACCAGAGTGGACCTGCTCTTCTACTCGGTGGCGCCTACCCGAGTTTGAGAACGGCCTATGAACACGCGCACAAAGCGCGCCCGCTCATCGCGCTATGACCGCAGCCTTCCTTCACCCGCTCGCACGCTATGAAATCTCAGTCATCTCCTGGTCTGTCCCGGCCAGCATGACGTTGGCTTCGTAACCACTTTTCCGTCAGCGGGCAAGTGCCGCCTTAGTTATGGCCCAGAAATCCAAAACCACTAACATCAAGTATCATCCGCGACCAGGAATCAGGTGCTGCCGTTTTGCGCCCCAACCTTGGTCACACCCTCTTTCGATATCTGCAAGCCGTTATGCTCGCCTCGCAAGTCAGACATCAAACTTGATGTCACTGTGGCGCCCGCTAAGCTTGTCGCTAAGCTCTAAAACCAAGGCTTCCACAACCGGTAATCGCGACTTGGCTTGCTTAAGCTTACGCGATAACGTAGGGGAATTGCCGTCACCAAGACATGCCAATTTTTTCAGCCTTTTGCCTTTGCCCATCCCATCAGAACCTGCATTCCCGCCTTTGGTAGACCCTGAGAGACCTAAAATTTCTCTGCTCAGGGAGTCTCGATTCTTTGTCAATCTCAACAAAGAACGACGCGCAACATCGGGCAAGTCCTCGATACTTACCTCGCAGTCTATTGCCTCTCACTCCGCATCATCCGCGCCGCAGGACGACCGCAGATCTGGGCTGCGCGGCTGGCCCAACGACTGATAATGCAGCCTTCTGCGCCGAGGAAGCAACCAATCTGGTCGCCAAATTGCGTGCTTACCTGCGCCTAGTCTTTCGGCGGTAGCCGTCTTGTTCTATTGCACACAGAGCCCAACCCCAAGCTGCTGATCATTCATCATCATACATATTGCGACAACTTCAAAGGCTAATGATATGTGACATATGTGGCTTGAACGTTTCCATCATCGAGCCCAAGCTGAAAAGTTATAAAAATGTAAACAGTGAAATAAAGTTCCTGTACCCGACTCTTCAACGGCCCGTGGTCATTGTACGGGAGGCTAGATAACGTGGAAAGCACGCGACAGTGGAAGGCTGATAAAGTCCGCATCGATGAACATGCACGCTTGTGGTTAGGGTTATTGGACCTGAGACTTAAAAGATGAATGCAGCATAGAACAAGACCGCCTAAACAAAGCGTTATCAGCAGCTGTCTGCCATGTGCAATACTAGAAGCAGCAGAACCAGAAAAGTCTATAAAATTTACGCATTCTGTCCCAACCAACCCCTTTTGTATTCTGTACTAATCTGTTGGCGAAAGGAAGAATATCTTGTACAAGATAAACAAACAACACATACAACGCCATGAGAACAGTACCACGCATACGTCTCCTACTCCTTGACGCCCGCTAATACACACCATGACCCTTCAAAATGCTCACCCCTTCATATCAAGCTATCCCCTCCACTGCCCCAATTCGTCTGCTGAACCTGTTGTTGCTGCTGCGTCCTCTGCTGCTGCTGATTCTGCGTCTGCGTTTGCGCCCTCAAGCCAGTCATGCTATTCATACTATTCCCCATTGGCGGCGGCGGTATACTAAACGAACTAGCACCCGTCGGCTTCATCGGCGGAGGTGCGATGCTGAATGAAGAGTACGGGCTACCCTGTCTACCCTGCGAAGGCGGAGGTGCTATGGCAGGGAAGCTAGAAAAGGAACTTGTTTGGTTGGAAGCGGTGTTTGTAGCGGCGGAAATATTACCCCATGTGTTCGAAGAGGCCATCGATGAACCTGCTTTGCTCCAGTCGATGCTAGAGCTTTGCGTGTTGGCACCATATGAGGGTGTTGGTGTGCTTGAGGTCATCATGTTGTTCATGCTCATGACCGGTCGGACCTGCTGCTGCTGCGGTGGTGGGGCGAAAGAGGAACTACCAATGCCCGGGTTTGCTGCACTTAGTGCTGGGAAAGATGTGTTGAGCGTGTTGAGCGTACTGTCGGGGGTAACTGCACGACTCTGTTGTCTCGGCGCGGAGAGGTTGGTGTTGGGTGGTGGGGATACGGGTGCTGTGGACCATGAGAAGGTTGCTGCTGGTGATGCGTTGTTTGATCGATTGGCAGATGGTCGTGAGGGGGGGACGGTAGATGATGCAGCGGATGCTGAGCCGTTTGCCCAAGGATCCCCACCCAGCATGTCTGTACCACCGGATGCTCCTTGTTTATCGCCGCGTACAAGTGCTTCAAAGTCAGTGTCGCCATTCCCGTTGCTTGTTTCGAAACCATTCGTATTCGACGGGCCGCCAAAGGTCATAAACTCGTTCCGTGTGGTGGCTGTCGCATTGTTTGCGCCAAGCTCTTGCAGCTTGCGGGTCTGCTCGTTCTCTACACGCGCTGATGTCGTCTTGATGAGGCTCATGTATGCTTGAAATTGCGGTAGATTGAGAAGAGGCCCCAAGCTGAAGGACCAAAGAATGGGAAGAATATCCATCGCTAAGAAGTCGCTATCGACCTGGTTGCTGATCGCCTTGAACACGTCTAGTGCAGCCATCTGTACAGTATTAGCATTATGATCCCTAGTGTCATTCTTACCCACATACCATGACTGCAGGCTCCTTGGTCTTGATGCCGCGAAGCAACGGGACAACCTTCTCCTGAATAGTGTACTTGTCCAAAATCGATACGTTTGAGGTTTTGGCCTTTGGCGCTGCTACCACTCCAGTCAAACCGTCCCCTTGGAAGTCGTCTTGTTCTTCATTTCCACCACCACATAGGGTCTTGAATGCCTCCAGACCGCGGATCTTGATACCCATACTACTGGTCTTTGCAAAGATGTTAGCTATCACAGGGAAGAGTTCGTTCTTCACAGTTGAAAAGTCTAGTATCGGTAGAGCGATAGGTAGGGTACGCAGGGCTGCATCAACCAGCGAATGAGTGGGAGATTCGAGCGCGTAGTTGATGATTGGAAGTATGTCATCTTTGAACTCCTTGCCACTTGAGTTATCGGCAGCAACCTGCATGTTTTCAAGCAGTACCATGAGCCCGGCTTCTTTCAGGCTATCCCTTTCTTGAGCTGGTGCTTTATTGTTGGCTGCTGCCGCACTCAGGAAAGTCTCACGTAGTTTTGGAATCACCTTGTCTATGAAAGCTCGTTTGCCCGACGGAAGCATTGTGATGATCTTGAAGACATTTTGCAGTATCAGGGTAAGGAGCTCACGGTCCTTCATCTCTTCAAGCAGGGCAGGAAGTATCTTCTTGTCGAGGACGGACTTGGGAAACTGGTTCAGAATACGTGGAAGACCGCGCATGAACTGTGTTTTCTCATTAGGGGTCTTTGCAGGAAGTGAGTCAAGGAATCGGATAGTGGAGACCAAGATATTGTCAAAGTATTGCGCCTGCTGGAACTCTCGCGCATTCAATCGCTGGGCGGGTCGTCTGGTGATCAGGCGATCCAGGACGCCCGTGGTGACATCTCGCGGCAAAGGCTGAGAGGACATGAAGTTGTTGGTCTTGCTGGGGACCGAAGAGGCCGAAGAAAATGCGCGTTTGTATGAAGACGAACTCCCATTGAAATCTAGTGGACTCTTGTGCGGCGAGTTGTACAGCGCAATGATCAACATGCCCAGACTGAACATGTCTGCCGCGGGAGTTATGTTGTTGTCCATGACGAAGTCGGGTGACGAGTAGTCGATGTTGAGCTGGACATGTCGTGGTAGCCGGGCGTCATAGTTGAGCACTTCAGAGAGCGAGATTGGCGTTACCGATGTGGGCTTTGTGGAATTTTCTGGAGGGGTTGAGAAGCCCAGGCCTGAAATTTTCCAGTCGGACTGTCACAAGATCAGCAAGTCATTCGCAAGGCAATGGCTTTATTGCTACCTACTTTGGCATTGATAAAGATGGCATCTGGTGTCAGGTTGGCGTGTACCAAGCCGGCGCTCTCGTGCAAGAACTCCAGCCCTTTTGCAATTTGTAGCAAGCCCTTTTGTATCTCCAGCTCATCAATCTCGAGTTCGCGTCTTCGCTTCTGGCCGTCGGCTTCTTCGACCACGTATCGGCTACGACGGCCACCAACACCGCCGGCCCTTTCTTGCTCATCTTTTTCCTGCAACAGGCCAGAAAGAGAAGCGGTGACGGGCTCGGTTGCAAACATCAAGCCTCCGCCGCGAGTCTCCTCGACTGGTTCTGCCAGCTCCAGTACGCTGGGATGCCGTAAACGGGCGAGCGAACTGGCCTCCTTCTTCAATCTTTCCACGACTTCTTCATGAGCGCGCTTCAGTCCAGATGCAGCCGACCGTCCACCAAAGCCTGCGCCTGCTGGCGGTTCCAGCGACTTCTTGTCGAAGACAAACACAGATGCCGCCTTCCCAGTCGACTTCTTCTTTGCGTCGTATATCTTCCATGGCCCCGAGTAGGACGTGGGTTGTGGGCTGAGGGTGTAGTTGCTCGAGATGTTGGAGGTGAAGGACTTTAGGGCGTTGGAGAACATGGTGCTGGTGGTCTATTCGCCCGCGCGGCGATTTCGTGGGTACAGAACGAGGGCGTCATGGACTGTGATGTCGGCGCGTGAAGGTGGTGATTATCTCGCCTGAGATCTGATGCGGACAGCTGGAGCCAGTGGAAGCTGCGCAGAGATCAAGACATCTCAGACTACGTCTTTCATGCGCAGGGGGTATGACTGTGGCTTGTTAAGCAATGGCACCAACTGCGCCAGAGTGCAAGAGGCTGTGCAGCACAAAGGTCAATTGGTAGACAAGGTTAAGTGATGGACTGTTAGTGACGGACCCCACGCGAGCTGTGGAGAAGGGCTGGCCAGGGCCTCTTAGTTAGTCTCCCGCGGCCTGCATGACATGCGACCACGACGCAGACGTGAATGATGAAGTGCTGCAGCACCAGCCAAGATGCAAAATACGTGGATAACCTCAAATATCCGCTTTGACGACTAATTCTGCCTTTTTCACCCTGCGCCCTACGCAGTGTGCCTAGCTGCTGATGGATGAGGCAAGCGGCATCGGCGGTGGCTGCATTCGACTCATTGCAGGGGTGCTCCGATATCTTCAGGCCGGTGTACGGATGGAAATAGTACAAAAAGAATAAGCCATTACACCTTCACCCCACACGCTCTCCACCTGCACATAATACCTCACAATGATTCAACAACGGTCATCACGATTGTTTTCTTCGCTTTCCCATTGCGCCTTTCGTTCATCGGTAGCACCGCTCAGCGCGTCTCAGCGATGTCGGATCCGGAGACCGTACAGCATTCATGCTGACGTGTCTGTCGGCGAGAAGATACAAAATATCGACCCGTCGAAGCTCTCCATTACCAGAACAACGACGCCAAAGGACCTACTGCCTCCGGAGGAGCTCATCTTTGGCCGCAACTTTTCAGGTAATAGCACCAGCGGCATCATAGTCTGTACCTAACTTCCAAATTCAAGATCACATGCTCTCGCTCGAATGGACAGCAACTCAAGGATGGCTGCCCGCGCGCATTACGCCCTATCAGAATCTCAGTCTCGACCCTGCGACGTGCGTCTTCCACTATGCATTCGAGTGCTTCGAGGGCATGAAGGCCTACAAGGACAAGGACGGCAACATCAGGCTGTTCAGGCCAGACAAGAACATGGCTAGGCTGAACAAGTCATCGGCTCGAATTGCACTGCCTACTTTCGACCCAGATGCTTTGATTGAGCTAATTGGCAAGTTTGTCAAGGAGGATGAGCGTTTTGTGCCAGAGTAAGTTCAGTCTAGCTATACGTACAAGACGTGTAACTAACCACCCGGCAGCGCACGGGGATACTCACTCTACCTCCGCCCGACCATGATCGGTACTCAGCGCACCCTCGGCGTTGGTCCTCCCGCTTCTGCACTGCTCTACGTAATTGCATCCCCTGTCGGTCCATACTACCCTACCGGTTTCAAGGCCATATCACTGGAGGCCACAGACTATGCCGTACGTGCATGGCCTGGGGGTGTTGGAGACAAGAAGCTGGGAGCCAACTACGCGCCTTGCATTGTGCCCCAGATGCAGGCTGCAAGCCGTGGCTTCCACCAGAATCTGTGGTTGTTTGGTGAGGAAGAGTACATAACGGAGGTCGGTACGATGAATCTTTTCGCGGCAATTAAGAACAAGGAGACAGGAAAGCCAGAGCTGCTGACTGCGCCTCTTGATGGTACTATTCTCGAGGGCGTTACACGCGACTCAATCCTTCAGCTTGCACGGGAGCGACTCGAGCCAAAGGGCTGGACAGTATCTGAGCGCAAGTTCACCATGAAGGAGGTGGCTGATGCTGCTGACGAGGGCCGCATGATGGAGATCTTTGGTGCTGGCACCGCTGCCATTGTCGCACCTGTGCGCAAGATTAGCTGGAAGGGACGTCTCGTCGATTGTGGGCTCGAGGATCACGTCGAAGCAGGCCCAATTGCGCAACAAATGAAGGAGTGGATGGAGGGCATCCAGTACGGCGACGAGGACCACCCATGGAGGTAGGAGCTTTTCAACCCGCTACATATTCATTCATGCAGTCGCTAACATGACCCCAGCTACAAGGTACTATGAGAAATAGAGTACATGACAAGCACATATGTGTGGGTGAGAGAGCCAAGTAGGGGGACACAAAGACATGCAGGTCTAGAGAATGTATGTATAATCGAAGAGGGGAGCTTCAGACATGATGTCTGTCGTTGTAGCAACTTGTTTGTGCTGTATGAATACAACAAACAAGTCGGTACTTGAGTGCCGAAGTGCAGCATTGTGACACATCGGGGCTGTGGCGCTGTAGATTGGTGGGGTGCAGGATGCACAAGGTACCTGACTACGCCTAGGTGACGTTCTCGGGGATTTAGCGGCTGTCATTAGCTCCCAACCTCTCCAACCCACCTGAGAAACTCTCAATCAGGCAGTTTTCGTACACCACCCACGACCCATTGCCGTCTAGAGCTGCGTCGGCCCTCGTCAATTCCACTAGCACACATACGAATTAAACGCTACACACGCCCGAATTGTCACCATGCTGGCTGGCGCGCTCTGCCGGTTGGCGGGGGAGGTACCCAAAACATCCCCTCACGACATGCCGCAGCTTGCGCACCTCCTGGGCCGCACCCTCTTCGCTCGCAATGCCTCTTGTCTGACGTCGGTTCGCGCCTTCTCGCGCGCCTACACGTCAGTACTCAGCTCCCGTCGATCCTATGCCACAACCACGCGCGCAACAAAGCCAACAGCAACAGTAAAGAAGGCGGTCAAGACTGCCGCGGCTAAGAAGCCTGCGACCAAGGCCAAGGCTACACCGGGAAAGAAGGCGGCCCCAGCGAAGAAGACGGCAAAGACGACGGCAAAGAAGCCTGCAGCGAAGAAGGCGGCGAAGAAGAAGCCTGCTGCCAAGAAGCCTGGAAGGAAGCGCGTCAAGAAGGTCCTTACGCCTGAGGAGAAGGAGAAGGCAAAGATTCGGGAGCTGCGCGCCAAGGCCCTCAAGGAACCCGTATCTCAGCATGCCGTTTCACCCTTCCATGTGTACATTGCCGAAAAGCTGTCCGGATCAAAGGGCACCAGCGCCGAGGCTCGAGCCAACGTTGGAACCACGGCCAAGGCCTTCAAGAACTTGACTCCAGCAGAGCTTGAGGTGAGTGCAATTCGAACCTAGCATATGATACATATGTACTAATTACCATGCCAAGCACTACAATCACCTTGCAAACCAGAAGATGGCCGAGAAGCAGGCAGAGTTCAAGGCTTGGCTCTACTCGCACACCCCAGATGAGATCAGGATTGCCAACAATGCTCGTGCTCAGCTGCGAAAGAAGCTTGCGGGTACTCAGAAGAAAGGCGTCGCGTACACTAAGAAGCTTGTAGACGACCGCGTCCCCAAGCAAAAACCGACTTCCTATCTTCGCTTCTTCCTTGAGAGACATGCAAGTGGAGACTTCAAGAGCATCAAAGCTGCCGATGCAGCCAAGCTCATTGGTACCGAATGGAAGGCCTTGAGCGCGGCTGAGAAGAAGGTGAGTACTGGATAATGCTGCTTTGACCTTGATACTGACCTTTCGCAGAAATACCAAGACGAGTCCAGGGCTGCTTCCTAAAAGGCCACGGCCTAAAGCTCCGTATGACTTCTGATAGCTTCTGTACATACAGCGACCCTTGTGCGGTGCATCGTACACGCCAGCAGCTGAACCACCCAGGTCCATTCTTTCTTATTGATGTACTCTAGACCACGCCATTTCCTTTGTTAGTCACGAGTCAGGGTTTGGAGACAAGGTAATCGTCTAGTCTGGTTATTAGACATTCCGTGGTGGTCTTCTGGGTATGACTGGTCGGTTCATGTCAGGGAACAGTAGCGTCTCTTAATTGGTAAATGTCTGATTAGTGTGCTATACTTCTACTATATCCCTTCTCTCAGTCGAATGCTAGCGTTCTAATCTTTTGTGAGGTCGCAAGAGTTACTCAAGTCTGTAGTTGTGCCGCGTACCCATGTGGCTAGCGTACTTTGCCCTTATCTCTCCGCACCCCAGTCACGGGCCAACACCAGTTCCCCAGGATATGCAGTATACACTTTCCCGCGGTAGATAAGCATGCGTCTCGGAGATGCTCACTTGCGTCACTGGACAAGCCATTGCCATGCTTTCCCTATCTTGCCCCTCAAAAGAGACCGCAGGGCTTATCATGTCAACTTCCAGTTTATGTTACCATGACCTTTTCTGTCTGCCCGACCAATCCATAAAATGGCTTCGGATTCCGAAACAGGAAACGAGCGTACGCCTTTGTTAACCCAACCGCGTTTATCGCAACTCCAGCATCAACAAAATGAGGAAATGTCGTCGATTGTTGCGTCGACAGTGACAAAGGAAGAACGGCGGTTAGCAGACAGTACAGTTGGAGAACGACTTCCGTATAATGATTACACTACGATTGACTGGTTACATGATTTGGTAATACACGTCTCGTACCATGTGGCATTAGATGAACTAACGTGACTTCCAGGTCAAAGATTCATACAGGTTCCGTCACATACAATCACGCCGCGGTCTACGTTACACCCTGATCCCTTACTTAGACGCCTGCTCCGGCTGGATTGCCGTTGTTGTAATCGGAGCCTTGACCGCTTGTGTAGCTTTCGTTGTCGACATTGCCGTAGCAACGGTATCGGACTGGAAAGTCGGGTATTGCTCTGGCCATGTATTTCGGAATCGAGATGCTTGTTGTATGTCATCAGAGCCACAAGCACTGGGTTCTTTTTCTACGCCATCACTGCGGCCGTGGCTCCGAATTGCAGCGAAATCAGGAGCCGATCAGTGCGCAAACTGGCACTCTTGGAGCGAAGATTACACTTCCAGTTTCGCCATCTACGTCGGCACAGCCCTCATTTTCGGTATCCTAAGTTCCAGCATAACAATGTTGACCAAGACGACTTTGCCATCTGCCTCCGCTCCCGACGCCTCACCATCTCCCTCTTCCCCAACAAACCCAAAAACCAAACCCACGAATACTATACCACCCCAAGGCAAAACACTCTATCCCACCTCAGGCTCCGGCATCCCCGAACTCAAAACTCTTCTCAGCGGCTTCACCATTCCCTCCCTTCTCACCTTCCCCGTGCTCCTTACAAAATCCCTCGGCGCAATCTTCGCCGTATCCGCAAACCTCTGTTTGGGAAAAGAAGGCCCCTTTGTCCACATCTCCACCTGCCTCGGCCACCTCATCGGCCATTTTCTCCCTAAATACTCCGGTAACGGTCGTAAAATGCGGGAACTACTGAGTGCTTCTTGTTCAGCGGGTTTGAGTGTGGCATTCGGTGCGCCGATTGGCGGCGTATTGTTTAGCTATGAGGAAGTGAGTACGTTTTTTCCACGAAAGGTACTGTGGCGTGCGTTTTTGTGCTCGTTGACGGCGGCCATGGTTTTGCGGGAGCTGAATCCTACGGGGACGGGCAAGTTGGTGCTTTTTGAGTCGCGGTTTGGGGAGGAGGGGTATGAGATTGTTCATTATTTGGTATTTGTGTTGCTGGGAGTGGCGGGCGGTGTGTTTGGGGGACTGTTCTGTAAGGCGAATCTTCTGTGGGCGAAGTGGTTTAGGACTTTTAGGGTTATCAAGAGGAATCCGGTGTTGGAGGTTGCGGTCGTGGTGTTGGTGTCGGCGCTGGTGCAGTTTCCGCACCCGCTGGTTAGGGAGATGGGGGATGTGGTTGTTAAGAGATTGCTTGTGGATTGTGGAGATGAGGATACGAGGGGGGAGTGGGTGTGTCGGAATGAACTGCTCATGCAGTCTGCTGATGATACGGTGAATTGGAAGTACGTGGGTTGGTTGGTATATGGAACGATTGCGAAACTGGTGCTTACGACGATTACATTTGGTATCAAGGTACCCTCTGGTGTCATCATTCCCGCGCTAGACGCAGGAGCGCTGTTTGGGAGGCTCGTCGGTCAGCTTATTGGCAGTATTAGTCCCGGTATCTTCGCCATGGTGGGCGCTGCGGCTTTCCTTGCGGGAGTGAGTCGTATGACTATCTCATTGGCAGTCATTGTACGTCTTTCCCATACTACACCACTTGACCACAGTCGACTAACCATTTCCCCTTAGATGTTCGAGCTCACAGGCCAACTTTCCTACACCGTCCCCTCCATGCTCGCCATACTCATCGCCAAATGGGTCGCCGACGCAATCTCCTTAGAGGGCGTCTACGACATTGCCCAAACACTCCTCTCCCACCCTTTCCTGGATCCCGACACCGCCATTGCAATTGTCAGACAACACAAAGCCTGTGTGCAAGTCCTGATACCGCCAAAGCGCACCATGGACGAAATCACCGTTCATGTACCTATAAGTAACAAGGTTGATGTAGATCTGCTCACGGGAAAACTCAATACGTTGAAGGAGAGGGGATTGATGGACGCTGGGCTTGTGCTTGTGCAAGACCATGGAGGCGTACCTATCTTGCAGGGCTATATATCCCAGGCTGAGCTGGAGTTTGGTCTTACTAAACTTGTCCCAGATATGCTGCGCACTCAAGACGAGATCCTGGTCAGATTGTTGGGTCACCAGATTGACGATGGAGTAAGCCCGCAGAGTCTGGAGATGGATCTTACACCATTCGTCGATCGCACTCCTCTGACCATTTGTGCAAAGGCGCCACTAGAGTACGCCGTTGAGATGTTCTCCAAGCTAGGGTTGAGATATCTCATGGTGACAGAGGAAGGCACAGGCCAACTGGTAGGTGTAGTCATCAAGAAGAGGTTGGTGGGGTACCTGGAACAGCTAAGGGAGCATGGCCCAAGACGATGAGTAGACAAACTCATCACGTATCCTGACCAATCAACATACATGGACAAATGTCAAATCAGAGCGCACGAATTTAGTTACGATATTTGATTACAGCATCTTTTCGCTAATAAGAAGTACTAAGAGGATACTGCCATTGCCTGTGACGATGCTCTACCGCGAGAAACGAACTTCCACTTCCACGCCAATACACGCCCGTCAGGCACGACAATTGCTCAAAGTATGAATCGAATTGAAAACGTGGACAGGGTCGACATTTGCAAGATTCCAACAACCAAGCCCAGCGTGATATTACTCATGGCTAGCTTACTCTTCAGCCTCAAGAGGGGCCTCCTCGTCGTACTCCTCCTCACCCTCGGAGACGGAAGCCTCCTGGTATTGCTGGTACTCGGAGACCAAGTCGTTCATGTTGGACTCTGCCTCAGTGAACTCCATCTCGTCCATACCCTCACCAGTGTACCAATGCAAGAAAGCCTTGCGCCTGAACATGGCAGTGAACTGGTCACCAACACGCTTGAACAGCTCCTGGATAGAGGTGGAGTTACCGACGAAGGTGGAGGACATCTTCAGACCACGGGGAGGGATCGAGCAGAGGGCGGTCTGAACGTTGTTGGGGATCCACTCAACGAAGTAAGACGAGTTCTTGTTCTGGACGTTGCGCATCTGGTCCTCAACCTCCTTCATGGAGACCTTACCACGGAAGTAGGCAGAGCAGGTCAGGTAGCGACCGTTGCGGAAGTCAGAGGCAGCCATCATGTTCTTGGGGTCGAACATTTGCTGGGTGAGCTCAGGGACGGTGACGGCGCGGAAGGAGTGGGCGCCACGGCTGGTCAGGGGAGCGAATCCAACCATGAAGAAGTGGAGACGAGGGAAGGGAACCATGTTGACGGCCAGCTTCCTCAGGTCAGAGTTGAGCTGACCGGGGAATCGCAGGCAGGTGGTGACACCCGACATGACGGCAGAGACGAGGTGGTTCAGGTCACCGTAGGACGGGTTGTTCAGCTTGAGGGTCCTCATGCAGATGTCGTAGAGAGCCTCGTTGTCAATGCAGAAGGTCTCGTCCGAGTTCTCGACCAACTGGTGGATGGAGAGTGTGGCGTTGTAAGGCTCGACGACGGTGTCGGAGACCTTGGGGGAGGGCACAACAGAGTATGTGGCCATCATGCGGTCGGGGAACTCCTCGCGGATCTTGGAGATCAAGAGCGTACCCATACCGGCACCAGTTCCACCACCGAGGGAGTGGGTGATCTGGAAACCCTGGAGGCAGTCGCAGCCCTCGGCCTCGCGGCGCACGACATCGAGGACCTGGTCGACCAGCTCGGCACCCTCAGTGTAATGACCCTTTGCCCAGTTGTTACCAGCACCAGACTGGCCGAAAACGAAGTTGTCGGGACGGAAGAGCTGACCGAAGGGTCCAGCGCGGACGGCGTCCATGGTACCGGGCTCGAGATCGACAAGGACGGCACGGGGCACGAACTTGTTGTTGGACGCCTATTGCATGTTAGTATTGACCGCTTATCGGGAGCTTGGGGAGAAGCGGTTGACGTACTTCGTTGAAGTAGACATTCATGCGCTCGAGCTGGAGGTCTGAGGTGCCGTTGTAGACACCGGAGCCGTCGAGGCCATGCTCGCCGGAAATGGTCTGCCAGAAGGCGGCACCAATTTGGTTACCCTGGAGAGTCGTTAGATGTCATCTCAATGAGCGTCGAAGAAGCAAAACTTACGCATTGGCCGGTCTGGAGGTGAACCTGTGGTAGAGAAACCGCGTTAGCTATACTTCCCAATCTGGCTTTGTCCCTGAATCTGGGCGCGGGGCAACAACGCGCCACAGTCTCTGTTCGCAGCGAAGGGCAATACGTACGATCTCACGCATGGTGTCGGGTTTGGTCTAAGGTTGAGGAGGAATTGCTGAGCTGAGAATGCGAGGAACTGGATTGAGCGTGGCCGATGGTGCGGTGGTGCTGGTGTGGAGAGCAAGAGAGGCAGAAGCGGTGAGTGCGTTAAAGATCTCTGTGGGTCCGCACAGGCCCCTGGGCGCTAACGCTATTTACTAACAACGCGCGACAGGCACCCGTTTTTGCTCACTGCGAGGGGGCTAGTCGAGATATACACGCATAAAACCGAGCACATCTCAGTCGTCACACGACTACGCTTTTGTTTGCATCGACGCGCTGCATCATGTCTATTTGCTCTATTGGTGAATCAAGCGCCAACGTCTGATAGCTAACCTTCCAAGCACTCTCATGCTTATCCGCATGCTTGCCTGCGGAAGCCGAGTATACTTACTGTACCATGCTCATCTCGTGAATTCAGTGCATATGCATTTCCTCGGCCATGGCACCGTGCTCCGACCCTCAATCTCACCATCATTCACAGCTCCTTTTTCCTTGACCCATTTGCACTCTGTCGCCTGATAACCTGCGGCATCGTCCAGTAGCTCGGCCAATCGAGCTCGTATTCATCTTGTCTGTAGTTGAGGCAATGTCGGAGCCAAACACCCCATACAATGTAGAAATAAGCCCCGGTTCCCGTCATAAGATGCCTGATGCGATGAGCTTTTGCCATGTTCATCAGGAGGGAATACTCACCACCATCCATGGCCTTCCAGCACAAACCCCCAGGGCATGCCAATCTCCCTTCTCCACTGGATCAACTTCGAACAGTAGACATTGTCGAGGTGCCAGACCCCGAACCCCCCTAGAAAGATGCTGAGACCAAACCCAATCATCTTCCACATCGTACTGATAATTTCCTGATCCCGGACGTCTTCACCGTCTTGCACAGCCTTCACGCCTTTTGCCTGGCGTGGGTTCGCTGCTATTCTTTCCTTTGAACGGAAGCGTGGACGGATGTTGACTTCCATCACATACATTGCTCGGAACAACACGATTGCTGTAAGAATCGCATAGGCGTTCTGGTGGAATGTCGGATCTTGGAGATAGTGATAGTAGAGTGTGATGAATACTGCTAATGAGATGAGACCGACAGCTAACCCCGTAGAGTACAGTCTGGACTTTCCATACGAGAACGTTGCAAAGTTCATGAGGCAAGTAGTGTAGATCATTGAAAGCTCATCGACAAGCTGCATGGGATCTGCGTTGGGTCAGAGATGCGTCTTGCAATGTTTGGGTTACGCTTGTGTATACATTTCAGAGTCGCATGAAACAAGAAGCTTCCACTACCGACGAGAAGGTATCCAACGAATGCCACGAGAAAGACTGTGTCATGTCCATGCTTGAGGCAGTTGCGGATACCCTTTGCAGCCAGGTACATGAACAAAAGATTGGTAAACGTGTTGATGACCTCTGCAGCGTACTGGGTAACAACATAATTCTTCAAAGCATCATCAGTAAATCGCTGTGTGGTGGATACTCGTTATCAACACACCTCTTCACACCAGTCGAGAGTAGAAGTAACAGGCGAAAACCATCCGTCCTGTTCGGGTGGATATGCTATCGACGGCAGGCGTGATATGAGCGAAGTCATCCTTCTGCTATGCGAAAATTAACCAGTACGATTTGGAAAGACAAAGGAAACGAGGCTTGCTTGATCAAAATGTCGAACTTGTATCTAGCCCGGGACTTGGCGGAAGGAAGGTTTGAGAAGGAGAGAAGGAGGTCAATGCTTTGACGATAAACCGGTATCGATGACCTCGCCGTGCAGCTCGAGTTAAATGCCGACGGGCGCCCCTAGTCGCTCTCGTTACAAACTTCAATGTCTAGCACGAGTGAGGGAATGCTTGCGATCTGCAGCTGTTTTCGGTGTGAAGGCATGGGCCAATCACGATCCAACAGGGTCCTGCAACGGTCGGACCACGAAAGCTTGAGCAGCGACGTACAGCCAACTTAGCGAGTGCGTCTACTGTCAACAACATCGAATATTCGCCACAATGTCCATGTCAAACGAGGCCTTGCAGAAGGTGCGTATCTGTGTTGTGTGGTTGGGAAAGTCCCAGCTTCTGACAAAATCAGGTTCTACAAGAGATCAGCCAAAAGAAAGCCTTCGCCGAACAACAACTCGTCATCGTCAAACAACAAAAGGCCGCTCGGACACGAGAAGGGCGTATGCTCCAGCTTACGTCTTCTGAAGTCTCATCGCTGCCTGCCGACATAAAGGTGTACGAGGGCGTCGGAAAGATGTAGGTCATCTGACCTTCCGTGGCGCGATTGCGGGGAAGCGAGAAATATAAGACACTAATTGTTGTGAACAGGTTTGTTTGCACTCCGATCTCAGACGTGCAGAAGAGACTGAAGGAAGAGAGCGAGGCGCTGACTAAAGAGATGTCGAATTTGGAGAAGAAGGAGGATTACCTTGAAAAGACGTACACCAACAGCAAGAACAGCCTAGAGCAGGTGCTCAAAGGCGCCAGCTGAGCCTGTGAAGGAGTTGTTAGTGAAGATGGAAACGCTGGAAAAGGCGGAAAACGTATGACAATAACGAGTACTTTTCAAACATCACCATAAGCATAACGACAGCTGTTGACGTTCTAGGAAATTGAAGCTTAATAAGGACGAGCAACATGCATCTCTGCGCAACTCACATATCACATATCGAGCTGACATTACCACGATATATTCTAACAGTAAGATGGATTTAATTCAATGTAGAAGACGTCATACGGTGTAAAAGGGGTGTAGCATGATATGGCATGCAGCATTGTTTTGTATTATTTTTGGGAGGTCTTGCTACAGTCTATCAAAGCACTATCGCATCCTCACAAGCATAGCCTCAACGCCCTCGAGACATTTCCGCACCTCCTCTGCGGCCCTCGCCACATATGCCCCATCGACAACTCTATGGTCGGCACTCCAACTAAACACACACTCCTCCCTCTTGACTAGCTCACCATCCTCTCCAAAAGCCGGTACCACCCGCGCTTTACCAATGCCCAATATGCCGACTTGAGGGCCCACAATGACAGGCGCCACGGTGCCACCGCCTATACTACCGATGTTACTGATTGTGAAGGTGGCACCGGTAAGGTCGGCAGATGTGAGTTTTCCACTTCTTGCCAGAGAGCTGAGACGTTGAATTTCCTGAGCAAGGGAAGCAATGCTATGGTTTTGCACGTTCTTGATAACGGGTACAAGTAGACCAGAAGGCGAGTCGACTGCTACACCGATGTGATGGCTTCCCTTAAGAATGATCTGTGGTTTATTTGGGTTCGTATTCGTATCGAGGTGTGAGTTGAGCAATGGGAATTGCTGAAGAGTGAGTGAGACAGCCTTGATGATGATTGGTAACGGCGTTATACGATCTGGCTTCTCGCGGCCAAGATTGTACTTTTGCCGTAGGGACGTGAGAGAGCTGAAATCCACGGCGTTGGTGTATAGGAAGTGTGGTATCGACAAAGACTTGGTCATTTGCTTGAACATTCCAGATTGAACCGGTGTCAACGGCTTGACTTGATCCTCAATCTGCTGTTTGGGCATCGCTATCGAGCTTGTGGACGGTGTGCCCGCGGTCTGCTTAGCAGATTCAATGTATCGTTGTACATCGTCTTTGAGCACACGGCCTTCCCTTCCTGTGCCTTCGATATCCTCAATTTTCAGCCTATGTTCTTTGATCATGTGCCGCACAGCAGGTGTCGCGAGCGATGCATGTTTGCCCGGTTGCCGTGGAGTAGCTGACTGCTCTTGAGACGGTTTGGATGGTAGACTCGCGCTCTGGCCTGATGAATCTACATCTCCAGTAGCCGCCTTTGTGTCGTTCCTGCCGAGTTCGATTCCTTGTTCTTGTGATTCGGTCGCACTCGATGTGTTTTGTTCAGCTTGTTTACCTGATTCTCCGTTGAGCAAGACCTCGTCGGCGGCCAATATTTCGCTCTGGATGTCGATGTCTACTAAAGGCTTCTTTCATCAGTCCAAACATCTCATAAAGGGATCGGTAAAATCACCTTTCCAACCTTGGCCATATCATCCGGCTCGTAATAGAGCTTCTTGATGACGCCATCAAACCGCGAGGTAATCTGCCTGGTCTTAGCTTTTCTTCCTATACGTATTCTGTATATTTGCTTACTTCCACAGATGCTTTGTCTGATTGCACTTCGCAGATAGGATCAAATTGCTCGACGCGCGCCCCGGGCTTCACAAACCACTGGATAACCTGGCATTCGGTGATACCTACGCACAACATGCTTAGCTCCAGCCCCATAACATCCAATTCGCATACTCACCTTCCCCAATATCTGCCAGTAGGTATGGCTTGACCGCCAGTAGTCCTCTTGTCTCCCGAAACCCTCTTGTTTGCTCTTGTATGCGAATGTTTGGATTCCTTCTGGACGCTGTGATTGATGGCCTATGTGTGAGCCTTGATCGAGAGAATAAGCGAGATGCTTCTCTGCTTGCGAAAGATTTCATGGTGGATGTAATGCGCAAGCAGATTTCTGCGTGGAAAGAAACATATTCATGTACCAACGCCGAGGTGTGGTGTGAAGGACCAAAGCCGACGATTACCAGTGGCGGTAATTGTCGGCTTTGTCGCGGCCCATTGCACAAGCGGAAGCTGGGGTAGCCGCTAAGAACCTTTGGGCCTACCGCGTTGCGGGTTAAGAAATGAATGAGATTGCATGATTTTGTGGCAATGGATTCTACTTAGTTAATCGGAATTATTTTATAGATGCAAACCTGCTAAAGAGGTGGCCGGTGTCGGCAATGGTTTTATTGAGCTTCTCTATGGTAGCACGGCTCTGATGAGGCGCGGCTCTAGCATAATGATAATCTTACTCGAATCCTATTGAATAATTCTACTGGTATAACTATTACACGTCATATATTATTCCTCTTCTGGGGTACAGCATTGAAGTAGTGACCTGGTTTCTAAGAAAAGAAACCCAGCTGATACGTGGCTATGCTATGCTATGCTATGCATCAGCGGGACCCCTTCCAATCCATACTCGATAGCTACGGAAGGGCCCCTTCCTTTTGTCGGTGTTGTTGTACTGATAGGCTGGTCCTAGTGCTAGCTGATTCGTGGTGAAATACAGCCATCCATCCAAAATGGCCAATGAATCGGCGTGCTGAACCAATGCACTCCTCACCAACGTCTTTACCATATAGTCTTCAGTTGGAATAAGACCAGAGCCACCAGGTAAATGCTCGTTAACGGTCGTGTTGGATTCGGATTCGCGCGTGTCGACGTAGTATATGGCGTTATGCTCGCTTGCCGCAATGTATACTCGGCCGCGGTCATCAGACGTAAAGCCAGCTTGCTCTGATGCGCATTGGCCCGGATCCTGCACTGCTGCAAGAACGTCCTCTTCTGTCTTTTTTGGGTCAATGAGTATATCTTGGGATATGTAATAGAAGCGCCGGGAGGCTTGGACGCCCCAATAGAAGTTGCCCGATGCTGTTACTATGTTAGCGAGAGCGGCCTACATGAGTTCAGCAGCACTTACCTAGTGCAACACCATCTGCACCGGTCGTGGCATAGCCTTTCTTTGTTCCCTTCCAACTATAGATGAGTTCGCCGTCGTATGAACCGACATACTTTTCATCTGCGCGGACGACGCTTGTGTTCAATAGTCTGCGTACAACGCTGCCATTCTCAAGATCGATTGTCAGTAGAGAGCTGTTCTTGCTGCAATCAGGGATGAACGCATATCCTTCTCTTCCACCAAGAGTTGTGTTGATACGCAAATCATTCATATTCATCCGGTAAGTCAACGCATCTTGAGGTATGACATAAGTCCGGATGTGCTCGCTAGTTGATTCATTGAAGCTCATGATCTTCGCTCCACCGAAGATGGCGTTGGTATCGGAGGGCCAGCCATATGGGATACCGTTATCAACGACCCAGAGCCGCCCTCGGTCGTCTCGGATGATGTTCTGTACGTTGACGAAGCAAGTGCTTGGATCTGCGCCAGCGGTACAGTTTTGCATGCTTGCGTTTGGCCAGGGCGTTTCATCGTTGAAAGAAGTGCAAAGCACTACGTTGATGGGAGCTTGTACACTGTTGCGAGTATACGTTAGATATATCTTGTGAGCAGAGTCGATGGCTAATCCAGTCGGAGGTGTTTGGGAATCGTGAACCGCTTCCAAGGACGGCCCAACAAGAGTGAAATCTTGAGGATAGGCGCCTATTGTGTAGCCTGGACCAAAGGGACGGTAACCGCCTGGTGGTGTCTCATAGTACTCTGCTGCAAACGACAAAGTACACAAGGACAATGTAATCGTAAGTCTGATCCACATGTTAAAGTTGTGAACCAATGTCGATGACTCCCAACACAGTAAGATATCGCGCCGAGTGGCCAGGTGAGAATGTTCGTCTTTCTCAAGTATGACAACATTGGGGAGCAGAATATATAACGGTTTAACAAGATGACAGACCCCGGGAGCCGGAGAGCTTCGTTGACTATCATATACTGCTGGCGGCTTGGTCAGTGTTATGTTCATTGGGTACGGTTCAATCGCGACCCGTGTAAATCCAGGCGGAAACAGCCCCTTTCGTTGACGGTCAAATTTGTGTGATGGCTATTGGATCCGATTCAATAGCGTATATGTACAGCGAACCAGGTCAGTCGTGAGGGGTACATCTGACCACGCATGATACAGTTCATACAACACGACCATGTATCCAATCACATATTCACTTCGCGGTTGTTGGTCTGACGTGATCCCGGAAAATCCCCTCTTAGTCGGCGTGTCGGGACGGATCTCGACAATGACGTTCACGCGCGGATCGAAGAACGCACGAGCCTTCGTGATTCGCGCCTGCCGAAACACGCGTTGCTGGGGAAAGTGCAAACAACCCACTTCGACACTCACTCACCACCTTTCCCCGTATATTACAAACCATGCGCAGTCTCAATGACCACCTACGCATTGCAAACGAAGACAATGCTCCATCCAGTTTCTGATACGTCTGCCCAGCTACTTCGACTTGCCGCCAACCGCGACGAACCCAAGGCCCAGTTGCCCTCGAAACGAAAGAGAGACTCACTTTGTGGTCTCGGAACGTTTACCGAACCCTTTACAATTAGACCGCACGTTGGATCGTTCTACACAAGCCCTGCAACCTTCAGACCTGTACGGGTGATCGCGCGTTCCCAACTATCTCTCAAATTCCTCGACACGTCTCCCGACGATGACTTCGCCCCACACAGCCTTTTCACTGCCCAGATACATGTCCTGGAGGAAGCAGACTTGCGGAGTCAAGGGGGAAGGGCCCCGAAGATTCTTATTGCACGCTGCGAAACGAAGAGAACGCTATACGCGATAGAGCGGGTACAATTGTGTGTCTACAGCATTTGCAGGCTGGCAAGTTGGCTTAGGGAGAAAGATGTCGCAGAACTATGGGATCCTGCCAATATACGTTCTCTACCAGCAAATCCCAAACCAGACGCAGAAACAACCACGCAGGGGGGATGGTGGCGACATGCTGTAGTTGAGACCCAGGCTGTAGAATCACTCACGAAACGAGCGAGAATGACTATGCTGCGACCGAAGTCAGTGCCGAAGATGATCACAAATCAATCGCATCAACCCGGAGAGGCTTTACGTGACCAATACGCCGCCGGTCTAGACACTGTACCTACAGAGTTTCCGCTTGAGCCTCTGGTGGGATTGGCATCACCGCACGAGCAGCTTGCTTCGCTGGTCCACCAATACCTCGATGCTGTATACATGTCGAAAACTTCCTTGGCATACTTCGCAAAAGGGCCTATTACGCGAACACGGAACGCCTTTACCTCGACAGAAGAGGGTGCCCCCACTACTCATGAACTGGTCGCATTTTTGAGGACAATGCTACTTAGTCCGAAAGCTAGCGAGAAGAAATATCATGACAAGCTACCATCGCTGATCAAAGCGATACCACCAGGAAGTTATTCGGATGATGAAGTCGTTACAGGTGCTGGTAAAACAAACAAGTCAAAGAAGAAGATGAAGCTTAGCCGGAATGGCGTATATCCCCAAGAAGAAGCATTTATCAAAAAGTGGTGGCAATCAGAGCTACCTAATGGGGACAGTATGGCTACTGAGACTATGGAACAACGCATTAAGCGGCGAATTGGCGATCTACGGGTCCGCGAAACGCTTGCTCAGCTCATTCTTATGCTTGAGATTGTCGCACTCGAGGCTCTGTCCACATACAAACCACCTTCCGATGACACACAGAACCAGGAAGAGCAGAAGACGATGAAGAAGCGCAAGAAGAAGCTTGACGATATCAATCTGCAGCTTGATTTACTATTGGACAAGCTTTGTATATGGCACGCTACCGAGGAAATGGGTATTCTAGATTTTGATTCGAGACAGAATGACGGTGCCGATGCAAATGGTCGGAGTGATTCCAACGACCGACTGCACAGCTTCTGTGTCGAAGTTATAATACCGTTCTACATCAACCGACTTCCAGAGCAGGCGCTCATAGTCAATAAGAAGCTCGGTGGACCAACCCATAGCCAGTCGTCCAAACGGAAGGCCATGAAGCCACCCCTCACCTCACGCAATTCTGGGGATTCGAAAGAGCCTGAGATAAAGAAACCTCGACGCTCACTAGCCAGGGTAGCCACGGACAACACAGGGAGGACGATTGAGCGAACAACGCCGTCTTTGAACCGATCTGCCACCGATTCCGCCCTGCCAGAGCATGTCAAACGAGAGGGCAGCGAGGTTTCTCTCTCTTCCATACCCTTTCGACGTAGTCCTTCCAAGAGCAACAGGCAATCCATGTCGCAGATTCGACATCTGCAGGGTCGTCAGATTGATCTTGCGCAGCCATCGGCTGCTGCTTCAGCAAAGATCAAACAGAGACAGCGAGTTGAGGAGGACTTGCAAGAGGCTATCCTCGCGCTGAAAAAGCCAAATCGAGGGCTGGCTGCTGGTGGTTATGCGGTTGATAATGAGCAACGGGGTCTTGGATTAGCCAACAAGTCAAGGAAACCCACGACAACGGTGAGAAAGACGATCAAAGATGTTCAGGTCTCGGCTACGCCTCGAGCTGGGCGTAGGACGAAGGACATTGTCGAGCAGACGCCAAGCCGCCACCAACACAACCCGTTCATTAGGCTACCCGCAGGGGAAGCACCTGGCTCGAGTGATTTGTGCATACCATCCTCGACTGTACGTCCGCCAGCTTTCATGGTACCGGCAACGGGCCATCGCCGTCCGACGGCTCGTGATGTAGCGCAGTCGACCATTGCCGAGACACCGTCCAAAGTGCCGGACAGTAGAGTGTTTTCTTCAGAACCTGTTCGACGGAAGATCTTCGCGACGCCATCGAAGGCGGCGGCGCCTTCGCCAGACGGAAGGCTGCCTCCACCGCCACAAGTACTGGAAACGCCTGCCAAAAATTTCGGCAGCTCGCCCCCTGGAAACAGTAACTCTCCACCACGACGTGTTGTTGCGACTCCGTCCAAGTCTGGTTCAGGCTTACCAAAGGGTTTCGCACCTGTTCCTTTTTCTCTGCCTGATACCCACGAAGCTGAAACGTCAATTTATGATGCATTAGGGTGGAACGACGACGATGATGCTTTTGCATAGATTCTGGATATTTTGTTTTTGTTTATATTGGACTTGTGTCCCTGCATCAGCAAGCGTAGGATGGGATTCTCACACGATGAAGCATTGGGCGGCGTACTAACTAGCGTCGGGATACTAGAATAGGGTTCCAGAGATGGACGAGGATAGTGTCAAGTACAAACATGCAGTTTACGATTTCACGGGCATCTGGCTAGAGACGTTACCTTGGCTTCCCTTGTATAGCAGGCTAACATATATGTCCGTATGCGTATGTGGTTAGCTTGGGCCCGTGTGGTGATGATATGCAGGCAAAAGCCGCACTAGGGGGCAAAGTCACCATAGACTCGGTGTGTGCGCAGGCCATGTTGGGCTCTGCAGGTCGGTAAAGGCGTGTACTGGTAGATGGTGAGTGAGTTAGTGTTGTCGGAGAATTACTGCACGATCGCCGTGCAACGCAGTGCAATGCGGCTACTACGTGCGTCGGTGGTCGCGTCGCAGGCGACAGGTACCCGCTTGCATCCATGAGAGGAACAGGGATAGCCGTCATTCCGAATGGGGTAGCCAGCGTCCCTTGCAGACACACGAGTGAAGCCAGCAACCTGGTGCTGCGTGCACGAATCACGGCTTTGGCGCTACCGACGGCGTGTTCCCATTTGCTGCACATGGTGAACAATCGGCCCTTGGCTGCTCCCCTTAAAAGCGCCTCCAGTTGCCGGCTGGTCAGTGCAGCCGTCGGTCCATGGCCCTAATCACGCTGAAATTATGAAAATCAAAGGAACGCGCCCGCTATCTCTCACTTCTCGAGTCCTATTCTACTTGCCTAACCCATTGCCTCCCGGACACCAGACCAGATCCTACGGGACTCGCGCTGCGCCATACTTCACGCGTCCGGACATGTCCAGCACTGCAGCCAAGCTAAGGTAGCCCCCCCCCAACACTGCAGGTAGCCATGGCTGTCGCTGCAGCTTCCCGGCCTGTCCCCCATGGGCAACGCTCGCCAACCCTCAGCGATGCGGGCATGATCCTGCCCGCTTTTGAACCCGACTTCGAACGTACTACTTCGCCCGTCTTGTTTATGGAGCGCCCCCCTTCGCCGTCGGATTTGTATAAGCATGCGAACTCGAGTCAAGTCAGATTAAGTTCAGCACCCCAGGGCCGGCGCCACGCCTCACAAAAAACAAAGTCGCCGTCGCTCTCCGCACAGTCCTCGCGCTCCACGCTGCGCAACATGAACGATTCAGAGGCGTCTACTAAGAGCATGTCTATCCGCCACGAGACGCTGACCTTGTCGCCCACCCACAATGCTGCAAATAGTCACTCTCCCAACCAGTGGCAAGGCCAGGACCAGCGCAAACTTAGTCCTACCACCAGCTCCGTCTTCAGTGAAGACTTTGAGCACTGGCCTGGATTTGATAGCCACGAAACCTTTGAGGATAGCGGCGTAGACCTCGAAGATCAGGAAAGGGGTGAGCGTTCTACAGCTGACGCCGACTCTGGTGAAAGCATGCGACACGAACGCTGGGCCGAGGACCGCAATAGTGGCAGTGATGAGGATGACGACCCGTACTCATCAGCAGCACTCAGCAGGAGGGCAGAGATTATTTTGGCCAATGCCAAGAAGAGGCTGAATGTATGTCTAGCCTTACTTGCACTCGATTCCATGCTCACTGACGATTGCAGGTCATGGAAGGAAATCTACGTGGTGCGCGAGAGTCGCTGGTTGTTTCACCCACCTTCAGCTCCAAAAGCGTGACTTCTGACCTGACACAACATATGGCCGCCAGCCGAGAACGCGACAGACGACTGTACGCCGGAATGGGGCCGATACCTCCACGCATCCACTCTTATCGGCAATCACTACTTTTGCCCAACGGCAACAACGGCCATTCACGAGGGTTGAGCGAGACGTCAGTACCGCTTCCCTTCACACCTTCGTATTCGTACATGACAAGGACTCTATCAAACAAGCGAGCATCGAGCGCAATTGGCCATACTAGCGGTCCATGGTCACCGGAAGGATATGGCCAAGGCCGATTTCCTATCAAGGAGTCTCGAAGCGTTGAGCACCTACGCAACCCCCGATCTACATGGAACAACACAGAACGAGAACATGCGGCGAGGTCCGCTTCAAGGAGCTCGAGATCTCCGCCTGGTCTGGAGACGCTACCAGAAGACGAGGACGCATCCAGAGTACCCCGATCAGCCTCTTCAGCTAGTAGTCTCCGTGACCAGATGAACGACCTCAAAGGCAGAATTTCCAGTTTGAAGCTGAAGGCGCAAGAGGATCATCTCCGACGCCGAAGCATCCAAAGCCTACGCGCGCCTAGCCCATTCACCGCTGCTGATCAATGGTATTCGGGATCACCCGCTAGCCAGGCCACTAGTCCTACCACTGCTAACGCAGGGTTGGGCATCACGACTGATCAACCGAACCGAAGCCTACTATACCCAACCGAACCAGACCGACCCCTGACTGCCACGACCACGCTCTCCCAGGAGCACGGCGAAAAGCTTGTGGCTGGCTTTCAAGATCAAAACGACGAGATTGATGGACACGTAGCGTCTTACGAGAGGAGTAAAGCGTACCAGGACAAATCTGAAGAAGTTGAGGAAGATGATACGGGTGATGCGGGTGACGCCGATTTTGTCTCTGTGTACGGCGATGAGACGGTCTACGAGGACGCGGTATACGAAATGCCTGTGACAGAACGGCATGAAGATCGAGTAGATGCTTTCGACTATGAGACATTTTTTCTGCACAGTGCCATGGGGACTTACAGCGTAGAGGACCGCCGATCTAGCACTAGTTCTGGTACCTCGACTGCTACCACGCGACCGGTAACAGCTATGCAGACTACGGGCGAGCTAAGCAAATCTGAAAAGAGGCTGTCGTTCCATTCACGGACCACGAGCGCGGATTCAGTCTCAACTGTAGCTACGTTTGCTACTGCAGCAGAAGAGCAAGATGACGACGAGGAGAACGAGCATATGGATCAGTTCTCGCAAGAAATTCTGTTTAATCAGAACCGCTCGCTGTCTCGCTCGGGCACGCAGAACGGCCTCTTGTCTCTCCGGTCCGACTCTGCGATCAACATGAGACGCGGTAACGGTTTATCACCCACTCACACGTCAACATCTCGCGGCTCGTCCTCGCCCGGAGAGCTTGCTAGCGGTCTTCAGACTTCGAGAATCTTTAGCATCCTGACCGAGGGTTCCAGAGACGAAGCCCGCCTAGCACTCAGCGAGGAAGAAACACAACTCATCTACAGCCTCGCTGCGAGTGTGCAACAAGTGTGCTCCAACCTGCAAAGCGCGTACGGCGAGGCATATGAGCGCAAAACCCTGCGACGACGACTTGACGAAGCACGCAAGATCCTCAACGGTGAGGACATATAAAACAACCAGCTCCTGTTACACTTTCTCGAAATCCTTTCTTCCACGCCGCAAAAACATACGGTAATGTCTATTTCGACTCAGCAATTTAGCGTATCTCGTCCACACTGCATGGACTTTGGCCGATATCATGTGTAATTTTGCAGACCCCGACGTGGAATTTTTCTGTTTTCTTTTCGTTGTTTACCTTTTCGACATTCTACTTGGGCAAGCTTCTTTTATACTTCGCTTGGAGGTCACGACTAAGGATAATTTCTTTTGATGTATTTGATACCCGGGGAAGGAATGGCGGGGGTCACGCCCTCTGTTAAATGTGGACACGTGTTCGCCGTATTGGCTGCAAGTACCTTCTAGCTCTACCGTAAATATCCAGCATGGCTGTCATGTGAGTGTGCATATGCAGGCAATTGGGCCAAAACAGACTAAAAATCACCATGTGCATCACTTTGGGTGTGAGTGGGTGAGTTGGCCAGTCGTCTGGGAGACACGGCGCACGACGTGCCCCTCCAGCGGCCGTCTCGAACCTAGACCCATGGGCAGATTCCGTACTTGGGGCCAGGTTGGGGGTTGACGCCCCACCAAACAGCGCGTCATGGCCGGGCTCGACAGTCTGAGTCTGGATAGATGCAAAATACAGTCTGGTGTGCGTTGTCCAAGTACCATGGGCCGCGACAGGCAGCGAAAGCGGCAGGCCTAATGCACGTCTGCGACGCGTGCAGCCCTTGCCGCGCTCTGCGATGGTTGTTGGGGAGCGGTAGGATTGGGCGGAGGGGGGCAACAGAGGACTGGCGGTGTAGAGGCCGTACGGGCTGGACATTGCAATTGCAGCTGCCAGCAGCACGGATACCCACAGTAAAGACTCCGCAATTGGCCCACCAGGGCGTGGCTGGAGGGATGCTAGACAGAGAAGGATGGGTTCCGAGAATACCTTGCTGCTTGTGCACCCGCCTCCAGACTGAAGCACAACACGGCATCATCCACGGGCGCATGCACACCACCTCGGCCCTAAGCCCCAAGTTTTTTTCCCGCCGAATAACTTTGGCCCGTCTCCCGCATCGCGCATCGTTTCTGCTTGCATTTGATTAGGTCTGATCTGATCTGATCTGATTCTGCCGACTCACCATCTCTGCTTGGATCAGCATTCGCACAACCTCATCGACCACCCGCGCCGACGACTGAATACCCCTCGAACTACGCCCCTCATTTGATTTTTGGAGAATCCGCCTGCTGGTCCGGGCGCGTGTGTGACGAGGTGGATGAAACGAACCGCAAGCTCCAACAGGCTTGGTGCGTCAGGAGGAGAGGCCATTCGACGCCGATAGCGATTGGCGTTGCGGAAACCGTCCATACACACCATCCAAGACCTTGTGACCACTCGCGACGCCCGTTCCCCTGCGTTCGCCTCTTACTCAAGCTGAAGCCGCAAACCTGCACGTCTGCAGTCTCCTGCATATCTTGCGCCCCCGACCGCGCCTGTCCTGGACTTTTGAGACTCGTCCCGTGTAATCCGCCCTGGATTGCATCGCCGTATCTGCTTGTTGCAGAGCGCCCTGATTTTGGCCTTGGTGTACTACGACTCCAGGGAGACGCACCAAGTCCCTGCAACAGCATACCACGGAACAAGTTACACTACACGAGCCGCCCGTATCGAATACAACGACATTTGCGGTTTCGCACAAGCGCTCATGTGCCTACCTCCGCCTTGCTCTTCCCATTTGCGCCTCTCACTTTCGCACAATGTCCCCTACCAGCTGTCCTCAGGTCGTCGTCGCCGCCGCCGCGCCATCTGCGAGACAAAAGACCCTGCCGCTTTCGAGGATTGGATCGGCTGATGCGACTTGGGATAGAAAGACCGGCATCTCACAATTCGAGAATGCTTCACCAGCAAGCGGCTATGCGCCGGTATGCATGACAGAATGCGCGTCTGAAAATGACCAACTTGTTGCTGATTTGTTTGATAACACTTTATATGCGATGCATCGGCTGGAACGCCGCCACACTGGAGAAAAGAGATCGAGCAGAAATTATATCTGGGTATGACGCCACTTCCTTGTTTGGTTTTTTTCCCCGCGATTTCCTCCCGATCCCTCCCCAACCCATGCTCCATTGTACTGCTGAAGATATTCGCGTATTTCTATCCGGTCGCCTTGTTCTCTAACTCTTACCCAGCGATACCATCTTGCAACCCGGTTGCCTGGCCTTCGTCCACACACCTCTGAGCATTCTCCACAATCATGGAGCCCATCACCTCGTACCCACGCATCCCCACCACCTTCATACGACGAGTCTATTGCAGATCTACCCCCAGACTATACCTCTACTGATACCCTTGCCGTTGCACAATCCCCCGCCTATACACCCTTCGACTCACTCAACCCTCCTTTACGCTCATATGCTCCAAAGTGTCCGCGCACAACTAAGAACTCATCACCGGGCTCTTCATTATTCTTCGACGCCAAGTCGTTGTACGTAGATATCGACTTCGGCTATAGTGAAGCTGGCGTCAAGTCACACGCAAAGAAGAAGAAGGCAACCGGCGCTGCAAAGAAGTCCACCCCTGCAGCTGCCCCAGCTGATGAGAGCAAAGGAGAAGAAGCCGCCGGTGGTGGCGATGGCGGTGGGGATCCTCCAGCAGATGGTGGGGCTGGAGGCGCGGACGGTGGAGACGGTGGTGGCGACAAGGGGAAGAAGAAGACGAAAAAGGAGAAAGAAGAGGAGGAACGCTTGAAGAAGGAAGAGGAGGAGCGTTTGCAGAAGGAAGAGGAAGAGCGCATAGCCAAAGAAGAGGAGGATCGAGTAGCGAAGGAGGAAGAAGAGCGTCTAGCAAAGGAGGCGGAGGAGGAAGCCGAGCGTAAGAAGAAGGAAGAGGAGGAAGCAGCCGCAGCAGCCGCAGCAGCTAAATCCACGATATCAATAACAAAAGCCGCAGCTGAGTTGAGCTGGGCAAATCCATCTCAAACTACTGATGACTGGGCATCGTTCGGTGCGGGCGCTCCCGGCAAAAAGAAGAAGGGCAAAAAGGGGAAGGTTTGTAGTTTCGGCTACGTAGTCAAATCTCGCAACGCGCTAATTCACGATAGACTACCGAAGCCGCACCCCCGCCCCCTCCTGAACCACCGGCAGAGCCAGCAACAACCTTCGACGACATTCTTCTTGACGAACCAGCTCCATCAAAGATTGACATGAACTTCGGCGACACTGCTGCACCAAAAGCTGGATCTGGATTCGGGCTTCCCGGACTTAGTAGCTGGGCTTCTGGCTGGGGTTCGGCAACCAAACCATCGGGTTGGGGATTGAATTCATCGGCAGTTGGCGCCAAGGATGCGAACGCGGATGGAGACAATCATTGGGATTCTTCGGATAAGAAAAAGAAGGACACAGGGTTTGACTTTGAATTCGATGCTTTCAAAGACGCGGAAGCTGCGCCGGTGATAACTGAGGACAAGCCGGTAGAGGACGATGGCTGGGCTTCAGGTGCTGCCACTGCAAAGTCAAAGAAGAAGTCGAAGAAAGGAATCCTGATTGACGACAGTGTACCAGAAGAGCCTGCTTCTGCCCCGGAACCTGAGAAGGAGGAAGGTTGGTCATCTTTCAGCTTTGGTAATACAAAGGAAAAGAAGAAAAAGAAGAAGGGTGCGGTTGAGGATAACCCTCCACCCCCAGAACCGGAACCAGAGCCTGAACCAGCAGAACCCGAACCCGAACCCGAACCCGAACCGCCAAAGGAAGAAGCTCCGGCTATAGATCCATTCGCGGGGCTCAGTAAGGCCCAGGCAAAGAAACTTAAAATCAGACTGGACAAGGAGGCCAAATTGAAAGAAGAGGAGGATGCCAAGCGCCAGAAAGAGGAGGAAGAAGCGGCTGAGCTTAGGCGTCAGGAAGAAGAAGAGGCGGAAAGAGTACGGTTAGAAGAGGAGGAAGCTGAGAAACAGAGATTAGAGGAAGAGGATGCGGCTGCTGCTGCTGCTGCTGAAGCTGAGAAGAGTAAGAAGAAAGACGACGATATCTGGGCCGACTGGGGTGGTGCAGCCCCAACAGCTAAAAAGAAAAAGGGTAAAAGGGTGGCAAAAGAAGAGTTACCCCCACCGCCTCCTCCAGAACCTGAGGCGGTTCCTGATCCGGAGCCTCCTGTCACCGAAGAGAAGCCAACAGATACCTGGGATGACTGGAGCGCGACACCACCTGTCATGAAGAAGGGTAAAAAAGCGAAGAAGGGTACAGTTGTTGTACCTGAGGAGCCGATCGTCGAAGAGCCACCTCCACCTCCACCGGAGTCTGACTCGGTGCAAGAGGAAGAGAAGGGCGCTGATTGGGGCCTAAGTTCGATATGGGGTGGGTCAAAGAAGAAGAAGAAGAGCAAGGACGTTGAGTTGGTATCAATGCCTGCACCACCTGCACCGGTAATCGAAGAGGTAGCTCCTGTCCAAGAACCAGTTGATGTCGAAGAGCCGAAGGAAGATGATGAGGACGACTGGGGCGCGCCATCTTGGAGTAAAAAGAAGAAAAAGGACCCAAAGAAAGACGCGCCTATCGAGGTCATTGAGGATACTACGACACCCGTTCAAAAACCCGATGAGGACGATCCCTGGGGTAGCGCAGCCTTCAACATTGGCAAAAAGGCGAAAAAGGGCAAGAAGGGGCTCGTCCCACCAAATGTTCTTGTCCCACCGGGTGAATTTGAATCTGGAATTCCGCCGCCAAAAGAGATCGAAGCTCCTCCGCCTGCGGAAGAGGAAGACATCTGGGCTGTCCCAGCAACCACGTCAAAGAAGAAGAAGAAAGGAGAAGCGGCAGATGAAGCCCCAGCAAATGATCACTTTGAAGATTTGATTTCACTGGATGATCCACCACCAGCTGAAGAGCCGGTGGTAGAAGAGGTGCCAGTCGAGGAGAAGAAGAAGAGTAAGAAAGACAAAGAAAGCACAAAGTCAAGTAGTATGTGGGGCTCTTTGGGTGGATCGTCCAAGCCGCTCAAGAAAGAGACAAGTCTTGAAAAACGAGCTCGCGAGAGGCGCGAGAAGAAGGAACGAGAGGAGCAAGAACGTCTGGAGAAGGAGGCTGCCGAGAAAGAAGAGGAAGAGCGTCTTGCTCGTGAAGCCGAAGAAGCGGCAGAGCAGGCGCGTATAGAGGCTGAGGCTGAGGCGGCACGGATCGCAACAGAAGAGGCTGAGGCAGCTCGGTTAGCAGCGGAAGAAGAAGAGAAGAAGAAGCAGCAAGAAGAGTCTGCAGCATCGAAGCTCGCTGGGTGGGGAGCCAGCATATGGGGTTCATCCAAGAAGAAGGAAAGTGCCAAAGAGAAGAAAGCGCGTGAGAAGAAGGAGGAGCAGGAGCGGCTGGAGAAGGAGCGCATCGAGCGCGAGGAGCGTGAAGAACGGGAACGTCTCGAGCGTGAGGAACAAGAGCGCCTTGAACGTGAAGAGCAAGAGCGTCTAGAACGGGAGGAGCAGGAGCGTCTAGAGCGTGAAGAGCGAGAACGTCTGGAGGCAGAAGAAGCTGCTCGCGTGGCCGCTGAGGAGCAGGAACGATTGGAGCGTGAGGCTGCTGAAGCCGCTGAAGCTGCCGAGAGAGCTCAAAGAGAAGCTGAAGAAGCTGCAGCCAAGGCTAAGGAGGAAGCGGAAAAAAGTTCTGGATGGGGCCTCTTTGGTCTTACGAAGAAGAAAGAAACGACAAAGCAGAAACGTGAACGTGAAGCTAGGGAGAAAAAGGAGAGAGAGGAGAAAGAGGAGCAAGAGAGGCTAGAGAAGGAGGAGCAGGAGAGGCTAGAAAATGAAGCCAGAGAGGCTGCTGAAGCTGCTGAAGCTGCTGAAGCCGCCGAAGCCGCCGAGAAGGCCCAGAAAGAAGCCGAAGAGGCCGAGCTAGCTCGGGTTGCCGCTGAGCAAGACTTGGTCCTTGAGCCTGAGCCAGTTGTCTCCTCTAAGGATAAGAAGAAGAAAAAGAAGAGGGGCATCGTTGTCGAGGATGCTCCTCCACCACCTCCTCCGCCTCCTCCGCCTCCTCCGCCACCCGCAGATGCTATGAACGACGACGACTTGTTCGATCTTGTAAAGGATGCAGACCCGAATGAGCTAATGGCAGAGCTCGAGAAGCCCACCAGGAAGGAAGAGAAGGAAGCAGGCGGTGGCTGGGGCAGTGCTTGGGGTATCTCTCTCCGCAAAACGAGAGTAGAGCCCAAAGTCCAAGTTCCCGTAATTCCTGAGCCTGAGCCTGAGCCTGAGCCGGAACCGGAACCGGAACCCGAGGCTGAGCCTGAAGCCGAGCCTGACCTTGACGAGCCGCTTCCCGAAGAGCTACCAGAAGTACCAGAACCCCCGGTTATAGAAGAGCCGCCTCCAAAGCAACTATCGCTCAAAGAGGAGAGGAGGCTGAAAAAGTCTAAGAAGCATCGACACGTTGAGCGAGAACCAGAACCAGAACCAGAGCAAGAGCCGGAACCAGAACCAGAACCAGAGCAAGAGCCGGAACCAGAGCCAGTGCCAGAGCCAGTGATAGAGGAAGCGGTCCCAGAACCAGAACCAGAACCCCCGGTAGTGGTTGTCGAGCGACCACGTAAAAAGCTATCGTCCAAAGAGGAGAAAAGGCTAGAAGAGAAAAGGCTGAAGGAAGAGAAGAAGCTGAAGAAGTCAAAGAAGTCAAAACATGTAGTGGAAGCCCCAATAGAGATCCCTGAGCCAGACCCAGTGCCCGTCGAAGAACCTGCTCAACGCTCGCCAGGAATAGGAGCTTTCCCTGACGATGAGGCGGAGATGCTGGACTTTGCTGACGCACCACCTCCTCCACCAGAGCTCGAAGAACCGGAGCCAGAAGCCGAGCCCGAGCCTGAAGCGGTACCAGAACCGGAGCCAGAACCGGAGCCAGTTGCTGTAGGCGGTGTCCTTGGAGAGCTCAGAAGGCTCAGGAAGTCTAAGAAGAGTAGCAAGTCAAAGGGTATGCCTTTTGTCGAAGCGCCTCCACCGCCCCCGGAGCCTGAGTTGGAACCAGAGCCCGAACCGGAGCTCGAACCGGAACCAGAGCCAGAGCCTATCGTCGAAGATGAGCCAGAGCCAGAGCCAGAGCCAGAACCTGAACCTGAACCTGAACCTGAACCTGAACCTGAACCTGAGCCCGTACCCGAACCTGTTATTGTGATCTCTGAGAAAAAACACAGAAAGTCCAAGAAGAGCAGCAAGACGAGAGCACCACCGCCGCCTCCACCCCCACCAGAGCCGGAATCTGAACCTGAGCCTGAGCCTGAACCAGAGCCAGAGCCGGAAGCAGAGATAGAGCCCATTGAAGAGGAAGCGCTCGAGGAAGCGGATGTGCCAGAGGAAGACGAGCCTGCTCCCGAAGACGAAGATGAGGCACCCCCAAAGCCTCCTACGCCACCTCCAGAGCCCAAGACAGAGTCACCTAGAAAAGCACGCAAAGCAGGTCGCAGTGGTCCTTCAGGGGGTTCGTGGGGTATTTTTGGTGCAGGTGCTACCAAACCCAAGACAAGGACAAGATCTGGTGGTGAGGAAGGTGCAAGCGGTGCAGCTGCCATCCGCACCAAACCAACGCGGACATCATCAACCAGGGACCAGGGTGATGCCAAATCACGCTCTTCAGGATCTGACAAGATGTCAAAGCCAATAGTGTCACGCTCCAAGACAGCCCGCGCCTCTACAGGGCTGGGTTCTATGTTTGGTGTTGCCGCAGCTGCCCCACCAATCCGCTCCAAGTCATATCGCGCCTCTACAACTCAAAAGGCAACGTCGCGTCGACCTTCCGTCGATCACGATGCTGCTATGATGTCACCACCACAGACAGACACAGATGCAAAGATGTCTTCGAAAGCAGCAAGGGTCATGGGTGTGAAGAGCTCATCGCGCAGAACAAGTACTAGGGATACAAGGGACAAGGGCAGAAGCAGAGGTGAGCCGTTCCCCGCCCATGACGATGCGCCTATTGGCCACCGCAGCCGTAAGCAATCACACAGAGCTAATCACAAGGCAGCTGTTCCAGACCCTTATCCCATAGACGATGAGCAAGACCTTTACGATGAGTCTCCTCCTCCGGAAATCCGACCAGAGCCATCGCGTCGCAAATCCAAGCGTGACTCAGCGCAACAACTTGAACCCTTGACTGCGCCGCCTAGCGCCGACGATCCTATCATCGTAGACTCCATGGACGTGGATGCGGCCCCAGCTGAGGCTGAACGACCTCGCCGGGAAAGAGAACGAGAGCGCGAACGACCACGTCGCGCGCGAGGCAACTCTGATGCCATGGGTACCCTTGCTGGCGTCGCAGGCACTGCTGCTGCTGTAAAAGGCTTCAAAGGCATGTTCGGACTTGGTCGCAAGAAGGCAGCACCAGAAGAGGCACCTCGAGAGCGTCGTCGCACTGCTTACGAGACCGAGGACGAGCGCAAACGTCGTAAACGATCGACGACGCGCGGTGGTATGACAGAAGACGAAGCGAAGCGACTTCGACACGAGCGCCGCAGTTTGCGACATGGGGAAGATGTCATGATGTCTGGCGCCAACGGTGGGGCTAATGGCAGCACCGACTATGATGCCGAGAAGGAGGCACGGCGGGCTGAGCGCAGGGCCAAGCGCGACGCAGAGAAAGGATCTCGTCGTGCTGAACTTGAAGAGGCAGAGGCCAAGGCTGAGCGTCGCCGTGAACGTGAGCGCGAAAATGAGCGTGCGACTCTAGCAGAGAAGAAGGCTCGCCAGATGGCCGAGTTGGAGCGTCGCAACCAAGAGGCCGAAGAACAACTGTGTCGCATCGCTGAGAAAGATGAGCGACGAAAGGCACGAGGCAAGGCTCCAGTCGAGGACAAAGACCGCGAACACCGCTCTTCGCGCCGCAAAGAGAAGGACCGTGACGCTGCACGCCCGAAGAGCGAACGTCGTAGATCGCACCAGGACGAAGAAGCAGATCGTCGCCGCCGTCACGAAGAACGTCGTGCCGCTAGACGCAACTCTGAGTACCCAGTCCCGGTCCCCGCTGAGCCCATCACCGACTACTTCGACGAGCGCAACGGCGCTACACGGTCCAAGCATCGTAGCTCACGCCAGGCGGCTCGGGAAGAAGAAAACATGCCATACCTCAACAACAAGAGTGGCGATAAGACGTCATCGTGGGTCGAGTCTCTCTCCAACGAGCCACCACTGCCTCCACCCATCTCGGAGACAGTCTTGGATCCAGCCCCGGGCACACGCGAGATACCAGACGATGAAGAGACGCCGTCTCAGGACGAAGACATCCGCCTACGCATCGCTGGACGCAAGGGCCCTAAGCGCGACAAGGAGCGTGCGGAGCGTCGCAAGACTGAAGAGCGTGAGCGTGAGCGCGACAAAACGCATAAGCACAGTCGCCGAGCGAGCGAATTCGTGACCGCGAAGACGGGCGATGAAGACCGAGAGAGGAAGCGAGCGTCGAGGCGGGCGACGTATGCGCCCGCGTATGAAGAGGCGCCTGTCCGTACGTGGGACGGCAGGCCAGCAGTCGAAGGCACTGCTGCAACGGCAAAGAGAGGAAGTTGGTTCAAGAAGATTGCCGGTTTCTGAGTAAGCCCAGTCCCCCCTTTGGTCAAGTATGATTGAAATGTGCTCATGGTTTGCGATGGTGATGATGTATTGTTTTTGCTTTTTGCTTTTTTGCTTTTGGGTTGGAAACTTGTTCTTCTTCTTCATCTTGCTCGCACTTGCATTGCGCGGCGTTGGGTCTTGGTTCTTTGCCCATTCATTCATTCATTCATCCGTGCTTTTGACTTTAATGTCTTCATTTCGGATATGTCCTGTTTATTCTTTTCCATCACTTTTCCATCAGTCATTTATCAATTCTTGTAATAAACCCCTGGGTCTGGATACTCAAGCATTTGGAAAAAGGAGGGGGAAAGGGGAAAGCAGGAAAGGAAAATGGGTGGTTAGAGTCTCGTGTACTCGAGTGATTTCCTGGGTATGCTACACGGATTGGATTAGGCTGATTGAAACGTTCAGGATGAGATAGATACCCCACTTCAAATTTTTATGTAGCTTAGCGAATTGAAACAACATGTATTTTCCTTCTCACAAATATTACGCTGCATCGTCGTCATCAGAAGGGTGTGAGATACTTAACTGCCCTTGGTATATGAGGTTCTGCGTAAACCCCCAGCCATGACGCCTATCGCCAAACCATGCTAGTCTCCAAGGATGCTCTGATGGATTTGCAACCCAGTTGGACACTCTCCTCGGCTGCTCCCCGTTGTCTATATCATCGTAAAAGGCCGTTACAGGCCCAACTGTCACAGCTGTGCAGCCGCTCCCTCGACTCCTTCCTGGAGTTCCATATCGTCTTCATCGTCATCCTCCAGCTCTTCATCCTCTTCCTCAAACCCCGTCTCCATGTTCAACTTCTTCAGCCTGTCCTTCATCTCGTCCTTCTTGTCCGCCTGCCAACGAGCCAGCGCCGCCGCAGAGTGTACCTTGAAGCCGAAGACGCGAGGCTCGTATCGTCGTTGGGACTTTGGCGGGAGTACCGCGGGGTAGACTTGGAAGAGGATATTATGGAACGAGGTGCCAAAGTACGCTCCGTCTATTACGGCATGGCGCGAGGATTTAGGGTTGTAGAGGTCTTCGCAGCGGGCGCAGTAGAGTTTTACGGGCGAGGCGTTGGGCACGTCGGATTGGCCCATGGGCAGCAACGGTTGGGATTCACACATGACGCGGGGGCATTTTCCGAAATCAGACTTCTTGAACTTCTCGAGCTGTTGAAGATGATGTTGTTAGTTTGTTGTTTACTGGCATAGGAATCTCATTGACGAGGTTGTATGCGTACCATCTTTGCTAGACCCCTAGTTGTGACAATGTATCGAGCGTGTACCAAACCATATAGGTGCCGTGCCGACTTTTCAATCTGCTCGCGCATATCATCGTCGCAGTCAAAGTCGAAGACATCCGTTACAAGGTCGAGTGCATATTGGTAGTACTGGACTTCCGTGTTGAGGCCCGTCAAGTTGAACCGGTCGGTGAGGTATTCTTCGTCAATCTCGCAGAAGTATTCGTTTCCGCGCGATGATATAAACTATAGATGTGTTAGCTTCTGATCATGTGCATGTTCGTTATGTCTACGCTTGGTGGTGCCTGCCACTCCGGCCACGACTCGTGCCACCACAGACTGTTCAGGACCATGGACGGCTTCCAAGCATAATGAGTGATGTCGCCGTACTCATCAGCATCTTCATGGCGACACATGTATGCTGAGATATAGTCCTGGCGACCGCATTCCGGACTAGCGCATGGTCAGATGCGACAGGTAGTGAAGGGCCGACAGTCTATACCACGAGAAGAGCCACTTTTCGCCTGCAGTTGGATTGTACCAGACAACCATGATGGGCGAAGTATATCGTGCAATACCCAAGCTATGGTAGCAAGTCTTGTTGTAACGAGTATTGCTATAATTATGTGATGGAAGGGCAGAAAGATGAGGTACCTACCCAGTCTCGCCAGTAGCTTGTGTAGTCACTATCCGTCTCACTGTTAAAGTCGTCCATGTTGCGCTTGCTCACGGCAGGGGCGAGCTCCTAACGATTTGGACGTATGTGTGTCGTGTGTATAGGTTGCGACCACCGACGAGGTGGGGCGATGCAAGCAGGCGCGAGCACGGTCCGGGACGCGGTTGCGGAGTGAAATGCGCGCCCGCCAAGTGGGATGGGAGTTGCATCCCACCTTGTTTCTCCGCTCCGACGGCGCTAGCGTTTGGCCCAGCGACTGCAACACGAGGCCAGACTCGGCCCACTACACGGTTCTTCCTACGTGTGGTGTTTGTTCTCCTCCATATATATGCTACAGGGCCTAATAGAATCATCTCAGGCGCGTTTTGTATGTTGCAGAGGAGGACAGATATGAGCATAGATATCACAGGTCGAGGGCTGTAAACACCAAGCACTCAAAGGCCGTAAGTATAGGTTCAATTGCGCCATTTCACTGACGAGATCCCCGTATACCTAAAACGCAATCTCACTCCCCAAAATGCTTCAGCAAACATTCATCTTCTCTTATTGGCAAAACATCCATGTCCTTTCCCGTTCACTCTTGCTTCTTGTGAATTCTAGGCAAACACAACCATAAGCCCAAGATCACGCCCAAAAGTGCCAAGATGATTGGCTGCAATACCTGTACACCTTTGGCCTGCGCAATAGCTCCTACTGCAAACGGGAAAATGGCTGCTCCACTTCCGCCAAAAGCTGCTGCGAAGCCAATGGCGCTGACGTGCAGGTGGCGCGGAAGAAGCTTAGTAGCAGCGACAACGGCGGCAGGGAAGAGGGGCCCGAGGAAAAAGCCTTGAAAACTGACTGCAACGGCCGAAACGTAGAACTGGGGGACGAGCCAGAAAATCAGTTCCAGGGCCATTGTGAGTGGGAGGTAGATCTACGGATTCGAGTTAGACTTGTAGACTCACACTGTGTATATTTGGGTAGCAAGCAATTGAGGGAAAGAAACTTACAGCAATAGCTAACTTCTCCCCAAGTCTCGGAGTAACAAAACCCAGAATGATTCTTCCCACAGTGATGCCCATCCAGAATCCTGTTGCAGTCATACCACTAGCAAAGTCCTCGCCATCACGGACCTCAAGCATGAACTTGACAATCCATCCACCAAGCGCGACCTCGATACCGACGTAGCCGAGCAGGAATAACGCACAGAGCCAGGTGACTCGCGCATTAGGTAGACGAACAAGGGCTTCCTTCATACGGTTGTCCTTGGTGTTGTTCGTACGAGGATTAGCGGCAAGGAACACTGCTCCCGTCTCGCGCCAGAAAGCAGTTACGGAGGTTGCCAGTTCGATAACAGCCATGGCAATCTGTACGCTATTAACCAAAGCTGAAATGGGGAGGCACTATAGAACGTACCATGACATAGTAGAAGGTATACCACGGCAGCTTACTCCCTTTTGTGATCATCGTCGTGGCAATCAACGGTGAGAGGACAGCTCCAAGCCCATAAAATGCGTGTAAGAAACCCAATACCTCGTTCGGATTGGCCATGTTACCGATCCATGCGTCTGGGTTGGATTAGCAAACGTTTTCGAAACCAAACAGTCAGTAGAACTTACTCCACGCAGCATCAGCGAGTCCGTTGCCAAACCCAGCCAGCATGAAGATGACGACCAGCACAGGATACGGAGGATGCACTGCTATGACAATATACGCGATAAGATGGCAGCTCGGCGCAATAATGGCAACACCTCTTTGGCCAAACTTCAGATGGATTGTGTTGTTCAGTAGAGCAGAAGCCGTGTATCCAACTAGCGGTGACAGGAAAACAAGTGATATCACTACGAATGTGAGATGGTAGTACTCTTGCAGCTATACAGACATTAGTCTTTTGACATCCCAAGGGATTACCTCATGACAAGTACAAAATATGGGGACGTACATAAGGAATCAACGCTCCGTAAGCAGCATCATTACTCCCCATGACCACGAAGCTCCAAAACGCTGCCATGGTCCGAAACAGATTTGACCGTGGATGGTTCCATCTTTCGAGCTTCTCTGCTGCCTGCGTAGTTGGAGACGGCAGATTCTCTACTGGATCGCTTTCCCGGGCACCCTTGGTATCGGAGAGCCGCAGACCAGTGTATGAGCCAGCGACGTTGGCATCTTGCGGTTTGCTAAGATGATTGGAGACATCCTGGAGTTCAATGGGCTGCTCGACACAGGTCGATGAGTTGCCATTATGCTGAAACATTGTTCTTGTGGTGGATGAGGGGTGGAGGTTTGCCAATTGATTGTACACAAGTGTGGAGGTGGAGGTGGAAACTCAGTTGGAGAAGTGAACACTCAACGAAGTTGCGCTACCCCAAGGTGTTAAGTATCTCCAAAGACCGTGGATGATGCTTTTGAGAAGGGTACAGCGGTGTACTTTCACATCTCTTATGGCTAGCCCAACACTATGAACTCGCCGATGACCAGCGGAAAAGTGGCGGAAAATGCGAGATTGCTGTTGTTGGGCGTATCTTGGCCATCATCCTCTAGCACCTGCGTCTTTGCGGGGCAAGCGAGATCTCCAGCGGCTTTACCCCGAACGGGAATCCAAGAAGCGAGTGGCTAAACTTCGGTGGGCGCTGACGTTCAAGGTTGCGGGCCGTGCTTCCCCGTGTGTCTCGTCGGTCCGACATCTAAGTAGTTGTTCGTCCATCAACACCACACCATTGCCGCAAGATCAAAGGTATATATAATATCCCGAATCTAGTATACCTAGATCTTTGACAGCCACTTCCGCATAACCGACGAACGGTTGCAGTTGACGCCAATGACTGAATCAGATGCAACAGCCCTAGCCGCAAGCCTAACCCAATGTATCGATGAATTGCGAGATGAAACCCTAACCGTCCGCAATGCAATCGCTAAGCCAGCCAACTGTCGCAAGGAAGCCCCAAGTCCTCTTGTCATCACTGTGCGTCGCGGCGTCGCGCCCTGCATACCAAACGTCTCAGAAAGGAGAATCGTGGTCATGGGAATCGTTAATGTCCTCATTTCATGCTATAACTTCTGCTACTACCATTATCCGCCTTAACGCGTGAGGGATTCCCGGAATCTCGCTGCACCGAACCACGCTGATGGGGTATCTGTTGTTGCTAACAGTGCCATGACAAACCGCAACTTTTCCCCACAACAAAAGTACAATCGTGAAAAAAGAACGTGAAAAATTCTGGACATGGGATAAATTAAAAAAACTCTGACAATGTTTAAAAAAAAGGATTTCTTGAGATCAACGCTTGTATTCAACGACTGTGGAGAAAGGCAAACCGTCCATATACACATGCTCGCTTCTACAGTCGCGTCTGGCTCCTGCTTTGCTCGCTCGCTCGCTCACTCGCTCTAGTCGTTCGCTCGTGTCTTGATAAAAAATGAAATGGAAGACAATGCGTTCCGATCTTCTCATGCTAGAGAAAGCATCTATGAAGGCTGGATGACGGAAGGGCCGGCAAGGACCTCGGCATCGGCAATGGACTTGCTCTTGGTGATCATCATGTAGACCTCACCCATGAGGCCCTGGGGAACCATACAGTTGCCGTCGGTGATGGGAGTGAACTGGTTGCCACCACTGTAATGCGTTAGTATATGTTCAAGTGTGCATCTGGATGATGTGACTTACGGTCCGACGAAAGCGCAGAAAGATGCACCTGCGGGCTGAGCAGGGTCAGCGAGCTTGAGGTTCTGGCCAACGGTAGCCTTCTCGGGGTTCTGGAGCGCGATGGCAGGGAAAGCCTGGATGTTGAGGTTGGAGCCGGTGGGGCACGACTTGATGAAGGCAGCGGCAAGGGTGAAGACGGCACGGGGTCCAAGGGCAACGTCGAAAGCGGCAGGGACGGGCTCAGCGCCGGATGCGATACGGATGAAAGCCTGGTGACGGGCCTCAACGGTGACGATGGAGGCAGCGGCGGAGAGGACGTCGGAAGAGTTGACAAGCGGTGCGGCACCGAGGTAGGCGGAGACACCAACAGCCTCGAGAACACGGGCAGTCGCAACCATGGACTTCGCGCTCATGAGAGCAGCGTCGAAGTTGTACTGGCAAGGCTCGACGGGCTTTGCGCCAGCTCCGGCGATAGCGGATTGGAGGGTGGTGACGTGAGTAGCCTCAGTCTGACCAACACCCATCAAGGACTTGACTTGGCCAGCAGAAAGACCGAGAGCCATGAAGTCAGACATGGAGAACTTGGCGAAACCCTGCTTGTAGAATTCCGACTCGAGATGCTCGGCGGTGAGGGCACTGTTGCTGTCAGCTACTGATCGTTATAGATAAGCACAAGACTATACTTACAAGTTGAGGATATCGGTATCACTCAGCATTCCTGCTGGTGCCGCTGGTGAGGCAGCCGCGGCAGCCGGCGCACCTGATGCTGCTACTGCGCTCTCAGTGATGGTAGCTGGCTTGGCAGACATGGACATGGATGCTGAAGGCATGGGGGCGGCAGCAGCCAGGGCAACGAGGCCCATGAGGATTGTTGATACGCTACGCATGTTGTTGAATTAAGGTTGTTGATCTGTTGTTGAGGGAGACAAATAGGTAATGAAGGACCACCAGCAAAGACTCGCTTTGAATTCGATTATTAAAATATTTGTCTAAGGTCCAACCAGGGACTGAGAAGAGAAAACCGTAAGGAATGTGGTTTGGGTATTAAGTACGGAGGAAGGTAGAAGAAGCTCGCCGAGGATGATACAACAGAAAACGAGTATGGAAACAAGGTGGGCGGCCAATGGACCTTATACAAGCAGCGGCAGCTCCTAGGTCACACCTGAGACACCATGTCAGTATCCGGAGAACGGATGTAGAGCTTGTGGCAGACTACAGGATCCCGCCCACGCACCGGCTCCCTCACCAGATTCGTGACCATTCAAGCTTCAGTAGCTTGGCGTGTCGGCCCATTGATCTTCAGGGAACTGCCCGTCAACAGCGTAGCAACCGCCGAGCCAGGCCGGCAAGTTGCGATGGGGCTGGCGCTGGATGCGTGGGATGTAGCAGGTCCGGGCTCTGCGACACGAAAAGAGTGTGATGAAACTCGACGAGTACCAACTTTTGCGCGGAGACAGCAGAGCCGCGCTAGAAAATATTTCGCGAGCACAATAGCGCATGGCGATTAATGGCGGCATACTAACTTTCCGGTCACAACCAGTATGTGGCTCAAGCAGTGAGGCTTGAAGCAATCGAGCCTTACATCTCCAGTAGAGAGTGTTTCCGGTCAGCACAACGGGCCTCGAGCGAAACGTTTCAACAAACAAACTTTCGACCGTCGTGGCTAGTGGCTATTGCAGTCATTTTCAAGACGTATGCTGTAGAGATAAAAATGGGCGCTTACGTGCTGCGTCAAACGAGCAGAATCTCAGTTGAAAGGTGAGGAGTGATGCCTTCGGTCGTGGCGCAGCGATCCAAAACCGCCAACGTTGCCAAGCTTATGGAGAACCACTGCTATTTCGGCAAACACCCCTGACGCCTCAGGCCTCAACGGCTTTTTAGGTATGAAGAAACAAATGCAGGTACATGGAACTTCCCCACCCAAGCCACAACAGGGCATGGGAAGTTGCAGATCCGAGGGTGGAGAGGGTGAGAGCACCTCTCTATGCCGCGGATCCACAGATTACGGCAGTCTATCGCGCACTCAGCCGCCAGCCGAGTAAAACAAAAGGTGATGCCTTTGGGCAATCACGTCCGTGTTTCCACCTCAAACGCCAATCCTTACCAAGGGAACGAGTTACGAGAGAATGCAAGATATGTCAATCTGGTACCCGAGATGGCTCCTTAGGCAGCCTTACCCAGGCATGAACAAAATTTGTGGAGCAAGTGTTAATGCGAACAGGTCACGATCACACCAAGGCGGAAACCGTGTACCAAGAAGGCGCTTGCAAGGATGACAACACATTAAAGTACTAAGAACCAATACTGTGTATAAGAGCTGCAATGATATACCACGGCTACCCATATTCCGCCGCATACACATGAACAATACACAGATTTTCATTTTCTTCTTCCTCCATCAACCTAGTATGTATCCACCATTCAATTTTCCCTACCAAGCCAGCAGAAGTCGCCGGGGTTCTCACATGCTGAAGCAGAGCCGAAAGACGCGCTTCGCCTATAGGGCATAGGGGTTGAGGGACCGAATGGTCAAACAACTGAAAGACTTGTTAGTAGAATTCATGACTGTAGACACGACAACAACTTACGGAGGGCTCTTCGTCAAATCCGTCTTAAGGATGACTGGTACGCGCGTCATTTCTCGCACATCCTGGATGTAGTCGCCGTTCTGTTCGCGGAGAGTGAACCAGCTCAAGTATTTCTCCTTATTGGTCAACTTGGCCTCTGCAGCTTCACCAGCACTCTGGGCCAGCTTCGAGTCCGAGTTGACACGGTGAGGAGCTCCGTCGCGCCGGCTAGGCGATGGAGGCATGCTCTGGGTCGGGCGATCAGGGTTCAATGAGACGCCAGCCATGTTCGAGTTGAGGTCGTTGGCGTCGTCATCGTCGTCATCGTCAAACAACGCAGCCTCCTCGTTGGTCGACATGGTTCCAGTATCCATCTGCCTACGTCGAGCCTCTTCCTGCTCTCTTGCACGCTGCTTAGCCGCCTCAGCCTCACGTGCGGCAGCAGCAGCATTGGCTGATCGAAGCGAGCCATGCTTTGGTCTCTCGTCTTCGGGAATGTAGTTGGACGAGGGAACTCCCTTCTCCCAGTAGAGCTCAAGGAGGCGCTTGTTCTTGTCGAACTCGGCCTTCTTGAGAGGAAGCTGATCACAGTGCACACGCTTCTCGAAACCCCACTCCGGAATGAGCACATCGAAGGCGGACTCGTATACACAAAGGACGATTCCTTCTGCGATGAGGTCACCACCCTGCTCTTGTCTGACTTTGTCCATCTTGCGGCAGGCCTCGATATGTACACTTTGCTCTTGGGCAGCATGAGCAGAGTCCTTCTTGGTATTGCACATCTCGGCAGTCTTGGCCAAGGCCTCAATGTCTTCAGTAAACTCAATGGCACCATTTGATAGGACAGCTTCGAGCTGACGGTGCACAATGATGTCTGCGTAGCGGCGGGATGGGTTGGTGAAATGAGTGTACAGGGGAAGGTTGAGGGCGTAGTGGGGGTACTGCTCCGTAGGCAGCCTACCAGCAACGAAGTACTTGGCACGAGGCATCGACTTGATGACCAAAGTTTCCATACCCTTTCGGATATCATCATCTTCAACCTCAAACAAGCTGTTCTGAAGAGATCCACTGCTCTCGGTATCGATTTCGTAACCAATGGCACCCATGCGCTCCGCAATCGTCGTCAGGCGACGGGGATTGGGTGGTGGTTGACGACGCAGGAGTGCCTTTTCAGGCAGACCGGCAGCGAGCTTCTTCGCAACAAAGGCATTAGCGAGGTGACTGAGCTCTTCAATGCACTCATGCGCAGGAGAAGAGTCGAAGATGTTTTGCTCGACAGGGACGTTCTCGTCATCAAGCTGGTACATGAGACGCAGCGCCTTGACGTCAGTAGACCGATCGCCAAAGCGAGCCTGGCGGAATTTCTGAGAGATGTGATGCAGCATCTTGATGTCCTTAGCACGGGCTGCCGAGACTGGACCGTCGTTACCGCTGATAACGGTATCGACCTCGTCATACGACAGCTTTCCGGAGCTCTTGATCACAGCTTTGCCGACCCAGGTTTCATCCTCGGAGATTTTACCAGAGTTAGGATCGACCTTGAAAACGACACTGACGGTGTAACGCTCCTCGCCGGGGTTGAGGCAGCAGACGTCATTCGACAGCCGGGGTGGTAGCATGTTCACCGTGCGGTTCATGAGGTAGACGGCAGTGCCACGCTTCTTGGCCTCGCGGTCGACTAGTGAGTTCGCCTTGATGAAGTGAGCAACATCGGCAACGTGGATGCCAATCTCAACGCGGCCATCATCGAGGTACTTGAAGTGGATAGCGTCATCAAGCTCCTTGCTGCCATTGGGATCGATGGTGAAGGTCTCCTCGTCTCGGAAGTCACGACGGCTCTGCAGCGCCTCCTCGCCATCTTTAGCAACTGACCAGTCTTCGAAGCCAACGTTCTTGATGACAGCATCAGAGAAGTCGTCTGGACCGAAGTTGTTGTCGCGCAGGAGAGCATCGGTTTCCACCTTAAGGTCACCCATAACTCCGAGCTGCTCGACAAGCGTACCGAAAGGATGCAGTGATGTAATGGGCCATCTCTTGATACATGCTACAAAAATGCGGTCGGCATAGTCTTGGTGCTTTTCGACAAAATCGCGCGGTGCTTGCTCGGTAGGAATGGCGATCAATGGCACACGCTTGTCGGTCGGCTTGAACCACACAATCTTGGGCTTGTCCTGACGCTCTGGCTGTGATCGGCCCGAGTTGCCTTCGCGAGCTTGACGCTCTGCCTCCTGTTTTTCCTTGGTGGCTTGGCTGCTGGGACGGAGAAGTCCAAGAGATCTGTAACATTGTTAGTATGAGATTCGCGATGATTGATCGTCAGGACTTACCCGGAGAACATCTGTCCAGCAACACGCTCGATGACAGCAACAATGTGGCCTGCATACAGAGGCTTCAACTCATCGTTGATTTCCTCTTCTTCCATCAGAAGCAAGCTCTGTCCTTCAACCTCAACATCATCGTTCTTCTTCTGCGTGGGTCGCTGGCGGAGACTGCCGCGTCGGCGAATACCACCCTCAGAGCCGGTCTCAGGTTGAGTGGTGGCATCATTCACGGCAATACTACCACCGCGAGGGTCTGCGTTGTCCTTGCGCTTCTTCTTCTCTTCCTTCTCTCGCTTCTGTCCCCATACTTCGTCAACGTCGAGGAGCTCGACAGCAACCAAGTCTCCTTCCAGAGCTCGGTTCCTGTCTTTGCTACCACAGATGAAGATGTCAGCGTCAAGATCAGTAGTCGTGACGTAAGCATCGCTACGGTTCTTCTTGTTGACGCGGAGAATACCGGCAACGAGTTGGCCGTCGCCGAGGAGAGCAGGCAGGGTCGCCTGTGGGAGGTAAGGAGTAAATAGAGTCTTGCGCTGTTGCTGCTGTTGTTGCATGCCGCCGCCCATCTGCGGGCCATGCTGGCTGGCACCGAGGCCACCGCCCTGCATCTGGGCGGCCTGGAGTGCCTGTAAATGAGCGATCTGCATAGGGTTCAGTGGTTGACCGAACATTTGCTGTTGCAGTAGAAGCTGTGCCTGAGGTGATTGCATCTGCATCTGGGGCTGGCCGCCGTATTGGAAGTTGCCAAGAGAGCCAACTGACTGGTTGACCGATCCACGAGTGCGGTGACCAGGCTGGAAAGGAGCGGCATTGGCGGTCTGATTCATGTTGAAACTGCCCATGTTCTGGATCTGAGTGTCTGTAGATTGCTGCTGCTGAGCCGTGTTGTTGTTCTGGGGCTGTCTCCAGTTGCCCTCAAAGTTGCGTGACTGGCTTCGGCCATGACCTTGGCTGCCACGGCGCTGGAAGTCTTGTTGCTGACCGTTCTGGTTGGTAGGGTTCTCGTTCGTAGCTGGGAAGGAAAAGGAAGGTCCTCCACGGCCAGCGCTCCCACCGCCACGTCCTACAGCCATGCTCTGGCTGCGTCCGTGAGCGCCTCGCCCACCACGAGCGGAGGCGCCGTCGTTGGAGGCACTGTGCCCACTGGGACTAGCGTCGCGGTTGGAGCTGCCCTCGGTCGAGCCCGGAATAGGAAACTGGAAGCCCGAAGTCTTTCTCTTGGATTCGGCCTGTTCAGCAGCCTTCTTTGCGTCGGCGAGAGCGAGTGAGTGGCGGCGGGTGTGTCCGGAGCCGCCAGCGCTGCCACCACCTCGACCGCGGGGGTTGACATTTTCCCTGCTCTGACCACCCTGTTGTGCACCAAAGTCACCGAAACCAGACGCACCAGCGGAAGGAGCGGGAGGCGGGCCCATGCCGACGTTGGGATGGGCCGACTGGTTGCGGCGGTGGGCGTTGGGCTGAGCTTGGGGGACGCCGAGGTGCTGCTGCTGTTGTGGCATCTGCTGCATCTGCTGGGGGAACTGGTAGTTGTTGACTTGGGGCGAGACATTCGGCATCTGGCCTGGCATCTGGAAGTTGCCGAGCTGCTGCTGCGGCTGGATCATGCCCATGTTCACATATTGCTGATGTGTGGCGGCAATCTGCTGCTGTTGCTGCTGGAGGACCTCGATCTGCTGTGCAATGGCCAGTTGTTCCACTACACGGGCTGTGTCAGCAATTGCTTAGCATAGTGTACGAGGTATGCCGACGTACTCATCAGTGGTGTCAGCTCGGAGGGACTGCGGCGATGCGCAATGTGCAAACGACGGCCGGCGGGACCCATGGGGCCCTGCTGGCCTTGTTGCTGATCCATGGTAGGTAATGGAGTTGTGTCCGTTGGTGCTGTGCCCGCGTGCAGTCGTACCGTACCGGCCGAGAAGTGACGGATGGACACGAATTGGTCACCGGGGGAGACGAGTTATCTGCAGGGCATCAGTGAGCTTTGTGCCGTTGATGCGTATAAGAGCCGAGATGATGCATGAGGTGATTGTCGAAGCAGCGGGGTGGGCAGGAGATGATGCAGGGTTGGCGGCGGCGGCATGGTGGTGCTTCTTTCACGAGCTAGCGGGGAAATGACTTACGCTGGGGTAGATGTGCTGGTTTAGACAGTGCTTGCGAGTGAAGACGATGCTTTGTAGACTGTAGACGATGGGTCAAGGCGGATAGTGTGCAAGTCAGCAGTGGGTGAATTGTCGTGTCCAGACAGACGTCAAGTTGGCTGGGCGAGGTTGTGATAAGGAGGGTCTCGAGGTCAAGGAGCGCGGATTCCCTGGAGCGGGTCGTTGTTGTCGGCAATACCAACAAAAAGCGGGCGGAGAGAGTGGTGCGAAGGAGGGAGCGATCGAGGATGCAGGAAGGAAGGTTTTGCAGGAGGGAAAAGCCAGAGGGCAGTCAGCGTATGGGTGGATGGTGGTGATGGCTATGGCGGGACTTGGCCAGATGGTCCGAAAGGGAAGCGATCGGCTGTGCTTGTCCGCAAACGAGGCCTGAGCACACGTACGTCACCTGCGAGAGCGAGAGGCGAGGCGAGACGAGGCGAGGCGCACCAGTGCGGCAGACAATAGCAATAGAATAAAACAGTAGCGATTAAGAGCTGTAAGCACTGTAAGCCAAAAAAAAAGAGCGCGCCAGGCAGTCGTGGACTCAGGCGTTGCGGGTGTGAGTGCAAATATATACAAACGCCGCGGCTGTGCCTGTGTGCCATGTCTCAGTGGGCCCTTATATGAAGCATCACGGCTAGGTGTGCATGTTTCAAAGACAGTACTAGACCCGCATCCGTTTCCTCATACACCAAGAGTGCTCCCCAAGCTGGACAAGCTGGACAAGGCGGCCGTTGTCGCACGCGCGGGAGCCTCAGGAGTTGCAGCGGAGTAGTTAGGGTTTGGACAGTGTATTGATCCACTGTCGTGGGCCCAGCACCTTAGTCATGCCGCATATCCTGCAGGCTGTGCCGCAAACAGCTGTCCGCCCGACAATTGCAATCGCAGTAGATTATGTACTTGGGCTTTCAGTAAACGGCACGAGCGAGTCAGACTGGGTACTACGTGTGCGCGGCTGTTGTAACCTGCCGATGAAACAGACATGCTCAGGGTACCGGTATGACGAGAATCACGTCGCGGCTGCAGTCCCACCAGCTTGCGGCACCGACCACGCTCGCACTCGCGAAGCTTGCACTTGCACTTGTGAAATGGACCACCGTCTGGTCATATACATGTATCCACTGCCGGCCTGGGAGCCGTCTCAGCTTGTGCACCGTCGCGGGGCCGTGTTTGCTGCCATTGCCAACCCATTGACCACATTGGGGCAATAGCCACCATGACGACCAGTGAAAGCGCGAGCGCGCATGCAGTGAGGCAACATGTCTGGGGCGACAGGGATATGCGGAGTCACGTGACACCGGCGATTTGCTAATGTTAGCTTCCGATCTCTTTGACTGACGCGCTCACCGACCACCTCTTCAACAATTCAACAGCCGATTCCTTCGATTTGGCGCACCACTCCAACGCCAGCATGCCCGCCCGATCCGGCACCTCGTCCTCCAGCATGCACACGTCCACGTCGTTTAGCTCGAGTTTGGTTGAGACATCTCCGTCACGTCATTCGCCCAATCGAAGCAATCTTCGTCCTCATCGAGAATCTTTGACGCGCGATCCCTATGGCAGTCCTGCACACAAGCTGGCCCTCGAATTCAACCTCCGTCTGTCCATATCCGACCGTGAGTTCAACGAGAAGCTAGACAAAGCTGCTGCTGTGCGCGCCGAACAGCACCAGCAGCAACTCGCCTATGCTGCCGAGGAGCACGAACGCGTCTATCGCAGCGCCAAACTCGAGCTTGAACGCCAGGCCCTTGAAGAGGAGCAGGCCCGTCTACGCCATGAGGAGAACCAGAAGAGGGAAATTGAGCGGCTGAAGCAGGAAAAAGCCCGCGAACAAGCCGAGGCACAGCGAAGAGCGCTCGAGGCCCGACAACGCGAAGAAGAAGCCGCCCGTCAGGCTGCAGAGCACCAGAAGAAGCTACAGGAGGCTGATGCTCGCATCAAGGCTCGGAAAGAGCAAGAAGCCGCCGCTGAACGCCAAAAGAAGGAGACTGAGGAGGCGGGTCGGAAAGCTGCCGAGGCGGCTGCGGCTGCAGAAAAGGCCCGTCAACAGGTGCCACAGCAAGTGCCACAGCAAGCGCCACAGCAAGCGCCAGCTGCGCCCACACAAGCTGCAGCCCCAAAGCCTGGACAGGCACCCGCTGCCAATGTCGACCAGATCCACGCCAAGTACCTTCAACTGCACCAGCGGATGAAGGAGTTCCGCAAAGCCTTTTGGGAGGAGCACAAGAAACCCACCTCGCCCCTCAAGGGCCCCGTTGGCGATGCGAGACGCGCTCTCCGCACTCGTCTAGGTCAGATCAACGTTGACCGAACAGACAGCACCGCCGCCATCAAGCGTCTCCGAACAGAATGCTTCGATGTCGCCTTGAACACCCCAGGTCCCATGATTGACATCCGCCAATACATTGTCTCACACCAGCTGCCTCAGCTAGCCAACCAAAACCAAGCTGCATACCCCGCCTTCCTCCTCTACGTCTGGATCTGCTTTGAAAAGTTCCTTATCGGTCAGTTTGAAAAGGAGGCTGCCAATCCCGATGGACGCATCATCCAGGAGATTGGTCTTATAGCAGCTAGTCTGTTTGGCGACCAAAAGTACATGTGGAATGGAGTTCCTCTCACTGATATTGTGCTTGCCAAGCTGCACAAGGCTTGCCCGCCTCTCTTTGGCATCCGCGGCACAATGGACACCCAAGAAGGCCGGCTGCGGCTAGGCTGGCGGGTCCATTCTACAACGGAGACATACGCTCAACGCATGCGCGGTATTGGCGCTGGCTATGCTTCCATGTCGCTCCGCTCGTTCGCATCCCAAGACGCCCGCGATAGCAATCTCCGAGTACTGGCGCGCTATTGCCTCCATCGTCAATACTCCACCCGACCAACTCTGGCCTGGACACTTTGCTATCCTCAGCGGCTTGATTCGCGACTACCACAAGAAGTTCATCCAGTTCTACGGCGTCCCCGCACGTGCAGTACTACGTCGCGCTGTTATCGATCTCCCTATGCGTGCACCTGACCGCTGCAAGGATGCCGCAAGCACCATTGCTGTGTTGAGCGAGAGCTGGAAGAGAGAGAATTTCTCATTGGACTAGGGGGTAATTTTCTGGAACATGTACAGTCTTGGAAAATCTCTCTCTTTATCAAATTTTGTCTCAATCTGCATGGGCTGGCGCTCTCATCATTAGCATGACCAATGGTCGTGCGTTGCACCTTTGCTCCTTGAATCTGTAGGGAGTTGATCTTCAGATCGTATATACACACAAAGATGTTATCATCAGTAATGAAATAGTCACGCGTTGACGAACAAATGGCTTCAAGTCTCAATTCTATGATGATGATGTATGTGATTTATTATGACCTCTTCCAAAGTTCTGATTGCGTTACTTTCAACGCGGCAGCCTGTCATCTCAGAATAGTGGAGAGTGCTGCCTAAACCTTCTTTTTAACATAAAAGGGGCATCGCGCCGCGTCCAGTGCTTGTTCAAAAACCTCAAACAGTCCACGATGCCAAAAGCTGTTCGCGCAAACACCCGCAAAACCCATCGCCGCACTGAAGCTGTCGAACGACCTGGCAGAGTCACTAGGTCGCAATTGAAACCCCAACTTACGATCAAGACGCCAGTACCCCCCAACTCCACCACGCGACGCAAGCGTAAGATACCAACCCTTCCACTATATACCAGATCGCAAAAGGAGATATCAGCAGATTCCAACCGGCTATTGCCCCTCTTCCGTCTCCCTCGGGAAATCATTCAAGACATAGCGACCAACCACCTTCCTCTCGACTCTGCCGTAAGCCTAACACTAACATGCAAAGAAGCCCTTGCTATCATTGGTTCATGGTCATGGCCACAATTCAATAAGTTGCAGCGGTTGAGCTTTTTCCGAAAAGACTTTATCCAAGCACAAGCCAGAGATTGTGCAAGTGGGGAAGGAGCAGCCTTGACTTATTGTCCGATGTGCAATACCCTACACCCGCCATTACAAATCCCGCGAAACCACATAAGGACAGCACTGACAACATACTGTTTCGGACAAGACGATTGTGTCAGCTATTTTCCAAAGATGAACAACGAACGGGGTTACAGTCTGGTTTTCAACCACGTCGCTGATGCACTCCGTCAGTCCTCAGAGTACGCAAAAAAGGGTTGCCATGGACCGCAAATCGACTTGCTAGCCGGAGACTACACAGTCGATTACCCCATACTAGGGCTGAGCTGGCAGGTCACATCGAAAGGCCGACGTGTAGATGGGAATCTTATCGTGCAGCACATTCATACGCTCCAGACTGTGAGGGATTACAATGACATGAGAGGGAAGAAAGACTTGTATGCAGTGTATATACTAGCTCTGCCTATTCGACTGTGTCCACATCAATCTACCGTGACGACAGGGCCTCACGCACCCTCATGCTACATTAAAAGCAAGGAAAAGAATAGTCCGCAGTTCACGCATGCCATCACCACCGCTTTCCCCACAACACGGCGGGAAACACTAGGAGGCACACACATCCCCCAACAGACGATGAACAACGCATTCTCCAAACCCACACCCCGCGAGCTCGAAGCCATGAACGCCGCAGACGCAGGAAACAAAAACATCCTGTGGTGCTGTCGCTCTTGTCCTACAAAGTATAGAGTTGAGTTTGGTGGCGGGAAGCTGAAGATTTTGGCATGGCATTCTTTTGGGAGGGATCAATTGCATGCAAGTAAGTACTGGAAGTGGTTTGTCAGGAGAGAGGGCAAACTGCTGGGGATGGATAAGAGGAATGATGAGTGGTGGAGCCCGGCGAGGACGGTGCCGAATTTTGAGATTGGGGAGGGGGAATGGGAGGATGATTCATTGGGAACGGGAAAAGAGCTGTGAACTTGGAAGATGTGAATTATGGGTTATTAGTGGTAGAAATATCAAAGTGAGGGTTAATTATTTGAGCGCTGGCACGTTTGAAAAGGAGGATCACTAGCGTCAAGCAAATGGTACTTGCAAAAGCCTCTCGGAGTGTCGCCGAACAGGCTCTTGGAATCAGGCCTGGTGATCTATGTCAGTGTTAACTTTTCGTTATATATATTGCAAGGGCGTGATAAGCCCTTGCTGTCCTGTTCTTTGATTCTCTCGGAGAAGTGACAATCGTACATACCGATTTGGTAGATGTACATGAAACAAATAGCCAATCAATAAGTATTTTGTATTGTCGTTTCTTGATAGCATCCTATATCAAACAGCAAGATAAATTTGATACAAACTTCAACGACTTCCGTGAGAATGAAAGGGGTTGTTCCTGTTATGCTCGTGGTCGCCGAAATCAAACCATCTCGAACGTCCCTTCCGCACCGGCAAGGGGGCGAAATGGTGAAAGCAGTGCAGGTTCGCCGACAATGTTTTCTTGATGCTGAGACGGTGAGTTGGCGGGGTTGTGATGCGATGTCTACAAATAGAAATAGCTGCAGTTGAAGTTTAGCGAGAACCTAAGTTAGGCGTGCGACACAGGGGCCAATGCCATGTTATCGGGCGCGCAGTTGTCAACACCACGGCCTGCTGGCTGGCCCGTCTCCCACTCACCGACAATCACACGCGTGGAAACCGTGCCGCCAACATGCTCAACGCCGCAGTGCTGCCGCCAGAACCTCCCAATAGCAACAGCTTTCAGGCAAGCCCTACCACAAACACGCCGCAGCCGGAGCCTCCACCTCGCATCATGGCTCTTGCTTTGCTTTCATCCAAGAAGCGGTTTCGGCTCCTCTCAACCCCACCATGCTGCACACGTCGCCGTCCAGTCCTGTCTGGGCTTGGTTCAGAGAGAATCAGGCAGACTTCGCGAGGCACTCAGCCTTTCTCGAATCAGAGTAGTAGCTCCTCATCTCATTTCTTTTTAGCGCAAGGTGGCTATGCTTGCCTGAATGTCTAAACTCTGCTCCTGCAGACGACGATCCCTTTGACACATTTTTATGTGCTGGTATAGTAGGCTTTTCTACGTGTTCATATGTGTTCAGATCGAGGGCTGGCACGATAAGAGTCATCTATTTGGGGGCCGGTTTTGAGAAACAGCCATTCAATGTTTGCGGTTGTACGAGCTGAAAATTAGATCAGCTGTGGATGCATTTGGCCAGGCCACGCGATAGTTGCTCGCACGCTGCGAGAACACCGTCTCTACTGGACCGTCAATGTGTAGAATTATGGTACGATCTCTAGGCTGTGTGTTTCGCATCGTGCCTCTACCGGACTGTGCCTCCACCAGCGGCTGCACTCTTTCCTCTTCTGGTTGCGGGAGCCAGAGCTTTGATGACTGGTATCCTAACCCGTCATTCGCTCAGCATCTTGCCTGATGCCAAGCTGCCATCATGTGCAGGGGCGCAATAACCTTTCCTGAACTGATGGCGGGTTTCCCCACAACTTGCTGAGGCTGAGTGCTTTCTTCCACTGACGACACCGCGTACTGGACGCCTTCTTACCAGGCCAGTGAGTTGGCGCAGGATCTGAAAGGGCCTATGCGCAGCATGTTTCATTTTACGGGTAAACATATGTCTGCCTGCTGCCCTGTAGCACTATGCTATCCAAGAGGAATTTCTCGATCAAGGTTCATATCAGCATTGTTATGACGAAAGTGCATCAAAGTCTTTGAGGCGTAGTCATCCTATATCCATTTCACATCCATACCAGCCTTCTACCACCTATATCACATAAATCCCAATAGTCCACTCGGAGCCCCATCGGACGAACTCCTTGAAGTCATCTTTGTCCTCCATCACCATCCAACACTATGGTTCCTATACCAGCTGACAACAACCTCAACGCTAACACCGACCTGAACGCAAAACCAGATTCCAAATACTGGACAAAAGCCAACATAGCCCTCACTATTGTCTTCTCCCTCGTTGTCCTCGCCGTCATCCTCTTCGCCATCCTCTTCCTCCTCTACCGGCGGCACGAGAAGAAGAAGCTCGCAAACCGTAAATCAGACACAGCCGGCCTGCTCGCGAATGAAGACAAGACAAACAACATGTTCAGTCGGCACCGTGCCAGCAGTGTCACCCTCTACGTCGACTCGGAAGCCGATGCCCGCAACAAGCGTTCAAGCACCGATACCATGCATCTCGTCCCCTTGCAAGTCACACCTGTCGAAGAAGTAATGGATCCCATCGGCAGTAGCATGGAGAGCTCGGGCTCGGGCGTCAGTTCCCTGAGCAGGCAGAGTAATCTGACGGTTAGCTCTATGCTGTTAAGTCCAGTGTCACCGACTGCGGATAATGATCGACCATCGGGTCGCCCAAGGAGTACGAGTACAACGTCGACGCGATCGCAGAGGGCGAGATACTATGAGACGACGCCTACGGTAGAGATGCCGCAGATACCCAAGATTGTTCATACCATATCGCAGTAAATAAATGTATGTTGGTCGGAACAAGCTTGAACAGTCTGAGAAGGTGGATGGTTTGGCATTCTGTATTCTTCCATACTTGTCGAAAACTGCATTTGAGAGTTGAATGGGCCTCTTTTTTTCCTTTCGCGTTTCGCGTAGTTCTTCATCAGCATCACTATATACCCACTTCTTTCACAACATCTAGTGTTTTGTTCACTGCTAGAGAAAACATCAAATGTCTACTGTTACACTTGTTGTGATATAAATACTTGTTGACGAATCATGCTGTCTTAGCGTGTTTAGTGTATTTATAAATTGGAAACTGTGGCAGAATCAGTCGTCATCAACCAAAGCACACCACTCCCTCTTACTGGCAGTGTTCCAGCCCCCAAATCGTTACAGTTCGCAAGCTTCATCTCATTTGTCAGCGAGCTCCTGTTTCTATAGCTATAGGTCTGTGCCAGGTAACAGCCCAATGAACTCGAGCTTGTATCGAACCACTCGTCTCTCTAAGTGAGCGTTGAACCAACCGCGGACGTACTCCATTCCCATGCCAGTGCCATTATCATGGAATTTGACACAATAACATGTAACAGATAACAGAGTCAGAAAGGTAGAAGCCTGAAATTTTCCATTACAAAAGTATGGGATATCTACAAGAAAAAGCTCCCACCCCAACTGAACAAAGTGAGTAACGCCTGTTGTCACCAATGTTCCTTTTTGATAAAGTTCTGCTACTGAGAAAAACGAAGCTACTCGCTGTCGTCGTCGCCGATAAGTTTCGCGTAGTCTTCCACAGAGGCAAAAGTGGGCAAGTTCTTGAGCTTCCTCTTCTTGCTCTTCCGGCCATCCTTATCCTTCTTCTCGCCGTCACCATCTGCACCTGCATCCATATCCATGTCAACAGGAACGTCGGCGTCGCTGTCCACGAAGCCGTCCTCGTCATCAAGGTCGAAATTTTCAAAGTCGTCTTCGTCATCTTCGTGGTGTTGACCACCAGGGGCGTCGAAGCCGTCGTCTTCACCATCGTCATCACTGCCAAGGTTGAGTTCGACACCACCGTCCATACCGCCTGCTTCCTCGTCACTCATCATGTCGTCCATGTCAAAGTCACTGAGATCGTCATCGTCACCTCCGTCGCCTTCAACCTCTGGTCGACTCTTAACAAGTGCTTGCCAAATTTCGTCGTCGTCGCTGCTTCCCTCTTCACTGTCATCCCTCTTACGATCCTTCTTCTTCGTCTTCTTGTCCGCCTGCTTGGCTTTACCTGCTTTCTCAAAGTATGTATGGAAGAAAACTTCATCCACACGCACATCGTCGACCTTGCGACGCCAGAATTGCTCTGAATTGAGCGGATCGTGAGTGCGATCGCCGTCACGGGCAGTGATGAGATACGAAGCGGCCTTGGATGTACCAGCCATAGGTTGCATAATGGAAGATCCATGCACGCCCTGAGACTTGGTTTTTGCATTGCGGAAAGAGAACTTGTCGAGGAAGTTCATGAGAGTGTAGATAGTCGGGTCAGGCTTCTCCTTGATGGGCTCCTGGTTAACAATCTTGGATGCTAGAACGTGAACTGAGGGGTGGTAGTGTGCCTGCAACGGCAGTAGCTCCCACAAACAAGATAAATCAGCTTGCGCGTGTTCTGGGTCTCGTTTCCGAGCATTGTAGCCCTCGGGTTGAGACTTCTTCTTGTCCTCCTTCTTAGCGGTTGGCTCTTTCTCATCATCGACATCATCGTAGTGCTCATCGCCGCTGTCATCAGCATGGTCTTCTGGTGCCGAAAGCATAGTTTTGATGGTCGGGAAGGTGACAATCAGCTCGTTGACGAGGTACAAGACACCGCAAATGAAAGGAGGCTCGTGCATATGAATGATCTGGAGTAGTCGCTTGACGAAAGCTTTTACGCGCTTGATGCTGGTGTCTGCCTTAAGCGATCTGTACAACAAGTTCAAGAACATGATATGCTTCGAAGTGGTCATAAGCCGAGGATCCAAAAGAGATTCGTATAGAGTTCGGTAGAAACGATCCGCGGAGTAGTGTTTTGTCGCCGAAATCTGTTGAATGAGTGTCATAGCCTGGATACTGGTGTTGAAGTTGGAAGAATGCGTCACTTGGAAGATCATGTTCAGCTGCTCCTCGAACTTGTCGTCGTCAGTCTTGGCGAACGGGAACGCGCGGTTGACGCCTGTCAAGATGGCTGAAATCAGCTTTTCTCTCGACTCGTCCTCAACCTTGAAGGCCATGGTAGCTGCCTTCTCTGCCTTCTGCTTCGCCATCTTTCCTGGTTGGCCGCCGCCTCCCTGAATAAGTCCATGCTTGTTCAACCGCTTCTCTTCCTTCTCGTGTTCCTTTTGCTTCTTCAGCAGACCGAGAAACAAACTGAAGTATATTTCCAACAGCTTGTTGGCAACCTCCGGCTCCTTCAAGCTAAGCACGGTCTGGTTGAGAGTAATCACGGCGTAGTACTTGGCCACCCCGCTCTGGTTGGGGCGGAACAAGAGATCGGATTCGATAGAGCTGATGATGACGTTCTTCATCAGGGGATGAGTGATTTGGAGCTGAAGCAGCAGATACGATGCGCGCGACGCGACCTTTTTCTCCTTGTCTCCAAGTTTGTTGATGAGTAAGCGTAGCAAGTTCTCTTCCTGTTCCGGCTTTTCCTTTAGCAACTCCCAGACGTACGTGACAGCACGATTGCGCGAGTATTCGACCTCATCGTTGGACCAGGTCTCAAGAATCTTCAGTAGTTCAAAGTACTGCTTTTTCAGCCAGTCCTCGTATGCCCATACAACCAGGTGAGTCTTCTGCAAATTTCCAGGTAGTTTTTCGCCAGCCTTCCAGTGCACATTCTTTCCCTGAAGCGCCGCAATTAGCCCCGGCTGTCGCGCAAAAGCCTTCAGTTTTCGGTCGGGTGGTAGCAGGACGCCCTGGCCCAGCAAATCCTTCAACGCAGCCAAAGCCTGCATGGCAGCATTCCTGCTCTTCTTCTGTGATAAACCCATCAGCTGTCCAAATGCCTTTTGTGTGTGAAGCGGCGACTCCTGGACCAACAGTGTCAAGGCTGAGACCTTGTCCTCCATGGTACCAGAGTCCATGACGGTGGACATGAACTTGTGCGATGCATCCTTGGCCAGGTGTGACGACGCGTACTCGGTCGCCTCAGCCTGTAGAAGCTGGATGGCATATTCATGAATGGCGTCGATGACATGACGGGGCGGAATTGTAGGGGTTTCGATGGTCGGAAGCGCTGGCAGCTCTATTGCGTGCCATTCTGGCTGTGGTTTGAGAAGCTGTTACTGGTTAGTGTCATCTTATCTTCAAAACTTCGCAAGAACGCGTACCAGCTGCGATCGCCCCTTTTTCTCTTCGACAGGCTTGCGCTTATCCTTCTTGTCGCCTTTTGCGCTCACCCGGTTCTTATCCGGAGAGGGCTTCGTAAAGCCATCTTTGGTCTCGGCATGGGTTCGCTTCTTCCCCATTTGATATGACCGGTGTCGCGGGAGGTGGATCTACAAGGTCCGTCAGAGAAAAATACTCTGACCCGTCATGACCTTAGAAAGATCGAGTCGCTAGAGACGACGAGTCGAGATTTTGAAGCCCTTGGCGCATGCGTTTTGTGTAGCTAACCGCTTTGGGACTAGCAGGTGGGGCATGTCATTGTGCATATTGGAACCAGTGCGGACTTTGATAGCACCTCCGTGCCGGCTTACTGTGATGACTCAACTGGTTATTTGCTTTCAGTGACTTCTTGGGGACACATTCATTCGACCCTTGATCCTAAACATCAAGGAAAGGCGTTGACCTTCATTGTCACGACCATCTCACACCCCACCAACTTACCCCGCCAGCTCGCATAAGCAATAGTAAACCAAGGGCACAAGGATCATCAACATGGCTACCGAAGCTGGCGATGAGGATAGGAAAACCTCCATCACGCCTCTTCTCAAGCGACTGTGGCACGAGTCACCAACCACTAAGCCAACCGCCGATGAGATTGCAGCAGCACTTTCGTTGATCTTTACCAACAGCCTATCAGAGGTCCAAACAGGAGCCTTGTTGACATGTCTTCATTTCACGGACCAAGACAGACAAGCAGATGTCCTGGCAAAATGTTCCAAAGCCATGCGCGACTTTGCGACTGGCATGGACGTTCAAGGGCTTGAAGAGCTCATTCAGAAGAGAGGAAGAAAAGAAGGAGGCTACCAAGGAGGCCTGTGTGACATAGTTGGTACAGGAGGTGATTCACACAACACCTTCAACATCAGCACTACCTCCTCTATCTTGGCTAGTGCTCTACTCATGATTGCAAAGCACGGGAACAAGGCATCAACGTCTCGATCTGGTTCTGCAGACCTTCTCTCCTGTACACCACCCAAGGCACCTGTTATCACTGCCATAGCACCCAAAACCATCCACCAAATCTACTCAAGAACCAACTATGCCTTCTTGTTTGCACCAATCTTCCACCCCGGAGCAAGACATGCTGCTTCCATTCGAAGGCAGTTGGGCTGGCGCACAATCTTCAACCTTCTGGGTCCATTGGCCAACCCGCTACACGAATTAATAGAGGCAAGAGTACTGGGTGTAGCAAGGAAGGAAATCGGACCCGATTTTGCCGAATCACTCAGGCAGTCTGGATGTAAGAAGGGCATGGTCATTTGTGGCGATGAGGAACTAGATGAACTCTCATGTGCCGGGCCAACTCACTGCTGGCGCTTAGTTGAAAACGCATCCACAGGCAAGGTCGACATCAACTACTTCACCATCACCCCCGCCGACTTTGGACTTCCAACTCATCCTTTGAGTGAAGTCAGCCCAGGGCAATCTCCCGAGAAAAATGCCGAGATTTTGATGAAGATCCTCATGGGTGAAGTTCCGCCCGATGACCCGATCCTACACTTTGTATACATCAACACTGCAGCACTATTCGTCGTAAGCGGCCTGTGCGACTCAGACACAAGTAACATGGGTACCGGAGACGATGGAAATGTAATCACTGAGGTTGGTCCAGGCGATGGACGCTGGAAGGAAGGTGTACGTAGAGCGAAATGGGCAATCTCAAGTGGAGAGGCATACAAGCAGTGGCAAAGCTTTGTAGAGGTCACCAATGAAGTAGCGTAAGCTCCATCAGGAGCAATGGGCATGAAGAACAAAAAATTGAGGCGTCTTTTCATAGGTGATAAAATGATATAATGGTCTCTCACAGCATGGTTATTCTTACACTGCGTTTGAAAAGAAACAAAGCCATATAGTTGATATGTTAATGTTATCTTCATGTCCTACTCGAAATATCACGCGGATCGCATATGACCTGGTAGCTATGATGCCCTGATTCATCCGGGTTTCGTCCTGTGAACGACTGATTCCCACCATATCGTCGCCATATGACCCCTACCGCTTCCCATATACTCTACAGTTGTCGGCATACACACGGTGTGTCGCCTAATAAGGCCCAATGTACCGCCTCGATCCTACTTCGGCCCAACTCGGACCCAACGCTATGTATACCTTCGTAGCCCCCACATTCGTAGAATCATCATACACCAGAATACCAATACACAAGATTACCTTAGCTACTGTTATTCACCGTACGATCGTACAAGGCCTTCCAACAACAGTTCTGTTAAACATATTACTCATATAAGGGTCGAGATGGCGGACGCTCGCCTATGGCCCCTTATATCCTTTGCCCTAGTCTAGGCAGTCTTTTTTTTCTCCTCCACCCCCAACCTTCCTCTTCGAACCCCAGCACAAGCGAAACCATCCGCATATCTCATCATCACCATATCGCATACCCTCGGGATTTCTCCATTGTGAATCGTCAAGAGAATCACATTGTGCGCTTCTAAAATTCTAAAATATCCTGTCCCATGGTACACTCAACCGAAACGGGAACAGCGAGCCTCGTCATCGCCACTACTACAAGGAACATACATGCAAAACTCTTTGAAATTGTACGACCTGGCAATTTGGAGTCATATCATATCAGTCTTTAGGAGGATCCTTCACCCCTTGACTCTTTGATACGATGCATGGATTTTTGACTCCAGTTTGCTGAGGCTACTGGCCCGGTCCCCCATAATTTTCCATGCTCATAACCACAATTTCTATGATATTTTTCTCCTGTTGGTACAGTCCGCCCTCTAGTCCACCGTACCGTCAACCTAGCCACACTGAGCCCGATGACCACGCCCCCAACGCACCAAGTGGGAGAGTCTAAGAGCATGATGCACATCGAGTCGTCATCATAGTATCCCGAGCTTTCTTGTAACGGCGAGGAGATGGATAGAATATGTCACGTAGGCCTGATCCAGATACTACATAGTCAAGTTTCAAGGATTTTGTGTACCAAAGCCAAAGAAGAGGACATCGCAACTTCGTACGTAATGATGAGTTTGAGCTAAGAAACACTAAAAAACATACCAGGTCAACTCACCCGGATATCATATATCAAGACCCATGGACGTAAATTTTTGATTGGGGATATGGCCTATATCTGAGCCATGAACACTAAAGGCATTCCACGGGATGAGAGAGTGAACGGATTGGTACTACCTCATTTTCTTTCTATTACTGTTCCGGGGGAATCTTGTTGCCACGTTGTTGGTTGAGTGGATCGATGCGGATACCGTCCTACCATGGAAGAACCACTCCTGACATGATAAGATGAGATACAGCTATGACAATAAATGGAGAAACTACGATACAATGTTTACTACAAGCTCTATAACACAACAGTCTATTGAGTTGACCACACCTCTGTAGCGTGAATGCATACTTTGTCAACAACAGAGAATCGAAAGAAGGCCATGAGCCACATCTTATATCCCCACCGGGGAAGAAGTGAGACAGATGAAAAGAAACCTGGGGCATCACGTTGACCCCCAATTCTTCCTCACTTCCGGTATCAATAGTCTCCTATTCCACCCAGTGCCGTCTTACATTGCTGACCATAATCATCTTGACAAAATACCTTCACATTTACAGCTAGATGCTTCTTAACGTAGACGCTTCTGCTTACTGCACCTCCACCGTTCTCCATATTGTTGAGAACGACCGATACAGGCAATAAAGTTCGTTTGCACATGCATGATTTCCGGAATAGGAAACGCGATATAATCGCAGAAGAGGAGTAACAGTGGCGGTCTTCGCTTCGGAGGTTTATCAGGGAGTCCCTTGGTTCATTGCTTGCATACGGTCCCGTATCTGCAGACAGGGAGTGTTAATGATAGACGTAAACGAAGCTGAGATCACATAGTTCCGTTATCCGAGTTGTGATGTCCTATTGATGTGAGGATTACAGCACCAAGACACTCCCGTCTGAAACGCCACGATCCCTTGTCTATAGCGGAGATGGTGTCCGGACCACTCCCTTCGCTTTGCTATTCAGCGAATCGGGCGCCTAACAGAGAGCCATGAGTGTACGCGCCTTATGTACGCACGCCGCATTCTGAAAATGTATGTCGAGACGAGCCCCCAATCCATCGCTATCCCATGCATGCCGTTTGACCCTTCTTTTAGCCTTTGCGAGACGAGGCTTGTCCTGGTAAATGGTAAACCGTCAACAACGGTTGGATATATACGCCCATTACTCGGCACAAAGCCGCATTAGTCGGATCACGCGGAGCTGAACCTTTAAACGGTATTCCAAGTGCGCGCCAAGATGATCAAGGGCTACGCTTCGGATTCGTATTTTTGGGATGTGTTCGCGAGACCACGCGAGACGAAGAGTTGTGTTGTGGTCTCGACCATGATGACAATAGTAAACGAACATGGGTTACGGGTGCGGAGAAAGGGACCGCGGCCTGAGGCATGAACACCAATCTCGGTGTCGCTTGTGTCTGTCGGTCATCACGTCCGCTGTTGCACAAAGCGGGTCATTTGTCGTGATCTTTGACGCAATAATGATCAAAGATGCAAGGAAAAACTTTCTGATATGGGGAATCGAGTGCGCAGAGTCTGCAGTAATCGCGAGTTTTGATGTTTTCGAAAACGATCGCGACAGCCACGTCACGAGCGTTGTCAGAGTCTGCCCGAGACATGACTCGCAAACCGGGTTTAACGGTTTGACAGCGGCTGGCTGAGTCGCAACATCTGGTGACATGAGGCCATGTACTGCTGCGCGACTTCTAAAAATGCTTTTTATGACGATTGCGCCAGCAATAGGGAAGTATGCCGAGACTTGGAACGTATATCGCAGATCGAAATGCTACATCCAGAACTATATCGAAGAGCACATGGTCCGTGAAGTTGTTTTCAATGTTTTGCTACCCTTGCCAGATGCGACATTGAGCTTCATACCATAGTAGCGAGGATTGGCATGCATGAATAGTCATCACGGCGCGGACACAAGGTTTGATGACCCCACGGCCATGCACCTGGGAAAAGAACACCGTCCGACAGGCACGGGGATTCTGTCTAAGGAGGGATGGGGTCCAAGATGGGGCGAGAGAAGTACCGTGATACGGTGTTGTTGAGAACCATGTCGGCTTACTCCGGTTCTTAGGGGAATTGTAGATCTTACGGATGAGCGCAGTTGCGGAGAGCCGCCCCGGGCGAATGTGAAGCTGCCGTGGCGCGCCTGCAGGCAATACAATATGTGATAAACCAACCCTTGGTGTTGAGTACGATACAGGGACTGGACATTGCTGGGTAAAGGAGGCGAGGGATCAAGCAGTCTGCACTCTCCCACGTGGATCTCCTCTGCTGTAGCGTAAGCGGGGAGGCGGGATGACATGGCGCATGTCTGGCCATGGTAGGATTACTCGGCAACGGTGAGCAACGTCCGCCGGACTGCTCCTCCGGTGGGTTTGGGCCAATAAGCTGGTCGATCACAAGGCTCAGACTGTTGGACCCTCATCCGGGAATGCAGTCCAGCTGATTGGATAGGTGACAGCTTGGTCATCTTTCGTTTTGGGGCACAACCTTGGGACCAAGAGATAAACAGGCCTCGATAGTAGTATATGCGTCAATGCTGCCTAGGAATCTCAGACCTGCAGCTACGGTAGTTCAAACGTGGAAGTTTGAGCGATTGCAATTTGCTGTAATCGGCGACGAAACTACTCAAAAGAATGCGCTCTTGCATGTCCGAATATCGTCGGAAGCATTAGCACCGCGGAGCAACCGGTTTAAACCCATGTCACTTAGCAGTTTTACGTGACTGTCACGGAGCCACAGAAGTGGCGCGCCTGACCTTGAGGGAAATAGTGAAAATTGCATGCGCGGGAGTTCTACGTAATATGCTGCGGCTTTACCATGGAAGTGAAAGAGCAGGTGTGCCGATGACGGTATCTCTGGGGCTCGTGGGGAACACTCGAGGGGTCCGTTCATGGGGCGGACAGTAAGGGACCGAATGGACCGAAGGGAAAAAAGAACGAGGAGCTGAAAAGGCGCCGTATGGCGTGAGTGGGCAGGAGCGAGTTCTTTGTAAGCCAGGGTCTTGTGAGATACTAGGTGCAGCAGCAGGCATTAACATGAAGAATAAAACGGACCAGAGCGTCGTACCGAAGACTGTGGCGGCGAAGTATTTCCCAACGGTAGGCGAATGCCCCGCTTTGAAGCTGCTACAGGAGTCGGCTAGTGTAGACACGCAACTTGATGGGCGAATGCCCCAAGGTTGAATAGCCGAGAGTATTGAGGCGCTATCAGCTACGGGTTGCAGTAAACGAAGGCCGATAGCCCGACTAGCTTTGTGAAAACACTGCACCGGAGAAGGGTCCACGATTGCTCAGTTTGAAATATGGAGCATGGAGATGGGCTTGTGGAAGATTGCATGCAGTACTGAACGACGGTGTTGCATCATGTTTATTTTTGAGCGGCTTTAGCAAAACAGCATGGGAATCGTGTAGCTTGGCAGGTAGTCGGCGACGCTTTACAGAGCACAGGGTGAGAAAGGAAACAATAGGCTTTCCAAGCGTGCATTATGTTGGACGGACATGCTAACCCTATTGATTCTGCATAGGCTGAGGCCAACGGGTGTTTGGAGCTTGACGCTTGCAATTCCCGCGGAGAGGCAGTATGCAGGGTCTGTATTGAACCAATGAGTAACATGTGGTGTTGGACGTTGCGATATAGGAGAATGGCAAGGCGGGGCTTGGGTGAAAGAAGAAAGGTAGGTTTCGCGGAGTGGTGGGAAAGAGGCTGAGGACCAAGATTAACGAGAAGAAAAGCATTGCGAGGCAGGTGGTACCTTGGTACTCGTTGCAGATTGCACGGCGACGAGGATTACATCGGTCGCGATCGTATCGCTCATCTCTCAGATCATATGCGGGACGATCAAAGTGCATGAAATCTCCCCACGTGGCTGTGCGGCGTCTAAGCTTGTCGCCTTTGAAAGTCGAGCGGCTCTAGCCAAGGCGAGCTGTCTGGATCAAGTATGCGGGCAACGGGCGGCAGCAGTCATGGGGCAGCATACAAGTCTGCGCAGTCGGACCCAAGACCAAGACATTGGGGGCGCAGGGCAAAATCATCGAGGTGAAACGAGGACAGTATGGGAAACGGGTTTGTATCGTGGGTTTCCACAATGGGAAAGGCGGATGGTAAAAGCCGGCGCCGGGCCCGCTCGGGATGGTTTGGAGGGGCCAGTGACATCAGCGTTTGTTAGACAATGCAAGCAGCCGGGACGCTCGGCGGCAGAAAAGGGGACTTTCTGTGCCCTGCATCAAACAGCCATGGAAAAAAACCGCACGGGCAGGGGACAGTGATCGCGATCGAATGGAAGAAAAGGACCGGATAGACGAGGGCCGCGCAAGGTGAAAAAGCAATGGGGCCAGCTAGGGTAAGAAGATCACGTCGATGTGATACAAAATCTCGATGGCGGAGACTACGGCTAGGCGGCAGCACGGATGCCGTTTGAAGGCTTTTGGGGGGAGGCCAGAGGAGTCTGTGGGTCTGGGTTGGGCTAAAACGAGCACCAGGGGCTGTGGCTGAGAACGAGTACGCAGGTCATGGCGAGCGGCCGACGTCATTGTGAGGGCGACAGGGCCCGATCCCCACCTGCTTTCCCGATCATTGACAAACGTCTCGCGGCGCGCTAGGCGGGATGCGTATAGGGCGGAACGTTTGCAGGGATGGGCGGGTGGAGAAGACCCTGATCTGTGTATTACATCAGACACGACGTTATGCCGGGTGAGGATTTCGAGTACCGATGCAGACGGCCGCCCTGGAGAGGCACATGACAGGCACACGGCACACACTCTTTCTCAGGCAAGGAAATGCACCGCAGCATCGAGTTTGCTTGTGCAGTCCGCTGCCTGTTGAGTATAGTCGTTGTTGTTGACAGCACACCGACCCGTCCGTGTGTTGACCAGCAGTCTGTGTGTGTGTGTATGTGTGTGTGTGTGGTTGTGTGTGGTGTGTGTGCGTGTGTGCGTGTGTGTGTGTTGTCAGTGTTGAGCGCGGAAACAAAACAACTGACTCTCACCGCGAGACGAGTCTGCGACTGTG